ATGACATTTTTTAACCAAAAAAAAATTTGAATAACGAAAGAAATTAATAATTTTAACATATACTAACAATGCCCAACTAAAATTATAATCTAATAATAATAACTAATTATAATATTCAAAATATAAAAAAAAAGAATTCATTATTTAAAAAAATGAATAAACACCACAATAATAACTAATTATAATATTCAAAAAATTGTAATTACATAACAATATAAAAAAATTAATAAAAAAGGAATTAATTATTTAAAAAAATGAATAGATACAACAATTATTATAACTCCAATAGGGTAGATTGCCAGAAAAAACAAAAGTTCTGGATAAAACTAAGAATGCTGACCATCAAATATTTAGTAAGCGGTCGGTTTGAGTCGGTTACCAGTCAAATCACAATATTTCTAAAATATTATTGGAGATAATGTTTTACAGTAAATAAAAGTATAGAAAACAAAAATGAAGATATTTGGATCAATAACGCCAACAATGTAAGCATTACAAGTTTAAGGTTATTTTTCGATTCTAAACTTATTCAAAAATTAATTATCAAAGAAACTTATCCCTTTTTTATAATTTTTTAGGTTTTCCACATGTATTCACACCCAAATATAAAATAAGTGCTAATTAATAATCATTTAGGCTTCCTAATATAATTTCTTTTAATATTTATGCATTTAAGAGATAAATTTATTATATTAAAAATTGAAAAATAAAATTTGAGATATAATAAGTTAGTAAATATACATTTGTTTCCATTAACATTAAATAAGAATAGATTCATCGTAGTAGGTTAATGATGCTATTATATAAATTTTAATTTTTATATTTATTTGAGATAATATTTATGGAGTAGTATTTATAGGAGCTTTTAATAGTTTTGAAGTGGCATTCTGTTTAATTCTTACACTATCTTTTAATAATATGAAAAGTTATTTATATTTTTAGAATAAATTTCTAAGAAATATAGTTTCTATTTTTATAAAATTAATATTTTACATTAAATTTTATTGATAATATGTGATATTTATAGGGTAAATTATTTTAAAAAAAACAAACAATTAAAATAAAATAACAATATGTTTTTTTATTTTTGCACAACCCTCAAAAAAGACAATCAAATATATAATATATAACAAAACAGATTTAAAAAATACATTAAAAATTGGATATTTTAATTTTCGTTTTTTCTTTATATATATATTCTCCTTTTTCTAAATTCCTTTAAAATATATTTCAATATAAATTATATTTTTATAAATTTACCTTAATTCATTGGTTGTCCTCGATAACCAATCTCCAAAAATTGATGCATTTTATTATAATAATTTGAAAAATCAAAAGGAATAGTAAATTCATTAAGAATTGATGTTACATTATTAATTATTTCGTTTCGAGTATTTGGTCGGGGATTGATCGACCTATATTTGTTTTTAACACTCCAAAAAAATTTTCTATCGGGTTTAGTTGCGGCGAATAGGGTGGCAGGATCAGGATTTAATGTAAATGAATTTGTATTACTAGATAAAATTAGTCGTATATTAAACATTTGAAAAAAATATTAAACTCTTTTTTATAAAAAAAATTAAGTTATATAAAAATTGTAAATGCAAAAAAATTACCGAATGTATTTTATAAAAAAAATTAAATTATATAAAATTGTAAATGAAAAAAAATTACCGTATGTATTTTTTAAATCTGTTTTGTTATATATTATATATTTGATTGTCATTTATTTTTTGAGGGTTGTGCAAAAATAAAAAAACATATTGTTATTTTATTTTAATTGTTTGTTTTTTTTAAAATAATTTACCCTATATAATACAATGTATAAATTATTTATCATTAAAAATATATATAAAATAAGTTTGTTTATTAAGTTGTCTTTATCATTTGCATTTTTATGCTGCCTCTCCTAAATTTCTGATTACATTTAGAATATTTTGTAATCTTGTCTATGAGATTCATTAAATCTAGTTAAGTTTATATATAAAATTTTAGTATCATATATAAAAATATTTAATACTTACGTCTACTCTATTAGAAATTGGAATTTAAAAAATTTTAGCATTAAAAAGAATTTAGTAATTTGCCGGATCAAAAAGTATATTTTAACTTCAAATTTGCCGGATCCATTTTTAAGACGAATATTGACTTCTGACGGAACGAATGTAAAACTCGAACCGTTTCCACCCTGGATGTGGTCTTATAGTCAATTATAACTCCAAGATATTTCTATGATCTTGTGAATTAAATTTTTCTATTATCAATTATTAATTCGTGATGTAAATATAAGTTAGATAGGATTTTGGTTTTATCAAAGTTAATTTTTAAATTCCTGATGTATAAACGTTACATTAGGTAATAATTAATAGGTTAAAAATAGAGGGAGATAGAATAGTCTTGTTTAATGCCAAATTTCATTTTAAAGGACATTATGATTTTTATTACGTGTGTATTAATTTTATACTTAAAAAGTAGGGTTGCTTCTTTCGGGGGCATATTATTCATTTTTTTTTTAATATCAATATTGGATTGGTTCTTTTTTATGATTGGTTAATTTTTATTTTATTTTTAAATAAATATATATTTTTATTTTTTCTAAAATATATATGCAGCGTTTACTCTGTTGTGAGGGGGGAGGTGATTAGAGCACTGTGGCTATAAATTTTTTGGGGTTAATAAATTTTTAGCTGAAAAGAGAGAAGAGAATTCCCTTTGTTTTTTTCTACCCAATCGGAACTAAGAATTATGGCTCTAAATATGTTAAAAATTCAAAAACTGGGAAGTGATAATATTTATATTTAGATATATTTTACAACTTTTTTTAAAAAATAAATACTTACAAAAAAAATTTTGAAACAATATATATTTATTTTAAAATAAATTAACCAATCAGAAAAAGGTACGAGCGAACCAAAACTCTGAACCCTCAATATTTCACTGAACCCTAACCCTTTTTTAAAATTTAGGGTTGAGGGTTACAGCTTTTTTTTTTAATTTTAAAAAACATTTTTTGATCATTTTTGCATGTAATCATTTTTGTTATATATTTAGTAATTTTTTAAATTGTATTTGTAGTATTATAATTATGATGATAAATAATTTTTATCGTGTTAAAATAAATTTTTTTAAAAAAAAATGATGTTTCTGTTATTTTAACTAATTTTAATAAGTCATTCATTACTTTTCTTTTTCTGGTCTCCGAACATGGAACCCACCTGAACCCGAATCGGGTTCAGAGATTTTTCACTGAACCCACCTAACCCATTTTTTAGACAATTTTTAAAAAATAAACAAAAAATATTACATAAAAAAATAAGATAAAAAAAAATAAAATAGAAAAATATGGCCCCCGAAAGATGCAACAACCAAAAAGTATATTCATATTAATTGGTTTATAGAATCGATGATATGTCGATAATAATTGTGTAGGCATCAGTTTTGTAAATTATAGATTTTTCTAGCCTGATTTTTAGAGCAGATATTAGTTCAATAGGTGTTATGACCAAATCTAAAGGATGCAAAGCAGTTATCAATGTATTTCCCGATGTCTTGAATGATTTGTTTATATATAAAATTACGATTTTGTAGCAGGAGATGGTGTGGATAATATCTTCGAGCAATTTTTCAGTAGTTCGTTGGATATGTGTTGTCTAGCATTGCTTTGTGATTTTTTAATTTTTTTATCATTTTTGTTTAGAATGAAACTATGAATTCTAATTAGTTGTAATGTGATTGATTTGGAAAATTTTTTTTAATGAAAATGGGTCAGTAGGAAATGATACATATTACCCAAACTTAAAAAATTGGACTGACAGATTTCGAGAAATATCTGCTGACGAAGGTAAAATCCTGGGGTACCCAATCTGTCTCATTTTTTTCCCCTTTGATTTTAATAAAATTCAGGGCCTCACTTCCGAACAAAGTATTGGTAACAATTGATATGAACCCTGTATTGGCGAGGCCAGCAAATTTGTATTTTTAAAGAATTTCTGCCTTTTCGATAATGTCTTATCTAACCAGTCATTTTTTTCATGTACATGTCTGGCTCGTTAAATTTTTTATCCGATCCAGTATAATTCATCAAAATTAAACTCATATTTTAAAATTATGAATTATCATTTTTTTTATAAAAAAATAGTTATTTGTAAAAATCAGGTGCGTATTTTGGTCGAATACAGTTCGGTTTGGCCTATATTTGACCGGGGAAATTCAAATAAATATTGTATCAAATAAGCCTTAGATCTTATTTTATTTTATAAATTAATTTTATATATTTATTGATATTTTGTATACAGTTATTTTATAATGATTTTATGCATTCTTATTTAATAATACATAATCATGATTTTGATGAATTAATAAAAATAAAAAAATTATTTAAAAAATAGTTTTTCTTTCTCTTTCTATTGCAGACCACTGATGCCTATTATATTTTATTCCATAAAGAATTAAATAGCTACAAAGTACCTGGACATAAGTAGCTGACAAAAGTACTTGTTGATCCCAAAAACTAAAAGTTAAATAAATAAATATCCGCAGTTGACTTAGAAAGTTGAAACTTGTTTGTCTAATTTTCTCCGTATATTTAAAATATAATAAGAACATGAAACCTAAAGGTAATTCTGATATAAAATAAAATAACCGATTAAGTAAAAAAAAATGATGTGATGGTTATATTACATTTAAGGAGCCAATAAAAAGTAAGGAAAGTAAACACTACCACATTCACAAAGATTGTCAATGTAACGCATTTACAGGGTAGATATAAATTTTCCGGATGATAATTTTATTTAAATTTCGATATTTATAAACATAATAAATATTTCAATGGGAATAAATGATATTTAATGTTCACCATTTCGATTCTTTTGACCTGTATCGTTGTTTATAATATTTATACTAAAAAAAATTATAAAAATAAATAAATAAAGATAATCCTAAAATAAAATATAAATAATTATAAATTTTTTTGTTTATTGTAGTTTAAAAAATAAGATATTTATAAAATTATATTTTAAAATTCCCATTATTTTCTTTTATTTCTTTTGGGCAATCGGCGTTATTTATAAGAAAGTCATTTTCGTGGTTCTGTTTAAACTTTACATTTTTAGAGGACTTTGATGTGGAATCGTTCGAGTTTGATACTGTTGTGGTAATTGTAGAATCCTTGATCTCCTGTTACATACAAAACAGATATGCTATAAAATTCAATGTAAATTTTGCCTTATATTTTTAAATACCGCTTTATGGTTAGCATTAATGATGCAAAATCGCTCCATTTGAGCCGAAAAAACAGCTACTCTTATGTCCAGAGAAATATTACGCAAGCTTGAAGATTTTGCTCATATATCGTACAAAGGTTTGGACATCTATTAATGAAATCTTGAGGCTTAGGCAATATTTTTCTGGCTAAAATATTGAGTTAGCCGTTTTTAAAAATCGGCTCAAATGGAGGGATTTTGTACTAGTTAGCATTATAAATTTTTAAGAATGTACTGAATTTATCTCTTTTTAACTTGTTCACAAATATAGGGGATAAAAACATTCACAAATTTTATAACAAAAATTATTCTAATTAAATAATTATTTACTTTTAAAACCATTTTTAGATTAAAATTAAAAAAAAAATTATATAAGTATACCTTTTATTCTGTTCTTAAATGAATAGAATTAAAACTTTAATAAGAATCAATTAGGATAATCTTCATTAATCTGACTTATATGACCTGGTTCACATTTTTTCCCAAAAAATTAGCGATCAATTAAATCTAGCAATTTTAATAAAATATATAGAATTCCGGAAGATAAACAATACGACAATCAAAATATATTTACAACCACAATTTATAATATTTTTTTAAAAAAAAAACTTAATCGTTCTCTCTATCAAAGACCTGCAGACCCGGTCAGAGTACACGGGGCCGGCTGTATTTTAATTTTTTAAATATACCCAGGCCGGGCAGTATATTTTAAATCACCATTATTAGCTATAAATATTAAAAATAAATGTAATATAATAAAAAAATCGGGGTCAGGTGTGAAAATATAAAACCCAGGCCAGGACGAAAAAATTGTTTTAAAAAAAAATTTGTGCCACGCCATGGAAATGTACCTCTGCAAGTCTCTGATCTATATAAAAACAATTTATCAAACTAACATTTTCATTGAGATTAAAATCGCTCGACTCATTAAGCATCGTTTCGCTTCTTTTAGCTAGAACATTCCTGTACAGTGTGTCTCTTCTACAGGGGGTCATTCCTAATTTGATTTTTATTAAAATAAATGTTTAAAACAATATTTCGTGACTTAGGACACGCGTGTTTATAGATATAGTATCACTCAAAAAATAATAACTAGAGATGTACCAGATCAATGGCCAGGATCATCCTTATTTGAATTCAGCCACTTTAACAAAAAAATTTAATCATCTCTAACAAAATTTTCGATTAATTATATTTATATTCCATGCGTAAGAAAGGTTAATAAATATTTTTTAAGATATGTAGAGTAGAGATCTGCAAAAGTAGGCCTGGCTCGTACCCAGTTCGAAAGGGCTTTTGGCCCATTTATTTAAAAAAATCAAAATTAAAAATAAACAAAAAGCTGCTAATAGTAAAAAACTAAAAAAAATTAATTTCTATATTTAAATAAATTCGGGACGGGTCGGGCGAACAAATAATTTTTTTAAAAATTTCTGGTTGGGCTATAAAAAGAAATTTCCAAGATCAGGCCGGCAAAACTTTTTTAAAAAAATTTAGGACTGGGCCAGGCTTAAAAAATTAGGGCCTATGTAGATAAAGATAACTACTGTAGAGTACTGATGAAAAAATTGGATCCCATACATCTTTAATACTGAGATATTAAAACATGCCGTTTTTGACTCTTTGTTCAAACCTCAAATAAAAAGTTTAGAAGAAAAAAATATCCATATAACCAGTTTTAATATCGAATTTCCAAGAATTTATAAGTTCAAGACACTCTTCCCTAGCTTGTGGTAGATAGCCATTTATGACGTTCTCTAAATTGACGTGACTCTCAGTTAAAGAAGCTGCGATGTTTAAAAATTGTTGAGTATTTTCCTCGATACAAGATTCATTGGTTTTACAAAAGATAACATCTTGTTCTTTGAATCGTTCATGGTTCTTATCATACGCTTCCTTTATTTTATATAAGATGTTTTTTTAAGTACCTTATATCAAAAATTTAAGAGAATTCTCATAATTAAATAACATTTCATAAAAATTAAATTTGCTATATTTATATTTTTAGGGTTACAAAGAGAGAATATTTTATAAACTCACTTTTATAATTTTTGAGGTATCTTCTAAACCAATTTTAATGGTATCGTGATGCCGCGATAAACATGTTATTATATCTTTGGTTTCGTGTGTATTGATCTATATGTTAAAAAAAATTAATCTGAAAATTGCCTGCCAAAGAATGTTTAAAAAAAATTTTAAACAGTCACGTAACAAAAATTTATATGTGATTTCTTATATTTTCTTAAATGATCTTTAAAAATTGTCAGAAATATCTATATACAATTTAACTTTATAAAAAATGTTAGGTTCATGAATCTATGGGCTTTAGAAACAGCCAATTTCGGCAAATTGATTAAGTGTAAATATTTTTTAAGTATTAATAATTTTTTAAATATTTAAAAAAAATTATTCACCAGTCCTGTAAAGTTATGGTGTTCTTCTAAGTATTAATTAGTATAACTAAATTAATATAATATTATTTTTCAATATACCGATCTTAAATTCTGCATTGATTTGGCCACATCTTCGTTATTTGATACCAATATTTTGCGAGTAGATTCCAATTTTTCACTAAACTTTATATTTGTAAATTATAAGATAAGGATATAGATAAATTTTATGTAATGTACAAAAAAATGGCAGTTAATTTTAGAGTTAAGACCAATTCTGCCATTGCCATTATAAATGAATAGCTAAATTTATTTTCAAATTTTTTATAAATTTATATTATAGATAAGAAAATATAGCTTTATACATTTTGATTTTGACTATTTAAAGTTTTTAAAAAAAAATTATCTTTTTAGTCATATTTAATTTAAACTCTGATGTAAATTAAATATCAACTATTCAATCAGAGAAGGACAGATTTAGATTGAAAAATATCATCATAACTTTTTTTTTACCTTAACTTGCAAGTAAAAAGTTAATGTTTCTCATGAGACCTGTTCGGGAAATTGCTGAAAAAAAAATATATTGATAAATCATGAGCTAATTTGATATTTTATCGTATAAAAAGCCGACTGTCAATTAAAAATTCGATTATACATTTGGGCCTGTAATGCCAAGGCGGGGCAATGTCTGAATTTTTTTATTTGGGTCAGGTTGGGCCAGGCAAAAAAATCATTGGGCTGGATTATTGATGAATTATGATACTTGATAGAAGTGATAATCCAGAAAGTGTAGTGCTTTTAATTCAACTCCTCATTATTATAAATGATTGTTTATTTTGGTGTGCTTTTGGGTTAGATCTTGTATTTAAAAAAACTGGGCCAAGCCACCTTAATAAAAAATTTGGAAACGAGCCAGGCCGTGTAAAAATTTGGATGGGCCAGGCCTGAAACTTTTGCCATTTGCAATACTCTGATATGGAGTTTTAAAAAATATCGAAATAGTCGATATCAGTGAGTGAGAAATAAAATCATTCAATATTCTAAAACGAATATTATTATGAATGTTCTCAAATAAGACTGTTAAACCAAATTAAAAAATTTTTTTTGACTATTAAATAAAAATAGTTTTATTATTTTTAATTTTAGCTACTGTTATTTCCTAATTGGGTCATTAACCCAATTTAAAATGCTAGGGTAATATTCGTTCATCCGTTAATATTAATACCCTTAATTAAAAATAATCTTGATTATTATTTTTGGGCCTATGTCCCAGAAATCAAGCATTTTTTAGAACTCTCCCTCTCTTCCCTTTTCCATTAGTGGTTAGTTTTTAGATTATATTATGAATATGTTTTTAAAAAATTTATAATATATGTTATTTTTCAATCTAAATCTGTACAAATTAAGCAAATCAAATAAGCAATTATATCTAATACAGTTCGTTATTTACTTTATATATGGTTCTCTTTTGTAACCCATCATCCTAAAAATCGTCATTATTATAATACCTTCACCGACACATTTCTTATCCTATCTTCCAACCCCAAAATATGTTTCAAATTTAATTACAATGAGATCAAGGTGTCACCTTTTATCTATCATGGTAAAATTCCATGCTACATCTACCCGTTTAATAAAATTATGTTTTCAAATGAAATAATAAATGAGGTATAAAATTGAAGGATGGTAGCAGGAACATTTAATTTAGGATAGAATCCTAGCAAAACAATCAAAAGCTTCAGTTGAGGGAATATTTATATCTTTTGGAGTGCATTCCAAACTTAGGAATTCTTTAGGGAAAATAGTTTTATATTAAACAATTAAATTCACCAATGCTGAGGACATGACGATTGCTTGTGTTATTAAATCAATTATTATTAAAATGATTTTTTAATTTTAAAAAACTAATTATTTCTTTTACTGTAAAGGGAAGCAGGTAGCACTACATTAAAACATTATAAAAAAATTTAAAAATATTATTAGTTTAGGTTTTATAATTTGAATATTAAATAATTTATAATTACATTTGAGATTATAATTAATCAGTTAACAATAATTTTATACATTATAACAAAAATTGAAACAACGAAAATCAAAATAAATTAGGTACTTTTTTAAAAATCTAATAAGTAATGATGACTATTGCAATTTAATATTTTTCATATAAAAATTATCTGATTATGGAAAAATCTAAGTCTTTGTCCTTAATTATATTAAATATTTTGATCAAATTTAGTAAATAAAACTTTATTAAAAAATTTGATCTAAATCAAATTAATTTGTTAACAAGGAAAAAAGACACTTCTTAGATAAAAGACCCTATGATAGTGATATATGACATTGTATCTAAAAAATTATGTCACTAATAGATCTCAATGATGCTAATTGGGGCGATGCTTTAGCAATTCAAGATGTCTATGATCATCAAGAAAAGCTTTAAGAGATCATTTCTATTTTAATTATGACGAAAATATCATGAAAAAAAAATCGTCTTCAAAAATTGTCTAATGCATTTGATATTCCATTGATTTTTAAAAAAAATGATTAAAAGAAGATTATTAAAAAATATTTTAAAAGCTTCCTAAAATCAATTTTCTTTAAACGTAAATTGCCAATCCCTGTCTATCTATGTCTTCAATTTTTTTTGTATAGATCTTTTAGTGTTCATTTGGAACTATATTACTGAGGCTATGCCGATATTTTCGAAAAAACCGATCCGATATTTTTACTTTGAGTTATTTTCTGATTGTATATAATATTACATTATGAAATTTTATATAAAATTTCATAATATTATAATATTTGTAATATTTATAAAAAATTGAATTCTTTTAAAAGAAAAATATGATGTTATATTATCTGCATCAAGAAAAGGATTCAAAAATATTGAAAGAGTCACATTCGGGTAGTGTTTTTAAACGGCTCATTTATCTGAATTTTTAAAATGGCTAACTCAAGATTTAGCCAATTTTTTTTTAGATAAGCTTGGATATTTCGCACATAGATGGCAGAAAAGTTAGGACATCTATTGGTAAATTTTCAATAAGTAATAATATTTTGGTTAAAATCTTGATTTCGCCGTTTTTAAAAATAAGCGATCAATAAACATCTCCTTGGGCAATAAAAAAACAAAATACATTTAATCATTCGTGAAAGTTAGTTAGGTTTTTTGAATATAAAATTGATTTTTTTTATGACATCGTTCCACAAGGTAAATAAAAGTCAATATAAATAACGGATCGTAGTAGTATCGAATGGATCGGTGAAAAAATATGCGGATCAGCAGAGCCCTATATATCACGATGTGTATCTGAGAACTAAAAGTCAAAAAAATTGCAATAAACCATAATATATGGAATATAAATTGTAAAACGAAAAAAAATTGAAGATGTTTTTATATCAGAATTTAAATTAAATTAAGAAAACTTGTTCATGAGACAAATTTATTGAGGCATCATTCTTTATAATAATTTCGTTTTCTTGTTTTAGTTTGCGCTTTATGTTGACCGTTTGTGCATTAAAATGGCTATGGAATTTTTAATTATCGAAATAAATTAAATATGCTTATGAAATAATATTATTTCATCGCGAATCAATTTTATTGAATAGCGAATTTTTTTAGAAAAAACCTTATGGCCGCTTATGTTTTATTAATAAAAAATATATAAAAATTATTTTGGAGATATTTCGACCCTAATTTAATTGTTTTCCAGTAAGTGGATTTAGAACTATAGACTAATCAAGAGATAATATCCATTTTAGGATGGTACCGAGATTATCCCACAATTAACTATTAGTAATTTAAAATTAAAATGAAGATATCTTAACTCAGGGAGATATTTTGGTATGTTAATTGAAGTTGACTTGTTATGTTAGGTAAGTTGGAACATTGTGAGTCATTGTATTATTTTTTCAACTATAAATTTTTTTTTTAAATTTAGAAATTAGATTTTACCAGAAATGTATTCTAACATGTTTGGAATACCTACTCTATGTATTTCACATAATTTGCTATAAAAATTTGAGCTTAATATAATTTATATTCATTTTTTCAATAGATTTTTTATATACATCTTAAATGACTCAAGGTTATCAGAAAAAGAGTCTACAATTCAAAGGTAGGGGAGGTATTCCAAATATGTAAAAAATACATTTCCGGTAAAATAAGATTTTAAAAAAGGCTAAAAATTGATTTAAAGTTGAAAAATAACACAATGGCTCACAATGTTCCCACTTACTTTGTTATAACTAGATTACCAAAATAGTTTTCATAACTGACTTAAAATTTTTCCCTTATTCTAATTTTAAGTTGGATTCTACGAACATTAATTTATTTGGCCCAAACTTTTTTATATCCGAGTCCAACTCCTCGACACTCAGTAAGCTTGAATCGGTCAATTTTTGAAGGGTACTTATATCCTGGTCTAATTGGGAATCTTGTTCTTTGAATGCGTTTGAAAGAGATTTTATGAGACTGTTAACTTTCTATATTATAACCCATTTATTATAAAAATTTAATGTCAAAATAAAATAAATCAAAGATTCTTTTTAATAATTAATTGAAAAATAATTTAAAAATGGACAACATTGAATTCCTTGGATATTTAGCAAATAAGTATTTTACATTATCAGGGGTAACATGTATTCTATTTTCCCGATTTCATTCTTTTTAAAACTTCTATTCCAATCGTAATTTTTTAATCAGAAAGCCCCCCCCCCCCTTCTATCTGAACTATATTCTATGTCGGATTTCAAATAAGACATTTATTATAAAACAAAATCGTTTCTTTTTAATATTTTAAATGACCAATATATTTGTATAAAAAAACCGCCTCATAGAAGCTGCTTTAGAAAATATATCACCTCTTTCTTAATCAATTTTTTTGTCCTTACCAGCAATAAATGCATTTTTATCAAAACCTTGGCATTTTCATTCTTTCTCTGTAAAGTGCCAATGAGATCGGTGCGCGTTTGGATTTTTAGTTGCTGAGTCAAATTCTCTATTTTCGCCTTGAGACCTTTCTCGATTACTGAAAAGGATTCGATTAATTCATCGCAAAATGATTTATTTTGTCTTTGTACATCAACAATCTTTTTTCAAATTTTTTTTTAAAATATAATAATTAATCTTAATATGATATACAGTGTTGCCAAGATTTATAAAATTAAAAAGGTATGGAAATGTTTTCCATCAAATCTGCACAACGCTGTAATATAATTGAATTTAGTTACACAGATGTAGGATTTAAATGATTTTAAATTAAAGATACTATAACCTTCACGAGGTAAGATGTGCAAAAGGTCGACTTGGGTCAGTCCGGCCCGTGGAAATTTTTTATAGAATTTTTTGACCCATTCCTTAAAATTATTTTTTTTATAAAGGAACAACATAACTTTGGCCTGGCTGTAAAAATATCTTAGACAATTTGTCTGGCCTGTCCTGAAAATTTTGCTCGACCCCCGCCAACTTATCGTATGTTAATGTAAAACCTTTAACCTCATAAGGTGACCACCTTTCTATCTTAAACTCTTAGGTTGGTCAATATCTATAAAAAATCCTATAAAAAAATGTTTATCAAAACAAAATATTATATATTAAGAGACCAAAATCTAACGATGGAGTTTTTAAAACTATAAATCAATACTGTTTAAAAGAAGAAGAAAAATGTAAATGATTTTTTAATGTTCAAAATTACATCTCGTATTAGGGTAAATGATGCGTTGAATTCGGCATTTAAAGAATTAATTTGAGATTCCATTGAAACGAACATGGTATTAGTTATTGTTTCGATTTGTTCGGATAAAAACTGAAGCATTATTTTCTATTGATTTTTTTTTTCGATGAATATAAATTTAAAAAAAATATAAGTTCCTTTATGACAAATAATTTTTCAAATGTTATAGATTGAAGCTGAAGATGGGATTGTCGTGTAATGAATAAAAACTTCTATTCTCTTCTAAATTAAGAAGAAAAAAAATGATATTTCCTAGGTTTTTCGACAGATTTTTTTAGATACGCTGAGTTTTTTTTGTTGAATACTTTATATATAAATGGAAAACTTATTAAAGGCCTATGAGTTTAAATATGGGAGAAATAAATAATACATACACTCAAATAAATCAAAAAATAATTAAAAGTATATAATTGATATTAAGCTAACCTTTATTAATTCCATCTAATAACGAATCAATCAGTGGTTGGCAATATTTTACACTTTTTGTAATTTAAGGATTATGATTATTATTGTTGGCATCAAATAGCTCAAAGGCATTTTATCTTCACTATCTAAAAATTAATAATGCTGTTTCTAGGTGCATGTCATTTACAATATTTATATATTTTGTTTTATAAAATTATCATAGAGTATTTTTCAAAAAATTATCATCACAAAGTTTGGATAGCTCGGAATAATAATACATTTGATTTAATAAATCATCTTTTCTCTCAAATAATAAATCAACAAGTTTTATAATAAAATTTACTCCATCTTGTTATCATAGGTTAAGCTGTTTTGATATATTCTTTTTAGATTATTTGAAAAGGTTGTAGATTAGCTAGGTTCTCTAGATCCTTGCATTTATCAAATGCATCCTATCAAAAATATCCACAGAGATAAAATCGGTTAATGATGCTTACTACCAAAGGCAGTACCGAGCGAATCGTGATTTCAAATGTATATTTTTAAATAATTAATTTTTTAGCGAGACGAATCAAAAACGAAACTAGCTTAAATTTTTTAAATAACATAATTTATAAATGGAAAGCCATTCTGATTTAGGATTGGGTGATAATTATAGTCAGGTTAAGATATTTAAAGAAACAAATTATTAATAATATACTATTTCTGTTGTATATTATATCTTATATTTATAGGTGATGAATCCAATAATATATCTAGATCAGTCAATACAAATGTAGAGATGATACTATATACAATTATTTCTAAATAGATTATACTTATTTAATCTTTTGCAATATAGATTATACTCATTAAATATTTTGCAATATAGGTTATACTTATAATCAGGCAATATGATTATATTTAATAATAATCCTAGATGGTAAGTGATGAATCCAATAATATGTCTGGGTCTGTCAATAAATATATAGGTAATATTTTCATACAATTATTTCTTAAAAATAAGCTATTTTTCTTATAAATTTTTTGATTATAGATTATATTTTTTGCAATATAGATTACGCTTATTAAATTTTTTACAATATAGATTATACATATAATGAGGTAATACGATATTTTATATTTAATAATAACTCTAGATGTTAGATTTTGGGGCAGGTTTTAATTCATTCGAGGAATTAAAGACTGCAGTGTTAATTTTTATATATATCGACTAGATGCTTTAAAAAATTGTACAGAGCAAATGAAAAATCAATAAAAGAATATGTTTTATCTGTATACAAGGTGTTATTTTTAAGAGTAAAGGAAAAGGTTAGAGAAATACAAAAAGTTTAAGACAAAATTGTACCAGTTATTTTGTTGTCAAATTGATTAAAAGAGGTCAAAATCAATTGGTGGTTACTCTGTTTCATGGAACACATAACCATAAATTTATATTTTGTTATTTGAACTCTATATAAATAAATTTTATAAGATGAATAAATATAATAATTATTAAATATTCCATAACACATATGATTGTCTGAGCCTTATTGGACACCTCTATATATTATAATCATAAGTATAGATGAGAAAAGGCAAATCCCCCTACACCCTCCCCCACAATTATTTTTCAAATGATCAGAAATTTTATATTAGAAATACACAATCTGAAAATCTGGCATTCCCTATCAAATATAATTCATCAAATTTGTTGATGTTTTGTATTGTACTGTTTAAATATATAGCACATTATTCCAGATTTAATAACCCTTATGCAAACAATCTTGTTCGCATAGCCCAATCTATATCAAACAAGGTAAAAACTGTAATAGATACTTATTTAAAGAATATGAGGCATCAATTAATAAAATTTCTGTATAAAGTCAAAGTATTCTCTAATTTTAGGGGTTTGTAAATAAGGATCTTTAAAATTCCCATTTTGCACCAATATTTCAATAATTTTTGGTTTTCTTTTTTTATTGTAGTAGAGTAGATAATCATTAGAATTATTGATTGGAATAATGTTACTAATTAAATTATATAGTCTCTTTTTGCAGTTAATTTTCTAATTATTAAATATCGGATTGAATTATTGAAACATTTCCATCATATTTTAGACCGGTTATTATATATTCCTTTTCTTTAGTATTTAATTCACGTTGTTTGAATAGCCTTTTAGTTTGTTATCGAAAATATTTAAATTTATGCTAATGAGAAAGGCCTTATATAATATTGATATTAAGTTGGCAAATATTTCTAATTTCTCCCAAAGCTAATAAAATCCATTTTCTTTAAAATTACATAAATTTTCAGATTGTGTATTGAAGCTCAAAGATAATCATATGTGAGTTATATTTAATAATTATAAGCTTATTTATTTTTTATCTTATAGATTTATTTATATAGAGTTCAAATGACAAAATATATAATTACCTAATTTATGGTAAGAGTAACAACCAATTGATTTTGACATCTTTTAATAAATTTGACAACAAAATTACTGGTAAAATTTTGTCTTAAACTTTTTGTATTTCTCTGGCCTTTTCCTTTACTCTTAAAAATAACTCCTTGTATACAGATAAAACATACTTTTATAAACATATTGGTTTTTCATTTGCTCTGTACAATTTTTTAGAGCATCTGATTGATGTTAATAATAATTAGCACTCACCTATCTTTCATAGTTATAGTAGATAACAGCCTTTAATTCCTAGAATGAATTAAAACCTGCCCCAAAATATAACATCTAGAATTATTATTAAATATAAAATATATTACCTTATTATAAGATGATCTATACTGCAAAAGTTTATGAGTATAATCTATATTGTAAAAAATTTAATAAAAATCAATATTGTAAAAAATTTAATAAGCGTAATCTATATTGCAAAAAATATAATCTATAATCAAAAAAATTTATAAGAAAAATAGCTTATTCTTTAGAAATAATTGTAAAATATTACCTCTATTTGTATTGACTGCATATTATTGGATTCATTATTTACCATCTAGGATTATTTTTAAATATAGAATATCATATTGTCGGGTAATAAATATAACCTATATTGCAAAAAATTTAATGAGTATTATCTATTAAAAAATAATTGTATGAAAATAGTATCTCTGCATTTGTATTGACTGATTGATATATTATTGGTTTCATCACCAACTTTATAAAATTATTATCAAATATAAGATAATACGTCAGAAATAGCATATTCTTAATAATTTGTTTCTTTAAATATCATTATTACCTGACTATAATTATCATCCAATCCTAAATCAAAATGGCTTTCCATTAATAAATTATGTTATTAAAGAAAATTTAAGCTAGTTTCGTTTCTTATATATACTAATTTCGTTTTTGATCCGTTTCGTTAAAAAATATATATTTGGCAGTACCAATCGAATAATAATTCCGATTCGCCTGGTACTGCCTTTGGTAGTAAGCTTCATTAACTGCGTTTCACCCGCTTACCACCTGTAAATAGTGACATTCACAAGAATGGTAATTTTGGAGATAAACATAAGTATCCTTTCCATTATGATTTTCAAAATTGTAAGTGATAATAAACTACCTTGTTAATCTCATCATCTTCTTATTTTTTTCCAATTATTTCATATATATAAAGATCCTGAGCCATCAGCGTATTACTTCAATCATGATAAGTTCATTACAAACGGTCTTGAATAAGACTTACACAAAACAAGAAAAAAAACAATCCGTGGAAAAACCTAGAAATGAACCTATATTATTTTTTTTAAAGGTGGATTGCAGAACTAAGATTAGAGCCGTTTATTTTTTTAAAAAAATACAAAGTTTAAAACGTACCTCTCTACTAGTAACTATTTTTGTGGTCTCATTGAACATATTAGATTCGTGTTGCGCTAAAGTTTTGTTAGAATTTAAACAATTTTGAGCATCTCTGTGCAATTGGAGTCTTGCGTTTGACAAAAATTCTTTATTATTCTTGATGGAGGCTTCTGCTCGAGAGTTTAAATTATCTGAAGGATTATAAAATCAAAATTAAATCAAGCTAATAAAAGTATCTTGAAAATCATTTAAATTGGCTAATATTATTATTTATTGCTAAGGCTTAAATGATTGTATTCATAAATTTAAATCAACATACCATAATTCATAACTATATTAGCATAGGTTCTTATCATCTTTGATTTGGCAATTTTATTCTTTTTATAACTTAATAAATCTGAAATTCATTTCTTCTTTTATAAGAGACAAAAAAAACGAAGGAAAATAATGATTAGATTTAGGGGCCACACAATTTATCAGCCAGGATTATAAGACAATAAATAAAATCATGTTTCATCAATTGAACTAAAAAAAAATTCCTATGTCTATTTAATTAATTCTCTTTCCTTAATAAAATTTTGTTTAGATTTAGAGACTGGGATTTAAACAAGTATTTAAATGTGTTCGGGTTCAGACGGATTTCAATTTATCTATTACTCAGCATATATTTTTTTATCTGTTATTTTTTAAAACATAAATCATATTCGATATTCTAAAGAAATCCCTCAACGTAAATAAAATAATTATCATTATTCAAATTAAAACATTATCTTTATTAAAATTTTGTAAAATATATGCATAATATTTTAGTAGTAAACTAGGGTCTATGCCGATATTCGTCGTTTTTTTAAAAAAATAAATCCGATCCTATAATTATAATCATTTTTTGGTTATTTTTAGCATGATATATTATGTCGTATTGAGATATGGAATCCACGGAGAATCTGATTCCCCCTTATTTTAAATCATTTACTGAAGTCGAATTTTAAATTTGAACATCTGTTTTGACCGGAAATGCATCCCGGTATGTGTGGAGAGTATTAACACTGAGAATTTGAAACTATTTTTTTAACCGTAAACTTTTGAGCTACTCTTAATTTATATTAATTTTTAGATAGATTCTTATTATAAAAAGGTTAATAGGAAGCCTGCCAGAAATTCATGGGATAGGTTACTCCACGTACCTAAGTTTGAATATATTTTCTGTTTATATTAGATTTTTTCAAGTTTAAAAAATTGCCCTTAGTAAATGATTTAAAATGGAATGATTTCCGAATACCTATGGATTCCACATGGCAATGACATATATAATTTTAATTTTTTTTTTTTCATTTTACCAATTTCTTTATTAAAAAAAATGATTTTTTAAAAATAAACTCCATATATTTGTAAATTGCAGAGTTGTTAATCGCTACATTTAAAAGTAGCGCGATACCGCTATCACTATTTGTCAAAAAAATTAGCGCGCTACCACTATCACTATTGGTCAAAAAAAAGTAGCTCGCTATTAGCTATTATTTTTCAAAAGTAGCTTTAGCTACTTTTTATAAAAAAAATTTAGAAACAAATTTGTCATATTTTTTTGCTTATAATATTATTGTATAGTAAATATATAAAAATCAACATTTATAAATATTAAAGTTTTTCTTTCTTTCTTTCTTGCCATGGTACATATATATGATATCTCTGATAACTCTACTATTAGAGCATCTTTCATCACTTTAAAGTTATCTGCTATTTTACTCATTAGTGTCTGGCAACATTAAATTGTTGTACCAGGGTATAGAGTTTTAATCATCATGGTAAATGATGTATTATCAACCAAGGACATTGACTGAACTGTATCAATTATAAAATCAACAATAACATTATAAGCCAATTTTTGAGAAATATTGTCATTTCTAATATTAATTAATTTGGTTTGAATTGAATTAGTCGGATGTAGAGTCGCCTTTACCAAAATTATTTAGATGTTTCTCCATTTCCTTAAAGCTATTGGTATGAACAGTCTTATAAAATAAATACTATTAGAATGTAAAAATGACAATTTACCTTTTGGTGTTTCTTGAGGTTATAACTGGATTGATTTGAGGAAATATTTTTTTTGAAGCCAGTTTTGGTTTTTATATTTATTTAAAAAAAATTTTCAAATCTAGGGAATGAGAAATTTGTATTATAGCTATTAAAAACATTTTTTTTCCCTGGTATTTTACATTTCATTAATATCATTGTCTGAATCACTTTCAACGATTAGGATATCCTTAGGCGATGACATTTTAAATTATTAACCCGTGATTTAGGTTTATAATACAAATGAAAATATAAATTACAAATTGAAAATATATTTCAATTTCAAAATTAAATAATAAATCATAAAAATTATAATTAATTATGATATTATATTTAAATTTTCATGTTTATACTTACCTTCTTTATATTTTTTAAAAGTAGCTAAGTACGGCTACTTAGCTACTTTCAAAAAAGTAGTGTGCTAAAAAATTAAATAATTACAAAAAAGTAGCCGCTATTAGCTATAGCTTCCAGAAATAATGTTTTTAAAAAAGAAATCTAGTTATTTTAAAAGCGAAAGTAAGTAAAAATGACATATATCTTCTTTTTTTAAATATATTTTTTGTAGCGAGAGGATTTGAAAAGTATTTAATGAGTCAAATATAGCTATAAACACTAACAAGCAATATCTGTGACTCTAATTTTCAATCTTAAAATTAGTGTTTAAGTTATTAAAGATTTTTTTAAAAAACAATGATGACATTATAATGAATATAGAATTTAAAAAAATATATTAATTTGTACCTCTGTGAAAATTTAGAGCCTCTGATACCCGTTTTTCCATCTCTGCACTATAGTCCAACCGATCTTTGAGTGAATTCAGCCATTTTTCAGTTTGAGAGCTGGTGTCGAATTTGATTGTTTTATTGAAGGCTTCTATCTGTTTATGTCTCTCTAATTTATTATGAAGATTTTCTACATCCTTCACGCTTTGAAAAGTTATCCTCATCAACTGTTTAACAAATAATGAAGTCATGAATTGAAAATGGGAAAAAATAATAATTTTTTTTAAAAATATTTAATGATATTTAAAAATGAATCTATTATAAAATATCTTCCAATAGCTATTACTAAGTTGAATCGGTATTTTCTCGTAGTAAAATAATTCTGTAGTCAAAATTAGGGAATTTGGGCAAATTTATCCTATACTGATTTGGTATTATTTTTATATTTTACATATTATGCCTTCAAAATATATTGAAGTCATTTAGCATATGCATTAGGGTAATTCCATACCAAATCGATAACTTTTCAGCCCTAATCTTTTAATTTTGATAAAATTTTGCATACATTATTAGAAAGCATCGAATCCAAAATTTCTCCAAGTACTAAAAGTTTCTGAGATATCAATGATCAAAAGTGCCAAAAATTGAGATAAGTTTAAAAAAATAAAAATTATATAACATTTTGTAACTCTATTAAAAGCTTTTCATTAAATATTAGGAAATTTTTTAAAATGTTAATCTTGCTGTTTTTATTCAAATTATATTTTGAACTGAAAACTCCAGGTGTTTCACTTTCTGATTTTTTTGAATTTAATATTTTATTATTCATCTATATTATATATATAAATTTAAATTTGGGACAGCCATAGGTTTCTTTAATTTTTATGATTTTTAAAATGAAATGAATTTTTATTTTAAAAATAGATGGTGTTCCTTTATAAAATAAGGCATTTTGTTAGAATTATTACTTTTTTCATTTATGAACACAAATAATACGAATTTCCAGCATTAATATCATGAAATAAAATTATTTAACTGTGATTATAATAATTTTTTCCTTGTAAAAATTTTAATTTCCGAAAATTTATTTAATTAATTTTGTAAATATGATAAAAAAATTAAAATTCACCAAAGACATTATTTATTTTCGGCTGCTTTTCATTAAATTAAGTATTTTTGACGCTTTGATAATTTCGTTGCTACAAATAATAAGTAAGCCCAGTCGTCTTTGAAGCTCATGTTAAAATATTATTTTCTGAAAAAAAGAGATCTGGTATCGCTGCATAAACAAAAGAATTTGCTAGGAGGGAGAAAATTTATTTCATTTCTATTCATACCCACTTTTTTGCACAAATCCTAAACACCAATCGTTTCTTAAATACAGGTCACATATCCTATAATTTCATCGATTAACAGATCCTCACATGGATTTACTATATTCTCCACAATAAACGTCCGCGAATTTGAATATATTTTAGTATTGAGCTTAGTTAAACCGATTTGAAAGAAGGAAAGAAAGTTCCTTTCAGGTATCGAAGTAAATCTACTAAATTAGCCTTATCTCATCTGCCCCATACTCTGGTATGGTGGCATAAGAAAAATTTATACCTTTTTAGGCTCTTCAATCTATTTATAAAATTTTACAGGTATAATTATTTGATCTGAATAAGGTCTTTGTAAGCTTTCCATAGCAACTTCTGAAATTTCGCTTCAGTAAGTTTTTTTTTCTTAATAGGAGATATTCCAATTTATTTAATATTGATTGTATCTATTGGATTATGCTCTGATAATATTATTTATTATATTACATACTGGCTATTAGAATTTGTATTTTTCTTTTGTGATAAAATAGTGTTTTCCGCATCTTTGGAAATTAAGTTATCCATGTAATAACTTTTGGCAGATTCATTTTATAATTAAAGTGCTTAGATTATTTAAAAAAATTTAGTTTATATTTATACATTGTAATTTTATGAAAAAAATATAATTACTATCGATATATTTGTAAAATAAAAATTAATTAATAGCAGGCAGGTGCATAAAAACTGGCTTTTATATTTCATTAATATATTTTACTGCAGGTATATTTTTAAGGAATTTAACTATTTATTATAAAAACAATTATTTTTACAAGTTATCAATAGCAATGAAAATATGTAAGCCTGTTAGCTACGACTTAAATAATATTTTTCAAGATATTAATGCTGAAAAACTTATTATTTATGTTTAAAAATGGGGGAATTTTTTTTAAAAAAATAATTTCACAAGAATGGGCTATTTTATAAAAGGAGCGCCATCGATTTTTGAAAAAAATGTTCATTTATTTTTTTAAAATCGTAAAAACTAAAAAACCTATGGCTGTCCCAAGTTTAAATTTTTTTCACATATAGATAAAATTCAAAGATATTCGGAAAGCGAAACACCAGGAGTTTTCAGTTTCAAAATTTATAACTTAAATAAAAATAGCAAGATTATTATAAAATTTCTTAATATTTAATAAAAGGATTACATTTTTATTATTTTTTAACTTATCTTAATTTTTAAAATCGTATTTTTCAAAAAAAGTTCATTTTGGCAATTTCGAGCATTAAAATCTCAGAAACTATTAGTAAATTGAGGCTAAATTTTTGGATTCGATGTTTTCTAATGATTTTTCTCAGTGTGCAAAATTTTGTCAAAATTAAAAAGGTCGGGGCGAAAAGTTATCGATATTGTATGGAATTACCAATTACTGTTAGGCCCTTTTTGAGCCGATTTTTTAAACAGCTAATTCAATATTTTAGCCAGAAAAATATTGCCTAAACCTCGAGATTTCACTATAGATCCGAACCTTTGCGCCATCTATGAGAAAATCTTCTAGCGTAACATTTTCTGGATAAATTAATGTTAGCCGTTTTTAAAAATCGGCTCAAAACGAGCTTTTAACAACATTAATACATAAATTCATTACATTTGATAAAATAATAATCTAGATCCTCTTCAATATTACACTCGTTGTTTTCTCTTTCTCAATATTAATTCGAAAAAAGCTAACTTTATCTTTTTCTTCTGAGATGACATTAATTTTTTCTAACAGCTCTTCGATTTCGACACATTTAATGCTCAGGTCTTTGGTTAATGCCAAATAGTTTTCTTCTGCCATAAAAATACCGTTTTTTTCCCGCGTGGCCGCTAAATCTTTCCTAAGTCTTTCCAGCTCTTCCGTGTATTCCTATCATTCAAAAAAAAAGTATATATATATTATAAAATAGTTAACATAATATATTTTATATTTAATTAGAATTCTGTCATAATAAGATTAGAGTTATAAACAGGCAAAATTTAATTGATCTACGCAAACCCTCATCAATCTATTTTATGAATATATATTATACTAAGGATGATAAAAAAACATTTTTGGGGATAAAATCATCTTTTATTTTAAATTTTTAATCCCTATACATTTAATTGAATAATATTTTGTAATTAATTAATCACTCATAAGTGAAGGTGGTAGAGAAAATGGAAAAAAATGTCCTTAACCAACCAGGAGAAAATGGGATTAGAGCGAGAGCTAGTGTACCCTAGCAAGTTGAGAATACAGATTTAACTAATTTTAAAAAAAAGTAAATCACAATCATGGCTAAAAATATAACCTAAGCCTCCATATTTCTTAAAAAGTGGGACAAACTTTTCTGCCGTTTACTGGCAAAATCTCGAGGTTAATGTAAAAAAAAATTGGGGCTATAATCTTGATTTCGCCGTTTTTTAAATAGGCAAAGAGGTTTTTAACTTATAAACTATGTGTCATTGACGAAGAAAATAATAAATTATCTATTAGTATACAATAAATTTAATCACCAAGAATATATTAGGGCTGTGCCGATCCAGAAATTTCTCACTAATTAGATATTACTAAAAAAAACTATATTGCCTTTTATGTGCCATCTATCAATGAACTAAAAGAAATATTAATATTTTCCTATTTTTTAAAAACTAATTAACTTTCAAAAATGATTAAGTGTATTTTATTTATTCTCCAAAAGTTAATAAATTAATTTAAAATTTGCAATATTTATGGGTGAATGTAGTGTTGTGAAACAGCTCTATTTAGCAGATTTTTAAAAAGGGCGAAATAAATATATTAGCCAGAATATTATAACCTAAGTTAATTTCGTCGAAATCCAAACCTTTCTGCCATCTGTAGGCAAAATCAATAAATGTGAGTAGTTTACTTTTGGCCAAAATCTTGAGTCCGTTTTTTTTAAATTGGCTGAATTGAGCAATTTAACAATACTCGTTAGATATTTTAAAATCCTTATCTTGTTGCAGATAATATAACCAAAAATAGTGTAAAATTTAACTATTTTTTAAAACTTATATAATTTTTTTATTATGAAATTCTAAAACAAAATAATTTTAAAATTATTTATACAATCATAAATAAACCAAAAACAATATAAAATATCAGATCAAATCGAGTCGAGTCGATTTTTTTAAAAAATATCGGCTCGAATTGATATTTAATATTGGCACTAGAGGTCTGCATTAGGTGCGGTTTTCGCCCGTCTGTCCACAACTGCCCATACTTTGAATAGCCATGGTAGGGTATTTTTAAATATTTTCAACATTGGGCGGGTGGTGGGTGGGTTGAAAATTATTTAATGTAATGGTCTGGCATGGGCGGATAAATTTTTATTTCATATTATTGCAAATTATATGTTTAATTAATTCAAAAAATGAAGAGCCAAAGCAGCCATTAAAAAAATTTTTAAAAGATAAATGGGTTGGTGGGGGGAGTAAATTTTATTTAAAAAAATTATGTCAATGGATAGGCGGGTCAAATAAATTTCATAACGAGTGGGTGGGCTTTTTGGTTAAATACCATCCCATTGCATACCTCTAATTGGCACAACTCTAATTATAAAAGGGAATATCATCTGATAATCTTTGTTTCCAAACAATACATAAAACCTAGGCTCAAAATTATAAACCTTTTTTTAAAATTTTTTTACAAAAATTATTTAGTTCATTGATAGATTTTTAAAAAATATGATACTAAAAAAAGTTCCAAAAAAATATATTAAGAACCTTTAACAATGCTTTTTTGCTCAGTTTTTGATTAATCTCAGGGCGATTTGTAATATTTTTAGCTCTATGAGCATAGTCTAGAGTGCTCAAAGTTTCTTCTAAATTGATAGAGGCTGGGGAAATAGTAGCTATGATGGACGTTTTGGTTCTACCGCCCAATGAATCCTGGAGTATTCTAGTTAATTTACTCTCTCTTTGTAATAAAATTTTTATGTTTTAAAATTAAGATATAATATTAGTGGTTAGTTAGTATAGTATTTTTTTTATATTAAAGACCTATAGATGTGAAAATTAAAGCTACTCCTACCCAAATATATTGACTGAAGGAATTAACATATTATCATTGACCCATAGGCCCAGCTCTGAACTCAACACATAAAGTACTATCATTTATTAAAAAATTGGATCAGGGTATAAAAAAGTTATGACACCCTGGCTGGGCCTAAAAAAATCACAAACATACTAATAATTACATCCTATATCATTTTTAAAAAATTCATTAAATTTGGACTGGAAAGTCAAAAATATTTTTAAAGTTGGTGTCTGAACAATATCTTTCTAAAATGTTTGCATTCAAATGTTTGTTATTTTAGTTATATAAATATTTTTTAAACCGATAAGGAACATGAGGTGATCTATCTACCAGTGCATTTATGACACGACCAAGTGTTAATAGGCTTTGATTTATGTTCCCAGCTTCTCTCAATCGTTTATCGATGGCACCTGATCTACTCACGTTTTCACTGCCAGCTAAGTCAACCTTATTTATAATATTATACTTTATTTAGATATTTATTATAAAGTATGCATAATAAACTAAATAGCATAAAATTATAAAAATAAATAATTTAAATTCAATGATTTACTAAATTTAATTTTCCAATTTTAAGCAACTCTTCTCCATCTATGTCATTTTCTTTTATATGGATTGTCACTGAAAAGACAGAGTGAGATCGGCTGATTATATTTTATAAATTTATTAGTAAAAGCAATAAATAACCTTGATTGGTCATTTAATAATGTGGCTGCAGTTTGCCTCCTTTGGGCACCTCTTTGCAATATTTGATAAACTTCATATTTATTATGGACAGTAATTTCTTCCAAGCCCTACATAGTGAATAATATCATATATAAATTGTTTGTTAAATTTAAATTTAATGTATTCTTAAAAATTTACCTGCACAACTATTGACCCTTTTCTTGTAGAATCTTCAAAAATTTTCAAACGTGGATTGTTTATGCCCACCGCTAATAAATCAAACAATTCCTCATTATATAATTCAAGGAAAGATACTCTGACAGAATATTCACAAGCCTTTGAATCATAATAATTATACCATATTATGTGTATCAAATTTTACCTGAATTTTTAACTTTTCAAATAAATCATTTAGTGTTCTTGGAATTATGCCTGAAGAAGGATCTATACCCTCCTGTTTACATTCCAGTCTTTCTCCTTCCATTGTATGAGTTTTACCTGTTCCTGTTTGTCCATATCTAAACTTGTGATGATAAAAATATATATGATATATAATTTACGCAAATATTGTACAATTATAACCCAACAAAACTTCCTCTAAAATAGGTAAGACTATGCTATTATAAATGTCTATTTGAGGAGAATTTGGTCCAAAAACTTTATCAAATGTGAAGGTTTTGTTATTTGTCTTATCCTTAATCGTCACTTCTCTTCTATCAGAATTAATATCAACAGCATCACCCGAACCATTTCTTTTTTCGTATAAGTTTATAGGCCTTTAAAGTTTGATCATATATGCAGTAAACAATATGAATCTACCTGCATCTTACAGCAACTTGTATGTTCTGATTATGACTTTTGTCCAGTTGCTTTGCCTTTACCATTTGAAAAATTGACAAATTTTTAACCAATAGGATTTTTAATATATAAAATCCTTTAGGATAATAAATGATTAATATTCGGTTAATTCTTATATTGTATATAATAATGTTAAGATTTACGCAAATTTTGATTAGTGTATTTTAAAAAACTCAACCCCTAAGAGCTTATGAAGGGCATGAAGTCATGATCAAAACTTAATAAAATATAAAATGTATCTAAAAAAACGAACAAAATATATAAAACCAATAATAAAATCAGAGATATATTGAAAAGGAAGCTATTAGGGAGTGACGTAGAAAGGATGGGGGATTTGGGTTTGGATTTCTCTCTGAGCAAAAGTATGCAGATTATACATTCAAAATTTTCAAAAATTATTTAATATATAAATAAATACCATAATAATTATAATATCAAGTTTGTTATATATATTGAATGTTTCCTGTCTATATTTCTGAGCAAATTTGTATATTTATATCAATTTTTAGAATTAATATACTAATTACCAATAAAAATGGGCAAAGTAATGTTAGTTTAGTGGCTTTCATGAAGCCCTTAATGAGGGTATAGGTTAAAAATATTATTAGATGGATTGATAAAAATACATTCATTTGTATTCATCAATTTCCTAACCCCGTATTTATTATTTAAAAGCGTGAATGAATTTATTCTATTCTTAACTATCAATTTCAGTAGATGTCTTCAACTAGAATTAAAGGAAGCATTGCTCCCTTTTGATTTTTCTTAAAAAGCGCCTAAATAAAATTAATATAATATTATTGCTACTTTAATCAAATTTAAGTTAAAAAAAATGAAAACTATTAATACGTTATTATTTTACTTCCTTAAAAAAAATTAATATTGATTTTACTACATTAGATATTTAACATTATATTTACTTATTGCATTCAAAAATATACATATGGAAACAAATTTAAAATTGTTTATTATTTAAAAATTAATAAAAGAAAAAAATCATACCATCAAAGATATATTTTTTGGTGTAATTTTTTAATTACGTTTAAAAAAAATTAACATTGGAAAACCAAACATATATTGCCTATTTAAATAAATAAAGGGAAAATCCAGCGACTGTATTGCGTTATGCTACGTTTAAAAAATGATCATTAGGGGGAGACAAATAAAAACAATGCTAATTTCTTTTTAATAAATAAAATTTTAAATAAAAAATTTCCTCTTTTTTAAAAATATTTTAAAATGTCTCGCAACATTTTAAACTATTATCAACTAGGTTTCGGGATCAAGGGAGGATGCGAAATTCCGACTCATACTTTAAGAATATTCATAGAAAACCCGCCACCAGACTCACCCGTCAATTTAAAGGGCAGACACAGTCATTGTATATTCAGTTAAGGGCGACACCACCGTCACACAGCAATAAACCATGTAATAAATCGAGGTTTACAACCGCTCCCAGTATCCGAGAACCCATAAATTTATCGGCTTAAGACCTAATTGTATGACTGTCATACCTTGGGCCCTCGGAAAGTCACTAATATGAGACTATATGTGTCTCTTTATTCAACTCAAGCTTAAATAATAATCCACTAATAGAGGCAGAAACAACAACAAACAAAAATTTTAACAACTTCATATTCACTCCAATAGTAAATTCCACAAATGGCTATTTTTCGATAACATAGGTTTTAAAAAAAAATCTAGGCAATAAATACGGCTTTTTACAAACGAAGCCAGAGAATTATTATATATGCGTCAATAAATTCAAATAGATATTTTTAGATATAATTATGATTACGTTTTGGGAACTCAATTAGAAAATTGTATTTTTAATATAGTTTTTTAATTTTTATAGTATTTTAATTTGAAAAAAGATTTTCCAATTGCTTCCTTAGTAGTAAACTTGACGCTTCGTCACTGAACTATGTTAACATAAGGGAAAATTTTGAAATATGAAAACCAAAACAAAAGCTTCTAAAAATATAAACCAAAATAAAAATCTATAAATAAAAAACAAAATATAAACCTATAATAAACATTTCTAATTTCCGGTTTTATTTTTTAGATTTCCGAGTAAAATAGAAAATGGTAAATATTTCCACCATAAATATGATGCAAGTTTATCATTAAAATTTGATGAGTTAAGAAGACATCGTCATTTGAATAAAGGGGGGAGGTGGTAGAGGGAAAAATGTAAAGGTAGAAAGGTGAATGCGAATTTAGATTTTATTTTTTTAGGAGGGTGGGGGGAGGGGGTATGGGAAAATCTTTATTGGTTGATATATAAATTCCTGGATTGTATATTATAAGATCAGTTAGGCCAATATCCAGGTTACGCTAAAAAAATAAATTTTTTCCTTAATGTTTAGGGTATATTTAAATATATCTAAATTACAGAAAAAATCATGTTTTATATTTTTAGAATATAACCTTCATATTTTTATGTCCATAAAATATTAGGGCCAAATACAAAATATATTTCTCACGGTAATTATACTAAGGCTATAAAATATAAATCGAGAATATTTTTTTAAATTGATGATTAAATTTTATTCTTATCTTATAATGATCTGCATTATTAGACACTTTAGCTATTAAAGTTTAAAATATTTATAAGCACCTGATATACCAGCTATTTAAAATACAAGAAATATATTTTTTACAAATGTTATAATACTGAATAATGGATATAGAACACTATAATCTCAGCAGACGTGATGTAAAAATTTAATACAATTTTTCCGCATTTTATTGAAATATCGTATCAATATTTTAAAAAATGGAATCAAATTAATTTCTAAAATTAAATTTTGGATTGGATATCAGGGGAAAATATTTGGCTTGGATAATAGGACAATTTTTTTTATTTTTCATTGGATTTCTTGTATATTTTAAATGTCATATAACCTTATAAGAATACAAATAAGGGATATTCTAAATTTTAAAATTTTTATAATTGAATTGGAAGAATACACTTCTGGAGAATTTATATATCGTAAAAAATGCAACTGCTGATGAAGTATATAATTGAGTATGTTAGATAGGTGCAATCAGACCTAAACAAGCCCAGGCCATCAATTCTTTTTATGGTAACCTTAATAACGCCAAAAAAAATTTTTGCATAAGATATTTGATAATTCAGTTGAAAAATCATTTAATGTGCGCTTAATATTTATTTGTTCATATTTTTTAATCTTGTTTGAAACAATTTACAAAATTATTGGAAATAACCACCGGGTTATAAAATGAAAAAAATAATTAAAACCAGGCTTGAACCTGAAAAATCTTAGATGAAGGGTAAGCCTAAAATTTCAACCTCCTTGCACGTTCACTTCAAAGATCATATTACTTACTGCTAAGAAAACGAAAATTAGCATAAAAATGAAATCCAAATCCCCTAACTCCCTTTATCCTAGAAGATAGCGTCTTCACATTTTTTTACCTCCACCCTTCGACTTCAATGATGATCTTGCATGGTAAAGTCTGAATTTACATAACTCCAAATTTAGAAATAAAAAAATAGCCTCATGATGTAAATTTTTAGCAATCGTCGATTATATTTTTTTAGAACTAGGCTTTCATTTTTTTTAGAAACATTATTTTTCTGATATATAAACTTTTTTTATTAATTTTTGAATTAAGACAATATTTTGAGTTCGAAATTTAAGATATTTATTTCATGCAAAACTTCGTTGTAAATATGAAATGAAAAATGTAACAAATTGTCAATTATAAAATGTATCATATTTTGAAAATTTACAAATCCAAACATATTACTCAACAATTTAATATACAAAGTTATAAATACAATAAAATACAGTAAATATTTATTTTTTACTACAAGTGTGAAAAAAAATTAATATGGAAAATATAATATATATTTTAGAGGAAGAAAAAAAAACTATTTACAAATTGATAATAAACCTTTATACATATATGTCTAAATAATCCTGATATTCAAGTCATCAAAATTAACATGATATTCCATTTGTTGTTTAAAATACTCAATACAGCCTATTGATTTCCCATTAACTTTATTCTTAAATCCTAAATAAAAAAGAAATTAAATTTAATGATATGCATTGTAATACCATAGAATAATTGAAATAAAGATGATAAAGTTTTCCATTATATTGGTACCAAAATAAAATCAATATTAAGCAAAAAAATAACTAACATGTTTAATAACCTTAAATGTGTAACATAACAGTTTATATATAGTATTGTTAAAATTTAAAAAAATAGGAAACATAGGGAATTTTCTTAACCCCCTGAATTTATATTTATAAATAGTAAAATTAATTAAATAGATTCTTAAAAAATAGAAATTGTATATTAAAGGACAAAAATCGATATAAATAAAATAAATTATGGGGAAATAGTCAAAAAATATTCAACATATATTAGGGCGATAAATTGACCTTTTTAATTTTATAAACGGCTAACCCAATATTTTAGCCAAAATATTAGGTAAGTCAGGAGATTTTGCTCACGTGACAGAAAGGTTTGGGCATCTATTTACGAAATATCGAGGCTCGCGCAATATTATTTTCGTTAAAATCTTAATTTTAAAATGAGCTAAATCGAGCCATTTAACAATACCATTTTTTAAAAAAAATGAATGTGAAGTATTATATCATATTACAACCTAAATTTCTTTAACAATATTATTTATAATTAACTTTATGATTATTGCAGTAAACGGTATAAGTCGTGCTCTCGAACAAATAACCTAAAAAAATTTTTTTTTAAAAAAAAGTAAATAAAATTTGGAAAATGAATATTATAAAAGTATAATATTTATAATATAATTATTATATAGATATATATTAAATCAATTTTGTTCCAATTGGGATAAAAAACAAAATGGATATCTGGAAAATTTAGCATATAATCATATAATATTTTAAGTTGCTATTGGCAGATTGCCAATGCTATTTTTTTAAATAATTTTAACATTATGAAAAAAAAGACAAATTTTATGATATAAATAAATAATTTTGTTTACCCATCATTTTAATATTTCAGAAAAGATCAACCCAGTCGGTATACGATATTCAAAAAAAAATCAATTTTATGTAGATCCAATAATGGTAACGATACAACACCCTTAATTTGCTGAAGATGGTTAATGTTTAACTTCTTATTTTAATAAAACCCAACAATGTATTTTAAACTTTAGATATTGATTTTTACAGATATAAAAAAAGAATCCCAATTTGGTGGATATGGATATTTCGTATTAATATAAACAAAAATCATAGAAACTAATCGCTAATTTATAAAAAAACAAATATAAAAAAGAGGCGAAAATTGTTAAATTATTTGGAAGTGGATTAATGTAAAATTTTTATAAGGATGCATAAATATTTTTTCAAAATATGGCTGGGAAGACATTAAGAAAAGAGATTACAATTATTGATGTTTTGTGTATATATCATATTGAGATTCGGTATCTCTCAATTTTAAATCGTTTACTGAGGGCAATATTTAAATTTAAAAAATCGAATTTGATCGAAAATGTATTCCGGCATGAGCCGAGTATCCATACTACACTGTGAATTTCAGATAATTTTGCAGTGAACTTTTGAAATAATCTATATTTTATATTCATTTTTTTTATTTATAGATTTTTCATATAAATGGAAAAAAAATGCACAAAAGTTTAAGGCTAAATAGTCTGCAATCTGAAATTAAAAGTGCATGTAGTCTCAATAGTGTTGATAAAGGGCTCGATTTTTAAAAACGGTTAATCCAATATTTTAACCAAAAAATAAGATAGAAGCTCTCGAAATTTTGTAAATAGATATCTAAACATTTCTACCTTCTATGAGCAAAATATACAGGCTGGCCTAATATTCATGGCTATTATTGGATTAGTTGTTTTTAAAAATCGATGTTTAAACAATACTACTACATATGCAAGTAAACATTACCGATCAAATTCAATTTTTTAAATTTAAAAATAGTCCTGAGATTCCGAATCCCCGTGAATTCTAGTTTTTTCTTTTTTCCCATAGATCTTAATTTTAATGAGCAAAGTTAGATGGTAAATAAAATCAGTTCAAATATCGGATCGGTTGTACGAATATCGTAAATATCTGATAAAATCAGTGAAAAATTGGTGGATCTGCACAACACTATTCAAAATTAGTTTGGCACATTTAGATCGGAAAAATTGACAAGTCATACACTGTATTCCAAAAAAAATTAATTTCCTGCGCTAACTGATCCGAGTTCAATAAAAAAATTATCAGATCGAATCGGTTGGACAAAATTTTTCCCATGGATCAGTTCGAACCTGAAAAAAATTAGGTCCCGATGCTCAGCTTTAAATGTAAATATATATATTTTTTTTAAATATCTAAAATACAAACCTTTATGAAATGCACAAATGTAATGAAACCATTGCTCGCAATTTTTTCCAGAGCACATTATGTTAGCTCCCTTGGTATTGCATATAGTACATGCCTATATAATATTTAAATAATTTACAAATAATAATTATAACTGGAGATCTGCAATACCCTGCCCGTTGCCTGGTAGGACAACATCTAAAAACAATTTTAATGGGCCGGGAAAAAATTTCGGATCGGGCTAGGCAAATTTTTTTAAAATATATATTTGATGATCTCTGATATTTCATGGAAATAAGTATAGTGTTTTTAATTGGTGTTCAACAATATATAATTTGGTTTTAGCTTTGTATTTAAAAAAAAAATTTAAATCGGGTCGGGCAACTTTATAAAAAAAATTAAAACTGGGCCTGGCCGAATCGGGCCAGAAAAATCCAAGTTAGGCAAAAATTAAATTCCCAAAAGGCGGGGCCTAAAAATTTTGCTATTTGAAGAACTCTGATTATAACTGTCTTAAATTTTCTCTATGGTTGCCTTAAAATTTTTGCCGGTATTTATTTAGAAATTAGTATGAAAACAAAAATATTATAAGGATAGGGGGTTAGCAGCGGCAAATAAAATCAACCTATCCTTTGGTTCGGTTAATTTTAAATCGTCCGATTTCAACGCCTCCTTAAAATAATTTTGATTTCAAGATGTTGATGCATAAAAAAATTAGCTGCCAATTCTGAGATATACAAATTTATGACCATGCCATTTTAATATCGGTACGGCCCTTTTTTTTTATTTAAGATTTTTATAAAAGGTTTTTATTTTTATAATTTAAAAAAAAATCATACCGTAAGATGAGCTTGGTTCACGGCAACATCTAAATTAATGAAACCGAATGAATTTATATGAACGAGCGATGACCACATGATGCAAGGAGTGTGAAAGTAAAATCTAAGAAACGTTTTGTGGCCGTGAGATAGTTTGTGGAAATTTTTTGTTTGGATACCTGTTTGTCTGCAAGTTTCCAATACCTCCGGTTGTTCTTTCTTTGCCTTGATCAAAGAATTTTCCCTATTTTTGACGTTTGGCGTTGAATGCTTTTTGGTCTTTGTAGGGGAATTGATTGAAGGGGGCAAAGAAAGTGGAGACAAATTACGTGTGTTGCTGTTGTTTAATTCGAGCGGGAGAAATCGAAATTGAATGAGCGCGGGTGGCAATTGGGAGGTAAGGGTGCAAATCGTGATAGGCCCGTATAACTCGCCTAAGTCTAAATCCAAAAATGTAGATTTCCCGCAAAAACTGCATACCCAATCAGTTTTAGGTAGAGATAAACCAATCGCTTTTGAATCTCTTGCATTGTTAGGTTTAATCCTCAGTTTGTTATGTATCTCGCGTGAGTGAGGTGTAGATAACGAGTTTTCTAAGGTGCGAGATAATTTTAACAGCGAAACAAATCTTTTCGGAGTAGAGGGTGTAAATAACGAAGGCTTATTTTCGTTATTATCATTTACACTGGATGATCCTAATCGGGTTTGCAAAACATCCGAGACATTATTATTATCAGGCGAATATTGTACGTCAGGGGTGCTATTAAGTAAGGTGGCTAAGTATTGCTCGGAGGGGTTAGCATTGAGCCTGAGTCTTTTACTGATAGATGTAACGCCGTCCGATTTCCGAAGGTTTTCGTTGATAGAGTTATCGTCCAAGTAGTAACGATTTTTATCTTGGTATCGAGACAACCTAATGAAAGGGCCCTTGGTCTTGAGTTGATTCGAGAGTATTTCGTTGTGGATAGAGAGGGGATATTTAGAACAATCTTTTGACATATTCCCTTTTTCGGAATGCGGTGCATTAGCAAGATTTTTGAGTTTCAGCTTGGCTAGTAAGATATCAGTAAGTCTACGCTCCTCTTCCGCTAACGCGGAGGAATAAAGTGACCTTCCTTTGTCTGTTTTACCTTTATATTGCCTTTTTGATTTGGTAGCATGATAAGCGGATTTAGACTTGGTCTTATTTTCGCTACTTGTAATACCTGGTGATGGTTGTTTTAAATTATTTTCATTGTTATTTATGACCATATTACACCCGTCAATAGTATAAAAAGAATGATCATTGTTGATCGAAAACGAATTTTTTATATTATTTATTGGAGAAGATGAATCCAAAACTTTTGTACTTATGTCTACCATGCTTGTGACAGTTTGTTCTGTGGAATTAACGAGATCACTTTCCAAAATAATTTTGTTTTTAGAATCTTTAGATGACTGAGACATAGTTTCATTTTCGTCCATAATGACGAGAACACTTTCGTTCTCGTTATCATTGTTGTTTTGTTCATCCTTAATGTCATCGGTGGATGTTTCAGGGAGTTTGTGTTCTTTGCTAATAATTATGCTTTCCTCTCTGTTATCAATTACACCTTCCAGTTTTATCGAGTCAATCTTGGGATTATTATGATGTTCTAGGGAGAAACTCCCCAAAGAATCTTTTCTTATGACTTCAATATAAGGTTGGTTATTTTGTTCAGTTTTGGCGTCACTATGGTCGATGGGATAATTATAGCCATTTGTATCATGCATATTCATTTCTTGGCCATTTAATAAATTATTTATATCGCTAGAATGTAAAGCATCGTCGTCCGCGAGAGAGGTAGATTGAGACTTATTTAGCGAATTAAAAGAAGGGGAAGGGTTCGAGTTTTTATTATATTCATAACCAGGTTGATTATCTAGGAAAGGAGCATAGGTTATAGGGTGTTTTTCTGAAGAAACTGAGGTAGATTCAAACATGATACCAAAGTATGAAGATTGTTTGTGGCATAAATAACAAAGTGTATATATTCAATTTTTTTGCGAACAAAAGGTGTGCAGGTTTATTATCATACAAACATCATCGGAAATTGAAGAAAGAATCTTTAAATTTTGTAAAAAATAAGAATTAAAAAATCAAATGATGAAAATTTACAAAGTTGTTAAAAGTTACTTTTTAAATAAATCTAGATACAGATACATCACCTAAAATGGATCTAGATACATATACACTTTTTTTTATTATACTTATATAAAGGATTTGCCGTTGTTCTTGAACTGAAACTCTTATTATGAGAGCATAAACAACATTTTTATATTTTTTTCTCATTCAATTCGAACACCATTTAAAAAGATATCAATACCCCCGTTCTTCCGAGCAAAATCTCATTTAAAATGTTTATATATTTTTTTTAAAAAAATTTACATTAAACTTATAATTTATTTATTAAAGCGGAATATCTATAAAATTATTTTAAAAAATTCTAAATAAATTTATTTGTTTAAAATAATCTTGAAGATCAATGGTATTGTTTATTGTTTTTAATAATTAATGAGCTTTATGTCTAAGCAAGGATTTATATATTCCTTTACATGATATAAATATCCTTCATCTTGAAGTGAATTTATAGATTTGAACGGAAAAAAATAATATTTAACGAATATTTATATATATTATAAATATTTTTTAATATATATTCATTTAAGTTATATGCTCATATGAGATAAAATGAATTTTGCATTCAGATATTTTAATTTTCGATAAAAAAGCGTTAAAAGTATATCAAAATGTATATAAAAAATATCTGAAAACAGATCTCGACATAGACACATTTTATAAAAGTGCATTTAGATACAGATATGACATTTTGTATATAGATGCAATTTATCTTTAACAACTCTGAAAATTTATAAAAAAAATATATATTGTTAGAGGTCTGAAAACCCCGAACCCACTGACGTGATTACTTTTTATTTCGGGTTTTAATAATAACGAAAAAATTATTTTTTTAAAGTGGGTTAAGTTTTTTTTATCATAACCTTGAATCTAATAATTTTACATTATAACATACTTATAATAAATTAGGGGTAAAAAAAATTTTATATTTTAATTTTCTGCTGGGGTTGGGTCGTGAATATGTATGTAAGGATTAGGTCTGATCGGGAATATTATTTAAAAATCAGATAAATGCTTTTCTCCCTGTGTCCTGTCAGGTCAAAAAACGTATCTCTTGCAGGTCTATAACTATCTGTGGATAATAGTTTTTAAATGTCCAAAACATTGTCTGATAAAAAAATACTCTTTTTCAGTATACTTTGAATATTTTTAATACTACAAGGACCCAACCCAGTCAGAATGGAGAGAAAAATGGTTAAATTTTAAAAAATCTAGGTTTGAGCTGCTTAACAATTTCAATAAATTAAAAAAACAGGGCTGGTCTATTAAAAAAAATTTTTTTTTTAAAATTATTTCAATCAATCGAAAAATAATGTAATGGAGCATTTAATATTAATCTAATCTTAATATTCAATTAATCTTTAAAACAATTTGCAAAATTAATTATGATAACAAAATTTCAAACATTCATTTAAAAGCTGACTAAAATGCTAGAATTAAAAATAATATAGTAAATTCACAAAAAAATAAAATAATTTACTTATATGATACAATTACTGCACAATACAAATACAAACACAGTTGATTTATAAAACGGTTGTAGTAGGTAGGGATCCAATAACAAGCATGAACCAAACCTTAAAAATGGTTCGAACCTGGACCGTTAAATTATTTTTATCTATACCTGAACCGTTAAAAATGATCGTTAACGGTTTGAACTTCATGATTTTATGCTTAGTGAAAGTTTTCTAATTTAAGACAAATTTTAAATATTATTAACAATCAATCCAGTATCATAATTTATATAAATTATTGAGAAGATTTATTAGAAGGTTTTCTTTAAAAAAAGGTAGGCATAAACAAAGTCTATTATAACAATTAGAGAATATTAGAAATATTTTAGTTAATTAATGAATATATTAAACTATTGGCAAAATAAGAATAATCGATTCCCTCGAATGCTTAAATTGTCTAATGTTATAGTTACGGTTATTTAAGTTATCGCAAAGAGATGTTTTTCAACAGTAAAATTTATACTTTCTTTATATAGAAATAATTTGACTGAGTTAAATCTATAAAATATTTTAATTGTATCGAAATAAAATAAATATAAAGCCAAATCAACCAATAAAATAATTTTTAAACATTGGACTAAGCAAAATTTTTAGATAAATGGGAGGGTGAGTAGGCGAATTAAAAAACAATGGGCAGAAGTAGTGATGCAAAATCGATTGATTTGAACCGATTTTAAAAACAGCTAACTCAATTTGTGGGTAAAATATTGTCGTAAACGTAATCTGGAAGTTATAAATTCAAATTGATGTCAATTTTTTTCTCTTTCTACATTTTTAGAGATATTTTTACCCACAATATGATTATCTTTATTTTTACTATATATAGTTTTTGAGATATAAACCTATTAAATTTACAGATTCGAAAGTAACTTCGCACCTTTGACGTCCTGATCTCGAGAACCATGTTAGCAAGCAATAAATGGCTTTTTCATTTTGAGTAAGAACCCTCACCCCCATATTAACCAATATTGTGAATTAACTGATCCTACACACATGAATTTGTTCCCAAAACCACAGTTTAAGAATATAGTGGTACTTATAAAATTATCTATTTCTCTTGCATCTTTTGATATAATTTTCTAGATCAATATTGCACCTGAGATATCAAAAATTGATTTCATCCTATTTTCAACTGGGTGTTGCCAATAAATTATTTCTAGTACTCTATTCTTTAATTTACTTGGTATCACCAATCTCACATTCCATTCAATGATAACAAGGTTGACAGATATAAAAATAAGTTCTTTATCTTTCTGGTGATCAAAACTTCATGAAATTTGGTAAATAGTTGCCAATTTAGAAAATAGATAATAAATGTCATAAAATATCAATATATTCTTGATGAAGAACTGATTTTCCCAATTTGTTTGTTGTATGAAGCAAATTGTACCCTCCAGCAATATGGATCCCCTTGTACTACAAAATTTATAAATATATTGAAAAGATTCTAATATCAATTTATTACCTGTTCTATACTTCAATCCTATTGAAAAGATTTGGGATTTACTTAATTGGGAACTTAAAAGTAGCATACTAGAATAAAGGATTAATTGGAGAATAAATTAAACTTTATTTAAATAAATAATACAAAGATAGCTATAGTTATAAAAGTTAATGGTAATGCAAAAATACTAATTATTTAGCATGGTAGAGCAATAATTTTGTATAATTATATATTTTATTATTTAATATAATAATTTGCATATAAGTTTATATTAAATTTTGTTCATTATATATTGCTATTTTATTATAAAAGTTTTGAAAAAAAGATCACATGTTCATGAATAATTTTTAAATTAGCTATAAAAAAAAGAATAATTAGATATCTATGAAGCAAGGCAGTATATACTTTAAATTCTATTAAATAAATGAAATATATTAACAGTTATATACATGTATGGCCTAAAAAAAAATTGTGAATTGCCTTATACAGAATTATTATTAAATTCTATATGTAGTTTTTTTTTAATCTAAGATATTTTGAATTCAATTTTTTTTTAAATTTAAAAAAAAAATTGGGAATAAGCAATAAAAAATAATGTTTTTACTGATAAACAATACACATATTAACATTAATGTAAATGTTATATTTATCACAAGTAATTGACATTAATTTTCAAGATAAGATTTACACATTGATATACATGATATCCAAGCAATATTTATCGGACAATAATAAGATTAAGTTTGATCCCAAAATATAAATTAGAAATAGAGTAATTTACATAAAGAATATAAACAATGAATTACCAAGGCAGATGTGCAGATGATAACCGAAATTTAACTGATAGATATTCTAAAATATGACGAGTGTTCAATAGGAGTATATAAAAAAATTATAGACTTCCGTTTGGGCGAATAAAGATAATGTAGATATCTCGCTAATCTTAAACTAGCAGAAAATATGAATGCTTTACAAATTTTAGTAAACTAAATAGACGAATCAAAAATCCATATAAATTATCAAAAAAGTATATAGATTTTAATTTATGACAGATTTTAATTTTAAATTAATGATAAACATAAATAATCTTATAGTTCTTTAAACTTTTTAATAAGACACTCTTTTTAAATAATGGTGATATTTACATATAACTATCAGAGCTGATTTTAAAATCTTACTTTTGATAAGCGACTTAACAAGGGACTTGTACATGTTGCTACTCCCTCCCCGCTCCCCCCCCCCCCATGTGGGAATACCCAGACATGTCTTCCTGCTAATTAGACCTTTAAAGTTTTAATTTACACATAATAATTTTGAGTAACAGACTTGATTATTTTATAAATAAAATTTATCTCAAGAAACATGCCTAGTTTGTCATTTCTTTCTAATTTGTTTAATTTAATAATTGCACAGCATCATAATAATCATGCGTTTATATTACTTAATTTTAGGAATTAGGATAGAAACATTTTATCTGGACTGGATTATATTTCCTTGAGGTTTAATCTCTTTTCTTTTTCTCTTGCTAAAATTATCATTATATTAATTTAAATATATAACATAATTATAAATTACATGGAACTTATCTACAAGATAATTATTTTATTTATTAAAGTTCATCTCTGAGCAAGCGCAATTCATTATTCTTATAACTATTGAAGATCAGGTTACGCTCAGATCGGACCAGACCACGGTCTTTAAAAAAATATTGAATCCTAATGGTTTTCATATTATAAAATAAAAATTAACTAAAAATTCACAAAAAAAACGAAAAATAACTTAAGATATATACAAAAAAAAATAGGTAAAATTTTTTTATTAATTGAATAGTAAAGTTAAATATACTAATAAATGAGTCCAAAATAAAAAGAATAGTCTGGACTATGGTTTTCAAAAAAAGATCGGTCCGTCGCGGTCTAAGACCGATAGGATCAGGTCGTTGACCTTCACTAATTATAACCAGATATTTAAAACATAGCTTTTCATAATTCCCCAAAATTTTCGAATTATATAGAAAAATTATTAATTAAATCTTATTTCCACAAATGTCAAGCACAGACGTTTGAAATGAAGTACTTAGTATGACATTTCCCAATCAGTTGATTATTGCTAATACCTGCCATCGATTTTTAAAATATCATGAACATGAACCTCTAAAAAGATATTTTTTAAAGGAAATTATAAAAGCTATCCAAACATTTTGATAAAATTTTTCGAAAATAAACTGGCGGAAGTATATTTAGTAGTTGTTAATACTCCTTATTAAAAGTAGCTAGCTACCGTTCATACCTTTTCCCAAGATGCTTGCTTCCGCTTCGTACTGATTTTTTAACCTGCTCCAATGGAGTGCGGCTCCATAACTGCTACTTTGATTTTCATTTATTTTTAAAGTACAAGAACAAGATAAAAAATTTTTTTATCAAAATATTTTATATTTATATAATGGTATGTATATCAAAATATTTATAATCTTTTATTAGCTTCTAAAAGTAATTTTCTTTCTTATTTTCTTAATTTAAATCTAACAAATAGCCACGCCTCCTTAAAACCTGTTTAGTAATACTAAACAGGCGCTCAACAGTAGCACTAGAGGGGGGTATTGTATTTGTATTTTATATAAATATTGTTTAGTCCAAGAAATTTATCAAAACTAGTAATTTTGGTTATATTATTTAAAAATCTTTGTCCAATATATTACTTCCTGATGATCAAATTCATGGAATCGAAAAAAATTTTCCAAATCGTTGCAGGGATCTTGTGAACTAGTAGTTATTTTTGTTTTAGGAATTTGTTTTCTTCAAAATTAATTTGTATGTTAGTTCTATATTTTGTATCTTTTCTATCCATTCCCAATTTAATTTGAATGCTGAATGGATAATAGCTGCAATGGTATTTTTGATCATAAAAACATTTGAAAATTCTCAATAAAGTTATTTAAATAGATCATTTATTTTTATGTAATAAGTCAATACGCGTATACAAGTTTAACTATAATGAATTTCCCAAAAGCGATTTAAAAAAAATATATAGTTATCATTTTGTATTTAAAAAAATTTTTTATTTTTAAGGTGCTTTTTTTCGATTTTGAAAATAAAATAGGTTTATTTACACATAATAAACATTTGCCTCTAATATTCATTTTATTAGGATCAAATTCTTTTAGAAGAGAAAAATATTTTTGTATGACTATTCCAATAAATTTACAATATAAAAAGGAAGATAAATTTGATATTTAATATTTTAAATGATTGGATAAAAAACGAATATAAATCTCGGCTTAACATTTAATATTGCATAAATTTAAATAAAAATATATTTCATTTTTATTGAATAGATTTTTTAATATTTAAAAAATAATTTAATTTACATATTAAATTTAAAAAAGCTTTGGAACGACGCTCCTCCACTCCAGAAAAGGAGCTACCACCCACTTCCTTTAAACCTTTAAAACTCTGATATCTAGGCATGGTTTTCATTTGGAAAATCTACATGTTATTAATATACCGCAATCAGAAGATTCTTTGTTAATACATATTCACATAATATGTTACTGTTATGTTAATTTTTACAACCAAAAATTAATAATAAATTTTACAGTTCTATGTCAAAAATGTCATTTTCATTTGTTTAAATGTTGCCCTAATTAATGGCTATTTAAATGAAGCAGATATTTTTACTAAAACAATTTTAGAGTAATAATTCTATTAACAAATTTATAAATGTTGTGAAATTTGATAAATATATTAAAAATACCGCTAGATATTGATATCTTGTTTGAAGAGATAATTATGCTCTCTCTCTATTTTTTATGATTCTCCATAAATGGTATAAAAGCATTGGAGAAATGGGTATATTATTTCGTAATAATGGTAAATCGCCACGCTTGGGAAAAATGTACGAGCATGTATTCTCTATTAACTTTTGAAAAATATTACAAAACTTTACTGACTTTGTTTTTATATAAAGTAATTAAGGATTAATGGGGGGGGGGGTATTAAGCCATCAAACCCGGCCGAAAACCTGCAAAAAAATTATTGCCGTAATACATACATCAAAATAAATCTTTATAAAATTTCTCGCAATTTGAAAATTTTAACCTGGCAACCAAGCTTGTACATCATCTAAGCAATGATGATACTACCTCCTAGAACCAATCAAATTCAAAATTAGCAAAAAGGTACCAAATCAATCAAAAATACCCAATCCAATTTCAATGATAATCTTTTCATCCAACAATTCTCCATGGTAGAAGTCCTTGGACAGTTGCCTCTATATGCATTTTTTGCTGCTCGCCAAATTTATGTTTCAATCTATTTTTTATTTATATTCTATATCAAGACAAAATATTGAATATTATAGGATAATCATAAACACATATCATCAAAATATTTTTATATAATTCTTCAAAGTATTCCATAAATTTTCCACCTAATAAATTACACTTTTCCAATCCCAGCAGTGTCTTAATGACAAAATATTCACTTGAGGTTAATGTTGATAACATAGGCATAGCTGTCACCTTATGGCTTAGATTCTGTTTCTTAGTTTGAACTAATCTATCTACTTCTCTACCAGAAAAGTGATTACGGAAATGTCTCGAAGCAGTTCAGAAACATTTCGAAAAAAATAGGAAAATATTTATTTAATTATAAATAGAATATTTATAATCAATCTAATTATAAATAGAATATTTATAATCAATCTAATTATAAATAGAATATTTATAATCAATCTAATTATAAATATTTTTTTTTACCTTATGATTTTATATAAAATACTTTTTCGAAAAAAAGATCAAATTTAAATAATTTTAACTGTGTTGTTATAAAAGTAATATGGTAATAACTATAAAAGTGTGAAATTTCAATGAATAATTTTGTAACTAAGTTAGTAATGCGAAATAACTCAAATTTATATTAACAAATTTTCTTAAAGATAAAGCTTATTTATTATAAATGGGAACCAAACTCATTTATGGTAAACGAGGAAATATAGAGGAACCTAAAAATGCTTTTGTTACTGATTCTATTTGGATCTGTACGCCAGTAGAAAAATTGGCAGCGACGCATCAATGCTTATCGATTTTCCCTAAGTTAAAATAGTTCGACCCCCCCCCCCCCCTTATAAAAAGAAAAATTAAACACAAAAAATTTAATAATTTATTTGAAGTAACCTATTAATAAAATTTGTTACACTATTATATTATAATCATGTATAAAATAAAATTGTTTAAATTTGAAAGATATAATGAGGGCGCGTTTATTGGGTGTGCCTTTAGCTAGGGCACTTAATATCCTTCTATCTAAAAGAGTCTTGAAAGCTCCCATTTTCTTCTCTTTCCCCAAAAGTCTAATACATTATTCATGTGAGAAGATAGAGGATATAATAATAAGTATAGCAACTCTTATTCTACGATTCAGAATACATTTTTGATAAATCTGATAATCAGGTAAATGTATACCACGAATATCTGTATAAATAATTTTTGGAATATTTTCATACATATTTTTTTTTAGCCTGCATGGATAAGAAGCAATATTATGTAATATTTGCTTTGCATATCATATTTTAAAATAAAATAATGTTCCAAAACGGGGGTTAAGGTTATTTTTTGATAATTTCTTTTTATGATTACCTTTTTTTACTCATATTTTTTTATGGCGGAAAGGAGAATTAATATCATCTTTGACAGGGAAGGGTGATCAAAGTTTCTACCAATTCATTATAAAAAAATTTTAAAAGCATTTTTGATTAAATCAAAATAAAAAATTTATTTCTTGTAAACATAAATATATTAGAATTTTTGCCAAAAGCCATTATTGTTAATTAAAAAATTAAAAATTCAGGTGTTTCCTTCACCAACAAATAGGCCAACAAAAAATATAATAATTCTTCTTAGTAAAAATTAATTGAAATTTTTAATTCAATTAGACTCATCATAATTCATAAATGAAAAGTGTTTTTTTTAACATATTCGGCATAATGTACCTTATCAGTGAATGTAATTAGCTTTTATATTAGTATATTTACCTTATAAAGTAAAGTTACTTATCGATTTTTATACTATTATATAAAGTTAGATTCTATTAAAAATTTTAAATATTTTTGGAAAAAAAAAGAGATTTATAAAGTTTTATAAAAAAAAATATAATTTAAAAAAAAATATAATTTAAAAAAAAATTAGAACTAGGATTTATTATAATTTAAATAGCTTCAGCTGAAAAATTTATTTTAATTCAACATTGTATATGTTGATCATTATATACTAAGTAGAATTAATATTATTCATAATACAAAAAGTGATATTCTAAAAGTAATATATAGTAAACAAATTGTTAGAAATTCCTCGTTCCCATTTGCTTGTCATAATAAAAATTTTGAAAAAAAAAATTAAAATTCATTTTTAATTTGTCAAAAACAAACCTTTGAAGTTTATTATAGGTATATTATCTTTAATTACTTTATATTATGCTAATAGTATTCGGAAGAATAACTTTATGTAGATTATTATAATACCGTATTTTAAAACAATATATTTTATAGCACCTTTTAAATGTTTTTAATAAATATTTTTTTAAAAAAATTTTTAACGAAAATGGTAAAAAATGTAGGTTTATAAATCATGTACGGTATTCTGTTGGCATCAATATCCCACTATATTATAGGGTCACTAGGAAAGGAGGCTTGGAACGATATTAAGAAAAAGGTTGGGATTAATTACAACGAATTCATTCACAAAAAGGTTTATATCATTTTTTTAAATTATATTAATGGATTTTAGCGAATTGTTTTTAACTTATATATATGGTGTAATTTATCTGATTTGAACATCTTTTAAGACAAATTTTATCTATTGTACAAATTTATAATAAATATGAAATCTTTAAGCTTTAATGACAGAACGAGCATCATTCTAGAAAAGTGCTAAGATCGTCAGAATCCCAAAGGGATTTTTTTACATGATAAAATAGGTTATGGTTATCAAAACAAGTCTAATATTTACATATAATGCGATTATAATTCTATTAAAATCAGAATATTATTTGATTGTTTGATATTTGATTAGGAAAAGACTACTATATATCCCAGTTAACTAAAAATATTCTAAAATATTGGATAGTTTTATTTTAATAGTTTAAATTTTAGGCCTACAGAGCTAAACAAATATCATTTGATTGCTAACAACTTTAAGGTCACAAAACTAAAGTACTTATATGGTCCCACACGTAGGGGTATCAACTCAAATAATATAATAAATATGTGGAGATAAATTTAAGCGTTATAGATTTATAAGATTGCTAATAGAAAGTATATTACGATTTCTCTTCTTCAATGAATAAAACTGTACATCCCATTTACATATAAGAGTGGCAATAGGAAAGGTTAGATGCAACATATAACGGTTGAGGATTGACAAATAAATAGTATTACGCGACTGAGTATAGATTGGTGGCTATATATTTCAAATTTGCCAGAGTGGACCTAATTTCATAAGCTTGATTATAAACTTTAATAAGGAAAATTTAAAATCATGCAGGAGGCGTAATGTATCATCGAGTTTGGAAAGCCAAATTTAATTAGTATATCCTCAGGAAAAATTGAATTTGATAAGAACGAGATGAGTTGAAAAAAGTGTTTGGACGAAAACAAGCCTGATAAATAAAACTATGGATAGCTTAAACATGATTTATCTGAGAAAATTTAACAAAATGGATTAAAAATGATCAAAAATCAATCAATGGGGTCAATATTTATAGATTAGCTAGAAACCCTGGATTATCTTTATTAAAAATAATTTCCTTGAGTTGAACCATAATCTAGTAAATATACGATAGAGAGCATCCATCCATTTAGTGAAGGTCAGGGAAGTCGAGGCCAGCCCAAAATAAAAACACTGAAGCAAGCGGAAGACTAATATTATACAAAAAAATTAAACGAAAGAGATGAATATCAAATGACCGGGCCAATTTTTTGAAATTCCCCAAACCCTCCACTTTACTAAGTGGGTGTAGAGGTCATAAAATAGCCATTTAATGCAATTGATACGTCTCTTGATATGGGTGGGGGAAGGGGTTAAATACTTTTTATTAAATATATTTGAATTTTTTTTAAAATTTTCTAATTGCTTTATCAATTTCTTGAGAGAAAAAAATACACCTACTCCTTTACGGAGTACCGCGAATTTTTGGATTTCACATAAGTTCAACCCCAAAAACTAATTATAAGGATTTCAACTACTTCTCAGTTAAACAGTTCAGGAAACCGTAATTAGTCATTAATATATTTATATCATATAGAAAACAAACATGCAACTAGTGTTGAAGCCCGATTCGGGTAGATTTAAAAAAAACGACCTGATTAATATTATAACCAAAATAACATTAAGTAATCCTAAAGATTTTGCTCATAGCTGGTAGATACAAATCTCGATGCTTACATAATATTATTTTAGATAAAATCTTAATCAGGCTGTTTTGAAAAATCGACCCAAATTGAGCTTTTTAACAACACTACGTGCAACTTACTCATAACAAAAATAGTAACTGAAAAATACCTAAACTGGAATATTAATTTATATTGCGGAGATTGTTTTATACAACACTCACTAACTAAATTCAAATATATGCATAATAATTCTGTTATAAGAAAAATAAGGCAGTTTTTTTACAAGATATTGTGAAGAGGTGGTCATTATTATTAAGAAAATTTTTAAGCCATTTCGATTCATTTTATTTTGGCAAAAAAATTTTAAATATTCATTATTATAATATCCTATACTACTTTACATTAATTTTATAAAGAAAAATGTTAATACAATGCAAATAATATTTTATTAAATAAAATATTTAAAAATATATAAATATAAATTGCAATATTAATATTCAAAATAAATTAAGATCTCATAAATATTTATGAAATATTTATAATCAAGTATTTGGTCTATAACTGTGGCAACTGAAAAGATCGGAAGATCAGAACTGGAGCGAAGACCCGTTTATAAAATCGGTCCGGTCCTCTGTATTTTTGGTCCTGACCGAGCCCTTGATCTTCACTTCAAATGGTGCCTTAAACAAAAAAATCAAATATGAACACAGGATAAATAAAATGATGAGATTTTAGATTGAATAGTTATATAAGATACAGCGATGTCGTTGAAGATCCAAGCTTTCCCCCTAAAAAGTTTGGATAGTTCCCCTCCTATGGATAAGAATTCCCTTTTCTGATTTTGGACAGTATTTTGTTTATTTAAAAATATAGTTTCGTTTCATTTATGAATATTTACTATTATAAAAAGGTTTACAGTGAAACTCTTGTAAATAGGATTATTAATGCAACCGAAGAATTATATGGCATTCCGAGAAAAACTTTAATGATTGAAACTGGGAAATTTTTTATGGAAAGTTTGGAAGGCCAAGGTTTTTCCAAGATGCTAAGAGTTTTAATCATCATATTTTTTAAAATATATATCTAATTTCTAAATAAAGGTTTTAGGTAGGAATTTTAGCGATTTTCTAAATGGACTAGACAATCTCCATGAATACGTAAGATTCAGGTTTAAAATAATTCTTCAATTTATAGTAGAAACCGAAACATAGCCATTCTAAATTCGCTTAAGCCAACACCCCCCCCCCCCCCCTTTACCCTCACCAATTGACTTAAATGTAAAATAATTCAATTATAAATGGATACAGACTATGTGTGACTTAGAAGGTACCATCTAGTGTTGTTAAATGACTCGATTTCATGGATTTCTTATTAAAATTTCTGCCAAAATATTATTAATTAAGCCTCAAGATTTGGTTAATAGATGTCCAAACCTTTCAGCCATCTATGAGCAAAATCTCTCGGCTTGCGTAATAATTTCTGAACAAATCTAGAGTTAGCAGTTTCTAAAAATCGAGCCGTTTAACAAATACCAGAGGTATCACATTGAGATTTTAATAACCTAATTAATTCGTACTTCCTAATATCCAGTGTTAGAGGATTTTGTCTTTATATTAGTAATTTACTCTCCTCACATGATCGCTCATATTCATTCTTATTGCCGATTTTTTTTTATATTAGGTTTTATAATAAGGATAATGTTATGTAAACAAATATAAATTTCTTTTTCCATTTCCATTTACATATCTTTTTTTTGTCATTTATCAGCAATTTCTTATCCTTTTTATAGTCGATATTTGTGTTTTAATAAATAATACTTTTGTTTTCTTTAAAGGTAGACAAATCCCTATACTATATAATTCATTATAAACCTTTTACTTTTTTTAAAAATAGATAAAAACCTTATAAAATATTTGTTTAGAATGCAATATTACATACCGTTTAAAATATTGTTATTTAAAAAAATAAAATATTATGGTCGCAATCAATAGTTTTCCCAGACTCAAAGCACCCTCATTTACTTGCGAACGAGAGCATGAATCGGGTATTTCGATAAGATATCGGTCCAAGAGAAAAGGTTATTATTTTAAAATTTATTGGTAAACATGCATGTTACTTTTGATGTAACGATATATTGATTGTCAACTCTATAATTATTTTAAAAAGAAGTTTAGGATAAAAAATGAAAGCAGGGTTAAAATTTTATAAAATATTTTTCATTAAGTGAATATGTAGGGGGGGGGGGTCTAAAATTTAGCATATACATGTTATATCAAATCTGGTAAATCATTAGGTTATCCCCGATAGCGCGATGGGCAAAAAACCCTTTACAATCGTTTCCTTATTATAATAAAAAATTATACACTATATAAAATTAACAGCGCTATTAATATAATTATAATCATAATTGCCGCATGCAATATTTGATCAAAAATATTTTAAGAAGTCATAAGTCAATCTGAAATCTAAATTTCAAAATATGGCGATTGGGAATTAATCATATGATTAGTAGGGCTAGGGTTATATGTTTTATTTTGATACTAATATTTTTTTTCACCATTTTTTATAGATTTTGTCATTAATTTTACTAAATTCTATATTGATTTTATATCAATGACACCCATTCTAATTTTTATTTTAAAATTTTTTTTATATTAGTCCATTATGGAATTGTTTTTTGTTTGTTTAATTTTAACTCGTTGGCAGGTGTCAAACAAGTTTTTTCTTTTAATAGTACCAATATAATTTCCTTTTTGACAAGGGGGAAAATAAACTGCCAAATAATCGATTCGTTATAAATTAGTATTTTTATATAGCTTGATTTTTAAATGGCTAGTCCAATATTTTAGCTAAAAATATTGCCCAAACCTGGAGATTTCGTTCATTGGCAGAAAGGTTTGTACATCTATTAACGAAACATCGAGGCTTGGGTAATATAATTTTGGCTAAATTGAGCCTTTCAACATTGGGAATAATCTTAATTGCAAAATTATTTTACTTGGCCTTGAAACGCAAATTGAAATTAGAATTTATAATAAAACTCGGAATGATTTAAAATGGGCTCAAAATGAGTGTTAAAATTTTGCTAGATCTTAATAAAATATATTGATTCTGAATTTACACCTTGCTATAACATGTGACTTAAAATTATATGCTGGAAACATTTTTTTATATGAATTTTCTAAATATGATCAAACTTACAAATTACGATGTTTTTATTTAATTCTATCTAATCTAATCAATATATATATCTTAATTTTCAATTTTCATACAATTATACAATGGACATGATATATAAGGTCAACATTTTTTATTTATAAGGTTAAGATTAATTTAAAAAAAAAGAGTATTTTATTGATTTTAAACGATGTGGATTAGTTCAACATTTATATGAGTAAAAAATTTCACGAGTAAAATGCGATTGTAAGGTTTAACAAGCCTACAATTAAAAAGAGATCAAATATAAAAATATATGATGATATTATCGGTAAAATAATGATTTATAGCCTTGAGCAACCTTCTTAGAAAAGATTATATGCACGCCTTTACTTAGCAGATCTAATATAGTAATTAGTTGCTTAAATCACGCCATTATTTTTTGTTTCACCACCATTTATGATTTACCGCCATTATTCTTCACCATTTGCGATTCACCGCCATTTAAAATTTTAGTCATTTGTGAGGGGCTAACCAGTTAGTACTTTAACAAAATTTTAGAATTTTCAAAGGTTTTAAAAAAAATTTAATTAACGGAATCATAAACTTTAATTATAATTTTTTAAAATATATTATAAATGCGGAATCATCTCTCTCTCTAGCTTCTTATTATTTTAATGAGTCCATTCTTTTAAATTAGGCGAGCTCAAAATAATGTTTTTCTGCTATGTTATTTTATAACTTAATTGCAATGAGTAATTTTTACATATTTTTTTCGCTTATTTATTTCTCTTGATTTCATTTATCAGGCTATCACGAATATGTTATGGGAATATTAATAAAGGCCGCAAAATTATACTATAATTTGGATATTGAAATAGCAATCCACAAGGTATTTTAAAAAACATAACAAATTTCAATTTTTTTATATTTTAAATTAAAGGTGTATACAACATATTATATAGTAGTGGAGACCGGGGATAGTGTTATCCTGGGGTAGATCATTTCTTCTCAAATAATTTAAAAACTAAAAAACATTGATATTTGAAATTTAAACCATAAATATATTTTAAAAAGATGCTTCAATGGTTTTAAAAAATGCTTCGCAGAAGTTGGCTCATGAAATTTTAAAATGTCAAAAATAATACATTTTTACTAATAAATTGTTTTATATAAGAACTCAGACAAGATATCAATTTCTAAATAATAAATTATTCTTAATTTTATCATGTATAAAAAGATTGACAATATTTATGGAAATTTAATATCTTGAAATTGAATTTTAATTAATGTGAAGACCTGGGGCAAGTTTTGGCGGGGTGCGCATTAGCCCCTTTTAAGCAGGGATTATTTTGAATTAAAAAAATCCAACCATACTTATAAGAACATAAGAAATATTAATTAAAAATTAAAAGATTTTTTTCTTAAATATGAATTTCTACCGTAGAGATATTTTTAAAAAATGAAACTATTTAAGCATTTTGGGAAAGTTAATTTATACATTTTCTATAGCCTTCAATTTCTTATGGATAATAATCCTCGGATCTCCCTTATACTACTTTTTTTTAAAAAAATTAGGAATAAAAAAATAGGTTATAGTGCCCCTAAATCATAGTTAGCACAAATTCGGGGTAAAACATTAATTTAATATTTCTAGGATTCAAGTTCCAAGGATATCACTGATGTATCTTATGACCTAAAATTTCCAAACAAAAAGTTCAAGATCGATACTATAAATAACCCAAAAGTCAATCTATTTCCTTTATCTCCTGCTAGATTTTTAAGTCTGTTTCCTTTTCATTTAGTTTTTGACAAGTATAAATGATAAAAATATTATATATAATAATATATATTATTCAAATTAATTAACGAGAGATCCTTTTTTTAAATAAACTCTCCTAAATTAATCTTCGCTATGTTAAAATTATACCTAAAACAAATAATTCATTATTTGATAAACAGATTTTACTCGATATGATTTGTAATTTTACGAATGGTAAATAAAATTATTCGTATTCAAAATAATTTGTAAATATTCAAAATTAAATTATAAATATTCAAAATAATTCTTAAATACTTGAAATTATTCATAAGTATTCAAAATATTCCTTGAGAAACTTATTATTTTTTTTTACTTTTTTCCCACATCTAAAGTTACCTTTTAAAATTTTAATGATCCATTTTTTCATTTTTGGAAAAATTTTTAAAAAATTTAATTTTCGAATCGAATATTTAACAAATCAAATCGATTAATTCTTTTATATTCGTAAGAATACGATTACGAATAATGAATTCAAAATAAATTTTAGACATTTAGCCACACTGAATTTTTTTAATTTATATGTAAAATCTTTAATATTCAAATTATTATAAACTAGAATTAATTCAAAAGTTCGTAGATACATTTTCTGAAATTCGTGGGTGTAAGTATACTCTACTATACCCGCTGAAATTAATTTCCGGGAAAATCAGATTTTTCATATTAAAAAAATGCCTTTCAGTAAATGATTGAAAATTAAAAAATTCTGATTCCTCATAGGAGTTAAGAAAGAACTTACCATATGTATTTACTATATTATTTATTTCTTATCTTTGCGTTTGATATAAAAAAATAATAATTTGTTGACAGAAATTTAATTATATTGAGCGCGGGAAATGCATTAAAAAACCTAATGCAAGATATAGTCGGACAAAGTTTAGATGAAACCTTTTCTGTTATCAAGCCATTGATTGAAATAGATTTTAATGAAGTAAAAATAATTTTGATGATATTATTGGGTTATGACTTATGATTACTGTATGTTTCATGTAATTTATATAAATTGGGAATGACGAAAGATCAAAGAATAAATTGTCCCAAATTTTATAAGATAAGAATTCTAACACATACTTGGTACATTTTCGGCAAAATATCACATTTAAATTTAAATTAAAAAAAATTAATTTTGTCTGAAATTTGATCTAGAATACATGAAAATAGTTACCTTATGAATTCTAAACATTTTTGCAGAATATTATAGATATTGACTAAAGCACGGATTGCCTGATTGCGCAAATTTCCATAATATATAATACTTAAAAAATACTATTATATTTATTATTTCCTAATCTTTAAAATTGATTATGTAAAATTGAAAATTATTATCAGCTAACGATTTTGGTATAACATTTCTTGGAATGCTGAAATTCGAAAGCATATCGTAAGTTTTATAAAAACATGCAGAATTCGTGACATCATTAGGAATATTAGATCTTAATAGTAATGTATGCAATTTAGAATAATTGTATTATATATCCTTCATCTCTAACTGTACTTAAGTGTAATATCAGTAAAATCTAATTTATTCTTAAGGAAATTGTAAAATCCAAATGAGATTGCCCGATTTTGTTTATTTTATAAGGTGTAAAAAATAGTAATAAATTTATAATTCAATAAGTTCAAAGTGAACCCATTATTTGCCAAGTTTGAAAAACGAAAAAAAGGAATTCAATATACTGAAGTTCATATGCACTTATCAATCAGCTACTAAAACAAGTGATTTTTAATTATATTGAATTTTAGAAGGGAAGAAATTAATACAAAATTATTATTTTTTTAAATTTAGATGTTTAACTATTTTAGTTTTTTCCCATGTATAATCTTTTTCATTTCAGGTTGTTATCTTAGTTAGATTATCAATCTTAAAAATTCTATATAAACACACCTACTATCATAAATCTTTTTTCCTCAAATAAATATATCTAATACTTTAATATTTTTTATCATATAATATATTAATTCACCAAGTCAATCACACGTATATCTATATATAAAACTTATTACTCCTTTTTTTTGTATAACCAAACGTAGGATTGTTAAAAAGCCCGAATTGGGTCGATTACAAACGACCCGATTGAGATTTTAGTCAAAATAATATTAAATAAAAATGGAGATTTGGCTCATAGATGATAGTAAGGTTTGAGCCTCTATCATCCATATCTCGAGGCTTACTTAATAATATTATGACGAAAATCTTAATCAAGTGGTTTTTAAAAATCAGCCCCAATCGGATTTTTAACAACCCTATCAAACCATCGTAACAATTCTGATATAAAACATGGCGTCAAACATACTCATTATATCTTTTTGGCAAGTTGACAATCACAATCTAAATGAATACCATAGACTTATTATAACATATATAGACTGATCATTAAGGCAAAAAATTGATCGATTAGAAGTCATTTACGACCTATGTATTAGAAAAATATCTGGCCTCTTAGCCCTTTATAATAAAATGTTTGCACAAGTTTTGGTTAGTTCTCCTTAGAGGTCGGTGCAGCCAGGCCCGAAATTCCACCCTACGACCCGAAAAATTGTTTTAGGCTGGGGCAGATAATGGAAAAATACTTTTGTGAGCTGGGTCGAGCCGAAGTTTGATAATGTTTTTAAAGCTAATATAATTTCAAATTTATATCTTTTACCTTAATATGAAATTATTACGTGCAGAGCCTGAATTTGTATAAAATTTAATTTACTGGCCTAGTTAAAATAATTACAGGCGAAATAGGCCTGCCTTAATCCCATAAAAAAATTTTCCCGAGCCGCTTCGAACTGAGCCGCGTTGACTTCTACTTCTCTTATTAAAATAAACATAAATGAGACAAACTATCATGGCTTCTAATTGATCAAATTGCTTTAGTGTAAACTCTTTTGATATTTTATAATTCTATGATTATTATACATTAAATAGTTGATCAAATAAATGCACCTATTTTTCTTGCTAGCTACGAACATAGCTTACATAATAAAAATGATTTGATTATATTATCATTCATTATTGTTTAAAGATAAATTTTTAGGCTATCAGATGGAACATATAATATAAGAAAAATTACATCTTTAACTATTATTCAAATTAAGATAATAGAGCATTCCAACAATGTTTTCGAAATTCAATCATTGTATGAAACTAACAGAATTTATCATGACGACAACTTGTCGATTGGCACGCAAGCGGAATCTCTCGATGAGTATTCATGTAAAGGCCAATATAAATTTGTCTTATTCTTTTTTTTGTTAAATATTTAAATGCAATCCATGCAGGATAAAATTTATGCAACCTATATAAAATGATCGAAACCCTAAGCCTTTTTTTATAGTGAAATTTTTTTAAATATTACTTTTAAATCTATAATTGATTTAATTTCTCCAAAATAAGAATTTTAAAGTTTCAACCTACTGTTGGTAAATGGTTTAATTTGGTCGATTTTTAAAAACGGTCCAATTAAGATTTTAGCCAAAATAATATTATGTAAGCCTCGTGATTTGTCATATAGAAGCCCAAACCTTTTAAACCATCTATGAGCAAAATCTCCAGGCTTACATAATATTATTTTGGCTAAAATCTTAATTGGACCATTTATCATCCCTATTTAAACCCAATGATTTTTTATATATTCGACAAAAACACAAAATTTTAAAATTTAATTTATGGTTAAATAATTTGATAAACTTTATTTACTTAATTTTATATTTTCTCAGTTTATTTTTTTTGTCACTGATTTTTTGTATTGCCGATAAATAATCAATCTTTAAGTACTGTATTCTTCCATATCACCTCAAAAAATATTAAAATATAATTTCGAATAATCCTTTATTCACAATAATTATGGTGTGGATCTCCTACAAGAAATTTTTTTTAAAAATTCTCTCCTGAAAAATTATAAAGAAAATAGAAATAGCACAAACACTATAAATACTCAACCGAAGAAATATGTATTTTCAAAATTAATAATTTTTATAATTAGAAATAAAATAAGTCTTTAAAATTTTATTAAAACTCCTAAAGTTTCTCAAGACTATATAGAAACCTAGTAAGATTTTTTTTAAAAATTCTCTTCTGAAAACTTATTTAAAAAATGCATATGGAACAAACACTATAAATACTCAACCGAAGAAATATGTATTTTCAAAATTAATCCTTTTTATACCTAGAAATTAAATAAGTCAATAAAATTTTCTAAAAACTCCTAAGGTTTCTTTAAACTATATAGAAACCTAATAAGATTTTTTAAATAAATTTTGCAAAAACGATAGTTAAAAAAATAAATAAATAAGCTTAGTTTTCTGATTTAAAAACTAAAAATGATATTTCTTCAGCTGGTTTAAATTTTTTTTGGGTAAATTAAACATTTTAAGCTGCTGGGAGCAATAATTTGGAAGCTACTACAAAGATCATTATCAAAGGGCAAATGATTAAACTAGACCGATATTTGCTATTTATAGGAGTTCCTATGTAAACTTATAAGAAATTTATTTTAAAAAAATACTATTTTGATATTTTGGCATAAAAATAACCCTCAGAGGAGAATCATGCAGAGTTGCCTGTGGCGGTAACTTTTACCAATGAAATATAGGCTTTGTTCATGGCCCTAAAAATATTAATTTTGTATTCCGCCTTATTGAATATTATAATTTATAACATGAATTTTTTAAAAAAATTGAGAAAGGTTTTTTTTAAAGAATAAAGGAATTAAGGGAAAGTTTAATATTCATTTTCATATCATATTTTATAATAAAATAACATAGATAAGATAAATAAATTATCAAAGTTTTATTGCTAATTATTAAATTTTATGCTTTACATTATTAATAGAGAATAAGATACACATTTTGAGTTTGAAATTTTTTCCCCCTTTAACCTTTTTTTAAAAAATCGGGCCACGAACGACGGAAAAGTGACTTAAACATAAAAAAATTTTGCCACCAGGTCATGGGTTTGGATCGGGTCGGGTTTACGATTTAAAATAGGTCTTTTATAAAGAGTATTTTTTTTAATTCTCAGATCTAAGAAAACCAAATCTTAAAGAAAGCCTCTAATTGAGATTTTATGCCATCTAATATAATAATAGATAAAAATTTATTTTATATAATGATTCTATTTATTTATTTCTAAAAATAAATATAGTATATCCAATATTGAAACTTTATCCAATATAGGACTGTTTTTGAATGATTTGAGTATGCATGATAGTAGTCGCGAATTACTTGTAGCTGGGGCTCAACAAAATGCCGAGTTAAAATTAGCTTTAGACAGGGTAGTATCATTTAAAAAAAAATATATATTATCCTTTGATCGTTTTACATTTCAGAAATTTACATTTTGTTAAAGAATTTATCAAACTTATAGCCTATAAATATTTTAAGGAAATGAGAAGAGGACATGAGTTGGAGATGAGTATGTCTAAATTAGATTTAGAGAAAAAGCGAAAAGAAGAATTATTGTATCAACTTATTCCAAAAGAAATTTGTTACAAATTGAACAACTCGGACCCAAATAACATCTGTGAGGTTTTTTCATTTTTAATAATAATAAAAATATAAAAAAAATATGTTTAATCTTTGTTTTGCTATTATAACCTAAATATTTTTTTTGTTAACTATTAGGTTTGTGATTCAGTGACTTTGTTGTTCACTGATATAGTTGGATTTACTAGTACTTGCAGTAGAATGTCTCCCATGGAAGTAGTTGGCATGTTAAATTTATTATACACATCATTCGATGAGTGCATCGATAAATACCAAGTCTACAAAGTTATACTAACTATAATTATTATAATTATTATACAAGATGATATAAAAATTCTTGTATAACTATTTAAATAAACAATGCTGACAAAAATGAATTAAGGTGGAAACCATAGGTGATGCTTATTTGATATGTGGAGGACTTCCTGTTAAAACCGACTCTCATGCATCTGATATAGTGGAAACGGCGTTGTTAATGATGAAAGTTATTAAAAATTTTAATAATCCTTTTAACAATGTGCCCTTGCAAATGAGAGCTGGTATGATAAATAACAAGATTTTTAATTCTATGCTTAAATTTTTATGATTTAAAAAATGCATTAGGCATACATTCCGGATCTGCGGTAGCTGGTATTGTTGATAGAAAAATGCCGAGATATTGCCTTTTTGGGGAAATCACTAACATTACTAAAAAATTGGAAACCTTGAGTAGGGTAATAAATCACATCTTCTGAAATATAGAAAATTTTTCTAAGAGATAGGTTTTTGAAATGTATATTATATACATTATCCCGAGATCTATGAAGGATGCCTGCATGCCCGACCCGGAGCTAGACCCTTAAATCAAGCATTGGTATGATTTAAAAAATCTGGGTCATGCTTATAAATTTAATAAAATAAAAAATCGAGACCCTACCGGTTTTTGAAAAATTAATTTAAATTATATCAATTAATCAGTTGGAAAATGGAAAATTGTATAATCTCTTACTACTCATATTTTTTTTTAAAACAATTTGCAAAATTTTACAGCTAAAATTATTTCAAAATAACAAAATTTTAAAAATTCTGATCCAAGTAGGAAATCCCAGGTCTCTGAATAAATTTTATTTGATTATTATGCTTTCGAACACATTTTAAAACATGTTAGGTTAGAGTTTACAAAACTTTGTGTTTTGCAAATAAAAAATTTAAGCCGATGCACATACACGCCAGCAACAAAACATTTGAAATGTTGGGAACAAATCATCCGTTCATAATTGAAAAGGTTGTTAGCGCGGAAATCGAAGTTAATTATTATAAACATTTTTTTTATATCACATAAATTATAGGAGAAATTAGGCTTTCCTACTTATTGGATACTTGGAAAATATGCAGATAAGAAATGAGAAATGAGTTATATAAATATAATTGTACAATTTACGTTATTTCCTTACATATTTATATTGTCAGTGTTTAACTTTTATGTATTAATCAATATTTTTTAGTAAATTATTGTAATGTTTTTGTTTCTATCTATATACCAATAAAACATATAGGTAGCAAGGATTTTTTTAAGGAGGTGTGGAAAGCACTATTAGATGGGTTTTTCTCCCATAAGATCTTACTGTTGGTTACAGTCTACATATTGTAAGCCCTTGGATTAGATTTTTATAAAAAATTTGGATGTTCAACTTATTTATTTTTGTTACCACCACATTAAGGAATTTCGGCGAAGAAGCAATTCTATTTTTTAAAACCTTAAAAAGCTAACAAGATATATTTCAATATATTTTTTAAACGTTTTGAATATTTGCAAATTGAAGATAAAATAGAAAATTGAATTATAGTCGTTAAAAAATTATTAACTTTTACTAATTTTTCTTTCAGATTCTTGTTTAATATATTAAGGAGTGGGAGATGGGGGGGGGGGTATTTATCTGTAAATTATTTATGAGAACAGGCAAATTTTTGAAGGGGAGGGATTTCCCTTTGTTTTCTCTCCCTGGATACGCCTATGTCGTAAAATAATAAAACGATTCTAAAAACTAGTATTCCTCCCTAAATTCTGTCTTTTTCCTCAGCATAGCATATGACAATATATTGGTCTAATAATAATTAAAGAGGATTTTTTATCTCTTGTGATAACTTCGGGTCACTTCCTAAAGGAATTCTGTTGTAAAAACCCCATTCCCTATAGAATAAATAATAGTCAGAAAACAAAATTTTACAAGCACTGCAACGCACCCCCTCCCCTTCATTAGATGTAGACTACATTATTTTGAATATTGGAGCTGATTTTTTAGATTTGTTCATTTTGGAAACCGTAAAAATTAATGATGAAATAAAGGCCATTAGATTAAGTAATATTTTATTTAGAAGTTGAATATGCTTATTCCCAAAAAAGTAGGATATTTTTCAAGATGGAAAATAAATTGATTTAAAATTAATCAGTTTTTTTAAAATATATAATCTGATATTTTTTTTTTAAGAGTTGTAGGATTTTTTATGAATTAATAAAATATATAAATACAATAATATTACAGAGGATTAAAAAATATATATTAAAATGGATATATTAAAGATTAAATATAAAAAAAAAAATATATAATATATATATAATCTATGAAGACATTAAAAAGGACTATAAAAAAAAAATATATATTTTTAAAAAAGGGGGGTATATATCATCCAAGAGAAGAGTGAATACTTAAAAAATTAGACCGGCAAATTTCCAGGGAAATCTGCTGGCGAAGGTAAAATCCTTCATTGGGGTCCCCTGAGATCTGTCTCATTTTTTTCCTATGATTTTAATGAAATTGAGGGCCTCGTTTCCAAACATGCCTAGGATATTGGTAACGATAGGAATGAACATAGTGTTGGCGAGGCCAGCGTATTTATTTTTTTTAAGGATTTCTGCCTTTTCGATAGCAGAAAATGGGAGGTTAGACTTGGCTGCAAAATCAACGCAGGTGTAATCCCATGTTAGCGGAAGACCATTAGACCAGGGTATGAGAGAAATAGCATCCGGGCGTATGGCGTATTCGTTTGAAAGACCTACTGGTTCGAGGGTAGATGGGATATTAACTTTTTTGAGGGCGGCTAGTAAAATGTTATTGATAGATTTATGACGAGGTTGTCGTCCACGGGAGAACTTGCAGTGCAAGGGATGGTAAGCCTTCGATTCAATGAGCTGACCACAGTCGATGCAGATAGAGGGAACTACGACATTACAGCCTAGGCGGAGGGCTATAGATATACGTAGCTGTTCGCAAGTCATGAGGAGGCCAAGATTGGCGCTGGGGATGGCTTCCAACCATTCGTAGCCAGAGTTTGCATTTAGTACCAAATTATTGGGATTTTCCTCAAAGGGCCTGTTCGAAATAAGATATTCAACGGAACGGGCGATCAGAGGAGCATCCCAGTCTTTTTGGGTACTGGAAGCGGGACGGCTAAGGGTGGGAGAGCAGTTGTTGTTCCAAAAGGTGAGGGCCAGCGAGAGGTCAGTATCTGAAGGAGTAGATCCATTGTCGATAATAGATTGACCAGCAAGACGAGATGAGATAAAGGCTGAGAGGGAAAGTTGTAAGGGGGATCGGATACCAATACCACCAGACTTGCATGGAAGGGTGGCCTGGAGCCAAGATGAATTAGAGAATTTAAGGTTTAATATGTTTTCTAGGAGATCCTTAATTTGGGTTTAGTGGGAAACTAGCAAATGGCTGCATTTGAAGATCGGTGAGGATCTCAGGGCATAGAGGATTTTGGGTATATTAAAATTTTTGATTAATCAATATATTTTACTTTAAGTCTATAAATGATTTAAATTAATAGTAGCCTCGTAAAGCGGAATTGCATAGGAAAGCGCAAGCCTCTTGAAAACTTGAGCTCTTTATAAATATTTACTAATATAGGTCCTTTTTAGATACTATATTTTAAACTCATTTTAGATGGAATTCCCCTTTGTTTTTGCTAATGTTGAAAAAATTCACATTCATTCGGAAATGGCAGACCTTAAAAAAGGTTTGATTTAGAATTATTTTCATTCAAGGCAAAGAATTAAAAAAGGTTGCTATGTGCCTCTTTTGAAATAAATCTATTTAATAATTAGATTGCAAACCTTAGTAAAAACATTCAAAAATACATAACGGACTTGGTCTAAAATAAAAAAGACTAAATTTTAAAAATCAATGCCATAATCTAAATTAAATAAAATCTGGGATCATAAACGAATTTTGGTTGGGATGAAAAAAATAAATATCCGAGTCGGGCTGAAAAATGGGGAAAATCTTTAAATCAGGAGATGGGGGGGGGCGAAAAAAATATCTGCACATCTAGTGGATATAGGTGATTTGAGGAAGATGATATGATAGTTTAAAAAAAGATGGAATCATACCTATATTTCCTTTTATTTTTTCAAAATTTGGGTCATGGTTGAATTAATATTATATAATTGGTTGCCATTTTAGGGCTTGTGAATCCAAATTCTAAAATCCAACCTATTTCTAAAAATGAAAACTTAAAAATAAATATTTCTGAGGATTTTATAAAAACATTATATATTTTTTTTATATCATATATATAACATTAATAAAAATAGACACATAACATTTTTGGTGCAATACTACTATAACTCGAATAATCTCTTTCCCATTTTTAACTAAAGTTTGAGAGATGATAGTAATTATTTTATACATTTCTTTGTCTAATACACAACAATTTTTTTAATCTGTCCAAAAAATGCTGATCGTCTTTTAATGTTGCGCTTCTACTTGCTTGAACAACCAATCTGGAATCGGAGGGCCTGTTTAAAAATAGAAGTTATTAATAAGCAACGGCCTGGCTAGGGAGGAGTAAGCAGTTGTTAGTAAATAACACGCCTATATTTCATCTGACCATGTTCTTTAGGGTGCTGCATTCCCTGGGGACACGTTGTAACAACTAACAGCTGATCGAGTTCATAAAATCTCTCGAAATGAGATAAATTTTGATTTGCTAATATTATTCTTTTTTTTTAACTAATCTCTTGATGAAATTGATTGTATTATAAATACGATAAGCTCTTAAATAATCATAAAAATATTATTCTTTTTTTAACTCCAATCTCTTGATAAAATTGATTGTATTATAAACTCAATAAGCTCTTAAATAACATTGTCCGTTATAAATGCGGCAAAATCAAATGTTTATATTTTAAAAATCGACTCTTTAGAATGCCTTAATTCCAAAAGTTAGCCAGGTGCTTTTGTTAATAAAGATAGACTACACATTATTGATATTTTAAAAAGAGAAATTAATGTATTTTGATAAGTAAAATCAAAATTTTTAATGAATTAAATTATTTTCATTTATCAATAACAATTAAAAAATGCCAAAAAATATAATAAAATTCAGCCCTAAAATACGACCTCTAAAAATATGTACCTACATTATTATTCTCTTGAAAATCTCCTTATTCCTAAAATTACCCCTAAATTTTGTGTTCAGTTCATAAACAAATCGAAAAAGAAAATTCGAAATTGCTTGACACAACAAATTGATATTAAATTGGTTAAATGTCACACTTATTAGATTTGTCAACTTGTTTAGTCAGATCTTCAGCGTGTACGGAATTTGTTGAACTCAATAATTCGGGATAGTATTGGTAATATTGGCAAATTGGATATCCACTGTATGGGTTAATGTAAGGGTTCGCATATTTATTAGCAGCATAATACACGTTTTGATCATCGTTAGAGTAATTCGGTAAGGGCACATAATTTTCGACATCGGGCGGCAGGTTGGCATAAGTAAAAATCATAGAAGGTACGGGGGAAGGTTCTCTCTTGGTTATCCAATCAAAGCAGCCGTCTTCGCTCCATGAATTTTTTTTTAAGACGCCTTTAAATAAATCTAACAAAAAATCGTAATTTGGTTTTTCTTCGAAATCTAGTTTTCTCACGTATCGCATGTAAGTAGCGAATTCTTTGGGAGTTCCCTTTTTAAGAATTTTGATATGAAAAAATAATGGCACTTGTATTATTAATTATATAAAAGTCCGCAAGGAAAGCATTTATATAGCAGTTTTCCTCATAAATTGTCATTTCACCCCTGTAAAGTAGGATATCTTTTTTAAACTTGTAGTAGCATTTCAAACGCCACAATACCATTTTAAATATGAAAAATAAGTTTAAAATTATACTTTACAAAGGCAAAATGCTAACTAAGTTTTAAAAAATCAACGTTTTTTACGTCGCATAGTTTGTCGATACTAGTCTTCTTCTTGCAATCAGCAATTTTTTTGTATTTCTCTTTAGAGGATACATCCTTTTTGGCTTTGATGTTCTGCCATGGCAGTGCTCCCTTTAAAAAGTATATGAGCAAATAACCTAAACCTTCCAAATCGTCTCTCCTACTTTGTTCAGCTCCCTCGTGGGTTCTAATCGACATATACCTGGCCGTTCCCGTCAAAGATTTCTTTTCCCGATAAGGTATATGAATTCCTTTTTATGTGATGAAAATTTTTTTATTTTAAAAGTTATCAAATATTTCTACATTTTTTTTAAAAAACCTTTATCGTCGATGTATTCCTTGGATAATCCAAAATCAACTATGAAAATAATATCTTCGGTACGATTATTTCGCCTACCTATCAAAAAATTTTGAGGTTTAACGTCGCGATACAGAAATTTTTTGGAATGTAGAAATTGCAATCGTCTCAGCAGTTGAAGTGCAATGAGTAAAACAGTTTTTAATGAGAATTCTTTGTTGCACAGCAGGAATAGATTGTGCAAGTTTGGTCCTAAGAGATCCATTACTAGAGCTCGATATTTTTCCTCTAACTCCCCGTAGTAATATGACACAGGAAACCCTACAATCTTTTATATTTCGAAATGTAATCATATAATATGAAATTGTGCAATTAAATATACTTAACTTATAATTAGTTAACCATCATCTAGTTTCGTTGATAACATTCTCTTCTCATAAATTGGAATGTATACGCTTAATTGTCAAGGTCAATCCTAATTGTTTTATTAATTCGACACTAAATATATGTTATGCTTATATTGTGTATTATTATTCAAGATTATGCGTGATTGACCCGAATTTTTAGTCAATTTATACAATCTAAATCTGTTATAATGTGTCATATGATTTTTAAAGACCTCGTTTTGCAGGAATTGTATTTCAGTCTGTATAAAGTACCTTCCTCTGATTTCCAACAATTAATTTATATAAATTTTTTCACTTACCTCATTACATGTTAAAATCATTGCCGATAGGTCCAACACGCGATATAATTAATTTAGTATATAAAATTTGCTAAAACCAAGCTTGCTCAACCTTACGATATAATAATAATTATAATTTCAAACTATTCTTTAATAAAGATATTTTGTATTAAATTTTTTACATAATTTATATGTGGCATAATTTCATAGCATTTATTAGTTTATTTTTTATACAGAAAAATTAATATATATACTTTGCCGAGTGAAGGGTTATCATGAAACGAGAGATAGAGTTTGTATTCGCGATACAGTTGCGGTATTTCTGCGTTATAAGGTTCAAGTTTAACAGCAAGTATTTCTTTGGTATTGAGATTGGTGCAATATCTTAACTGACCGAAAGAACCATGTCCGATTTCTTCCCCTATCATGTAATCCGGAATGCAATAAGGATCAACATCTAGCGGTGATCCTAACGAATCTGTCGTTGGAGTCTTTGTCAAACTTCTTGAACTCATATTTATGAGTTCATTGGACCCCTTTTTTAATGTTAAGAATGAAGAACTTCACATAATTGATTGATACCCTAAGAAGTTTAAGCATAGTTGACTAAATCATCAAATGATTAACATATATATTGTCGAAAAGAAAGAAAATTGAATGAATTATTAAATTATTAATTTTTGCTTCGTAATAGCTTGCGTTTCATTGACATATTGATTTAAATTAAATTAAACAAATTCATACGTATAAATCTTTTATGTTCATGAGTCAAAATCCATTATTAATGAGAATTATTTGCTTTTAAATTTATTGTTTTTTCTTCGTTTGCGGAATAAATTAATAATTTTGGATTATCATAAATAAAATTACCTTTATAAAAAGACTTAATAATATCAAGTTTTTTGTTTTGCTTCATTAACTTATTTTTGGCAGTGTGGTTAAACTTACTTTATTTCTTTCTTGATGTTTAACGATATTAAAATATCTCGTATATAAATGAGATAGATTCTATGGCCTAATAGTAGAATAAGATTAAGGAAAGAATAACCCACTGCATTCAAAAAGGAATGGTTTTGAATTTAAAAAAAATACACAATATATTAGTTAAAAATAAGTCATTGACTGGACAATGTTTAGTATATGTTCAAGATAAATGTAACCTTAGTATAAGGTACTGTCCTAGATTTATCATTTTCTCAAACGATTTTTATTATTATTCTTCGCATTACACACTAGTTAAAAATATTCGAGTTTTTGTTTGATCAAGAATATAAGGGGCCTTTCCCGATGATTAAAATATAAAATAATTTATTTATAAAATGAATGTTGACTATATATGTTGGCCAGGAGGATATCTCCATATTTTAATGACACGATTAAATAATACCCCAGCCTTATGGTTGAAAAGAGACTAGAGAAGGTAAGCGGTAGAATATGATTATGGTCAAGATTAGGGAAATTACAGTTACACCAGCTGATTTATTTAAATTTCTATTCACTAGTTTATAATCTAATGATCTGTCAGATTTGACAGCCTATTAATAAAAAAAATTTTGATCTCCTAATCCTAACCCATATTTCTCTAATCTTTTATTAACTCCCTATTTCACATACATGTTTACATCCGACTCACATTAGCTAGCTTTCCAACTTCCCTGACCCCTTATTAGCTGAAGCCCAGACCATTTGGGACAACTCCGTTGTCCCAAATCGACCCTCCTCATGTTCAAAGAGAGACTGGGATATTTCACTCAACGAAGGCTCCGTCGCTTACCTAAAATCGAGCCTTCACCACGACGATCTCACAGTTTTTCACCAAGGATCTGATTACGAGTTTTTGGAAACCATACCCTCCAACAACCTCGATTTGTTGCTCACTGCTGACGAGCAAGATTTGCTATTGGACTACGGTTCAATTGCGAAATTGTTCTTCCGTACCAATGCAAACATTGCGAAACCAGAGTCGACAGCAAGGGTAGGCACTGCCTCCATTGTCGCTTTTATCGTGGCCGCTTTTCACGGCACACCAAATGCAATCACATCATTTTACGCGCCCTCAAATCAGGAGGCATTCCATCTAGACTAGAACCAACCGGAATTTTCAGAACTGATGGAATGTCCTTGATCCCCTGGTCAAGAGGTCAGCTCCTGGTTTGGGACTTCACCTGCATTGACCCAAATGCACCATCTAACCATAACGTCAATGCCCTCGCCGAATCCTGCAAAACCAAAAAGTACAGTTCCTTAGTCCCTTCTTTCTTATTCATACCCATCGCCTGCACCATTCTCACCACCTTCGGTAGCAAAGCTCAACGTTTTTTCAAAGATTTAGGCAAACGGATCCGCGAAAAACCGACCAGCCTAAGGAATCCCTCTTCTTACGCCAAAGACTTGCTACCGCCATCATTATTCTAACTATCTAAGCTTCATCTCTTCCATTGAATAACCTTCCATTTTCCAAGCTTCCTTTTTTTTATCTCCTATCCTTTCCCGTAAATTCTATTTCTACAATTTTTCACCTTTATTTATTTTACATTTTTAAAAAATTAATTATTTGCTAATACATTTTCAGTAAATATTCAAATAAAGTAACCCATGACCGAAAAAAAAAATTTAATTAAAAAATCTGGATTTTTGATAAAACAAAATTTTAGGACTCTAATGGCATAAAATATTTGAAGTTGTTGTTACAATTTATATCATGCCTTTTTTTAAAATTTAATATATCATTGGAATTCTCAGTCAGAGATATTAGATACCAAATATCAATGAATCAAATTTGGGGTCTATTTCCCAAAAATACATAGCTTTTATTAAAAAATATTTAAACAAGTGCGAAAATTTAAATTACTTCTCGCATTCAAGTTTTTTTCACAATTGATATAATATCATTTATATTCATAAAATTCATTAATGTAATTAGTGATGCAAAATCGCTTCACCTGAGCCGATTTTTAAAAACTGCTAACTCAGTATTTTATCCAGGAAAATATTACGCAAACCTGAAGATTTTGCTCGTAGTTGGCACAATGTTTTGACAATCTATTAGCCAAATCTTGAGATTTTTCGGCTAAAAATATTGAGTTCATAAAAACATATTAATAAACTAAAAATGATTAATTGAGTTATAATTTTGAGAGAGTTTAGAAAAGCTATTTAATAAATGAATTCTTTGTTAATTATTAAATGAGATGATTAGTACAACAGAGAATAAAAAGCAATAAAAGAGAGATAAAACTGGAAAGTCTGACCTAATCATCTAATAATAACTGAAAAATATGACAGCTTCATAAAGTTTTTTCTGATCCCTTATGAATAAATTAAAACAATAAATAAAAATTATATTAATCTTTTAATTTGGTTAAATAATTATACAATAATTTTTGTAGCACGATTAATTGTAACGGTAAGTATCACATAATATATTATATAGGTATTTAAATAATATTTTTCAAAAATATATAAACTTTGCATATTAAATTATATAATAATTTGACCGCTAATTTAAACGTCGTATAAAAATAATTTATTTACGATTATTTGTTCGGTAAATTTACTTAAAATAATTTATATAGTGAATGAACAATATTATTAAGATCAGAATACACTAAAGACATAATAAATAAACAGATAAGTCATAATATTTGCTATGTAGCCCCAGAATACAATTTTTTTATAATTTTAGGAATGGGTCTTTAGGGTCAAATAATTCAAAGGAAAGGTATTTGTGAGTTATTCGGTCAGGATAAACTTTGACTAGACGAAATCCTGATTTATCATCGCCCAGTTGACGACCTATAGCGGATGTGATAACGATTTCCAACGTATCTTGATAAAAACCACCGCCATTTCTGTGGTAATGTCCACAAAATATCTTGGTCACTCCTTAATTTACATATAATTTAAGAAAAGAAAATAATAACAATTTTTTCAGGTGTAATATTATTTTTTTTTTAAATTTTCATTTTTTTAATATATAAAAAATATAGGAACAAACCATATGATCTAAAAAGTTCCAACATTTTAAGTCGCAGCTCTTTTTTGAGGTTGTATGAGCCCTTCTTGGTTTCGTCATAAAAGGCCATTTCTTCGTTAGGTTCGACTAAGAACCAAGGGATATGTTGGAAGAGCATAACGTGTTGGGCATTGCTATCTATCCCATCCTTGAGTTCTGATTTTAACCAATTATCTTGCTCTTGGCTATATTCCTTAACCTTAATTTTATTTTGTATATTATGAGATGTTTTGTCGAAGGAAGGCACTACAGGAGCGCCGCTAAAAAACACAGCAGCAAATTTTAACGGCAATAAAAAAACAAAATTATGAAGTAATTTCTGCCAATTAATATTGATTTAGGTCGCAAATATAGTTATAGAAATTCTCAGGTTCTGCTCCCTTCAGTAAAGAGTATATATATTTTTTCACAAATATTTCTTTTATATAAATCATCTTAGAAAAATAAGAACATCAATTTGCAAAAAAATGGTATATATAAATGTGGTTGCAATCAATAAAAAACAGGTAAAATGAATACTTACCATATGATTCGACCAAAGAATAAAAAAGAGATATGCAAGTAATATAGACAACTATAAATAGTTCCTTTAAAGTGAGAACGAGTAAAAGATATTAAGGTAATACAATTGATAAACGAGAGTCTATATGACTCTTTTATCAGGGGGAAACTTGAAAGACGTAATTAAAATAAGCGGACTTTCATTTTACATGTTATTTATATCTTAATATTTTAAAATAATTATGGATGTATTTTGAATTGGCTAAGTCTATTGAACAAATGCTAGTGCGAATATAACAATTATGATTCATACCCACCGCCTATAAAGGATTACCCACCATCAAAGTTTAGCCCTACTATAGCTTACCCCCTCTATTCATTTTTTTTTAAATTACAGATGCATCTCACTCCTCCTACCCAATCGTGTTACTCAAAAATAGGGTTTAGAAGTGATTGTAGGAGGTTGTTAAATTGATACTAGAGATCTGCAAAAGTAGGCCCGAGCCCAGCCCGGATAAAAAAATTGGGTACTGGCCGGGTCGGACCTAATATTTTTAAATAAAAATCGGGTCGGGTCGGGCCTTGGAAATTTTTTAAAATTCATTTAAATTTATCAATTTTATATTGAATTTTTTATGTAAAATAAAAATATTTGATTTTATTTATGGAACTAGACGTCATATAACATATGTCTTTTATTTTGAGTAATTATAAAAATTAATTTCTATATTTAAATGAGTTCGGGCCGGGCCGGTAAATTTTCTTAAAAAAAATTTCGGGTTCAGGCCGGGCTTGAAAAATTAGGCCCGATACCGATCACTAATTGATACTATGTTAAATAATAACTTACGAAGAATTTTGTTTTAATAATTTATTTTACATGCGTATCATTGAAGTAGTACTGAGAATTAAGGGCGATAAACTTTACTCCGCCGACCCAAAATGAGAAATAATCGTCCCCAAAATCTTTTCTATAATTTTGGATGTCCTTTGAGGTAGGGTAGTTTCCCACGTCGTGATTACCGCATACGCAGATCAGGGGAATTTTTGGATCCAATTTGCTAAAGGTTTGCTTGAAGGAAGCAATTTGGGAAGCCTTTAATCTTTCACCTACATTTAGTTTTTTTGTTAAATTTTGATTTAAAAAAAAATGGACGAGTGAAAAAATATGTTACTCCGAAATGTTTTTCCTTATATCTTTCACCTACATTTAGTTTTTTTGTTAAATTTTAATTTAAAAAAAAATGGACGAGTGAAAAACTATGTTTCTCCGAAATGTTTTTCCTTATCTAGTTTATACTGTATGAGGTATTTCCTAACATATAAAATTAAAATTTATTTTAGAAATTTCTAAAAATAAAATGCCACATGTATCTTGAAAACAATTATTCATTATTATTTCATAATTCCATTAAATATGAGAAACATACTTGCAAAGACCAAATATTTAGGGCCAACCTGATTCGAATTTTAAACAATTCTACAGCCTAGATATAAATTATTTTTGACCAAGGATCTAAAATTTGGGTTATAGTAAGTCCCAGTCTGGGCTTAAAAATTTGATCATTTAAAAAACAATTTGGGCTGATTTTAGAAATGGTTTAAAACAGAAATTGAAAATATAAGAAGCAAATAAACGCTAACATGTCCTTGAAAAACTTTAAAAACTTAATTTTTTAAGGATTCGACCCGGATTATTTGTATTTTACTATTTAAGGTTTTGAATCGGATACCTGGGCCGGCTGGTTTCTGATAAATATAATTTCACACTTATGTTTTGAATTTTTTTTAAAGCTTAGGTGATTCTTTGTTAAAAATCAAGAATCAAAACTAATTAAAATGCATTATCAAGTGTCACTTAAATTTGATAACAATTGTCTGGGGAGGCGAGCAATATTTCTGTAAGAATATTAAAATCATTTTAAAAATATATGTTAACTCACCCTTTATATGGAAAGTTGAAGGAGACGAAAACTGTCTATATAATTGACTCCTCTGGCGATGACTTAATTATTGGATCAAACTAAGTATCTTCACTAGGATGTACCCTTCTGAGATTTTAATGACTTTTACATAACATACAAGACAATAAGTGATGACGGGGTATTTGCAACCGATTATAATCTAAATTAAAATGACGCATTATGTTAATACTAGGATGCTGGATACAACTATGCACAGCACAGTTTTTGATAAGAGTGTTTAATCTTACTTCCCACCAGTTGTGTGTCTATAAGTGCTTCAGAGATTGCCTAACACCTGTGGGGTAATCGTGGTATATATATAGAGCTTATACCATACCTAGCATACGCGTGTAAATAAGTTTTTATGTGACCAACTATGAATTACCATAAAATTTTAACCATAAGGGAAAGAATCGATGGCGGTGAAGAAGAAGAAATATTATTTTTATTTCATGTAGCAAAAATGATCAGGTTTTAATAAACACAAATTTTTGAGAGTAATTTCAATTTGATCACGCACAATATCAACGGTGTTTTTCCTAACGCCCTTCCATATACCGGGGTTGTATATTCACCATACACTTTGCGATTATCAGAAGGGCAATGAGATTGGAATGCTCTTTCCACTGTACGTTAAGCATACGGATACATAATCTGGAGTTAAATGGTTGGTTTTAGCACTACGACACTGAGTTTTGGTCGGAAAAATGAACCAGACCCAAATGGGTGGATCTGATTTATTAAATCTATCGACTCGAGAACCAGTCCAAAACCAACTTAATATAATATTTTATTGTATATTTTTTGCTCATTCAAATTTTTATGAAAATTATTTTTATTTAAAAATTTGAGTTATGAACTAGAGGACGAGTAGTTCAATATTAATATCGAAATAATTATCTTGTATTAAAAAGTTGGGATCCTTTTATAAATTGTTTTCTTCATAATCTGCAAACATTGTATATTTTTTAGTTTACACTACAAACTCGATTTGTGATTGCCTGAGTTATGAACTCGAGGATGAGTGGTTCATTTCAATATTAATTAGCATCGAATTCGAAATAATTATCTTGTAGGGTCGGGAAAATAAATCAATAATTGGAATATGTTTGTTTAGTGATATTTATTTCATATATCATCAAAAAAGGTGGGAAATTATGTTTATTTAACTTTGGAACTAAGCGCTGGCCTAAATAAAAATTCGGGCCGACATCGGGACTAAACATAATTAAAAATTTCGAGCCAGATGGGACAGACATTTTCTCTAACTAGGACCTTGATTTTAAAATTTATTTTGAATTCAAATGGACTAGCAAATCGCAGCTCTATATCTAGTAAAAGGTAAAACTTATTGTGTTACGTGTGATATTCTCAAAAAACACGATGATGTTAGTCTAATTAAGGCCATAATCTAAGTTAAACACCTTACCAACAGGCAAGCCGTACTTGAAAGTTTTCCTAAAGCAAATTGTTATGAGTAGCATCTAATGAAAAATTACAACAATCAAGAGAAATATTACGGGGGCGAACTGTTGCATAATATAATTTAATATCATAATATACAAAGTTAATTGAAGCTTTAAACTATGACTATTTACATATACAAAAACATTCACTAAATAATATATTATTTTATTTCTACATACGAAGCCTCAAACCATCAATTAATTTACCTTAAATTGATTTACTAGATATATATATTTGAAGTTTTTGACTTTCTAACCACGTGATAATTTTACTTGTTAATAAAAATTACATTTTTAACGACTTGATATATAATATATATTTGCGTTTTATTTAAACACTAATAAAAGAATAAATTTAATCGCATTTTTATTATTATTTGAAGATATCGTTATTATTTGGAGATATCGTTATTATTTATTCTAAAGCAAACGAAACCAGACTTACATATTCTTATCCTATTACTAATTCGTTTTAGCGCAACCAGACTTACATATTCTTATTCTACTACCGATTCTTTTTAGCGCAATTATTATTTATTTGCGTCATGGTGGAGGATGGAAATAATAACATAAAAGTTTTACTCAAAACCCTTCCTAAAATTTATTGCCGAAAACATAACTGATGAACCCACTAAGAAATATAAACTTTTCGAGACAATAAACAAAGATTTGGCGGTGAGTAAAATGGATTCGATTGATAATTTATCTTATGAGCAAATGAAAGATTTAATACAAAAAAAAGTTGAAAAGAACAAAATTACGCGTATAATGGAAGTTTTTAGTGCTAAACCAGATAGATTAGAGTCATCCAGAGAATATCTGGATAGGCTGCAGGCGTGCGGATCTGGCCTTAATTTAGAATTGATAGCGGTTCAATTCATTATTAATTGTCACAATGAGAGATTAAAAACAAGATTGATAGAAGAAAACACGACAGACTTGATTATCATTTAGGAGATTGTTGTCAAATGTCAATCATTGGAGATTAATAATAAAAAGTCCTTCATTGAAAAAGATACTTGGAGAAAAGATGACAGATTTGATAGAGGGAATTTGGTTATTCAGTCAATGTTTATTAAAAAAATTGTTATGATTTTAATTATGATATTAATAATTTAGTTAAAAGGTTTGATTGTGTTTTTAATAATAAAATAGGCAAAGTAAAACATTTAAAAATAAATATTTTGTTAAAGGATGATTTTAAACCAAGATTTTTGAAGGCCAGGAGAGTACCGTTTGAATTAGAAGAAGAGTTAGGTAACATTCTAGAACAATGGTGTCAACAGGGCATAATAACCCTTGTTATATTTTCCCAATGGGCGACACCATTAGTTTTGGTTAAAAAGAAGGATAATGCTTTGAGAGTTTGTGCTGACTTTAGGGTCACTGTTAATCCACAGTTAGAAAGGTTTGAATATCCGCTGCCAAGGATAAGTGACATTATTGCTAAGGTCGGAAAAGGCAGATTATTTCAAAAATATACTTTTCCTCGGCTTATTTGCAAATACCTATTTCTAAAGAAACTTCCAAATTTTTAACCGTTTCAACCCATAAAGGTCTTTTTCAATTTAATTAAATCATATTCTTTGATCCAATCTAGACCACATAAAGGTGGTCCCTCCCCTTCCAAATCATAAAAATCTAAATATTTAATCGTATTTAGAAATTTGACCTTACAATTAATAACTTTACCAATGACTGTGATAGGCGACCCTTCATACGAGAATAATTTCTTCGAACAACTTTTCAACTCCATATCTTCATCCTTCGCAAGCTTTTCATACTCTTTCATGGGCAAGGATGACACCGGAGAACCAGTATCTATCATCAAAGAAAAATCATAATTATTAATTTGAAGGTCAATCATAATATCATTAATAAAATTAATTTTATTTCTTGGCCTTAAATTATAAGGTGTTTGTATCATATCCGTCTTTTTGAAATTGTTGTTGTTGTTGTTGCTGCTGTTGTTGTTGTAGGTCCTACCATTATGCTTGTTTTCATTCCATGTCGTATAACATTGTGCACCATATCTGTCATCTTTTCTCCATGTATCTTTTTCAATGAAGGACTTTTTATTATTAATCTCCAATGATTGACATTTGACAACAATCTCCTAAATGATAATCAAGTTTGTCGTGTTTTCTTCTATCAATCTTGTTTTTAATCTCTCATTGTGACAATTAATAATGAATTGAACCGCTATCAATTCTGAATTAAGGCCAGATCCGCACGCCTTCAGCCTATCCAGATATTCTCTGGATGACTCTAATCTATCTGGTTTAGCACTAAAAACTTCCATTATACGCGTAATTTTGTTCTTTTCAACTTTTTTTTGTATTAAATCCTTCATTTGCTCATAAGATAAATTATCAATCGAATCCATTATACTCACCGCCAAATCTTTATTTATTGTCTCGAAAAGTTTATATTTCTTAGTGGGTTCATCAGTTATGTTTTCGGCAATAAATTTTAGGTCAAGGGTTTTGAGTAAGATTTTTATGTTATTATTTCCATTCTCCACCATGACGCAAATAAATAATAATTGCGCTAAAAAGAATCGGTAGTAGAATAAGAATATGTAAGTCTGGTTGCGCTAAAAAGAATAAGTAATAGGATAAGAATATGTAAGTCTGGTTTCGCTTGCTTTAGAATAAATAATAACGATATCTCTAAATAATAAAAAAATGCGATTAAATTTATTCTTTTATTAGTGTTTAAATAAAACGCAAATATATATATATCAAGTCGTTAAAAAAGTAATTTTTATTAGCAAGTAAAATTATCGCGTGGTAAGAAAGTCAAAAACTTCAAATATATATATATATCTAGTAAATCAATTTAAGGTAAATCAATTGATGGTTTGAGGCTTCGTATGTAGAAATAAAATAATATATTATTTAGTGAATGTTTTTGTATATGTAAATAGTCATAGTTTAAAGCTTCAATTAACTTTGTATATTATGATATTAAATTATATTATGCAACATGCACCTCCTCAAAAAAAAACAAAAAAAATATATAAACTATATAATTTAGATTTACATATAGGAAGAAAATAATAACAATAATGCAAAGGGGCTATAACAAACTTTGACCTTAAAATACAAATTGGTTAATCATGGGAAAACATAGGATAATAATGAGGGGACGGATTATGTATTATATTGATTTGAAAATATATGTATAATGGGGAAATGGCACCATAATTGTACATGATAGTTTCTTATGTAATTACCCTTAACAAAAGGTATAGATTACACTATCTATAGGTACAATTAACACTATAGGTGTCCAATAATCAATCAATATATTTGGAATAAAATTCATATAATGAAGAAAATTACTAATGAGGAAATGGCACCATAGTTGTACATGATAGTTTTTTATGTAATTACCCTTAACAAAGGTATAGATTACTCTATCCATAGGTACAATTAACACTATCGGTGGCCAATCATCACTAAATATATTTTGAATAAAAATTAATATAAAGAATTGGTTAATTAAATGAGACAACATAGGGTAATAATGAGGGGACGGGTTAGGTATTATATTGATTTGAAAATATATGTATAATGGGGAAATGATACTGTTATTGTGTAATTAACAGCTGATAATAGGGAAAGACTGGGAAGGGGTTAACATATATATGTATAATGGGGAAATGGTACTGTTATTGTATATAAACAGCGGATAATAGGGGAAAGAATGTGAAGGGGTTAACATATCATATATGTATTTACAATTTATTGTAATGTTTTTATATTAAAACTATAAGTGACAGTCACAAATTTCTGATTTGATCAATGTGCGCTAGCACCACCTTATTATCTATTTTTATTTCCCAAATAACATTACTGATTCTCCCAATAACAATCCCTACACGCCATTCTTGAGTGACGCCTACTTTGACAAAAACAGAGTTGCCAAATGTTAATTCTCTGAACTTTATTCTTTTAATTTTAAGGTCGTATATCACAGTCATTGTCCTTCAAAAAACTCCATTTCCATCTTAGTTCACTGCCGAATAATTTAAAAGCAGGTGAAGTTTTGGTTGTCGAATGTGTGGTATTGCGATAATTTAATAACACCTCTTACAATAACCTATCATCCCAACCACCTAATTTATAAATCATATTCTTAGCTGAGGGTACCGCTCTTTCAGCCATACCATTTGAAGACGGATGGTATGCAGGAGTAAATATATGTGTTATACCTTTTTTTAATAGAAAATTCTTAAAATCATACGACCTAAAAGCTGGTCCATTATCAGAAACCAACTCTACCGGGTAACCAAATCTAGAAAATATATTATTTAATACCATAATCGTGGTATTCGTAGTAATATTTTTAACCTTGATAATCTCAAGCCATCGAGAGTACCCATCAATTATTACTAATCCATAATAATTCTTAATGGGTCCAAAAAAATCAATAAAAATACGATACCAGGGTCTGCTCGGATCTACCCAATGATTATTTCTAACCCTTGGTAATTTTGGAGCATTTACCATACACATATTACACCTAAAAACCATTTCCTTGATGTCTCTTTTAACCCCGGGCCACCAAGTATTAAATATTCTTCAGAGATGATAAATCATGGAGTGAATAAAATCTATATTCAAGCCTTATAAATTTAAATCTACCATCAGTTACGAAATATTTTAATACAATAGAGCCATTTGATGAATCTGAAATGGTTCACTGATTCGAGGCAAACATTTATCCAAAATTTAAAAGTGAAATAAAAAGGGTTATTAAATATAGCTCATATTTTAGACGAAACAATCATTTATTGGGGGATAAAAAAACAAAATTCGAGATAATGCACTTAATATAGCCTTGGCCATGAAAACGAGAAATTCCAAGGCGGTTAATCTCAACTTAATTTTTATAATAAATTTTACGGCTCTATTGTTAAAAATGTCATTTTTAATTGTTTAAATGTTTAATTAATGGCTTTTTAAATGAAGCAGATATTTTCACTAAAACAATTTTTAAATATTAACAAGCAAAATTTGATTTTAATAATTCTATTTAGAAATGTATAAATATTATGACCTTGGAACAAAACCCATCAATTGTTGAATATTGTAATTGGATAAATATATTAAAAATACGGCTAGATATTGATATTTTGTTTCAGGAGATAGCATTCGCGATATTATTTTCTCGGTAATGAATATGCTTTAATATGATCGCGATTAGAGGTGGACGCGGGTCGTGGACACGATGGGTCACAGCGTGAGTGTGAATAAATTTTAAATTATAAGACGTGACTGGGCGTGACAGGCTGTCCCAAAATTTTGGCCGAGCGTGATTGGGCGTGAACATAAATTTCCCATATCATAGAAATTTTAATTTTTAAAATTGTTTTTTATGAATATAAATTTGCAATTTTATAATTATAATATATATTTTCTAATTTAATTTAATTCTTTTTGAAAAAAGAATAATTATTGAAACAAAAAAACTTCCGCATTTTATAAATTATATTTTTTTTCCGTCTTATAAAATTTCAATTAAATAAAAAATAATAAATCTTTCAATTCTCGTTCAGCAATGGAAATTTTGGAATAAACAAATTTAATTTAAATATGTTACTAATCATGTCAAATTATAATCAATCAAAATTTATAAGAAGATTAAATATCTTAATAACTAATTTTAAAAAAATATATACATTCAAATATTAATTTGACTTTTCTCTTAGCCTCGCAATTGTTTGATTATATATTAAAGGATTTAACCTTAATATAAAATATTTAGAATGATTATAATAAATATACTTAGTACGTAAAGTCAGATGCACATACTTAAATTTTTATCAATATTCAAAGAATGCTCAGTAATCTGAGCACTGATTCTAGTCCCATAATAAATTAAGTTTATCTATGGGAACAAAAATTGGTAAAATTTTGTCATTCTGAAGGTGATACAATAATAATCAAAACCCTAAAAACAGGACAACATTTCTCAATAAAGGAAAGGTTTATTCTGCAGCACTACATAAGTTAGACATAATTCTAAGTCTGAATTTCAAAAGTTTTAAGTTTTTAATAGACGAAAAAAAGGAAGATATATATAAAACAATTTTAAAAATGCTAAATAATATAATATTAGATGATATGGATAAGTCAATGCCTACTATCATTTATAACTTTTCTAATTTATTATCACACATAAAAAAACAGAGAATTTCTAGATTATTTAGATGAAGCATTAACATCCAAAGATGAAAGTAGATTCATAAAACAAAAGAATGACATTGGAAGCAGGAAAATTCATTTCCTTATTTGAGAAAATTAGCTAGTAAAATTTTGTTGGCCCCTGCAAGTTCGGCTACTGGTGAAAGGTTATTTTCTATAGCCAATCGTTTATTAGAGGAAAGACGAACACAATTGAAATAAAAAAACATGAACTTTCTTCTTTTTCTAAATAAATATTTTGATTTATAAATTATAATTATTTTGTGTTATTAATATGGAATTAAAGAAATAAAAACTATGATAGAATAAATTCAAAAGAGCGTAAAATTATAGCAATAAAGTTTTGAAAAATTTAAAACCGTCATGAATTTTCGGGCGTCAAGGGAGTGATCAAAATATTGTCCTTCGTGAGAGGGCGGGTCGGGTCAAATTTTTTTAGCAGTAAGCGTGAAAGGACGTGATTTTTTTTTATTACCACCGTGAGCAGGGAATAAAAAATTAGACCTGCGCCCACCTCTAATCGCAATAATGTTTTAATGGAAATGCATTTGTTGTAATGGATTCGCGACATTGTTCTCGCAGTAATGCATTTGCTATAATATGTTTTCCCAATTCATGGAAAGATCTCAATGTTGACGTGATACAATATTAATATGTTTATAATAAAAGTGAGAGACCTGCAGGCCTGGCCCTACCCAGGTAAAAGGGCTGGATGGTATTTTAAATTTTTAATACATGGCCCGGACCTGATGGGCCCCTTATATTTTAAAAAAATCGGGGCGGAAAAAATATAAAACTCAGGCCAGGCCAAATTTTTTTAAAATAAAATTCAGGTCGGACCATGCAAATGGCACCTCTGCAGGTCTCTGATAAAAGTATTAAATAAATTATACAATATATTATTTTGCCTTTTGAATCTAACAATTTAATTGATAACCACCTCTCCTCAATAAATTCACCCTACCCCCTTCAAAAAATTTGGAGGCATAATTCTCCTACTCCCCACCTCCCCCTCATGTAGATGCTACCCCTGTTGTTTGTAAAAGTATGATAAATATACAATTTGTCTCAAAGTTTAAATTTTTTATTGTTACCGGGATAAGCATTGACTAAATCACCGCACACGATAAAGAATTTTGGCTTGGGAATTAGGTTGTTAGCTATTTCGATCGCTTTTTCAGTTAATTTGATCTCTTTGTCCCAATTATACTCTGAAGAAGTATTTTCCTTTAAATAATATATTATTAAGATTTTTATTATCTGTCCCTATTATATTTTTTTTCTACCTGGCTCATCATCTTATTCATTTGTACCATCCCACATTACTTCCTCCCTTTTCATCATGTTGCAAACAATTCTTTCAAGATATTGGAACCGGAAATTACTGGATCTTAGATCTCTTTTTTTCTAAATCTATAAGAACTAGAATCTATTTTTAATTTCAAAGTTCTAACAAAGGCACAAATAATTTTTATATTACTGTTTAAAAAATGTTGTGCAATTCATTTTAGATGATTAATTTATTTCCTAATTTTTTTTTAATTTGAAGAGTTTAGAAACCGTATTAATAAGCATATTGAACCATTTTTTTTATCAAAATTGTGAGTCCCAATTAAATTCCTATTAATTAGAATATAAATCAGAAAATACCTTGATAAATTGGACAACTATCTTTGTTGAACAAAAATTTTGGTACCAACAGGACCCATTAGACAGGTTTTACTGTATTTTCATCAAAGACCTGCAGATGAACCATTTGCAAGGTCTAGCCCTGATTTTTTTTTAAAAAAAAAATTTCCCCTGCCACAACTGGGTTTTATATTTTCAGGCCTAGCCTAGATTTTTTTAAAAATATATTACATTTATACAAAATTTTATAGCTAATAATGGCATTTTCAACTATTTTTTATTAAATACATGGCCTGGTCTGGCCATTTTTTTAAAAAATTTTTAGGCCTGACCCTATTATTTTAAAAGAAATTCAAGCCTAGCACAGATATATTTTAAAAAATAAAAATATGGCCTGGCCTATGTACCTAAGCTTGCAGGTCTCTGATTTTCATTGTTACAATGTATTATAAATCTAAATTATAGCTTACTTATATCCAGGGTTGAAAGTTCCTGAGTATTTTTTTTATTAAAAATTTTTGTCCTGACCTAGGCATCTTTTTTAAAAAATTTTAGGCTTAGTATAGGTTTATTTTAAAAAAATATACAGCATTGCATATATATCTAGATTGGGTTTAGGGCCAGGCCTAAGGTCCAAGATAATTTCTCTCATTATTATGTTTTATACATTTCTTTAGTTTTGTGTTATCATTAACAAGTGCTAGGTCATATATTGTTAGATAATTTATTTATAAAATATTTACAAATTGCTATATAGTCAATATTTTAAGTTTATTATTAAAATCAAGTATATTTTAAAAATATTCTTAATCTAAATTTACAAAAAAAAACAAGCTCTGTATTTATTTTACACTCATTTAATCAGGAAAAATTAGGATTTATTAACTTTTTGGGTGGCCAGATGAAAAATGTCAGAGAAATAATGCCCATATTAATTACCCATTTGAATAACCTTAATTAAATTAATGTCCACTCCATGTAAAGCATCCCCTTTTCTCTATTAAAATATTTTAGCTATGACATTTTTTATAATTCATTTATTAAATACACCCAAGAATTAATATAGTATTATTTAAAAAATAGATAAATTTTTCAAATAAATTTATAGAAATAGTTATTAACTTCATTCTACAAAATTATAATCAATATTGTTATAGTTGCATTCTTTCATAATATATTTGAAAAAAATTTACTAACTTTAAGAGCATCAATCATTCCATATTGAGTGTCTGCTGCTTGAATAAAAGTAAAGGGAGCTGACCATTTTGATTCTAGAATTCTCATTATTAATTAATAATATAACAAAAAGATACTTGAGGAATATGGTAAAAAGGTATGGTTTTTGGACATAATTTGAAAGTGTACCTGTGTCATTGCCTTCATTTTAACGAAGATTATAAAATTTAGAAGAAAATTTTGAAATTGCATTTCAAAAAATTTATTTGTTAAGTGATCTTTCGTCTATAAGACGACGATATAAATTAATGAAAGTTGAATTTTAATTCAGCTCAAAGGGAATTGTACCGATAGTTTAGTTTTAGTTTATTTTATGTTTAGGTATTTTGTCGCGAGACATTTTGCTAACGGCTGATTGAGTAAAATTATTAGTGAGATCATCCTTGTTTCTAAATATAGATTTATAAAATTATCCGAGAAACACTTGTCAAATTAAATTCATCCGCACCGTTAAATTTGAGGACGCAAATAAAAGTGCGCGATTCACGGATAAAGTTTTACCTAATATATGTAATAACGATGTATGTGAAGGAATTAAAAATTCTAGCTAGATTTATGAATTTTAATAATCTGAGTCAGGCCGATTAAAATAAAAAGAAGTATAAATAATTATAGTCATTAAAAAATCATATAATGGAGCATATAATATTCCTTTACTGCTGAAATTTTCAATTTTCTTTTGAAAACAATATGCATAATTATTCAAAATAACGGCAATTTAAAAATTTTCTAGGTGGGGGCAAAAAATTATTAAAAATCCAGGGGTCAACAAATTTCCAAAAAATGCATAGGATCCGGGCCAACATGAATATCGATAATTTTGTGTGGTATATTATTTATATTTTTCAAATTCAGGTATAATTTTAATCCTCGAGATATCTGATATGTGTTAATTGTTTTTATTAATTATTTAAAAATTAATTTTCAAAATTTTTATTTGATAAATAAGGTTTTATAAACTAAAATTGAATTTGTTTGCTAATATAAAAACTCGCTCAGCGGAGCTGAAAATGGTATTATATTTGGAATAATTCTAATTTCTCAAAGTTTATTGGAAATAATTAATGTGTTATCACCTTTTATCTCAAAAATTTATTGGGCAATCATTATCCTAATTTTCCACCAATTATTGGTAAAGAAGAGATTTTCAGAATAGACTCTGTTTCTGTTCTAAAGCTTCTACTACATCATTCGAGTAATTTCTTCAAATATGCTAGTTCATTTGTAAATATTTCATTCTGCTTAAGCCTTACCCAAGGTCTTTCTATAAATAACTAGTGTAATATGATGGAAATTATATGTGATCTTCAAGAAGTATAATGCACACATCAAAAAGTAATAAAATATAAACCATATGAGAGTAATATAGAGACTAGTCAGATAGGAAAACGTTATTTAAAAACATTAAGGAAACAGATTATCTTAAATTTTAAAAAAATATTTGAACTTATTTAAATTAAATGAGCGTTAGAATAAAATCATGCCATTCACCATTTATTATAAAAAAACAATTTTTTTAGATGATATGTTTAATACTTAAGGCAATGCTGACTACCATAGATATGGTCAGAAATTTTTCATGATTTGGCTCCCATAAATATAGACACCTTAAAACCAATTGAAGGGACATGATTAGAGTTGCCTGATCTTCCGCTTTTGACATAATCTCCCGATTTATATTTCTGTTTATGCTAAAACTCGCCGTCTATTGATTTACGCTTCAAGTTTACTAAAAAATATTCTCTCAAGTTTTTTTATATGATAAATCATATAATTACTTACTCTGATTCTGATAATTTTTACGAAAATGTGAAGCAAATATTTTATATAATTTTTAGAAATCAATCTATATAAAATGTTATTTTAGTAGCAAGCAATTTATCATCAAATAATGGAAATATTAAAACATTCCCAATAATGCTGCGCTATTTTAATAGAAGGGAGATGTTTCAAGAAACTTCTAAAAAATTTCATCGGATCGGATAAATCGAACGATATCGCGTCTATTCTTGTGCAGAGCATTGAAAATTGTAACCTTTCATTTTACTATCAAATGTAAAAGCTTTTTCGGCCAATAACGCAAATGTGGATTTTGGGAAAAAGCAAAGTGAATTATTAGTTTTGAATGAAAATAATATCCCCGTTGGTTTCCTGTGCAATATAATTCACATGCAGGAATAAAGGGGCATGCTTCATTAACAATAGAAATAGATAATTAGTTTTGAATGAAAATAATATCCCCGTTGGTTTCCTGTGCAATATAATTCACATGCAGGAATAAAGGGGCATGCTTCGTTATCAATAGAAATAGACATAATTGGTATAAAATGTTATGCCGAATTCAGAAGATTCACCAGGGTATCTGTTTTGAAATAAATTATGGATACTCAGGATATTGATTGGCCCAGACATTTAAGAATTGTTTCAACAAAATGGTCTTCATTAATACCATGTATCGAAAGACTTAATAAAATTTTCTAGCTATTAAATCTTATATTTTTTTTATCCCCAAAAATCCCAATTGAATATTAAAATTATTTTAAAAATGTATTGGCCATTCGGAAAGATCGTAATCAGTTATCTTTATCAGCTTTCAAAGCGAAATTAATGATCAAACATAATTTTAACTATACTTGTAAAGATTTAGGAATATTTAACAAAAAATAAAAATTGAATTAATAGCATAAAATCTTCTGAAATATATGAATAAAAATATGAATGATCTTTTAAAAAATATCTAATAATTTTAAAATAAAAAATAATACATCCTTTATTTTACTGTTGCGAATTAGATATATTCATTTAAATAAAGAAATAATCACCGAAAAGAAAAATTATTTTTAAAAAAATTTTGAATTATAATTAAATTCTCTCGCTTTTTGTTTGAATGAATCTAGCAACTCTGGCACTGTCTCACTGATCTTTTACACATATATCGATGGTGAATGTCCATCTCAAGTCGTGGGTTGGGAAATAAAAATGTTGTAAATAAGTGTTAAGGGGCCTAGAGAAAGGCCTAAAGTTGAGCAAAGATGGGAAAAGTTCTACAACTTACTAGCCTAGACTTTGGAGAGCTCCTGTTGTGAGAGCGAAGATACCCTTTAGAGGAAAAATAACTTTAATAAAACTGATGACATATAAAAAACAAATATTAATAATACTAGTAGTTAATAATACTAGTAGTTAATAAAAATAACTTTTATTTCAATATAATTTTTGTTATACGATGATTTTAACTTAATATCACATTGAATCTTTGAAAAAATATATAAATAATATTTCTATAAATATTTTTAAAAAAATATATAATATATTAGATTAATAATCTAACTAGTCAATTTTTCTAATTATTCAAAATTAATCTAAAAATATAAATGGATATGCAAACCAAATGAATTGAACTATTATGCAAACTCCAATGAAGGATCATTGCTATACAAATATTTTGGTATATAGAAGTAATATAAGATTTGAATATTAAGCAAAAAAATTATACATGGAAAAGAAATATTTAAAAAAAATTGAGAGGTAAATTTTATACGTCACCACTCAAATGTTCTTATGTTTCGAAAAATATTATATAAATATATTATAAAATAATTTGATTGTTTTAAAAATTAACGTTTAGGAGGAAATATTTTCTTTAGATGAAAAATTTATCTAAATTAAATATTTCTATTTCTAATGATCATTATAAATAATAATACTGATATTAGAAGCTAAAATTTTGAAATACATTATAAGACTAAATAAAATACAAAAGGTATAAATAAAAATTAGAATTGGAATGTGAACAATTCGTACAAAATATACAATATGCGGGCAGCTATTCATTTAATAACCCCTATTAAATTAAAGGTATTTTTATTCAAAAATTATAATAAAAGAATTATATTTAATTTTTTGAAATGTTAAAAACTTTGTTTATCAATAAATAAAAAATGATGGCCTGATTAAAATTATAAATTCCGGGGTACAATCTTTCATATATACAATATGCGGGCAGCTATTCATTTAAAAATAACCCCTATTAAATTAAAGGTATTTTTATTCAAAAATTATAATAAAAGAATTATATTTAATTTTTTGAAATATTAAAAACTTTGTTTAGCAATAAATAAAAAATGATGGCCTGATTAAAATTACAAATTCCGCAGTACAATCACTAAATTTCCAACAAAAAAATCTATAATTGTAGGAATGGGTCTTTAGAATCGAATGAATCGAAGGAGAGGTATTTATGAGTTATTTGGTCAGAATAAACTTTGACCAGACGAAACCCTGATTTGTCGTTGCCCAGCTGACAACCAATAGCAGACGTGGTAACGACTTCCAGCGTATCTTGATAAAAACCGCCAGCATTTCTATGGTAATGTCCACAAAATATTTTGGTTACCCCTTTAATTTTTTTTATAATTAGGGTAAAACATATTGTAAAAAATATATAAAACTGGTATTGTTAAATGACTAAATTTAGTTAACTAAAAACAGTACTCAAGTTGAGTTTTTGGTCGAAGAATAAACTCCGACTCTGAGGGACCAAACTAAGTACTTAAATGTAGCGTCATTTAAATGCCCTGTTTTAGCTTTTAATAATATAAAGGATTCTATTAAAAAATATAACTATACCATTTTACTTTTATCTATATATCAGAGATTTGCAGAGGTACCATTTGCACGGCCTCCCATTTGAAAAAAAAAATTTTCGGCTAAGCCCGGATTTTTGGCCAGGGTTTTTAAATTTTTCGACGGCCTTGGTTTTTAATTAAAATATACCATTTCGTATGGATTGTTTTTCAGCGAATATGAAATCCATATATCAAATTATCTTATCACCTCATTTATCGTAAAAGAAGTGTTTTTCAATTCAACTGGTCGATGGTAATTCCCTCCCTCTTGTAATTTAATATAGTCTATTATATAAGTATCAGTCATTTTTTGCTCTCTCCCATACAACATACGTAATTTCCTGAATTTGTGACAGAGAAAAGGAGAAACTTATCTATAATAAATTTTTCCCTCAAAAAGTGTATATTATTTTAAACATTGAGTTATCTTTGTTGTCTTTAATTTGATTGAATATTACATTGATTAATTTGAATAATTAAATATTTTTTAAGGATCGAAATGGAAATAGGATAAGTGAATAAATGTTATATTGTTTTATGATACACAATTTTTAAATATATTTTATTTATTTTTAATTTTTATAGATAAGAATGACGCTTAATTAAAGCCAGGCTCAGCTATATTTATAAAACGGGTCGGGCCTGCGTGGCCTGCAAGTTCTCTGATATATATATAAACAGAAAAGTAAAAAAATATCTATAAAGATAGTAAAATCATAAGATTCAAAAATATTTTGAAAATAATTTATAATTTTTTTTTATGGAATAGGTTATATTATCAAAATAAAGATATGCCTAGCCTAGCCAAGTAAAATATTCTACCGAAAATAAAAAATATTGGCGCTAGTCGACTAATTTGGTCGCTCGATTTTGCTGTATTACAATATTTTATTCAGATTTTGCTGTATTACAATATTTTATTCAAAAATTATATTTATCAGCACAATCATTTTATTTTAAATATAATCTTTCCAATATTTAATTGATAATTTCTAATTATATAAATCCGCTCATTTTTTAAAATTATGCTTACTTAAAAAATAAAAACAAACTTAACTAAGTGCTTCAAAATTATGTTAGGCTTAATTTTTCCGTTGTTTTATTCCCGTTTTTTACTTAACTTTTAAAATATTTACATAAATAATAATAATATATTTAAAAAAAAAAAATTATTTTAAAAAAATGAAAAGAAATCTTACCATAAGATTTAAAAAGTTCCAACATTTTAAATCGCAACTCTTTTTTGAGGTTAAACGAGCCCTGAGAAGTTTCGCCGTAATCGTAAAAGATCATTTCTTCGTCCGATTTGAATAAGAACCAAGGGATATGTTGGAAGGCTATAATGTGTTGAGCATTGTTTTCTTTCCCGTCCTCGAGTTCAGATATTAACCAATCATCTTGCTCCTTGCTATATTCTTTGACCTTAATTTAATTTTGGTAAAGTAAAAGCATTCTACTTCATTTCCCCTATTTGTTTTTATAATAAAGAATCTAATCATTAGCCTGCATTAATTTCGTGGTGAAGAATATAAAAACACAACATAATTTAATTTTTTTTAAATTGACTGAAATATAAAATATTTTCCTTAATCTAAGAATTCAGATAAACTCAATTTAATATCAGTCTGTCGACTCGATGCTTCCATAAGATCTTATAAAAATATGAAAGGTATGCTGGTTCGACTTAGGCTACTTATGAAATGACACCCTATTTTGGCAGGTTTTAAATATTCGATAGAATTCGTATTTATTTCTCGTTTTTGAAAAATTTTTCTTTTGTTTTTTAGACTGTTTAGTATGTCGAACAAAAACACACCCTAAGCATTTTTTTTTCTAAAAGAGAAAATTTTAGATGAACAAAAAAAGTAGTGTTTCTTAAAATATTGATTATAGATCGATATTGTTTTGCATCATTTACAAACGCTTTTTTTTTATCATATCAAGAAATATTTTATGATGTTTAAATAGGTGTTTATTTGTTTATTTTCAAAGTCATATCATAATTTTTTTTTTAAATAATAAGATATTTTTAAATTACAATTTTTTTGGGGTCTTCCCTTCAATGAAAATAAAAAATTAATGTTTTTTTTTGAAAAACTTATTATTTTTTAATGTACCCTTCAATGAAAATAAAAAATTTATGTTTTTTTTTAAAAAGCTTATTATTTTTTAATGTATTATCCCAATTTTAGAAGCGGAACTTTTTAAAAAAAACATCATTTACAAAAAAATGGTACTAAGTAGTAAAAAGCTAGTTAATAGATGTATAAAGTATAATGGTGTGGCCACGTAAAGAAGAAAGACGAATCATTTAGGTAGATTATTAAAATGATACGAATAAAAGATGGTACATACAATGGAGAAAGAGAGGTGCCTAAACTAGAATGAGAACATATAATAAAAAGCGACAAGAACAAAGTAGGGAAATCTAGAGGTTTCAATGTGAAAGTAGGTTTTTATTTGAATTGGATGCTGAGTCCTTTTTTGATTTATGATATTCCTGGATACGATAATGGGTTTTAAGTTCGATACCCCGTGGAATAAGATTTTCGCAGAAGACTATTCTGACTGGAAAAAAATATGGAGTAAAAGTGTGTTCAGCGATATACGCCTGTGGAAAAGTGTGAAAATCAAAACAATTAGGGGATTTTTTTAAAGAGATTTTGAAAGAAATGGGAAAGGGGGAGTAGGAGGTAGGAGCTATTTTGAAAGATTTTATAATTTGAGATTGGTGCCTGTGATGATATTCTTGGAATAAATGAATAGAAAAGAAATAAGGGTTGTAGTGAGTCCCCCCCCCACACTAAATTGTCATGAATAAGTCAATTATTGGGGAAAGAAAGGCGACAAGACATATTTAATAATTTTTGAAAATAATAATGATAGTTGCTTGTAGATATACATGTATTCGCGTGTATTATAATAATTAAATTTAGCCAGTTCATTGTGAAACTGTATTTTAATTTTTTTAAATATTTTATTTTTAGATATAAGAATTAAATTTAGCAAGTTCATTGTGAAACTGTATTATAATTTTTTTTGATATTTTATTTTTAGATGTAAGAATTAAATTTAGCAAGTTCATTATGAAACTGTATTTCTGCGTTTCCCTATAAAAGGGAAGCGAAATTTAAAATTCATTAATATATTTTTTTATTTAAAAATTCAAATGTTTTTTTATCCGAAATTATAATTTGCTGATTTAAATAAAGTTGAAATTAATCCAATTTTGTGTTAAATCATTTTTGGAAAGATATCAATCGAATAAGAGCAAACTAATTAAGCGGACGGACATGCAGAATCATTTTAAAAGATAATAAGGATATAAAGGAAGAGGGAATAAAGGAAGTGAATGGAATAAGATATTAACAAAACCTGAAAACAAATTAGAAATAATGAATATCATATTCAAATATTGATTCATTAATTACATGAGTATCATCGAAATAGTATTGAGAATTGAGGACAATGCACTTGACTCCGTCGACCCAAAATGAAAAATAATCGTCTCCAAAATCTCTTCTATAATCGAGGACGTCTTTTGAGGTAGGGTAGTTTCCTATATCGTGATTACCGCATACACAGATCAGAGGAATTTTAGGATCTAATTTGTTAAAGGTTTGCTTGAAGGAAGATATTTGGGAAGACTTCAGTTTTTGGCCTAAATTTATATTTGAATCAAAAGAGAAATAGTAAGGTTCATTTCAGAGACCTGCAAGCTCGACCTGGGTACACGGGCCGGGCCGTATTTAAATTTTTTAAATATATCAGGGCAGGACTTGATTTTTTTATTAAAAAAATACCAGGGCCGGGCCATATATTTTAAAAAAGACCGGGTCGTGCAAATGGTACATCCGCAGGTCTCTGGTATATATCAAAATCTGGATAATATTAATTTTTGAGAAATATAAAGGGGAAAGGGGGTTGAGCAGTGCTTAGGTTATTGAAAGCTTAACGTTAAATATAAATATTTTTATTTTATTAAATTCTATAAAAGAAATGTGATAGTAATTCGAGGTCAGAGGGGTCCGAGGCATGGCTCCTGGGTTAGCAAAAAGATATTTGGGCTGAATAACTTGTATAAAACCGGGTAAAATAATTACGAGAAAAAATTTCTATGGATATGTTGGGGCTGGTCGGCTTTGACTTCTATGCTATCAAAAATTATTTAACTAAATGGTGTTAATAAATTATAACAACAATATCAAACCAAGCATTAAAAAATATTAAATGCATTATTTATGAATATAATCACAGAGTGAATAAATCATACGCATATTAATAAGATTTTGGCCAAGGGCGAAACAACCTAAATGGGGTCAAAAGATAAGGAAGGTTTTCATTGCAAATGTATTTTTATGAATTATTATGTGGTGTCATTGCGATATATGATATTATATTAGATATAAAAAGTACCTAAAAAAAGGTTGATATATAATAAAAAATTTATTACCGGGAAATGCATTGACTAAATCACCGCACACGATAAAAAACTTTGGCTTTGGGGTTAGATTGTTGGCTAATTCTATCGCCTTTTCGGTTAATTTGATCTCTTCGTCCCAGTTATACTCCGGAGTATTTTCCTTTAAAAATATTAACCAGTTTAAATTAATATTAAAATTTTCATCTAACGGTACCTACATTTTTAAGTCGATCTGAAACCAAATTTTAAAAAACGAGAATCGATATTATTAAACGGATCAAAAAAATTTAACGATACCAAATCCGAAATTCTTTTATTTTAGCCAACCGAATCGGGTAACTGATCTTATAAAAAAATATATACATATTGACTTGCATTATTATGGTGTGATCTTCTATCTAAAATACTAGAAAATATTTTTTTTTTAAATTCTCTCCCGAAAAAAATTTTAAAAAAATTGATATAGACCACTATAATACCCGACGATATATATTAACCTAAATTTAATTCCACTAAAAATCAGTTTGAAATTTTAAGCCCGATCCGGATTTGGAAGAAAAAAACCCCTTCTTTTGAAAAATTTTTGGTCAGGTTCTACAATTTTTAAAATTTTGTTATTTTTTTTCATAATAATTTCAATTTAAAATTAATTGTTTCAAATATCTTACACCGTGGATAATATTTATAGACAATAAATATCATTATTTAAATTTCTAAAAGAAAAAAAGAAAAATTTAATCTATCTTAATAATCCAAGTTCCGATAACCTAAATTTTAAACCCGCATGCTTTTTTTTCCTTAAGATTTTTTTTGCGATACGACTTTTATTTTCAATGAATACAATAAATTAAATTTTTGGATATGAGCTTGGATATTTTTTTGAAGCGTATTGTTTACTGGGTTGGACTTGGTAATTTTTTTTAAATATTAAATATGGGCTGGACTTTGGGCTTGAAATTCGGGTGGAGATTGGCATATTTTTTAAAATTGACAATAACAGTTTTTAAATAAAAAAAATATATAACGAGTCGCATTTGGCCATAATCATCGGCCACATTTTAAATGAGGTGATTAATTTTTTATGGGAATAAAAAAAGACAAAAAAATATTTAACCATATGTGATACTAATAATTGAATGAATCAAAATATTGTTAAGGTCATGAGATATGAAATTTTTTTAAAGTGTCCCCTGTTTAGTCCATAGTTTACAATTAGTTAATTTTTTGTAAATAAAAGTTATGGTATATAATATAACTCTGTAAAATAAATTTTCCATAGCTTATGTATCTCTAAAATTTAAATTGTTTTTATTTAAAAATATTTCATAGTAATTTGACAGATATAATGTTGTTAAACGGCTCACTTTTTTAAAAAAAGTGAACCTAATATTTTAGATAAAGCCTTGAAATTTAATTATAGATGTTCAAACCTTTCTCCCGCATATGAACAAAATTTCCAGCCTTACGTAATATTTTTTGGCGAATATTGGAATAACGTTTTTTTTTAATTGAGCCGCTTAACAACACTAAATAGAGAGTATAATATTTTTTATTCGATCTCCTGTCGTATAAATCTGTGTAGAGGTAGGACGCTACAGTAATCAAGCAGCAAAATATAAATAATGTTTAGATTTTTTTCAGTTAAAAAAAAAGCAAAATTGGCTATAAAAATTAAGATTATATTATATAAATACAAGATCTACATACCCAGAAGGCAACTAGTCGATATTTCAAAATCGATTAGTTGAGCAAAAATAATTTTTAAATATCCAGTCCTGGCAGATGCCACGATTGAGTCCATAACATAATTTTATGCCTAATTTTTGGCTCACTTAGGTTTTCTCAAATTCACTCTTTTCTCTCATTTTTTTAAATCTAAGCTAAGTTGGGGGTCTAAAATTTGGCATTTAAAATGATAGATTCCAATTAACTCTTAAGCAACACTCATATTTCTTGTTATAAGTTATACACCATGTAAAATTTATGAATTTAAAAAATAACTTTTGTTAGAAACAACATAAAAAAAAATTTCTAAAATAATTCTCATTTGTAATAAAATCAAAATATGAAATAAAAATTATTAAGAACACATATAAAGGCAATATTTAGCTTGTATGTTTTGACAAATTTCTTTTCCTAAGTACTTTAAGGGGTTAAAATTACAATGAATGAATACTAATGAATTACTGAGGACATGCTCATTAACCTGATATATCGTTTTCAAATATATTTTTAATAAAACTTTGAAAAGAGCACCTCAAATTTTAATATGATATTTACCCATGGGTTTAATAGTTATATATATAAAAAGATATAAAGATTTTTGCTTAGTATTATGTATATCATAATATATAATCCATATTTTTTTTATATTTTATTTAAAAACGATTTCAATTTATAAAATAATATAAATATATATCATATTAAAATAAAATATATTTAAAATTCTACGTTTTAAGAAAACGTGAGAAGATGCCTCTAGATAATGGCACCACGGATTGATATACAGTGTAACCTACATATTCAAATAAAATCTGTTGCCATAGGTAAAAACTTTCCTAAGGATCACCCAAAATTAAGTGAATTTTTTGATCAAGTAGCTGACCTGAAAGCACCGATTGTGTTGGAAACAAATGGGACTAGTAGGAATGTTACTATATTTATTAATTATTATAATTTCCACTCTAACCAATGAATCAGAATCAAAGGATGGTGTAAAAATATCAATAATGAAATATTAGGCCAGTGGGATTCCTTTGCTACATGGAATGAGTGTCATTTCATCAAGCCTAATATTGTGACTGAAATTAAGTCTTATAAGAAACAACATTCATGGAATATTGGTGGAGCAGAGAGCTCCAGCAATAATTGAATTTACTGCTTGCTGGCATGAATGGTGGGCATTTAAGAAGTAGCAATGATAAGAGTGATGGCCTAGGTTGTTAACAGGAAGATGACAGAGTTTGATAATTAATGATAGCAATTTCTTGCATTGCCTTAATTATTTCCTTCCTATGTAATAATTGGCAGGAATAATATTAAACTTCAAATTAGTATCAGTTTATGATCCCTTTTTGATAATATTATCAAATAAACTAATATTTTTACCTAATATGCAATTATTTTCATTTTTTAAAATGATTTTATATATTTTCTAAGAAAAGTTAATATAATACTTGTAATTTTTATGAATTTCATTTTATAACTTGAAATTTAATCAAGGAAAAATAATTTTATAAAAGGATTCCCTTATTAAAAATAAATAATTGGACTTCATACAATGTACAGAGATATAAAAAATAGTGAAATCTTTCAAAAGCACTTTGTAATTTTTATGTGAAGGTATGTTAAGGGTTAGAAAGAACTTATATTATTGACTAAATATATATAGAAAAACAAAGAAAGTATCATTTGAATGTATTAGTCAGAACATTGTTTGCTCTTTAAAAAATATTCCATAAAATTTGGCCCTTTCAATTTGAAAATTATAATGCTTACAAATTGAGCATTTGCAATTTATATTATATAAACATAAAACACATATAACCTTGTATTTAGTCAAAAATTCAAATGATATTAATTGAAATTTATTATTTGTGATTGACTCACCAAGGCATCATAATCACACAATTTAAACACTCTTATGATCCAGTTATAACATGCATTTCAAATATTATTTAAAAATAGTATTAATGATTTAAAAAGAGAAATATATTCACAAATTATTCGCAAGTGAGGTTACTGATTTAAATATAAAAATATTTTTATTTAAATCATAATATAGTAATCATTATATAAATAAAAATAACTTTAAAGGTATCCATCATTCCATATTGTGTGTCTGCTGCTTGAATAAAAGTAAAAGGAGCTAACCATTTACATTCTGGATTTTTCATTATCAATAAATAATAAAACAAAAAATACTTGAGGAATATGGCAAAAAGATATGATCTTTGGTTAATATATGAAAGTTCATTTCATAATTTTGAATCATGATACATCACGTCGGATGTCATTTATTTTTTCCTGCAAATATTAAAGTTGTATTAATACTAATGATTAATACGTTTTTTAATAGCCTAGCCTTAACTTTTCACACTCATATAACCCTTTGTTATCTACTCGAACAGGTTTGTATTGTTGATATAAATTTGGCCCTTCAATATGCCGAACCGAGATGTTGTATATAAAGAGGTCTGCAAAGCTCTGCACATTCCAAAGCCTGGTCAACGGACCGGGCTGGACTAATTTAAAACAAATTATACCGTCAAACAGTGCAAATATTTCTAACCTGTCCTGATGGGATATATATGCATATAAAAATAATTCGGCAGGCCGGACAGTTATAGGATTAAAAATCATTCAGGGCTTCCATCGATCCTTTATTTTCCGTAACATCTTAATAGGTCAGCCCGGGATTTAAAACTTTGATATATTTTTTATATTTTATGCTAATATTTTGAATTTAATTAATTCTATAAAATATTCTAAGTTATTTTTATGTATTAGAGCTGTCCACTCTATAGAATTAGATATTATAGTAAATTTATAAAAAATTAAATCGCTGCTATTTTTTAAAAAAATGGAAGGAATAGAAGAAAGATATAAGAGTCTTAATTGATATTGAGAAAGAATTCGTTATATATATTAAAAATGTAATGGCAAAACATCGTGCAAAAAATTTAACTCGGGTAGATTTTTCATAAAATTTAATAGGTTGGGCAAAAAAAAATTCGGGTTGGGCACCTTATGTAAATATTTACAACAGGCTGTAACGGGTCTATCTTTGTAGATCTTGAATATAAGGCCATGTCCAAACTTTTTACTTCAAATCTATTAAGATACAACTGCCCTATCTTGATTACCGTTCTTAAATGTTTTCCACAATAATTTTTACTACAAACTTACATATATTAGTAATAGGTAATTTACCAAAGTTTATGAAGGAGCCTAAATAGGACAATTTCCGCTTTAAAATCTATGATGCCACATTTTAAAATAAAGTTTTTTTTAAATTTGCAAAAAAATTTATATAATTTTTCTAAAAAAATACCCTGTATAGATATAACTCTTATACATGATATAAATATATAATAAACGTCTTCATAGGCCATACCTGTTGAAAATGAAAAGATTTGTAAAGCGACCATCTGTTCAAGGTTTAGTTTAAAAAATATTTATTCATTTTAGGTGCGGTTCCATAGAAAGCTACACAATACTTTTTGAAATACGATATGATTGGTGACAATATTGAGGTATACAATATTGAAAAAGATGGGTTAATTACTAATAAACGATTAATATACCTTATTATTATTAGGAAAGGTTCGAATGATAATCAAGATTCTTTTTTGAAATTCAACGAGTATATTTAATCACTTTTTCTGCATTTATTAAATTAATTAAAAGGACCTTAATTAAAAAGTCAGAATATTCACTTAGAAATCATGTTATTATTGCAGCTAATAACGGATATCAAAATTTAATAGACTCAGATGTATATAATTTTTCTCACCGTAATAGAGGGAAAGCAATAATTGTAAACAATAGGGATTTTGAAAATAATACTGGTTTAAATACACGGACAGGAACTGACAAAGATGCTCTTTGTATTCGAGATTCATTAATACATCTTGGATTTGATGTATCCTTGCATCACAATTTAAGTGCAAAAAATATTATGCATCTCATAAATCTGGGTATTATTTTTGATCATTTAGAATTGTAAAATTTTTTTATTTACATGCATATTTTTTATATATTTTTATACCCTTAAATTTTGTAATTGCATTTGGGAACTGAATAAAATTATAAATATTAAAATTTATTCTAGACCCTATTTACAAATTAATTTTTACCTGAGATTCAGTAATACCAATATTTTCAATTTTTATCAATGCCAGTAGCCAATGCCCATATTAATAATTAACCCTTATAAATTTAATTTTTAAAAAAATTGGCTTATATAGCCATGGATTTTAAAAAAATTTATTTTAAAAATATTTATTTTATAAATTTCTAAGCAGATAAAAAAAGAGATAGAAAGTTTTTAATAGTAAAATATTATGAATCATAAATTGAATATTAATAAAAAATAAAAATTTTGTTGCGGAATTAATTAAATTACAAAGTAGTAAACATATACAAAAATAAATTAGGGCTATTCAGTAAATGGAAAGACACTTTCTAATTAAAAATCAAAAAATATTGTAAAAATTGAGAGTGGAAAAAATCTTATCCATAAATTTAAGTTTTTTTGGTGTATCAACAAAAGAGGAGCATTGGTGAATCTCTTAATCTATACCAAATAAATAAAAGTTTTTATATTGTTGATGATTTAGTTCAGTTTGGAACCAATTTACAAAGGTCAAATCTTGTATCATAGTGGACTATGTATGGTCTGGATTGTTTTATGTTATAAATAGACTTGCTAGCCATTGAAACTAGGGCAGTACAATGTTTAAAAATCTAACTTATGGTTGGCAGCATACTTTTAATAATTTTTTTATCATGGGTCTAATAATGAAGCCAACACCATGATACATTATAAAATTTAAATCCCTTATTACCTGCTAGATATTTCTACACCCACTAAGCCAATCATGTATTGATCCTCACCCACTAAGCCAATCATGTATTGATCCTCTAAAATTTTATCCACTACCTAATCTTACCAAATTAAAATTAGCAAAAAAGGAAATCAAAATTGACAAAAAAAATGTTAACGAGATATCTTAATACTTATTTTTTGAACATATTTTTCTTAAGTGAAATAACCTCCAGGCTATTATTTTCATTTGCTAATAAATGTGTTTCTATCTCATTTCTGAAAAGTAATCCCAAGTTTAAAATATACTCTTTTTGCATGAAAGAAACTCAATTATTTCCTTAAATTTTAGTGAAATAATATCAAATTCTTGTTTTTGTAAGTAAGATAATTTTTTCTAACTTTTAAAACATTATTAGTCTAATTTTTTGAATATACTTTCGACTAAAATTAATTGGTCATTTTGATGAATGAATACAGATGCAATCTCGGTTTTAATAATCTCAAATTACTGGTTGAATATTTGGTCAAAATATATTTTATATCATTTTGAAGCCCTTTATATTCTCTTTTGAGACAAAACAAAAATCAGTTATTTTAAACTAGCCCCATTTTGGGACGATAAAATTTACTAGATGTGCTTATTATTACTAACATATTTGTAATAATTAGTTATTATTTCATACTTCATAATTTTGGGAAAGAAAAAGCCAAATATGAAGGCTCAATCTTTTTAAATAGAATATATTTTTGTATGTTCATCATACAATATTAAATACCTTTAAATATAGCAGAGACATCCAGAGATAAATATTTTATGCCCAATCTTCATGATTTAAGTTAATTGTTTGTTTTCAAATCCAAGAAACGATAAAAAAATAGTTTTGGCCCTATTCTAACAAGGCATTATATTGATGTACAAAAAACGGAAGAAGCTTGAAAATAAAAGTTTTTTTAAAAAAAAATCCTAAAAAACGCTGTTTTATTTTAATGCATGTTTTTATCAGAGCTGTGAACCCTCTCTCTAAATCGAAGACCAGAAAAATAATGACTTATAAAAATTAGTTAAAATAATAGAAACATAATTTTTTTTTTAAATAAGTTTTACCATAAGTTATAATACAATTTAAATATATTATTATATTTCTATTAAAAATTTTATTTAGGCGTATTATCATAATATCTTCTAAAATATCGTCATTAGACTTCCACGATTAAAAAAAAATTTTTTAAAAAAATGCTTGAACCCTGAATTTTTAAAAAAAGTTTGGGTTTAGGTTCTCAACCTTGATTATTATATAAATGATAATTATTTCTAACAATAGCATTCAAATGATAGATAATCATGATGTATGACATATATATCAGGAGTGCACATTATTATGGATATTACACATAATATATCTCAAGAAATTTTGTTAGAAACATCTTAGTATTATTACATTTCATTATATTAACAAAAGATATATAATTGTTCTATCGGTCCAGACCAATCCAAAGACTTCTTGCAAAGACCATCCGAAACCACGAAACTGAAATTAGGACCAAACTGGTTTGACCCAAACCGAGAAAATTGAACAAATGACATTCACTAATTCATACTAATAATTTTTTCCATATATAGATATGGTTAATATAATTTTATATAGAAAAAAAATTCTTTTTTTTTTAATATTTAAAAATATAGTCAGTCAAGGGGATTTTAGAGATGATGATTGTTTTGTATTCATCATCATGTCTCATGGTGAAGAGGGTTACTTGTGGGGAACAGACGATACTTTTAAATTAGAACAATTAACATCGTGTTTTCGAGGGGATGTTTGTAAAACACTAGCTGGCAAACCAAAATTATTCTTTGTACAAGTTTGTAACACAAATATACTATATGTTATATTAGTATTGTTAAACGACTCGATTTTAGCCTATTTTTAAAAAACGACTAACTCAATATTTGATCCAAAAAATATTATGAAAGCTTGAAGATTTTGTTCATCAACGGCACAAAAGTTTCGACATTTATTCGCGTTATCTTGAGGCTGAGGCAAATCTTTTCTGGCTAAAATATTAAGTTCGCCGTTTTTAAAATAGGCTTAAATCGAGCCATTCAATAACTAGATATAATATCTTTGTTTAAAGATATTACATGTGAAAGGTTTGCATTTTTTTATGATGAATAAGAATGTAATTTTTTAGTTTTTTCTTAAATTTTTTTCAATTATAAAAAACTACTTTTAAGTAGGACTGAGGGCTTCAAAAAGTCCCTTTGATTTTTTCAGGGACTTATATTCTATTCAGTTGGGGGTTTATGAGGCAATATTCTCATTAAAATTAGAGTGGTAGATAGTTACGACGACGCTATCGTTATTTTAATAAAATAGTGGGGTAGTTTTGATATCTTTTTTTTCTAATTTTGGTTTGATAGGAAAGGGGTATGGGGGAAAATTATAGATGGGAATAAGAGAGTAAAATTATTATTGGCTTAAGCGAGTGTAGAAACCTCTTGTTTTATTACGCATGGGTTATGGTTTTAAAATGGGAATAACTGAAAAATTAACATTATTTAACAAAAAACAATCCCATAGCCTAAAATTATAGATGCTATTGGCTGTTTTAATTTTATAGGATTAGCTAATTTTTAAATATTTTTTTAATTAATTTGAGTTAAATAAATTATCGCTTTTTGATGTTCTTAAACTGCTCGGTTTGAGTCGATTTTTAAAAACGGCTAACTCAATATTTCACCCAGAAAAATATTGCCTAAACCTCGATATATTGTTAATAGATGTTCAAACCTTTGTGCCATCTATGAGCAAAATCTTAAGACTTGTATAATATTTTTCCGGATTTTGATTTAGTCATTTTTAAAAATCAGACTCCCGGATCGTTTAACAATGCTATCGTTTTTGAAAAATTCTTGGCACAATAAATAGAAATTATAATAGTCTCTGCCCTACTTTAATATCATGCAAAAATGTTCTTTAACTGACGATCCTAAAACTTTTACAGTGATTTATATGGATTTGTCTCAATACGAATTATGATTAATACAAATAAACATTTTTTTAAATTAAATTAATGTTATTCCTTATTATCAATCACAGAAGTTGCAATTTAGTAACATTTTCCTTATCTTTTACTCTGATTATTATACTATTGTTTTTATTTTAAAGGCTTGCAGGGGAACCAGATTGGATGATGGGGTCGAAGCCACTGATGGCTACGATGTAACAGATTCCAAGGTTATCAAAAAAATTCCGGTGGAGTCAGATTTCCTTATAGCTTATTCAGTCGTTCCAGGTTTATTTAAAAAAAATTACTATATTATTGAATATTAGATAAAAACCGAGGTCTATCTAAATTAAAGTAAGCAAATCTGATTTTTATGATTCAAATCAGATTATTTTTTTTTCTAAAAAGTTGGATTTTATATGACCTAGGCTAAACATAGGGATTCATGAATAAAATTTTTATAGCTTTATTTCTTTTTTTTAATATCCTTATTCATATTGAAGAGGAATACCTTCATATTTTTTGCAAATATTATAAAATTAAATTTACACTTTGAAAAGATAAGTCCTATTATAAAATACAAAAAATCATTTTAATGACATTGACAGAGTTTTACCAAGTTACAAATAGTGCATAAAACATGTCAAAGATGAGGATACGTAGGTATAAATTCTGATTTTGGATATATTTTAACTCATAGGTTTAAGAAATAATATTTTTCTACAACTATATTAAATTAGTCGAGAATAGAGAGAAGCCAACAAATAGTATCCAATAAGTCAATGGCCAATATATGAAAAAGCCCGAATGATGATTTACCCAAAAAATACTCATTTCTATCTTAAAATTCATTGCAGAAAAAATCATCGCACATATCAGATTGTGTCGAACAGTGACGGGTACACCTGGTAATATTTAAATACCAAACCCAATTAGAAATTTTTAATAAAAATTTATTTTCGTCTTCGCCTTATATAATGTCTCGAATCTTGAGTGGTGATCCCAATAACATATAATATACCTAGACTGACGATTCATTCATTAAAATGAATAATAAAGCGTCGTCAAAAGCTAATCAGCTGGACCCACCATTTTGGTAACCTATAATAATTATTTTCATGTTAAAAACTACTGTATATTTTCTAATTTTTTGAAATTAAAACATTTAATTCTTTAATAAAGCTTGCATCAGATATACGAATAAATTAGGCTCTCGTTTAAAATTTTAATAATAATTACTGTAACCAAGATGTCGTCCCCAGCTGATTTGCATTGATGTACACTTTTAATAAATGAATCGTCAGTCTAGGTATATTATATGTCATTGGGTGATCCTAAGACATGATTTTTATTAATAATAATAAAGATATAATCCTAGTTTTTAATCAGCTTTTTGGTATAGCAGCAGAGTATTTTCTTCTTTTTTTGCCTAGTCCTATCTAAATTTAGAAACCTACTTGAACTAGAAAAAGATGGGAAATTAGTTTTTCATTTTAAATATTTTAATGATAAAATCTTATATTAAAAAGTTTCAAATATACATATTTATAATTTGAATAAAATTCCGATTTAAAAACGTATACAATTTACAATTAAAAGGATAAGTTATATAAAAATCTATATTATTATTTTTTTTTTAAAAGGTAATAAAATATTGTAATGCAGGGTTGGCATGTCTGTCAATTGACTGGTCAAATAGTCTAAAATATTATTAGCTAATAGATATTTTGATAAATTAACTAGTATGCATTAAAAGCATGTTTATCAATTTTATTAAATTACAATTTATTTTAAAATATATTTGTATCATAAATAATCCACAAAAGAATTTTTTTGTTACTAAAATAAATAAATACAAAAATTTAGCTGTTATGGTTAATTTTTTAATTAATTTAAATTTTATTTAATATTTCGCCCAGTATAAATTATTTTATTTCTCATTTATTTTACTTCCACTTGCTACATTTGAATATAAAAATTAATTTTCTTTTTATTTGTTCTGGTCAGATTTACAAAATAATTTATTCATTTCTGGTGAAATGTTATATATTATATTAGTTATTGTTGAAATTTACATTTAAAAAGAAATACTAGTTATATATTTGAGTATGTTTGTTAGTGTTACAAATATAAGGCATATAAATTGGTGAAAAAATTTAATAACAATATAATTTTATTTTTAAGCTAAGGAAAGACCATTAAATATTTTTTGGTTATTAAACTACTCAAATAATTTTAATAATATTTAAATGGTATGTAGTGAAATTTCAAGTAATTCGAAAGTGTGAAATTTTTATAATTATTGTTTAGTTGAAATAAAAAATTTTAATTTAAATCAAATTGATTTTATTTACACACCTTGGATAGAACCCATTTTTTAGAGATATTGAAATTTTTTGATATTTTAAATAAGATGCTGCTAATATTGGGAAATTAATATTTTTTTAAAATGCTTGTTTTTTTATTTACTACATAAAAATTAAAATTAAATTGTACCTCTGAACGTTGAAATGCACATTCTTCTATTATTATTATCTCCTTCATTTTTGAGCTCAACATCGAGGCGCTTCTTTTCGCTTCCTCCTCCCTATTTTTTCTTATTGAAAACTCGGATAAGTCTTTTTAGAGTCGCCTCAATCTGGTAGATTTACCGATGCTACTCACAGGTCAATAAATCTAATAATTTTATTATACCCTAGCCTTATAAGAACCGAAGTTACCCGCCATTTTAATTGATAGCTTAGTATGGACTATAGTTGGGTAACGGCTAAATATCGGCTAATTCGCTTCAATCTATAGGCGTGTGCCGAAGAAAATCGGATAACACGAAGGCGTTTAATTTATATTTATTTTCTTTAAATTTGAGCTGCTATATTTTTAAGAAAATCCCCGAGGCCAAAATGTTAGTTTTTGGGGCTAAAAATTGGCTCAAATAGCTAAAAAATATAGATACTCAATTATAGCCATGGACAAATAAATTATAAAATATTTTTCTAAATTACATGATATGCTATTACATTTTCATCTCCACCCTTTTCTTCCATGTTTCCGCTCTGTTATATGTGTCTTATATCCTAAATTTGGCTTCAGGTAATTAAAATAGGACCCTCCTTTATTATTATCGTTAGGGCCAAGTTATACATTTTTGGATTTGGTAATATTTTTGTAAAAATAATTTAGTGGCGGAGACAATTTTTTTAATTTAAAAATTTTTGTTTATATTGTGAATAATTTCATTTAAAAAACGGTTTCAATTTAGAAATAAAATAATGTATACGATATCAAAATGAAATGTATTTTAAAAAAACAAATAAGAATTTTTAATTTATTACATGATTTACAATATATATTAAAAATTATGAACTAAAATATTTACCATCTCAATTTTTGTGAGATATCGGATGCTTTAAAAGCCATCTATGAATCAAAAGATATCAATATCTAATGTATTGAATAAAAAAAATTGATATTGTTACAACCAACAGAGCAAAAATAAATTTTGATGTAATCATTTGGTTAGGAAGGCAGGGCTTATCATTAAGAGCTCATAGAATATCTGCTGGTCCCTTAACACTTACATACTCTTCTCATATGAAGGTAATTTCAGGGAATTGTTGAAACTTTTATGCAATAATAAGGATAACTATATAAAGCTTTTTGAAAGCTCTGCTAAAAATGCCACCTACCTTAGTCCAAGTATTCAAAATGAAATAATAGCCATATGCAATAGGTTCATATTGAATGAAATTTCTACAAAAGTGAAGTATCACCATGTTTTAGTGTTTTGGCGGATGAGACTTCGGATGTTAGTTACATAGAGCAACTATCCATAGCAGTAAGTTATTGATATGGAATCAGGTGATTTCAAAATGAAGGAACTCTTTCTTCAATTTATTGACCTACATAACACTAAAATTTTAGCATCCCTTCAAGACCTAGATTTAAATTTGAATCAAATGAGAGTCCAAGGATATGATGGAGCTCCCTCGATGAGTGGTCACGTTAAAAGGGTGCAGTCAAGAATTAGAGAGTTTTATAGCACAGCTCTATATGTTCACTGTAGTTATCATTGCCTAGAATGATATATGAGGCATACGAAATTCGAAACATTCGGAACAGTTTACGTAAAAATATTTTAATTTAATTGGAATTTATTAGATTTTATTATGTATATATCTTTTTAAAATTCAAATATATTTTTCAAAATTTAGAAACAATATCGTCGGTTTGTGACTTTTTCACATCACCCAAGACACAGCTTTTTATCCAAACGTTTGATGATATTAATTCAAATAATCAAAAAAAAAACTAAAAAGATTTTCTCCAACTAGATTTATTGAAAGACAACTATCAGTAAGACATTTCATTAAATTATTTGAAATTATTTTTGCAGCGCTCGAATCCCATATCAAGCAAAGAAAAAGATTCAGTAGATGCTGAAAATCTTTTGCTAGCTTTACGAAGTCACAATTTTTAATATCAATTCAATGTGTATATTTTTTATTTAATTATACTGATTTGATTTTAGCAAAATGCTACAAAAAATTGATTTGGATTTAAGAGAGGTTATGAATAGGGCAAAGGATATTGTTGAAATATTAACAAATATCAGAGATAATGTGGATGAAAATTTCATGAAATATACGAGAAAGTAAAGGAGATCGCTAATATGTTTGGGATTGAAATTTTTAAACCTAGAGTAGCTTCTAAACAGTCCAATCAAATATTGATGCATCGATTGAGGATTTTTATAAAATAAATATTTTTATTCCCCTTATTAATACATTTTTATTTCAATTAAAAGAAAGATTTATTAGTCGCAATTTTATTTTTAAAAGCTTTTATTTTCTTCTGTCGGTTGAGTCAGAATTGTTGATTACACTTGAAACGCGAGAAGATATTAAGAAAATCTCAGAATTTTATTCTGATAATTTATCAGGATCGTATAAGTTATTTTGTGATATCGATTGTATAAAAATCTTGATAAATATTCTTTGAGACCAAAAAATGCTTTGCAGGCCCTTTCCATGTATAATTGAACTTTAGATTCCCTGCCTATTTTTAATAAAAGTATTGCATTCATTTGCAATAAGAATTATTTATATTTTGATTCATTTGTATTAATTATAATTGTTAAATTATATTTTTTTAAATACACTACAAGAATTACTTATATTTTATTGAATTATATTGTTTAAAATATAGTTATTTACAATAAATTTTATTATATTGACCCCCCCCCCCCTCATGGATGAATCCTGGCTTATAATCGCTTCAATGCTATATTTGATTACCTCGATGGTTTTTATTTTACAGCTTCGTCTATTACAGGGAGTTTTAATCATTTTTTTTCAATATAATATTTTATTCCGGTGAAATACTGACGAGGAAAATGAATTAATAGTTTTTAAAATTCTAGAAAAATAAATCGCTTTGAAGGATAGTTGCACATTAATTTACTAGCACGAAATTAATTTTATGGGAATAACAGTGTGTTTTTATGTATAAAAAGTTAAAGGATTTTTCGGGGAAGTGATCTCTATTTTCTCTTAATATCCTTGTTGGTTATCTTGCTATGTTAAACTAGTTTTAAAAAAAGTATACACAAATTGTCTCAATTTGCAGAAATAAGATTCATTGTATTTGTAACCTCTTCTTCAAAATTCGACAACAATGTTCATTTATTTCTTTGCCTTTATATATATCCATTCCATTTCATAATCACAAATTTATTGTTAAGTGAGGCATCTCTCAGTTTTAATTTTAGTTTTTTTTTAAAATTCGTTATTTTAAATAAAATAGAAAATTTAAATCTATATGGGATCAAAATAAGTAACTTAAAAAATATTTAAATGTCAAAGATGCTAGGCACATGTAGATCAAAAAGCAAGACGTCCTTTCCATTGTCTTTTTAATAGATACAAATATATAAGGCATAAAATTATCCAAAAAGCACTTTATGGAGCTCAAATTCCAATATAGCTTGAATCATGTGATTTGTCAATCATTAACAAAACTTGACGGATATACACTGATCCCATGGGATAATGGCAAACATATGTATTGGGACTTTCTTTACCTGTAACGATATTTTTGCCCCCTCTCATAGCAATTACGATCCTCATGGAATTGCTGAGAGAAAGAAAAGCCTATAGTATTCCCACATTTCTGTTAATAACATTTATTCCATTAAAAGTATCATTTCCTGTTCTTGTGGAAATAAGGCCAAAATCATTTAAAATTAAACAAATATGAGCTTCGAGGTAATCCGTTTTATTAAATTATTCCATGATTCATGGCCACTACCTTATGATGACGAAAACTAATACTTCTTTTTTTATGAAATAAATAAAAGTTCAAAATTAAAAATAAAATAATTGACTTTAAAAAACTGTTGTGAATCAAGGGCAGCAAATGCTTCAGGTGAGGGTAAGTGATAGTGGCAAGGTGATAGATACAGATATAGTGTTTATTAACTAAAAAATATTAATAATTATTATATTTTACCACAGGGTCGATTTGACCCTGTTGATAAAACATGTTACCTTTTAATATTGGCAGTGACCCCTTTTGAATTTCGCGGAAAAATTTTTCTCAGTTATTCTTTAACATAATTTAGTTAAAAGTCATCGAATATCACTTTGTAATAATATATATACAATTAAAGCAAAATGCAAACAGGATCTTGAAATCTTTTTGTAAACTTAATTAGACATAAACCATCTAAATTTAAATAATTTTTAGGATACTTTTCTTGGAGAAACTGCTCCGAAGGTTCCTGGTTCATCCAAAGCCTGTGCAAGGCGCTCGATAAATATTCACATAAATTAGATCTTTTACGAATATTAACACGTGTGAATAGAATGGTAGGCGAGTACACATCTAACACCAACGACCCAGACTGGCACGACAAAATGCAAAGCCCTTCTATCGTTTCCATGCTCACGAAAGATTTATATTTTCACTACCCTTCCTTTCCTTAATCTATTTATTTGATATGCATTATAATATCCTAGCATTCCTCCTAAATATAATTACCTTTATATCTTGTTTTTTTTAATAAATATGATTGATACAGGGAATTTAGTATTAAACAGCTGGAGCCGTTTAATAACATTAGTGGGGATCACTTCGATTAGTTTCTTCTTAACTAGTATCGTATTAGGTAAATTCATTTTGGAGGCTAGTTACATCATAATTTTTAAAGGTAAAATGATTTTTATTATAGAAAAACTATAAATTAATAATTGTGATTTTTTATAATTTATTTAACTTATTAGTATTGTTTTACTGGATTCCAAATATTTTGCATTTATCATTACATTTATATATCGTATCCGTCTTCAGTTACGCTATCTCATTTTATATCAATAATCTCATTTTTACAATCATTTTTTAAAAAAATATTATGCATTTTTGATTAAAATAGTAATTTATAAAATTTATTTTACAGAACATTATACAATATTTTATAAACATTATGTAAATGATCTGTACTTCATATTAAGGCTCAAATTATTTTGTTAGGTAGATATAACTTTTTATGTTTTTTTATAATTTATTTTTGATATTCATAATTAATTTTTATATACGATATTTATATTTTTTATAATTTATTTTTGATATTCATAATTCCTTTTTATATACGATATTTATATTTTTTATACTATATTTGAAACAATAAATTGTATGTTAATTAATTAACTAATTTCTTAAACATTTTAATGATAAGATGGTAGCTCTTTCATGTGTTTGTCCTTGATCATTAAAATATTGTAGTTTTAAGTTTGATAAAAATTAACCTTCTTAAATATCTTATATATTAATCTTACTATCACGTATCAGGCCATCGCCTATATAAATAACTCCATATAATATATTCATTTACAATTCAAAAATTATAATTTATTCAGGTTAGCCCATTGGGTTAACGCTAGTCATCGATCAACATATAGCAATTACTAAACAACAACCAATTAAAAAGATATAATGGAGCCTATTTTTTAATATAGGTACGGAATTAAGCATTTACTTCAGATATTCTATATATCCCCTCTCCCAAGAAGGGACCACCTAGTAGGCCAAAAAAATGGTTCTTGCTGGATTCGAACCTTAAATGATCGGATTGAGATACACGTGCTCAACCAACTAGGACATAGACACTTTTCGAAAATGACTAATATTTTAGGGGTGGATGTATTTATACTCAGCTAATACTTAAATAAATCCTTTATTACTAAATATCGCTCGACTAATTACATACAAATTTTTTATGGGATGTATTTAAACATTCCTTAATTTTACATAATATCGTCCTTACATACTAAAAATCAGGATTATTCTCCTTAAAAGAAATAATTTTAATATTAAGTTTGTTGAATATGAATATTAAAAGTTTTCTTTTATATTTCTGGAAAGATATTACTATTTTATAGCAATTATTTAATATTAATACTACCAAAAAAAATACACAAAGATTAAGAGTTTACTAACCATCTCTAAGCACTTGAGGGTATAGTTGAAAACTAAAAATGCTATATTTTTTTCAATCATTAATCTCAGCAGATATCATTGATTTATAAACATATATAGTAAGTCATAATTGTATCAAAAATATAATTATTTGGCAAAATATATCCACTCTAGAAATATTGGAAAGGGGAATGCAAAAATAAAAAAAAAGGAATTAATTTTATGGTGAAATCTATAAACATATTATGCAATAAGTCAATGTTTAAACTAATTTAACTTTTTTTATAGTGCCTATTTGTGTAGTTATTATCTAACTAAAAAAAAATATATATTAATATTTTTGTCTATTATTTGGTATGAACTGGGACATGCTAAATTTTTAAATATAAAATTCAATTTTGTAAAATTTTTCGGAGAAATAAGATGCCATTATTTTTAATTTGTATAGAATATTTTTTTTACTATTCAAAAAATTTAAAAATTAAATTTGGATGGGGTGGATAAATAATTTTATTTCGGACTGGGCTTTTAGCAGGGACCCAGAGTGAACCGTTAAACCATTATAAATATCTGAACCATAACCGTACCAATATAATTATTTTTTGAGGGAGTATAAGAAACTTTATAAAAAAAGTTAAACTGGTTCAGTTTTTATATTTTAGAAATGAAAATAATATGAATATCCAGAATTATATAAACTTGCTCTTATAGTACTGGCGTTTCTAGCAACACAAGTTTCTGTAGAAAGGGCCTTTTTGGGGCTAAAATTTGTCTTATCTTAACAACGAACAAAAAATAGAATCATATATGACTTAAACGTTTAAATAAAAAAAATGAGTTATTTTGAATCATATATATATTTTTTATATAATTCATAGATGCTTATAATAAAAATAAATTTTGCTTCAATAAAAAAAAAATTTCTAACTGTAATGAACCTTTATAATTAGATGAACCGAACCTTTATAATTAGATGAACCGAACCTTTATAAATTTTTTCTTTAGAACCATAACCAAAACATAAACATTATAATTTTTTACATACTGAACCATAACCAAACTGTACCGTTATAAATAACGGTTCGAGTTCCTGGCTTTATGTGACAAATTTATTTTTTTTGTTGGCTGGACAATTTTTTTAAAAAAAATTTCAGGCTTGTGAAAATTTGTATTATAATCAAAATAATATTATATAAGCATGGAGATTTTGCTCATAGATAGAAAGTATTGGATATATATGCCAAATCTTGTGGTTTACATAATATTTTGACTAAAATCTTAATTGGGCTGTTTTAAGAAATCAACCAAAATAGTGCTTTTTAACACCCCCTCTCCTCAGAGCTAAATTTTTTTTAGATTATAAGTTCAAAAGACTCAAAAGTGACTTTTATACAAGCTATTTATATACCTGCAAGTTAGGGGCAATAAGATTAGTAACAATGCCAGAGAGAAGAACAAGCAAGGAACTGAAAAAGCTTGAGATATAAGCAATAGGTAGTCATAAAAGAAATAGACAGATGATTTGGACATGTTGACCAGAGGGCAATTATTTAAATAGATGCTGTTGGGTGGATGTGGAAAGAACAAGACTCAGAGAGCAACCAAGGATAAGCTGGATAAAAGTGGTAAATATGATATTCCAGGTTTGTAAAATGGAGATAGAAGGAGAAGTGAATTATAAATTAAGAAAAGGGCCATTTAATGATGAAGATTGATATTATTAATAAATATTTAAAAATTATTCATAAATATAAATTCTTATTAAATAAAATATATTGGAATTATTGATAAGTATTAAAATATTCATTGTAGAACTTTTATTTTTGAAAATATTTTAAAATCACATATTTGATTGATAGTTAATGGTTCTAATATTCATTAAGATTGCAAATAAAACAATTATTTGATTGTAGAAAAATAATTGATACCTAGCAAAAAGATGTTTAAATCTATTATTACCTAATCAGGTGCATAAATGAATGTAAGGGTTAACTCTCCTGCCATGGCCCTGTGTTAACAAAGATAAGGCATATAAATAAATATATTAATCTTGAATAAATCCAGATTTAGATAGGTTTTAATATCTCAGATATCTTTTATTACCACAATTCGATAAGTTACATATATAATATAATAGTAGAAATTTGGTTTAAATAAAATAGTTTTATAAACGGCGACCTCTTCTACCACCCTTTCTTCTTGTACTATCAGAAGGTATTGGTGTCACATCCTCTGTTAAATATAAGATTAATAAATTGTAAATATAATAATTTACCAATTCTCCCAATTTTGATTCCAGAACGTGCTAATGCTCTTAAAGCAGATTGAGCACCTGGGCCAGGAGTTTTGGTCCTATTAAATTAAAATTTTTATGCTAATACTTTATAATAGAAACCTATTTCCACCAGTTGCTCTAAGTTTTATATGTAAGGCTGTTATTCCCAATTGTTTGCATCTTTCAGCAACATCTTGAGCAGCCAACATAGCAGCGTATGGTGATGATTCATCTCTATCAGCTTTAACTTTCATTCCTCCTGTTACCCGGCAGATAGTTTCTCTATAATAAGCATATATTTCAAAATTTAATGTAACTTATATACCTTCCAGAAAGATCTGTAACATGAACAAAAGTATCGTTAAAACTTGCATATATGTGTGCTACGCCAAAAACATTTTCTCCTTCTCGAGCTTGAGGTCCTATTGCTAAAGTTGGTTCTTCCTTTGTAGTTTTTACTTTTCGTGGAGCCATGTTGAAGGAAAAGATTCTTGGATGTTTTACTCCTGTAAAAAAAATATATATTTATCACATGCGTTTATAAAAATAATATTTCCATGCAATAAATATACCGTATCTAATTATCTTATTTAATAAATATTTTCTATAGAAGCAATTGACATAGATTTTAGAATTAATTATTACAATTCTTAACCAACTTTAGCGGATATGTTATAATGATATAAACATTACCTCATCCTCATAAATAAATAGCGCTACTCAACTAAAATCTTTATAGTATATCTATATAATTTATACTTCTTATCTTTATATATATCCGATAGCGGTAAACAAGAGGAACAATTTAAAACTTAAAGGAAAGCTAGTTTCACCTCAAAAAAATGAACTTAATTATTCACAAACATATATAGTTTGAATGAGCCACTCATATATTTCATATTTTATAGAAAAATTACGAATGCCAGTTTTGATTGTAATATTAAATAATTTTATTATCTCCTTTATTTATTTTAAAAAAAAATATTTTTTTATTTGCTTTCCCAACGGTCAATTTATTTTTTAACGTTGAATTACACAATATATTCGTATGATTTTCTCTTTATTTATTAAAATATAAGCAATGTTATATTTTTTAACGCAATATAAAAATTACACCAAAAAAATATCGCACGAACATGATTTTATTCCTCTTTTTATTTTTAAAAATAACCAAGGTTAAATTTACTTCTCTCATCTGTATTTTTTAAACGTAGTAAAAATAATAGTAACTTTTTTAAAATTATAAAATAATATTCATAATTTTTAATGAAATCTAATTGGGAATAATTTTTTTAACATAGTATAAAGATTATATTTTTTTCCATTACAAATCTCTAATTTCTCCAATAATAATTTGTTAAATAATAAAGCTATTACAAGCCTTTATTTCCATTAATAACATGGAGAAAATAAATCACGTTAATTACAAAAAACATCATTAATTTTCGCCAGAAAAAAACTTATAATTATTTTTCAATAAAAAAAAATACAAAAAAATATTACATCAATTGATTGACATTTCATACAAGCTATTTTTTTAAATTTATATTATTTAATTTATATGTTTACCAACTGTAACACGCCCACCCTTCATATGCCCAATGTCCATCTCTTCCTGGACCTTATGAAGTTTGAATTTACGATCCTCGGATTCATTTCATTTTCGTATCAGTAACAATGACCCACTATAATATTTATCAAATCGTCCACTTAAATTGTATCGGTGTTTGATATGCTTTGGAACTATTCATGATACTTATTGAATCGTTCCTTTTTGATACTGATTTATGGTTCGCTCTTCCCGAAATTATCTCCTATATATTACCTTGTGACATATTGATAGCAAGCGACATTGACATATTTACATTTATAATCTAAGGGATAATCATAGTGATATTATAATCTATGAGATAATCATATTGAGGTTATAATTTATAGGATAGTTATATTGAGGTTATAATTTATGGGATAGACCTATGGATGCCAAATATGACGTGATTTATAAATACATCCACAAAAAAACAATAAACCATTAGATGTCATTCATTTTATACAGATTTATTAAGTAGATGATCTGTGCTAATGAATTAGGTGTGATTATATTCTTCGAACATAAATTTTTTAAAAACAAAAATGCATATACTCATAATTCACATGATTTCATGCTGAATGTACACTCATAATATAAATTTCAAAAAAAACATAGATATCCCAAATGAACGTCACCGATTCAACAATATATAGGTAGTTTAGCCTAACTTATTTTGAAAAATGCGTTGTCACTATATTAATATTTACAAAATGAGGTTTCGATGTATTACACGATAAATGTTTTTTTCCTTTAAATTCAAGTATCGATTTATATGATAAAAAATATATATATAAATCAACAATTTCCACCAAATTTAATATCGATTTATTTAAAAAAAATATATATATAAATTAACAATTTCCTTTCCACCACTCCCATCTTTACCTTAAATGTCGATACACTTTTTAAACAAACTTTTGGTAGTGTAATATATGAAAAGAAAAAGAAAAAAAAATTAATTCCATATTCTCAACTAGAACCAATAATTTTATAAATTTTTTAAACTTTACAATGTCATTAAATTTAATCTATTATCATTTAATCAAACCAACCTATCTTTTTCGCGATCTCTTTAAATAATATGATGTAATTTTAAATGTACCACAATATTGTACTCACTTACTATATCTCAATAAATCTATAACCTGTCTAAATAAGACAAAATAGAGCACTGAATTAATATTAATATAAGCCAAATAAATCTATAAAGCATTTATATATCTATTAAAATTTTAAAAATATCTTTTTAAACCCATTCATCAACCTTTATTTCATAAAGTTCTATATATGATATTCTATCGTTACTACTCAATTTTCCTATTTCCAATTCTTACTTTTAAATCAGCAATCATAAAGATATATTCATTTTGTCTCTATAAAATATAGTAATATTCGTTCAAAACTATATTTCCTTAAAATATGTTCCATTTTTTCCTTTACAATAGAGTTAAAATTCATTATAAAATTATTTCTTTTAATGTTAATTACATAACAATTAAAAACAGTCAATTTTCAGTAAAAATCATTATAATCCATATATATCTTTTATATACTTACATATCTTTTACATAATTAACTGGCCCAGGCCCAAGCTTAATAAATTATACCAATATCACAGTCGCTGACTCCCAATACCTTGGAAAGTCCAAATTTTTATATATTTATCTTTGAAAAATTTATTCTTAAATTATTTACCAACCTTATAATTATTCTAAAAATATTACTAATTCCTATAAAAATTATCCTACATAAATCCTTATTCTAAAAATTAAAATCTTATTTATTAAACATAAATCCTGGCCTATTATGATATTTAAAATTATATAAAATAGCACAATTTTTTTTCCTAAAATATACATTGCGTTGCTTAATTTTTATTTAATTTTTAATTAAAAATGAATATATATAAAAATATGGTTTATTTAATTTCCTACCTATCACTGGTCACGTGGCAACAATATTACACCTCTCTAATTTTCCCAATAATAATTTGTTCAAAATATTCAACTATTACAAGCCTTTATTAATAGTAATTTAGAGAAAAGTAATTCACGTTAATTACAAAAACTTCATTTAAATTTCCCAGAAAAAGCTATAATAATTTTTCAATATAAAAATATACAAAAAAATAATATAGATTGACATTTCATACAATCTATTTTTTTATTTGTATTATTTAATTTATATGTTTGCCAACTGCAACACCTTGCTTCTATGGAAACTTCGTTTCTGCTTATATATCACAATTAAATCTAGGCTCTCCTCATACAATTAATATCATATTGGCAACGCTATTGTAATAGAGGAGGCATTTATTATGACAAAACAAATTAACATTGCGTTGAAGGTTTATTGAAATATATCAATAAATTAATGCTACTTTTGGCGGGAAAGTTATCAACTTGGTGAGATGGAGACATTAAACAAAACTTGCCAATCATACCTAAAGGTTCTAGAACAAACTTAGTTGAAACCTGCAAAAGCATATTTAGTATTTTTTATATAAGGGAATGGGTAGGGAGGCAGGAGTATTTACTAATGAGCAATATTCATAATTTTGAGACAACAGAATATAATAATTGTTTTTTTAGTAAAATAATTTTGCTATATTAAATTATATATGAAAAAAACTATTACAATAACCTTTTGATTTGATGTTTATGGTTTAGATAACATATTTAATCTTATTTAGAAATAAATATAAAATATTGGTCAAATGCCAGGTTGACATCTTCTATAATATGCCAAAATAGGTCCAGAGTTGGGCATGTCCTAAGAAAAAAGAATATAGATAAAGATTCTTTATAAAAAAAAACTTCTAAATAATCTTTTAAATGATGAAGTCATTGCGGTATTATATTTTAAAAAATAATTTAATGAAAGGATAATAATTAAGAGCTTCATGTATTTCTACGATCTTTAGGACTGTTCAAAACCTAGGAATATTTGCTTCACTTAAAGGAAAATAATTTCCATTTTCTTGGTTATTGGATAATAAATCTAATGGCGTTGTAGTTTGATTATGTACTATTAAGACTTATTTTGATAATATTTATGAAAATATTTTTTGAACATCGGACTTAATCCATAAATTCTTATAATATGGACGTGATAATCATACCAAAAATAATGAAAAGAAAGTAAGCAGTAATTGCTTGAATTATTATTATTCAAAGCTATAAGGCTTCTAATCGAAACTACTAAGTCTCATCTGCTACGCTCATATCTTTCTCTTATAATTATAATTTATTATTATATATTTTTATTTTTATATACATATATTTATTTTTTAATTGTGCACATATATTACTTTTTGAAAATCTTTGTGATATGTTATTTTGAAATAAACCAATATTATAAAAATTCTCATTTGAATAAAAGAAAATTATTAAGTGAATTAAGCATTTTGCGATAAATTTTCACCCATAAAAGTTTAAATCTCATCACAATTTATATTAGAAGATATGGTTGATCAAGTTGGTTTTTCAAATGTGTAATAAGGCTGTCATTTTCTACAAGATTAATATAGGGGTCAGTTGAGCTTGAATCTGGTGTGGATCATTGTTTCAATAATATTGATGCACTGATTAAAATGAGGGAAATAAAATATTAAGATATGTTAATTAACATTATGAAATAAGTCGTTAATTTAAATATAAATTATTGCACAACAATTCATAATTTAAATATTTTATCAATATCTCTAAGAAGGCAATCTTCTGAAGCTTGCAATTCAGTAAGAAACTAAATTTCAATTTATATATTAAAAATTGCGCAGCCCGGCTCGAAAGCACCGGAAAAAATATTTTTTGGAATAGCTAGTCAAAATTTTATATGTCGTTTTCCTTTATAAAAAATTTATGGGCCAGGCCTGACAACATGTGTACAAAATATATTTCACTACCTAATAAAATAGGCCATTTTGGATTAGGCTAGGCCGCGAGACCTCGTCTCTTATGATTGTCCAACCGGAGTTATATTTATATATTTATTTCTCAACTGTGGCTAACCAGTCCTGGTTGACATTGAACAATATTGGATGTTTATGATGATTCATCAGAGATATTCAAATATATTGTATCAAATGATTCGAGAAATTTTATGATTCTTTATTTTTAAATCCCCCTCCACCATATGTTTTCAATTTAAATCCCCTAAAGTCACCCTCACGTGAATTCACACTTTTATTCCACCTGAGCCCGCTTGCCAAATTTTTATATATAAATTTTAAAACCCGAGCCCAGCCTGATTTTTTTATTTAAAAAAAGGGCCCAAAAATAATCCAAACATGATCTGATTTTTTATTATCGAAACTTAAACCGAATCATTTAGCGATGGTCACACTACCCCTGTCCTCTTCACTATGGCTTTTTATTTAGGAAAAAAATATGCTTCTTGTGTTGTGCAGTGGCCCCTACACTTTTTGAGCGAATGAAGCAGAATACCCCCATGAAAAGTACCCCCTTGAAAAGTATCCCCTCCCTTCGAAAAAATGATAATTATGACACCCATAAATTTCAAAAATAATTTTTATTGCATCAATTTTTAATATATAATATAAATAAAATGCAAAAAATATAACCTTATAAATATTATTTTTAAATTAATAATTTAAATAAATTAGGGGAAGAGAAAGCGAAAGAATTTATAATTTCATCAGTATTTAATTGTTTAAATAAAATTTTTCCATTGATAATATGGTTAAATTATTGAGAAAAGAATCTTTCATGGTACTGCGCAGTCTTATTTTAATTAATTTAATTTTACTCATGACTCTTTCGGCAGTGCATGAGGTTGTGGGAATGGTTAATAGATATTTATATAAAATTCTTAAATTAGGGAAAGCAGAAAAATTTAAAAGTAAACGATAAGGTAAAATAAATGAATAGTTTTTCCAATCTGAATCGTAAGTCCCTGAATTATCATCATCATCAGAAGAAGCTAAATAATGTATTGGTAAAAATATTTTAATTAAATAAATTTACAATTCTCAGAATCTGACAAATCTTTAGATTCTTGAACCTCTAGGTCATGAGTATTAATTACATTCCCCATTTTGGCCATCTTATAAATATTTCTAAACTTCAACATTTCTTCGAAAATTTGACTTGAATTTAAATTGTAAAATTCACAGATATCCTCGATATCTTCTTTAATAATTGATTTTTCTGCCATTCCCTTTGGCGTAAAAAATGATGTTTGATGTAAATATTTCATGGAATCATCATTAAATCTTTCGTTAAACTGCATAATAATTAAATCGAGTGCAGCATAAAACACACCTATTTTAAAGCTAAAAAAAATTCCTATATTTTATGATGAAAGTATATATACCTCTCCTTTTTGGATTGTAATGTTTGAAGTTTAGAACTTTCAAAATCAAAATGTAGATTTCTCTCCTTCATAAATTGCGCCTTTGAAAAAACATCCAAAAATTCAGTGTTATTATCTATTAGATTAAAAAATAATTAAGACAATAATTTATATTATACTTCTCAAATTAATCATGCAATCTTTTGTCAATTGAATTTGATTTATTGCATACCCTATATCCTTCGAAATGGTTTGCAATTTTGTACAAGCCAAACTTGTTATCAACAATATTTTATCCAAAACACAAAGTGATAAGATAAAATCAAATTTTTATATTCTAAAGACTATAGCACTAGCCATAGTGGAAGTGGCAGGATCTTCAGAATCCTTTAAATTTGTTAAAGCTGCCCTCGAGGCATCATAAAGTTGAAAAAAATTTACAATAGCTTTATATGACGATAGCCAGCTTCTAGATAAAAAAACATTTAAAATTTAAATAAATAAGGAACTATTACCGAGTGGTTTTCTTGACGCGTAGAAATCGTTGCGATTTTTTCAGATCATTACACTGAAATTTTTTGAGTACCTATATCTTTTTGCACCATTAAAATAGACATAAATCTCATCTAGTATTCCTAGAACATTTCGAAGTTCTTTAATTGATTGGCATAATTGAACAACGATTAAATTTAATCGATGACAATAACACCAAATAAAAGCTGCCTTTGGTGCCTCTGCTCTAATCAAGGCTTGCACACCATTGATTCTTCCACTCATGTTTGAGGCGCCATCATAACTTTTCCCAACTAGATATTCAAGGGGTAAATTCATCGAGCCAAGTTTGGATATTATATTATGCTTTATATCGAGACCTGTGGTATTTCCCGTACAATATAAGTCAATCAGTCTTTCAACAGGCTTCGGCGTCTCACTATTTTCAACATATCTTACTATCAAAGCTATTGCTTCTGATTTCGAAACATCGTATGTGCCATCAACTATGATTGAAAAGCACCTGTTAAATGTAATCTCATTTTGAATTTTTTTTATAACCATATTTTTCATGGCTTCAATGAGAATGTTTATGTTATTATATGATAATAGGTTTGAATATAATTTCGTTTTTAATCCCTTATTTTTTTTTATCCTTTTTTCTTTCTTCATTTTGCTGTATATACATTTTTAGTAAAGGTTCAGAATCTGCAATAAGCTTAATAAGGGCCATCATATTGCCTTCTTGTTGCCTGTTCCCCCAGTAGGCTTGGTTACGAGATATTAAATAATCTAAACATCTTATTATAATTCTTATAATAGAACGGTTATTATCTACACATTCATTCTGAGGTGTTATAAATTTTAATATCGAATTTTTATTATGAGAAAGCCTTCCATAATAGGCCATCATATGTGCCTGTGAAGATTCATGCAGAATAATATCACGATTAATATTTTGCCATTTATCTAGACCTTCACATGTCCATTTTGAATTTGCGTGTGGACCACCAAATAAGAGACATGTTAAGCAAAAAACTTTATACATTTTAATACTATAAGTAATCCAATTTCTAGGAATTTTGCTATTGTCAATATTGGTTAATATTTTTAGGCATATTTTAAAATTGGAAAAATAATTTATAACAAGAAATTTCGGATAAAAAATTTACTAAACATCGACCAAAATTTCCGTCAATATATTAAATTAAATATTAAGTGGGGGGGGGGGGTCTTATTGTTACATTTATAAACCAGAAATCACATGATCATGATGGATGTAAAAAAAGGTATCCCCATTCAAATTTACTGAAGCAGTTGCTTCGGACCCCCCCCACCGTTGTAGGGGCCCCTGGTGTTGTGAATTGCATTAAATTATCATTAAAGATTTTATGCTAAATAAAAAAATAATATGCATGTGGAATACAACTCTATAATAATGAGAAAAATTAAATTCATTATATGATAGATACTATATGTAATTCAACTCATTTCAAAAAAATGGGAAAGATGTAAATAATAATTATGTAAGACATATAATAACTATGTAAAAATAAGAAAAAACCACGTTTTAAAAATTTGTTTTATTATTTCCCATATGTTTATTGATTTAATTTAAATTATTATACCTTATACTTATTACAAATTGAACTACTTTAGTAAATTAATTAATATTTACTTTTACAATCTCCTTCCCTCAAGAATTCTTTCCCAATATTTCAAATAAATAATTTGAATATTATTATTATTAATAATTATTAAAATGATAACTTTATATCAATAAATTTTTGGTGACAAGCCCAAATTTTTCTTAAATTTAAAAAAAGAAAAAAATTTAAATCGAGTTTGAAGATCGTCTAGATTTAGAATACCTATTATTCAGAATAATAATTTAAGGTAAAAATATTTATATATAATATTTTATATAATTATAATCTATGAAAAATTAAATGAGGTCTGCCAGAGTTTTAATGTCCCAAGCTGGCTCCATGAGTTATATAGGTTGCTGAATTGTATTTTTAAAAAATATATAATTACAGGTCAGGGTAGGAGAGGCAAATTTAATTGATTTCATTTCTGACCCCATGAATATTAAACATTTTTATATAATGTTTTTTGTCGATTTTAATTTCTAGTCCCTTTAATGAGGTCTGCAAGAGTTCGATTGTCCCAAGCTCGTTCAAGATTTAGATTAGGCTTTGGAATCACAGTTATATAAAATATATAATTGTAGATGGGGATTGGACGATCAAATTTAATTAATATCTTTTCTAGAGCCAGAAATGTTAAATATTTTTATATAATGTTTTTTTTCTCTTTTAGATCTTTTTAAATTTCTTATACCTTTTGAAATCAAATTCCAAATTTATTTTTTGGAATTCGGACCGACATTGAAGTTTAAATAGGGATCTCCTGTTCACTTACATCTCTAAATTATTAGACAATTTCATTTTAAATTTGATACTAATTATATTTATTTTTTTATTATTAAAAACAAAATAATATTTTTTGCCCGCCAGCCTTAATTATTATAAAATATTTAAGATTAATTTAGCGATAATTTTTAGTTTTTAATTTTATTGTTGAACAATAATTATAATATAATTAATTTGCTTATAAAAAATTTTTCCCCAAGAACCAGAAATTTAAAGCGTTAAAAGCGAGAAACTTCAAAATCGAGAAAAATAAGAAATTGTTAGATTTTTTGAGTACCCGAAAGCTGATTTTTTATACATATTTTACATTATAAGAAGTCGAGATTCTAAAAAATGATTTTTTTTTTTAAAATATTTAATTATTTTTCTTCGTCATCATAAAATTTATATTTTAATGTTTCAAAACTGTTCAATATTGCATTTCGAATGCAATGCTATAAGATTCTCATTTTAAGCGTTTTCTTATTTTTTAAAAACTGCTGAAAAAAAATTATTGAAATTTTAATATATAATCTAAAATAAATTTAATGAATTACTGAAGATTTGGAATTATAAATAATAGCCATTTCGAGTAAGATTAATTTTACCACCCCTGGTATAGACCCCATGAGAAAACTGAAGAGTTAAAAAAAATGACGTTTAATAACTTAGATTCTAAATAGTATAAAAAAATATAAAATTGACTTTCCAAGAATTTATTTATAAATCTTATCAGAGACCTGCAGGCCGGATCGAAAACCAGGTCTGAAGCAGGTCGTAAATGTGAATGATTATAAATATTCAAGTCGAACGTAAAATAAAAAAAACCACAATTCAGAATTCGGTGCAGAACTCTAAAATATTTTCTCAGGGCTGCCCGAATTTTGTAAGAAAATTTTAATTGTGTCAATTAATCGCCGCTCAGATTCTCTCCTTTGAAACAATTTACAAAATACAGCCAAAATGATTTAACACGACAAAATTTTAAATATAGCAGGATTAAAAACACGCCGGCTTGGATCAAGGATTATTTTATTTTAAAAAATCGAAAATGGGCTTGAAAATAGGATTTTTTTTTCAAATAAAGGCAGGACTGACACTAAATATTGGGTTTGCAAGTCTCTAATTTTATACCACTCTTTTAAATTTTCCATTTATAAGATTTTTTTGCCCATTTAAAAGTTTCATCTTCCGCCTCAGTAATTCTAAAATTTAATATATTATCAGGTTTTAACATTTTTGGATTAATTGTTACGTTTTAAAACACCTGTATATTCAATATTAAGAGACATAAAGATGTCAGAATCGAATGGGCCTACGTTGGAAGCTGGACAGATAATTAAACCATATGCAAGTCTACAAACTGTTGAAAAGGTCATCCATTCTAGATACGGAATGAAAGTTTTAAAAAACATATTTTTTACAAAAATTTATCATTTTTGAAATTTGAGTAAAAAAAATCTAACTAATGGACAAACTTTTTCGATACTTGAGAACGAATTTATAATGTTAATATCACGGTATATTTCGTTAAAATCCTAACACATATTATTCTTTTTTAAATTAATTTAAATATTTTATATTAAAAAAGGTTATCAAAATAAAAGAACTTAACAGTTATGATGATAAAAATTATCATGTGTTGGTCGATAAAGACATTAATAACTCTCACCTAGAGCATACCTTCCCCGATGGATACATTTTCAAAATTTTGAATTCATATGATTCGCAAAAACAGTCCTACATCGGTAAATTCCCGTTTTCATTATTGTTTTCATATTATATTATCCTTAATTGCAAAGAATAAGAATATAGACATTTATATTTTACATGGGATTCAATAGGAAAAAGTTAATATTTATAGGAATAAATACGGTCTTTTTTTGATAATAAATTTTTTAATTTTAAAAAGCGGTGGTCAGATACAAATATGTACAATATCAAATTAAAAATATATTTAAAAAAAAACAAATAAGAATATTTTCATTAGGATGCAAAAATTAATAAATATGATCACATTTACATATATAATGTACATATAATTGTCCACTTAAAAATAATTGCATATTCTATTGTTAAAAAAAATTATTTGCTTAATAAATAATTTGGAAATATTTTTGGGATCGAGGTTAAGTTTAATTTAAAAGAAAAAAATATAGTAAAAATAAAAACAAGAAAAGGGTATTTATTAATTGGGGTATAGAAGTAAATTTATTTAATGCGATTTTATGTAAAGGAATTGAAAAGAGGTTAGAAATAAAAATATTTTTATTTAAGGAAAGTTAACAAAATCATTTATTTAAAAAAAAATTTTTATTTCTAAATAAAATAATTTAATTTTAAAGAAAGTTTTGGATTTAAAATGAAATTTTTAAAAATAATAAAAATTATGATGACCTTCTACATACGCACGCCACAATCCATAATACAAGTAAATTAGGCTAATTTAGGGAGTCCATTGGCTGCTGGTTAGATAGGTGGTCAATACAACAAGGCATAATTACACCTAAGCCACAATTTTCAATAAATAACGAGGGGCTTTATACACTTTACCTACTATAAGCAATTATGACTCACTAATAAGGGAAGAAGATAATTTTCTCAATATGCGATGGTGAGAGAGCAACCACGGATGCCTTTAGGCAATATCCAATGTTTTCTGTGTGGTAGACTGGGACATAAAATAGTAGACTGTCGGGGGAATTATGGACCGTTACCGCGAAAAAGGGTGTGGAGAATTCCGAATTTCACGGCAAAGTTTCAAATATTAATATGAGCAACTTCATGAGATAGGTACCAAGAGAACCGAACGGTTTTATCTACAGGATCTATAGTAAATAATCACCTTATAACGTCAGAGGCAGAAGCGTCTTTAATAGAAATACAAAAGTTAGAGGACATGCTATTGGCAAACCTTTATGATGAAAATTTAGGAATTGAGCCCATAAATCATCCCAAATGAAAGGGTGAGATGTTGTGAATAATTATAATTAATTTTTTTTTTGATTTCGTTTTTCGAAAATTATTTTTTTTATAAAGAAATTATTATTATTATTTTTATATATAAAAATTTATAAAAAGATTTCGAAAATAATTAATTTTTTTCTTTTGAATTATAAAAAATGATTTCGGAAATTATAAGTAATATTATTTTTTTATTGTTCTTTTCCGCAAAATTAATGAACTTCACAAATTTTATTAATAAATAAAGTGTTTTATCTGACCGTGTTATTTTATTTTAAATATATTGAAATTTACAAATCTATCTCAGTGTGTTAGTTCTTACTTCAGTATCAGTTTTTGTTATCTCAGTATAGCAATCCCAACAATTTGTTAGTTCTTACCTCTCAGTATCAGTTTTTTGTTATCTCAGTGTAGCAGTTGCAATAATTTGAAAAGAACAATAAAAAAATTATATTACTTATAATTTCCGAAATCTTTTTTTATAATTCAAAAATATATATATTATTTCAAATACAAAAGAAAAAATTAATTAATTTCGAAATCTTTTTTATAATTTTCGTATATAAAAAAAAATAATAATAATTTCTTTATAAAAAAAAAATAATTTTCGAAAAACGAAATCAAAAAAAAATTATTTATAATTATTCACAACATCTCACCCTTTCATTTGGGATGAATTATGGGATCAATTCCTAAATTTTCATCATCAGGGTTTGCCAATAGCATGTCCTCTATCTTTTGTATTTCTATTAATGACGCTTCTGCCTCTGACGCTATAAGGTGATTATTTACTACAGATCCTGTAGGTTCCCTTTGTACCTATCTCATGAAGTTGCTCGTATTAGGATTTGAAACAATTCCCTTTGCCGTGAAATTCAGAATTCTCCACACCATTTTTGGCGGTAACGGTCCATAATTCGCCTGACAGTCTACTATTTTATGCCCCAGTCTACCACACAGAAAACATTGGATATTGCCTAAAGGCGTCCGTGGTTGCTCTCTCACCATCGCATATTGAGAAAAATTATCTTCTTTCCTTATAAGTGAGTCATAATTGCTTGTAGTAGGTAAAGTGTATGGAGCCCCTCGTTCATTTATTGAAAATTGTGGCTCGGGTGTAATTATGCCTTGTTGTTGTATTGACCACCTATCTAACCAGGGATCAGCCAATGGACTCCCTAAATTAGCCTGATTTACTTGTATTATGGATTGTGGCGTGCGTATGTAGAAGGTCATCATAATTTTTATTATTTCTAGAAATTTTATTTTAAATCCAAAACTTTCTTTAAATTTAAATTATTTTATTTCGAAATAAAAATATTTTTTTAAATAAATGATTTTGTTAACCTTCCTTAATAAAAAATTTTTTTATTTCTAACCTCTTTTCAATTCCTTCATAAAATCGCATTAAATAAATTTACTTCTATACCCCAATTATAAATACCCTATTTCTTGTTTTTATTATTACTATATTTTTTTTTTAAATCAAACTTAACCTCGATCCTAAAAATATTTCCAATTTTTCTATTTGAATTTTCTTTGATTTATGCCTGATCCCAAAATATATTTCCAATTTTTCTTATTGAATTTTCTTTGATTTATGTGCAAACTCATTTATTTAAATCTTAACATTTGCACTAACCTCAATTCCAAAAATATATTTCTCTCTATAACTTACTTTCCTTCCCCCCCCCTCCCCCTTTTTTTTGTATAACCTTCTATTATTTAAAAATCATTAAATTTAACATATAAATTAAATTTCACATATTTTTTTTAAACAACCCCCCATACATTACTTTTTATTAATGAATTCCTTTTTACATTCCCTCGTATATTTTACAACTATACTAATTTTAACAATTTTATTTTAAGATCCACTTATTAATTCTAATCGAATAAATTTTAAGTAAAGAAGTTTACTAAGAGAACCATTTACACTTGCAAAATAACCCCGAAAATATACATATTAATTCAATTTCAATAATCCCATATATATATATTTATTATAATTATTTTTTACATTATTGACCTATCCCAACACCAAAAAGATAATTTAACCCATCGTATTTACCTATCAACTATGTTTATTAGTTACATTTTAATTGATCTCTATGGCGACGCACTTCCGTCATATCTTCCAATCTTATTACCTAAATTTTCTATAATTATCCTCCTTTCCCATTTTTTATCACTCCCATACATCCTAACCCAGACTATTAGATCAATTATATATTCATATTCCACATTATTTTCAATTTCTAACATTTTCGAAACAGGTTTAAACATATCTAAAAAGGTATTAGTTTTTCTTCCCAACATTTTTTCCGAAGAAGATTTACCATCCTTTCCTACCCCATTATTATAATATAAATGAGCAATCCAAATTTCTTCTTTGCCTTCATTGGCCTTTCTCAACCAACCCTTAACAACAGCCACCAATCTTTCTGCCTGTCCGTTAGAACTAGGGTGATACGGTGGTGCCAGCATATGTTGCACATTATTTCTCAAACAAAAACTTACGAACATTTCGCTCACAAACCCAGGACCACCATCCAAAACCACCCATTTCGGAATGCCGAATCTAGACGACCATAATATCTTCAAAATAATTCCCGTAGTTAAACCATGTACCTCTTCAAATTCAATCCACTTTGAAAAAGCATCTACACTTAAAATAAAGTTTTTATCATTACACTCAAAAAAATCCATATGCACTCTTTCCAAACTCTATTAAACATTACAAAGAACTTTAAAAAAAGGTACATATCATCCTAGAGAGGAGTGAATGCTTAGGAAATTGGACCTCAGATTTCGAGTGAAATCTGCTCTCAAAGTTAGAATCCTTAGTTGGAATCGCCTGTGTTCTGTCTCTTTTTTTCTCTATGGGTTTTATCGAAATTACAGTTCCGAACATGCCTAAGGTATTGGTAACGATTTATATGAACACTGTGCTGATGCGGCCAGCATATATTTTTAGGATTTTTGCCTTTTCGATGGCTGAAAATGAGAGGTCGTACTTTGCTGCAAAATAGACCAATGTGTAGTCCCAGGTCAGCGGGAGAAGTCAGGGAATGAGGGATATACCATCCGGGCGTATGACGTTTTCATTTGAAAGGATATTATATATTCTTTTTTCATTATATATTAGGTAGTTATTATAGGATAAATTTTTTCCAATTATCTTTGCAGAATCAAGATTTTAGAAATCTTTTTTTTTTTATTTTTAGAAAATTGGGGATTAAAAAAAAAACTATCAAACTTCCTTAGCATATTTTGTAATTTATCTCAACTTCTATTGGGCATAAAAATATAAACAATAAAATTTTTATTGATGATAAAAAATACATTTCGAAAAAAAAATCCGGGTTTAACAAAAATGTTCAAATGCTAAAATTTTGAGCAAAAATCTCTGAGGATAAACTTTCAATCACATGAAAGATTTTTTATGCGTAAAAATCGCTAAATATTTACTTATAAAAGATTTTTACAAAAAGGTTAGGAATTTTAAGATAAAATTTAATTAAACACTTATTTGAGCATTCTCATAAATATCTTTTTAATAAAAAATTTATTTTAAAAAATCTCAAAATCTTTGAAGATTTTTTATTTTTGGGTAAATGTTTAATTATGAAAAAATACAAATCACATAAAAAGTTACATATTTAATTTTAATTTTAAAATACGAAAATGTTCTATCAGCACAAGTTGGGGGCGCTGGGACTCCAGCCCCTTAAAAATTTAAAGAGCCCCCTAAATTTTAAACTTTTTTAAAAAATACCTAAAAAGGAATGTCATTTTGAGGTTATTAGCTTAAAATAATTTAGGTAATTTAAAAAAATAATTTTTGAACCTCATTGAGATTGTAAAGACTATTGTCGTCATTATCTATCAGCGAATACCTATAAATAAATCAATTAACTAACTTCCATATACAAGATGACCGAAAATTTAATATATATATTATAAATCTTGAAATCTCATTCAAATATTTACATTTGAAAGAATCTAAATATATAACTTTTGATATAAAATGCACTAAATCCTTTGTGAATTTGGGTTCAAAAAATAAAATTGGGTTCGGTTAAGGGTTTTTAGTTTTTTTAGTTAAGTAGGTTAGAGAAAACTTTTCCCCAGCCGGTTCGGTTTACCATCCTTTTAACATGGCTTAGAACCTTTTTCATAGGGGAGCATCAATTTTTTTAAATCCTGTTTTATCTTTATCTTCATACTCTAATACTAGACTCTTCATTTTTAAGATGGGATTCGTTAATAAACAACTGAGTATAAGTTAAGCAATATTTATGCAACATATTTAAAATATATATAATTTGATATTATATATATGACGGGATTAGTTAGCAATGTATGCAAAATTTATATATTTATACTTTTTATTTATAAAATTTTAATTCACGTTTAAATGCATATGTTAAAGGACTTAAAACACAAAAAAAATGTTTGATGAGGTGGGATAATTTTTTGTGGGGTGGAGGGAGGAGGAGTGTGGACTACTAAATGTCATTTTGTAGTTACAGCTCTAAATGCTAATTAACGCCAATTATTATACACAAAGTTTGATCAACTCGAAACAATGTTGAACATACTACACATAATGCGTGGTTAAGAATCATTTATGAATTATTTTTATTTTATAAATTAAAATAATTAAATTGAATTTTACTCTAAAAAAATAATATTTATTTAAAATTATTCCAATAAAATAATCAGATCCATATGAATTTTTTAATTAAAATTTTTCTATTAATTTATTATCTAATTTGGAAATTTTTTTCAACTTGAAAGAGTAAATTATTATTATCTATATTATTTTAAGAATCGATTGCCAATTTTTGTGTTTTTCTCACTTAAACGTATTTTTTTATCTTACTTTCTTATATAAAAAAACATTTGGTTATATTATAAATGAATTTTCCTTATAATAAATAAAGTATAGCGTAGCCTAGATATGATATACAAGTGGGGCCGAGGGAAAGTATGGGGATCCCATTTAATAGGCATTCCGTCAAACTTGTGCTCTTATAAATATAAAATGGCTTTACATTTAAATATATACTTTTCTTTCTCTTATCACTTGAAATGTATATTAGAGGTGAGCTTAGCCCGGGGAAAAATATTTACGGTCCAGGTCGGATAAATTGTTAAAAATATTTTTATGTGTCGGGCCGAAGTTTTGAAAACATCTTTGAAGCTAATAATTCGCCAAATTTATGTCGTTTTTTTTCATATAAAATTAGAAATTTTTATGCCATGACGGATCCCCAATATATGGCATATTTACTTATATTGGTTTTTAAATTAACTATAATTTAGTAGGTATGGTGGAACGCACGGGATAAAAGCTAAATGTAAAATTGGGGAATTTTAATTAAGATAAACTACGAATAAATTAAATCTAGAAGAAAATATAATTATTTATATAATCAACTTTCGAAATTTTTATTTGATATGAAATTTATTAGGAAAATAAGAAAGATAAATATTGCTTTTCTTTTCTTTTAAGAAAACCCCTTCCCTCCCGATAAATATTGTTTTATGCATCGATTTAATTGGGGTATCAACAAAATATTTTACCTATAAGGCGGCCTTGCCTTGATATACCCGAAATAATAGAGATCATATTTATTTTTAGCTAACAAAAATAACAAATTATATCTTATTTTCCTAATAAATTTTACCTATATTATTTTTTTTTACAATTTTTACAAAGCTTTGTCATTAATATAATTTCAATATTTTAAGAAAAACTTAAATTGGATTATTAAATCTATTGATATTTATTTTAAAATAAAAATATGGAAGTCTACGTCCTACCTTTTTTTTTTTAGAATTCAATATATCTGTTTTGAATAGTGACTTTTAGATTTAAAATATTGGAATAAGTGCACCTTTACCCTGAATTTACACTAACTATGAATTCAGAGCCAAACATATTTTAAAGATATCATCCATCATCTTATGTCTAAACCTAAAAATCTAAAAATGGGGTCCAGTATTTTGAGTAGAATTCAGAAATTAAGAATATAAATTAAGTCAAGCTAAGACGTGGCCTAAGGATTAGTTGTATTTTTTTGTCCTATTACAGGTAAATTGTGTTGTAGCTCTCAAAATCTTCACACATTCATTTTTCTTAAAGAGGTGGGAAATATATTTTGGGATTTGAATTTAGGATTGAAACCTTAAATCATTATCCTAATGAAAGATGATAGTGTTTTAGATTTTCATCGTAAATGAATGTTTATACAAGAATTATAAAAATAAATATCGGATTACAGTATTGTGCTGGACCTGTTTGCATTGTTAACGTGTGCATACTGCTTTATGATTTATTTTTTTTTTGGAAACTAGTTATTGAATTCTTTTTAGATTTTGGTTATCGAGATAAAAGATAATGAGTTGAATAGCATTTACAATTATTATTTCAAGTGGAATGTTTACACAGTGCGCATTTAAAACTGGGAAGAAAACATGATTGGAGTGAAGCAGAAGATATCCATATCAGCCTAAAACCTTCAAATATAATATATTTAGTTATGTCTGGGTTAATTTTTATAATTTTATTTTATCGAATTCGATGATTCTCATCTTTCTAAAACCATTTAAAAGGCACAAAAACATTGGAGGAAAACGTTAATAAAATAGTCATGAAAGATAAAAATATCCATTAACTATAGACAATTTAGAAGAAATGACGATCCTGCAAAATAATCAAAGACTAGCCACAGACTTGCTAGTTTTAAAACAAAATTAAAAGAGATAAATGTGATATATTTGGTTTATAATTTACTGGCGCCGAATAGATACCGGCATTCTTTAGGAGCATACCATGCTAGTAGTATTGTTAAAAGGTTCGATGTTAGCCGATTTTAAAAAAATGATAACAATATTTTGGCAAGAACAATATTGCCTAAACCTTGAGATTTTGCTAATATATGCCTAAGCCTTTGTGCCATCTATGAGCAAAATCTTTAATATTTTTATGGATAAATATTTAAAAACCGTCTCAAATAGAAGCTTTTAACAACACTAGCAGCTAGTATGTAAATAAAATTGTTGAGTTAAAGTTCTTAATCTTAAATATTAATCTTTGAACTTATACCAGATTATGTATTTAATTTTTACTAATAAGTTTAAAAAAAATATTTCTGAATGTTACTTAAAAAAAAGACGCCCAACACGCTATGATGCGTTATCTCTATACCCGCGGAATAAATTGTCCTCAAATCATACCTAATATCGAAGGTAAGGATTATTCTATTGAAAAATTGATCATTGAAAAAGAAGATATCCCAAACCGTGATAGTAAATTAATTTATAAATAAAAATTATTTTTGGTGTAAGAGTTAGGGAGGTTTGAGATATTTACCAAAAAAAAATTTATAATTTAAAAAAATATTATATGTTTGAAAAAACATGAACGTGCATAAATTAACGATTTATAATTTTATGCAGTGAAATAAGCAAAAAAAAAGCATTTCATATGCCTATTACAGTAATAGGATAATTATTTTATGACAAATTTCTAACAACTTATAATTGTCCCTTATAATAAAATGTATATTTTATTAAACTTTTTTCAGAATTTGGATTATACTTAATTCGCATGTTTAATTTTATTCCCGGTGAAACACTGAACGATGTCACGGTCACGCCCGACCTATGCTACCAAGCAGGGAAATATATAGGGAAAATAGACAATTATCTTTTAGTAAATATAATTTGTTTTGTGAAATTATTATTACAATCTTTATGTATATAAGGTAATATTGAAAAAATAAATTTAACAATTTTTATTTTATTAACAAATCATTTTTCGGGATATGTTTGTTGTGTTTTATAAAATGTATACTCACATATTATGAAATATTTTGTCATTCTATACCTGATAATGTGATAATATTATTAATATAAAGTCTCTAGCACATTTTTCAAACCAAGAAATTTAAATTAAAAATACAGAAATTTCATCATAAAGGTTTGGAAGGACACATGACTATATGGAGTCTTGGAAGCGTTCCTAAACTAGTTGAATTCGCTCCTAAAATTAGGGACGTTAATCGTAAAATTTTGGCAAATGCCATAATTGAAAGATTTTCCCAACTCGTCACTCCGCACTTATCAGAATTCAAAAAAGGTTTAGTTTATAAGTCTGTTTAAATTCAATTATATTTTAATATAAATTTTTAATAAATTAATAATTTTGTGTATTCGTATTATGTATATATACTAGCATCCTGTTTCAGACCTAATTTTTCTGGCTTGCACGATCCGAGAAAATTTAGTGTCTAATCGTTCCAATCTGAGTATTTTCTTTTTCCAAGGACATGAGTCAACCTATTTTTTTTCTCTTCCAATTAGTCTCATGAAAAAGTTACGATATCTCAACGGGAAAAAAATTATAAAGCGCTCAAGAAAAATAAAATTTTTAAGTGTTATTCTTGAAAGGAATAATAACATATTAGATAAACAAAATAATTTAAAAATTTGTCAAGGTTGGAGTCAGACCCGGTCCAAAATATAAAATAAAGGTTCGATCAGATCAGTCCGAATTATGTCAGATCGGTCCTATACGGCTTTAGTATAGAGGTATAGGATATATATGTCACCTAAATCAAATCAACATTCAAATAACAATATCATGTTGGTTGCTCAAGGTATATAAATAACAATTTTATTATTATGAAAGGTGTAATACACGGCGACTTTAATGAACACAATATAGTGGTAACCAAAGACTCGAATGATGAGCACAAGATATATGGGGTGATAGATTTCGGGGACGTTCATATTTCTTATTACATATTCGAGATAGCCCTTTGCATCACATATATGATGATAAAAGTTGAGGATAGCGAAGTTTTTAGTTGTGGTGGTCATGTGCTAGCTGGATATCTGGAGGAAATGAGTTTATCCTACGAGGAACTCAATTGTTTGCAGGTTTTTCAAAAATTTTGATGATATATATTAAAAATATTTAATTTAAGTATTAAAAGAATGTTCTAGATTTGACGGTTGATATTCATAATGGTATTATAATAAAATAACTTCCAATCTGCTTGTGCTTTATCTTAAAATGGTAGGACCAAGCGTGATAAACAAAACATGCCAGATAGTAGAATGAGGAACTAAATAAGACCCCGTCAGAATAGAAGATATTTAATAAATAAACCCTTTGGCTGCGTCCTGGTCTTATTTTTGGTTCTTAATTCTAAATAGAGCATTCTGCTTAGAGCTAGGACACCATTTTTTTTAGGTATAGATTTTGTTATAAGGTGTAGATACCTCTAAAATATGCTTAAATGTAATATAGTTAAACGGCTCGATTTCTAAAAACGTCACTCAATATTTTTGCTAAAAAATGTTATGCAAGTCTCGAGATTTCGTTAATATATGTACAAACCTTTCTACTATTGTGTTACTTATTCTTTATTTTTTTTGTCTATTCAGTAAATAAAAAAGATGATTAAGCTCTATAATGTCTAATTAATTATTTTTCGCTCCTTAGGGCTAAAATAAAGTATTTTTTTAAAAAATTAAATAATGTATAATATATTCAATCAAAATAAAAGTTATGCATCTGTGCGAGATTATGCCAGTCTTTAACAATGGGAGAATACACGTATTCACTCGACCCTGGTAATGAATATCTATTATCTTCTGCTAAAAGAGGTTGGAAAGTCCTTGACAAGATTTGGGAAGTGGATAAAGAACCGCTTTACAATTTATGGGATGAAATAATTGTTGAAAGACAGAATGATAAGATGAAGAAGGAAGGAAAATGCACAGAGATATAATTAAGAAAATTTTTTGACAAATTCTTGTAAGCTTATTTATGAGACAAATCATGTATAAAATTTATAGCAAATTTAATATTATATTAAATGAATTGTTTTAATAATTTTACATCCTAAAAACTCCCATTATTTATTCTCAAAATGTACGATATTAAAAATAAATGCGACAAAAATCAATATAAAAAATTTAGCTAAATTTGTCATTTAAAAAATATATTAATGTGAAGGGATTCCTTTTTTTGTAGTCAAATCCCATATTACACATTAAATATTCAATTAAGGCACAAAAAAACAGAATTTAAAATAAAACATTTTCTTTAGATAATCCAAGAAATTTTTTTTTTATTATCGATTTATTTCATAAACAAGGAAAATAACATGCCACATTTTTTTCAAAATTGGAGGAAATGAAAGAAGAACATTTAAATTTAATAATCAGGTCCATGCATAAATTCTCCGACCCGTTAAATTTTTCATCGAAGGCCAGGCTTTACAGATCCCTCCTTCACAATGCTAAGTGCGGTTTTAACCCCTACCGTTTTTAAAATATCGTTAAACATTAGGCGGGTTAATACCTCTAAAACAAAGGGTTAGGGAGGTCAAGTAAATTTAAAATAAACAAAATATTTTTTTTAAATAAATAGGTTAGCTGAGTGATTTTTTGTTAAAACCATGGCAGGTGGGTTATAAACATGACCATTGTAGACCTCTAATAGAATCCGTGGTGATTTAACTCAATCTTTGAATCATTTACTAAAGGCAATTCTAAAATTTTAAAAATCGTACTCAAAATATATTCCCAGAATGTGTAAGAGCAACTTACCTTACTTTATGAATTTTGGATAATCATACCTTGAACCTTAGGAATTTATTTAAAAATTTATAAGAAAAATCTATGATCAATATAAATTAAAAGTACTTTATTTCAAAAATTTACCACTAAATTGTCAAAAATTTAATTGATGGAATGTCGGAAAATACATTTTAGGTCAAATCAGATTTTTTTTTCAATTTAAAAAAAGTCCTCGGTAAATTATTAAAATTTGAGATTACCTAAAGCTGGGGATTCCATATCTCCCGTTACGACATATACTAATGATAAATTCTTAAAAGAAATTAATGCCAATTTCGAAAACTGTTATGAATTGATAAAAAATTTGTTGAAAAAATTATTGAAATAAATTATACCGTTTAAATTTTAACGAAGACCCGGAAAGAAATACTAAACGGCTTGACATCCCGATCCATATTTATTCTTAAACAATCTTTTCAAGTGTATTTTACCTGCCAAATACTCTCAATTGACTGAGAAATGAAGATTCAATTAAAATGAGCGTATTTTAAATATATATCGTTGCATGAGTAATAAAGGTTTTAAAAAAAGGATTTTCTTTAAAAAATAGTTTTTGTATGTGAGTTTTTTTTTACCGTATTCTGTTCGTGGGCCAATCAGATTGCCTAGGTCATCCTATTTTGGTTTATAAGTGTGTATAATTTATTTATCTATTTCTCGGTAAAATAAATATTACATTTCCATTTAAATGCTTCATTGGTTTAGAAAGAGTCATGCATACGATTTACCATTTATTTCTCAGTTAATAGGAACTATATAGAGGACTAAACAGGCTACTATTTAGAAATAAGAGGAACCAAAACGTGCTCAGTTATTAAACTTCAAAAATTTGTTTTAGCTTTCCAACTCATCACAAAATTTAAAATGAGCTCTAATGCTTTATTAATTCTTCAATAATTATGACATTTTGTATAAATAAATTTTTTGCATTGAAAATATTCAATATTAAAACAATTCTATAACTCAAGGGTATCACTAACTGTAGAATCTCAGGGGACTCAAAAAATTCAAAATTACAATTTTTATTTTCAAAATTTTCAGGGGACTCGAATTACTCCCTCCCCCTCTTAGTCACACTACTATAACTTATTAAAAATTAATAGTAGTTCAGATTTCAATAATATCTCTAAAAATATTTTTCCCATGACATTGTTAATGTTGAGCAAAATTTTCTCCTTTTCTCCTTTTCAAAATTAAGAAATTTAGTTTCTCACGTATCACGTCAAATTGTTTGCAAAATACTTTTTTGATAAACGTATCTAACCTTTCATAATTAAAACTTTCGAACCTTCTTTCTCTCTGATTAGTTATTCCTGAGAATAATTTTAAAAAATGTGGTGTAAAAACATGTTAGAATAAAAACTAAAATTTCATTTCATTTTAGTGATTGGAGTAGCGATTGTGGTTTATTCAGGATCAGAGTTGTTAAAAGATACTTTTTAAATGGATCTAGATACAGATACATAGACTAAAAATTTATCTAGCCTAAATTAGGAATTGTGAAAATTCATGAAATGATCTAAAAAATTTATTGATTCGATATCACATTTATCAAAATATAACTAAAATAATGATTTTATTAATATAATATATGATTAATATAAATAATTATTATATATCATTAATAAATAATATAATATATGATTAAATGTATAAATAATTATTAGATTTCAGTAACAACCACTGTCTGTGCTAATGTTTTGATCATTTTTATAAATGAAGGATTTTCAACAATTGAAAATGGCTGATTGCTATCTATAATAAAATCAGTTATTAAATCATCTAAAGTGGTTTGGGTTAAAGTCTGAGGTTCCTTGGAAAAAAATCTATGGACGATGAGCCTAGTCCAATATTTTCTTTAATAGATTTTTTTTCCTTCCCCTTTTTTATTTGGATTAAGAGTGTTTGATGTTTTCTCTAAAATTTAAAATTTAAATTGTACACATTTATTTAGTATCTATACCCTTAAATGTTTTACAATGTTGCAAGTTGAGGTTATGCTAACTAAAATTTGCATATTTTTTGGTAGACATGGCAAACATTTTACTAACAGATTTGTTTTCCTTATTGTGAGTTATTATTTTAAAATATGGTCTATAAATTGGCCATGGAAGAATGTCGTCATTTTAGTCATCAATATTAATCTTAAAAATTAATATAATTAATATAATAGAATAAAATAAAATAAAATACCAATTCCATTGCAATTAAAAATGGCAAATTCCTTGAGATGGATTGTAATATCAGAATTTGCTTGTTATTGATAACTCGGACATAATATTTAATTAATATTTATATATTCTTTTTTATATATAAGTTTTAATACTTTACATATATATATATAATTTTTTAATATATATATTAATATTAAGTTATATGCTCATATGAAATAAAATAAATTTTACATTCAAGTATTTTTATTTATTATATATAATATAAAAAAGCGTTAATTAGAAGTATATCAAAATGTATCTTAAAAAGTATCTAAAAACAGATACAGATATCTCTAAAATAATATCTAGATACAGATACTTTAATCAAAAATCTATCTAGATACAGATACCACATTTTTATATCTAAATACTTGTATCTAGATTCTTTAACAACTCTGTTCAGGATGTATTGCGAGGGAAAGACTAAGAGGTTAGCCCCTCTCATAAACAAAAAAATATAGGTATATTTTTATTCAGAGACTCTTTAAGCAATAAATGCCTGGCATCAGTCTGTTAACTAAACCTAAATTAAATAAGGGGGGGGGGGTGCTTATTATAAATGTTGCTTTACATTTATTACTTTCCTTTCAAAAAATAAAATAGTTTATATTTAAATATTTACTAATTATTATAATTTATTTATTATATTAATAAGCTGCGACAATTATTTTGTAAATATAATAATACACCGTATTGTATTATATAATGATAGATACAAAACTCGATTTTAAGATATAAGGTAGTAAAAGTAGTTAGTTAATAAAATATAAATAATGATACTAATCAAAAATTTAAACTAACGAATTAATTATGGCTTCAAAAAGCATTGTAATTTGCGAAAGTAGGCTGCTCCGTATGGAATTTATCTTGAAATATTGGAGCGAATGGATCATCCTCAAAACCCTATTAATTACATAACATTTCATTTTAAAATAATTAAATTTATATAAAGTTAAAATGAAATCTTATTTATTTTTTAAAAAAAAATCTTTTGTCATACTTTATCGTGAGTTGATTTTAATGACGGAGGAATGTTATTGGAAGATCGATGATTATTTGAAAACAAATTGGCTAAAGTGATAATATAAATATTTTTTTTGATAATTTATTTATAACATTTTTTAAAAATTGAATAAGATCAAATCTATTAGAAATCTATACTCGGTTGCCTTAATTATTTCATTGCTTTGTTTGTTAAACGGAGATTTAAATCAAAGGGCTGCAACAATGGTGTTTTAACCTGCCCCCACACTTTTAAAAAATTTTATACGAAGCTGAACCACTTTTGAAAAAATATTCGGAAACAAACCCCCTTTAAACTCCGATATTTAACGATAAAATTAATATTTATTGGGTAGACGAGTAGCTAGAGAGCCATCTACATTATACCTGTATTTTTTTTACTCAATTCAAAGTGGAAACCATAAAAACCAACCTCTTCTATGAGGTTTTAGGATTAGAAAGCCATAGAAATCTGGGTGAGGTATAATATAGAATCAGTTTATGAAAAATACATCATTTGGATTCGTATATTAATAAAATTATCTCAATTCGTATTTTAATATTTCTATAAAAAATATTTGTTATAAGAATTATTTAATATATTTGACAGTTAAAATTTTCTTAGATAGATATATTATTAAGGATTTCCAAATATAGGCGAAAGTATAAAAACATTTGCAGATCCAAATTTATGGACATGCCAAATTTTATAAGGTGAATTATATTTTTTTTTCTCTTTAAATATTCTTAATAACTTTATATTTTATATATATAGCATGTTTTTATTCTTTATTTATATATGTTAGCGTCGATATGTTTTTTCATGTATTATTTTTACAACTTTAAATCATTTTTTGAGCGCGTTTTTTTAAATTTATAAAATTGGATTTTACCTAAAATATATTCTATCATGTTCACACCTATCTTATGAATTGTAGATAATTTTGCTGTTAACCTTTAAGTCATTTATAATTCATATAAAAAATATATGGAAAATCTAATATAAATTATATTTGTTTAAAATTTCATGGAAAAATTGTATGAAATTCATAGGGTAGGTATTCCAATGGAATATATTTCCGGTAAAATCTAATTTTAAAAAAAATACGCTCAAAAAATGTAAAGTAGAAAAAATAACACATTACCGAAAAAATTCATTGAAGTCTAACATATGTATATAAAGATAAACATATATATAAACATATAAACAACGTGTACCAAATATTATCAAAAATATAAAAAGAATTCGAAAACAATCACATAGTTTGTTTACATATGAGTAAAAACATTTCAAAATAAAATGTATAACATACTGTAGAAAATATGTAACTATAATAAAAATCATTTATTAACACCAATAAATTTATAACTTTATTGGATAAGTCTACCCATGAAGCTAATGTACTTATAATTAAATAAATTTATTATGTGATGAATTATCACAGCAACAAAATCTTGAATAATTATGGATAATGAGTAAAGATCAAGTTGTCAAAGAATTATAAAGATTTTATCTATGCTTGATTCATCAATATAGTCAGACTCAGATATATTTTTCTTTTGATTTAAGCCAGTTAAATAACTATCAGCCCATTTAATTGATAAATTTTAAAATAAAATTCTGTCAATATATTTCCGTATGAATTATTTCATAATTTATAAAAAAAACAAATTATTTTAATAATTCGAATCAAATACAAATAGTAAATATTCAATTCGTACAAAATCGAAAATTACATTAATATTAGTCAGCCAAATATGATGATCGCTTAATAATTAATTATGGGAGGAGTTGATTTACTAGATAAAGTTTTGAGTATTATCGTTCTTGAATTCGCAGAAGAAAAAATTGGTAAATATTTTATTGTAATTTTCATGGAGAATACGCATATATTTTTTCTGGTGGATATATGTTCCACTTTTTAACCGATCATGATGTCTTATAGATTCAATTCAATAAGCAGAAATAAATGGCATGCCAGTTTTAGGTGTTCATCAAGGTCGTTGCAAATGATATAAAATAAATAACCCCTATATGTGCAATAAATTCCTATTCTCCTTCTTTCCCGTTTAATGGCGGTTTTCAAGGTAGACCCAGGTAAGCCAGATCCCCTTTCTCCATTTTTGCGATCCCGGCCTCTTTATTTTTGAGATCCATTTCACTTAATATCGTCCGTTAACCATACAACTTCAGAGAGTCGTTAATTGATATATGATGTTAAAAATATATCTACAAATAAAATCCATATTTACTCCCCTATATTTGATTTTTAAAACAATTTTTATTTTTTGGAATTCTGTATTTTAAAAAAAATGTAATATTTATATTTTTTAAAAAAGTTCGAATTTATAATATCTTAGTAACTAATGAGTTAAGTAAAAATAAAATAAATTAAAAAAATAGAGTCAACCCAATCAAATAATTTTTAAAGTAAATAGGCGGGCGAAATTTTATTTTCAAAAAAAGATGGGTAGGCTCGTTAAATTTTTTTTTAAACAATGAGCTTGCAGCCCTCTAGTTCTAACCCCACTTTTTGTTTTAAAAATTATTGTTGATGTAACAAGACGTAGGGGAGAGCTTAAGGATAATATTTTAAATATTAATTTAATTTAGAAACGAGATTAGGAACCAATAACCTGGTGAGCTTATTATTGATTAGGAGTTATATTTTTTTCATTATTAAATTCGAAAATCGATGAGGAATTAATTGTCTCTACTTGAGAGGAAAATTTGGTTTCTTTGGCATTTGAATAAGATCTTTTAAATCAATATAAATTACAGTTAAATGTTTAAAAACTCTAATTTTGTATATCCCTATATTATATTGGTATTGTATAGCTGTGGTTAAATTTAAGATATGTAATTAATGTACCATTTATATATAAATTTAAATACTTGGCGAAGAAAAAAATGGATCATCTACGAAACCATCAGTTTGTGGAGCGTTTGTAATCGTGGCGTTGGCAAAGGAGTCTAAAAATGGATCCTTAAAATAATTTTGTATGAGAATATATAGTTTTTTTTAAATTAGACGTAATGCCCTTTTTCAATCTGGTTAACCAGGCAAAAAGACACTATGCCTCTTCTGAAAAAGTGCATTATGTGCCATAAGGAAAATGTACACAAAAAATATAACCCAGTCGTAAACTCTCGGGGCCGACCATAATTTTTAACTTTCAGACCAGAGCAACCTATTTTCTTATCAAACCAGGCCTTAAATTTGAATTTGATTTAAAGAAATAGAGGAAAAAAGTGGTGTCAAATTTCGAAGATAGCGGTGGATCATTTATCAAATATTGAACAGACAAAACTGAACAACTGCTCCAAAATTCATGAAGTTTTCTTGCCAAAATAAAATTTTACTTCTAGGTCCTTTTTTATTTTTTATATTCGCGATTTTTGTAAGATTATTAAATTAATTTATTTAAAAAATTAAATTCAAATCAAATGGGCCAAACCTTGTTCGAAAACATACTTGTTGTAAAGGCTTACTGTATATATAAGTCTAAATTTGTGATAACCAGAATATTGCATATTAAATCAAAATCACTAAATAGATTCCTGCTGTTGTTATTGAACAGAAGCTCTTATTTATCTTACTATGTGTTTTAGGGGGTTTTGTGGGTATCATAGATATGATTTTTGTTTAACGAATAAATGTTTTCCATTTTTAATATATTATCATATCTCAAATAGCTCATCACATTTTTTTTAATACATATTTATTTATAACTTTGTCATATTAATTCTGATTAAATACATCATTAATATGCCAGGCTACCACTAAAAATCTATTAGATTTTTAAATTACTTATTTGATTTTTAGTAATTTATGTATAAATTGTCTCATGTTACCAAGGATTTTGTTTAAAGGCAAGGGGGCATTTGTACATTGTTAATTATTTAATAAGTTTTTTTTATCACATATCGTTTTTTGTATGTTTAAGAGAAAATAAAAATTGTTAAATATAAAATTTGTCATATAAAATTTCCTTCTAAGATGATAATAATATTTGAAATGTAAAAGGATATATCAAAGTTCTCGTTTTTCAACACTAACAACTATACAAAAAATCAAATAATCAAATCTAATTACATAATTAGTTTCATTTTTAATGCCATTGTCACCAACAGATGGAAACGGTTTTGTTTTAAGATTTATTAGTTTTTCCTCGCAAATCTCAATCTGCTTCATCAGATGTGCCTCCTCATGCAATAATTGATCTATGTAATAACTTTCCATAGATCTCTGATCGCCCTTGAGAGATTGGTCTACAGGCAGGTTGACTTTCTTTTGAAATATAACCTTATTTATGTCCTTTATCTGATTATTAGTATTTGAAAAAATAATAATAATACAAATTTGCAACCATCAATTCTTTAATAAAATTCAAGGATTATAAACTTCGGTAGTTAAAAAAAAATTTAAATCTTTGTTAAATCAAAGTATATATATCTCAATCAAAATTTATCTACTTACTTTTATTTTTTTTAAATTTTTAACTAAAAAATATATTTCACATTACTATAATCTAAACTAGTAAATGAAAATGCGCGTTAGCAAGAGAATCATATATATTTCGTTTAAATATAAGTTTTAAAAAAGACACCTCGTTCTCCAACTTTTCTACTTGGTTCTGTGTGTCACGTATTCTGTCGATAAAATTTTTTTCTTTGATATTTAATTCGTCCAATCTTTTATTTTAAAAAAAAACCCATAAATAAAAGGATACATATTTTTATATGTTGTTTAAACGGTTCGATTTGAGCCGATTTTTTAATAAATCAATAATTTAGCCAGAAAAAATATTGCCTTAAACTTTTAGATTTCGCTAATAGATGTATAAACTTTTGTGACATATATGAAACAAAATATTCAGGCTTGTGTTATATTTTTCCTAAATAAAATATTGAGTTAGCCGTTTTTTAAAAAATGGTCTCAAGCGAGCCGTTTAAACAAACCATATATTTTTATTTTTATTGAATGATCTGCGAATATCCATCCCCAATCTAATAAGTTAAATTTAAAATGATGATGCAATATTTGATAATATTCTCCTGGTCGATATCAAAAGATAAAAAAATACAAAAAACGATGCAATAATTTGTAAGAAATAACCTCTAAAAATAAAATTCATAAGAAACTATAGGGGAAAATAAGCCAATACAAAATATTCGTAGATTATTTAATAAAGGCTGTATTTCCAAATATCAAAAAATGAGATTTGCAAACTTTTGAAACTTTATCGAAAAAGACGAAATAAGCTTTTAAAAATGTCCTAAATATTAATATAAAAAATTTTTTTAAATATAATTTCATTAAAACTTTGAGACTTTTTGAACATTTTAAAAAAGAATTTGGATATAGCTTTAAAGAAAGAAACGTAATAACTGAAATAGCCGTGAATTCATTTTACATTAATTAATTACATGCTTTATTGGCGCAGTCGATTTGATAGGATTAAAATCAATATAATCTATTTAAAGTATGGTAATTTAAAAGAAAGAATAGAAAATAATAAATTAATATAAAGTTAATTCACAATTTTACACCTCTTTCGTCGTTTTGACTCCTATTTCTAGTGCTAGGGTGTCATCATGCTGATAGTGATGTCTATCTCTATCTGGTATGTCACTAAGCTATGGACAATTTTTTGGATAGATAACAAACTAAGAAACGGAAGGAGGGAAGGATCTATAAAGAAGGGAAATGGTTAGTACTCCTACGAGGTATCAATGGAAAGACTAACGATAATGAATTGTAAATGTGAAGCCAAAAGAGCGAAAAACGAATCACATATGATGATAAGAAAGATTCCTTACATCTGAGAGAGGCGGCGAGATTAAAAATAAGAAAGCCGTAAGATCCCCTAAAAACCGAGAGAGGCAGGTGGGTTAGGAAAGAATATTGTAGTCAACTAGATGGTAACCAGCCAGTATCATACTAGAGATAGGAGTCAGTCTAACAACAAGATGGATAGAAGAAATGTATATTTAAAGGCTCTCCAATAAAGTGGATAACCAGCTTATAAAATACTGATTTATAATCGTAATATTTTTTACCTGTGAATACCTTTTTCTTTATCATTTTCCAATATTTTAACGGACTCATTTAAGATTTCAACTTCCTTCTTCATTTCCAAATAAATGTCGTTTCTGGATCTTAATTCGTTTTCCCTTGCAGTTATCTTTGATTCGATCTTAATTTTTTCCCTATAGAATATTTAATTATGTATTTAAATAAAATTATATTATCCCCCCCCCCCCAAAAAAAAGTAAATAAATAAATAATGATTGCAAAAGTGCAAAATATTTATCAATTCAATGAATATTATACCGAAATATTCATTCCATAATACCTGGAATTTTGGTAAGGGTGGTGAATAAATATTTGACGAGCTTTTTTCCTGTTTTCAGGTCTTTGGCCAGTTTACATATTTTATTAGCCTTGGGTGACAACGTGGAACAAAATAACCCAAGCAGTTGTATGTAGTGTTGTTAAACAGTTCGATTTTAACAGATTCTTAAAAACGGCTAACTCAATATATTTTATAGAATAATATTAAGCAAGCCTGAAGATTTTGCTCATAGGTGGCACAAAGGTTTGGACATCTATTAGGAAAATCTTGAGGGCTAGGTAATATTTTTCTGGCTGAAATATTGATTTAATTATTTTCAAAAATCGGTTCAAATCGAGTGGTTTAACAACACTAGTTGGATGGAGCATAGCTCATTCCAATTTTAAAATTGTTATATCTCACTCAAATCTCTATATTTATGCTTTGATATTTTAGACATTTATTAAGTTACCCTTACATTTAAATAAAATAATTTTTGTAAACATGAGAATTTTTGTAAAGAATGTCGAAAAAAGGTTTAAAAAGCTTAAAAATAAAGATTTTTTTTGAGAATGCTCAAACAAAGATTTAAGTTCATATTTAACATAAATAATTGAAAAATTCTACGATAAAATCACGATTCTTTTTTAAAAAAAAAGAAAAAGATTTGACCTATTTAAAAATAAATAATCAATTTTATGAACTTCAAAGATTATTTGCTGGAAATGGCAAATAAAAAAATTGAAGTTCAAGCTCCGAAATATTGCTTTAAATATTGTATTTCATAATTTTACTATTAAAATCATCAAATACAATATTTTAAAATAGTTATAATTTATTTAATATTTAAGTATTAATAATAATTTGTATCTTAAAACTTACTTTAGAGAAAAATAATTTGACATAAAAAAAGAGGGTACTTTAAAAAGAAAACAACCAAAATATCCAATTTTTTTTTGAGTTTTAGAAAATTAGAATCTAATCTAGTCTTATTCATGATCAATATAAAACAATTTAAATTATATTAAGTTTTAAGATCATATACATTCTTTTTAAAAAAAATTATATATTTTTAACATATTTTCAGTTATTTAGTTAGTTAAAAATGTTCTTAATTTATTCAAAAATATAAATATTAATCAATTTTAAATTAAGATGCCATTTTAGCAGATCTAATCGGTAAATTTAATAACATCGGCCGATGACCGATATTTTTAAAAGGACAAAAAACGGCCCGATCCGATATTTGGAATTCCATATCAAATCAACTAAAAAAAGTCGATCATCAACCCGACCCCTTCATAATTTTTTTAAAATTTGTATATTGGTAGTATATACTATAACTACAAAAAAAAGATATTTTAATTCCTTAAACCACTTACTTGGTAAGAGATGGGGGTTTCAAAATGCATTTTATTAATTTTAAAGTACCTCAAGAAAAATTAAGTTAGAGCAATAATTTAAATATCATTATATAGCTTAATAATAGATTTTTAATATGGTAATATATATGAATATAATAGAAACCCAATTAATACAAAAAACCGGAAATACAAAACTGAAAATGGTCATAGAAATAAAGGTATTTTTTAAAAGAATTCTGTCTAATTATATATATATTAGGGGTGTACCTATACCACTTTTTGGAGGCCGATCCGATCCGATATTCCAGATATTAAATTGATATCGGCCGATAACCGATCCGATATTATATCTAATTTTGCGTTCTGTAAAGATACCAATGGTTTTAATTTGTAATATACTTTTTATTAGTATAACATCTATAATTTAATTATACCATAACTTATGTCATATAAATATATTATAATGATCAGTTATAGTTTATATTCAATTCTATTGTCTAAAAGTATATAAAATATTTTTATTATAAATCACTTTTATATAATAAGTATCAAAATTTATCTATATACATAATAAGTAATAAACAAATATATTATGAAATTTAAATAAATATTTAAAATAATATTTAACATTAATATATCGAAGATTTCTTTTTAGAAATATCAAAATTTCCAATTCATCAGAAATTAGCCTGCGGCTATGATAACTGTCAATATCACCAGCTTCACTTAAAACAGATTCTGAAGAGATTATCGCACACTTTTATAAACAGAATGCGCAAAAAAATAAGGATATTGATGCTTATCAAATTTGAATTTTGTTTATTTTTCATTTGGATATGCACTACCAAATATATTTATAATATATATTTGATAAATTGTGATTTTTGGAAAGCCTCTATGGTCTAGTAGGCAAGAGCTTGGCTTACCCATGGTCCGGGTTCGAATCCCGGGAATGGTTATGTTTTTTTTCTTAATCTAACTTGGTGGTTCCATCCTTGGGGGGATAATATATAGGAGGTCTGACTCGACCACGTGATTCCGTATTAATATATTAAATTTTTAATAAATTTTGGTCGGTATTTAGCAAATTAGGTTGGTATTTAGAATATTTCCATACATTCACTTGGTAGTAAGCATCATTAACTAAAAAATAATAACAATATGGCAGAATATTAATTAATTATTATTATTAAAAAAATATGGATTTCGATTTTATTTATAAAAATAAATGATTTTAGATATAACTTTTTTTTAAAAATTTATAACATTTTATTTTTGTTAAGGACGCCATTTTATATCGGATCGGATTGGCAAAATTTATAATATTAGTCAATAACCGATATTTTTAATAGGTGGAATATCGGCCCGATCCGATCCGATAAAAAATATCGGTACCTAATTTGGCATTTTTAAAAATATATATTGGTTGATGTAACAACAAAAGGAAAACGATTAATTTAATATTAAGATAATGGTTATTACATTATTAAGAAATAAATATAATGGCAATATTTTTTAAAAGTAAAATAAACATGACATAACTATATTTGCAGAGTAATGCAAAATGTAATGATATTATAGCACTGCTTATTTTATTCAATTTTTATGGGGAAAGTATGGATGGGGTGGGGGGGGGGGTATAGGATGCATTTTTTATTTTAAAATTATATTTACAAAGCTTTATTAAATTTAAATAATGGCTCACTCAAAATTTTATGATTAGAATAATAAAATTTATATACTCATTGATTTCTTCTAACTCTTTGATTAAAGTAGTAATTTCATTGCCTCTCGATAGTTCTTGGCAATCAGCTTCCATCAAAAGAATTTGGGTATTGGGCTAAATATAAAACATAATTTATTAATTTTTAGTAAAAAATTTTCATATAGCTTACATTATATTTTCTACTTAATTCAATCAATTCTGGATAAAATTGTGATGGGGGATCTATAGAATTGTTGATCTTTTGATTGATTAAATACCAGGCCAATTTAAAATGGTCTTGATCCAGCATGCCTGTTTTCTCAATATCACATATGTTCCTAGTAGTTAAATAATAAAATATTAACCCAATATTATATTTACCAAATGTGTGCTAACAAAGGTTGAGATAATTGTGTAGCTAAGAAAATATTTTTACAATCTACTCCATTAATAAAGCCATCTCTGTCCATATCTAAAGATTTAAATAACTTTTCTGGAGAATCCTTTGGGTCAGTTAAAAGCTAGAAGAAAAAAAAATAACATTCATTGTGATAACATTGGTATAAATTTACAACTGATGAAGGTGATGTTACATTTTTGGTTGCTAGATTATTAAATAATATATCAAAACTCTAATTAATTTTAAAACAAACTTAATAAAGGTATATTGGTTGGATAACCTAGAGACTTATAAAATTCTATTGGAAGCTCATTAGGCATATTATTGGATTTTGCCTTGTTTATCAAATACATAGACTAAAAATATTTGTAATATAATAGTATATATTTTATAAACAATAATAAATTCATTCTGATCTAAAGCACCATCTTTGTCTAAATCACTCATATCCCATATTTTAGCCAAAATATTAACAGGAATACCAGTTTGTATCATCATCTGTATAACTCATTATTTAGATAATTAAAATAACCTAACCTCTTTAGCTTTGGTTCCACTTAGAAGACCATTTTCGCTTATATCTTCAAAAATCTTTTCCAATTTAAGCTTTTCTTCGGACTTAAATGATGATTATATTATAAGTTATAAAAATTATATTTTACTCTTATCATTTATTTTCGGATAAGTGAAAATTACATTTAAACATATGACAATTATTTAATTTACAATAAATTCAGAAACTGTTTAATATTGATTTTTATTTATATTTAAATAATTTTAACACAATAACAAATGATTCATGGGATATATTTATAAAAATGTAATTCTATTAGCTATAAAATCTGCTATCGCGGCTAAATCGCGATCGTAATCTCACCGGTAAATTCAAGGTTATACATAGTAATGATAGTAACAAAAAGCTAAATATTATGTGTATATTATAAAAAAGCTATCAGTAATAAAATTTAAAATGTTAATTCTCACAGACTTAAATGTGTTTAAAATAATAAAAAATATGTTATTTTTTGTCAATATAAAAAATAATATAAAAATGCATATTAATTATATATAACATCTATTTTGTAGTTATGCTACTGAAAAACTAATAAATCGAAAATTGATCGTTAACCATTCTAGAATCATACGATTTAGAATGAATTTAGCAGCAATCCATGTCATTTAATTTTATGGCAGAGTAAATTAAAAGCCGCCATAAATAAGCCAACAATTCACTTATTTAAGGACTTTAATAGTAATGTCTCAATATGTTCCAACTTTTAAGGATATCAACAACAATTCTAATATTCCACTGGAAAATGGTAAATATATTTTCTATAAAAAAATAATATAGAATATAGCGGCTAAAGATTTACCTGTAAAATTAGTGAATGGAAAAAATAACTCACATGATAAATTAACTTTTGATGAAAAAATTGAAGATCATAACTTAAAGGAAGATGATTTACAATCGTTCACATCAGACAATTCTAATAGCACAAATGAATCAAATTCAATTAGTGATTCTGATTCTGAACTCTTAGCATCACCTGGTAAGTTTTTATAATATAATATTTATATTTAATATATTTCAGAACCACTTTTGTGGCTAAAACAACAAATGAAGGCTAATAATAGTCCACAAAAAATCTTAGAAATATTATTGCCAAATAAATCCTTTTCTGCCTTAAATAATTATGAAAGCTGGGATATGATTCTTCAAATCCTAACACAACCTTCAATGTTTAAAAGGTCTAAACTGTCTTCTATCAATACAATTGATGATTTTGTCAATATAATTGATAAATCTAGTAATATACTTGTTTTAACTGGTGCAGGGGTATGAATAGTAAATATATTATTTATTCTTTATAAACATACTAGGTATCTGTTTCATGTGGAATACCTGATTTTAGATCAAAAGATGGCTTATATGCACGTTTAGCTAAAGATTTTCCAAATTTGCCTGATGCCCAAGCTATGTTTGACATAAATTATTTTAAATATGATCCAAGACCATTTTTTAAATTTGCCAAGGTATAATATTATATTTACCTAATTGCTTAATTTCGTTTATAACTAAAATAGGAAATATATCCTGGCAAATTTAAACCATCATTAAGTCATCAATTTATTAAATATCTTGAGAAAAATAGTAAATTATTGAGAAATTATACTCAAAATATTGATACCTTGGAAAAAGAGGCCAACATTTTAAAGTCTATAGAATGTCATGGTAAAATTATTAATCAAAGCTAATCTATTAAAAAAATATATATTAGGTTCATTTGCAACAGCATCTTGCACAAAATGTAAATACCAGGTTAATGCGATGGTTATCAAAGAAGATATATACAATCAAGTACTGAATTATAAAAAAATTTCACACAAACTCTGGTCCCATAAATATTCTGATTTGGTTCCCATTTTAAAATAACTTTAATCTAGATCATCAAACCTACATTTTTAGGTTCACAGAATTGTATAAAATTTTGATCAAAGCGAGTTTCAGGTAGAGTCCTGCATGAACTTATCCAACTGAACTCATGTTAGTCATACAATCTTTTGAACTTGATCAGATGATGTCATTATTTTTAATTTGCACCAGAACGCTGACTTTGACTATATTTTAAATTATTTTGTTTTTATGGATATATTATTTATAATATTAAAAGTAAAATATTTTTTCCTGCAGCACTTATAATTTTTCCACATTCAATTTATTAAACTTCTTAAAAAGTCAAATAAAAAAAATTGATTGAAATCAGGCTTATTTTTTCAAGTCAGGCTTAATCACAAACTTTTTTTTTATATAAATGATCCAATTCAATTTTTTTAAAAAATTGAAAAATAGATCTGATATGTAGCATTGTTAAATGGTTTGATTTGAGCTGTAAAATCTAAAGAAAATATTACAAGTTTTTAAAAATCAGCTCAAATTGAGTTGTTCAAAACTACAGATATGAGACTTTATTTAAGACATTTTCAGAGATTTTAATTGAAAATGACTTAAAATTTTTAAATCTAAATTGAGATTCAAAAAAATGCTAACTGAACAAACTTTGATCTAATCATAAAAAATTAGCATTATATTATTATTTAATTTTAAGGAAAAAAAAATTTCAATAACTTTAGGTGTACCGATATTTTTTATAGGATCGGGTCGATATTTCACCCATTTTAAAATATCGGTTATCGGCAAATATTATTAAATTTTCCGATTCAATAAAAAATCTCGCTTTTAACAAAAATAAAATATTATAAAATCAAAAAAGATCTAAAATCCATTTATTTTTATAAATAAAATCGAAATTCATTTTTATGTTTAATTTTTTAATAATAATTAATTAATAAATATTCTGCCATATTGCACATTATAAAAGTGTGCGATAATCTATTCAGAATCTTTAGTGAAATTGGCAGTCCCCATCTCCACAGACTGATCTCTGATAAATTGGAAATTTTGGTATTTCTAAAAAGAAATCTTCGATATATTAACTTAGATATTTATTTAAATATTTATTTTAAATTTCATAATATATTTGTTTATTATTTATTATGTAAATAGATTAATTTTATTACTTATTATATAAATAAGTGATTTATCAATAAAAATTTTTTATATACAATTAGAATTGTAATTGAATTGATTATAATATGTTTAAATGACATATGTTATGGTATAGTTAAATTATAGATGTTATACTAATAAAAAGTTTATTAAAAATTAAAACCATTGGTATCTTTACAGAATACAAAATTAATGATATCGGATCGGTAATCGGCTGATATCAATTTAATATCGGGAATATCGGATCGGCCTTTTAGAAGTGGTATCGGTACACCCCTTATTTTCTTCTAAAATAAGAATATGAAAACAAAATAAATTTTAACTGCGGTTTGATTTTTATATGGATAAAAAAAAAGATCACCTCAACCAACAAAGCTTGGACAGGTTCATGCTAGAATCTAAAAAAATTAATTTATGTTACATTGATGTTATTTACAGAGATTATATTTTTATGATTAATTATATATCTTCCTTAAGGTTGTTCCATTATGCCCCAAATGTCACAAAGCTTCAGAGAAAATTGAGAATGAAGATTCACGTAATAGAAATAATTTAGCTTCTACATCATTAGTCAATGGAAAATGTATAGTTTTTATAACTGATGTTAATTTACAGAACTACATGCCATTATTTATTTTTATTTTTTACTCAATCAATATTTCTGTGAAATCTGCATTTTTATATTTGTTTAAAATAATTAATATTTTTTTTCAATTCCCTCATCCAACTACTTAAGCTCTGTCAACTACTGCCGATACACTAATCCAAACCTCTTATACAATAACAAACAATTTCAATCATAAGAATAATAAACTTTTACTCAAAGACTATCATAAAGATATGTCACTCTCTGAAGAGAATGACGACAATAAACAAGGCTCTGACACAGATTCCCAAAATTCTTCAATTTCCTCCTCCAACCCTTATTTTTTTGATTTTGCTTTCCAAAAATCCAGATTCACCCTCGACAATCCTAATAATCGTAATGGCAAAGTTGAGTTGGAAGGAAACTCATTGAATATTAATGCAGCAATGGAAAATTTTAAATACACATCAACCGATTCCAAAAGTTTTCACAAGTTTAAGTCAGTTATGAAACCCGATATCGTATTCTTTGGAGAAGGGCTTAGTGAGAAATTTCACTTAGCATTGGAAAATGATAAAGAACTTTGTGATCTTTTGATCGTTATGGGGAGTTCAATGAAAGTGCGACCCGTTTCACTCATCCCTAGTTAGTTATTTAATTTATGAAATTTTTTTTATCTAATTTCAATCAAAAAGATTTCAATTTTGGAAGAATTTCAAAATTTTCGTAAAATAATATAAAAATAAGAAAAATTATATTTTTGATGACATTCCACCAATATACTCAGGGTGGTTTTAATATATTAATTTTTTTATCAATACATTTATAATTGAATTAAGATACCATATCTCCCGATGTACCACAGATACTGGTCAACAAGGAGCCCCTTCCTCATCTCAACTTTGATATTGAGTTCCTAGGCGATTGTGATACAATCATATCGGAACTTTTAAAAAGGTATATATATATATATTCCATTTAAAACATATTTTGGCAATTATTATTTTATTATAAACGGTCATTTAATAGTAATCCTCGTTCTCCTGATTTTAATTTTGGTGTCTAGCCTTCTTTTAAACTCCATTTTAACTAAAATAGAATTTATAAATGCTGGTCTCTTTAATTAAAAGTGTCAAGTTACGTCTTTTTATGACTATCTGCTCTCACAAAAAGTTTCACTAGACTGGCCAGACAAGACATTTCTTAGATAGGGTATGAAAATAATAATTAGGTAATATGCAGGGTTCTAGTATAATTGGCAATGTAATAAGAACAGTTTTAAATAAACATTTTATAATAGTTACATATGGCCAAAATAGGCCCTTCTAGAAATGTGTATCAACCTACTAAGCTTAGCTGCTATTTGATTTATTTATTAGTTCTTCAGGGTTGAGTTAAATTTTCGAAAAACCCTGAGACTGAGATTTCTTGGCTAAAAATAGAGCTATTACCCAAATATATATCTCGTCCGAAAATATAATGTGAATTTATCCACTTTCTTAATTATTTAAAGGATTTATCAGAAAAACATTGACCTCAAAAGAAGCAATAAAATTAATAACTCAGGAAAGGGTGAATTAAATACACAAGAGGAATGCTCTAAAACATCAACTGATCTCAAAGAAATGGAAAGTAACAAGATTAAAAGGGATATCGAGGATTCAGCCGATATTTATATCAATACTAAAAAAGGTTTAATTATATATTTTTACAGAAAATTTTACAATTTAATTTGATTAGGTAAATTCGCTACTCAATTCGATTCCATTAATAAGATCAATTTGAAGGGCCCTCTTAGGACAGAAATTTACGCTCTTGATCACATCTTGGATGCGATCAGTGCTAAGAATTCTTCTACATACAGACATATCAATAAGACCTTTATAGGAAGTGCCAAAGTTCCCTTGGAAGATATTTTATTGTGGGACCAATCATGCGAGCTGTATTGGCAACATAGGACCGAATCATTAAACCAAGAAGTTACATACGATCTGGAAGATCAAATTCTAAATTTATCACAATCGTTAATATTGGTAAAACTGGTTGCTTTAACCTCAGAACAAACAGAAAAGATATCACGATCGACAGGATCTATCGAGCTTTTAGAAATTTCGCCTATTTTGTTATACCATATTGATAAAAGCAGCTCAATCCATCGAAGTTTGGAAGAAAAAAAATATGCCTTAGTAAATGCCATAATACCTGTTCATGATATTTCCTCAAGGGAATCAAATGACCAACCTAATTTTAAAGACGATTTAAAACATAAACGTGTTATAATGGATAGTAACTCGGTAGTGTCAGGATTACCAGGTTTATTATAATACAAAAATTTATTTTACAATATAAGAAAGGTAACCTAGTTTATATAATAAACTACCATATTTTTTTATTATATTTATATTTGATTTTTTTTCTACATACAATAGATAATACGTTTTTGTTTATCCCACCAAATCGATACATATTTCCAGATGCTGAAATCAAGTGTAAGGTGGTGAAATAAACGAGTCCATTTATATAACACTACTTTTCTAATATTTAATTTATAAAACTTAGAGTACTACTTTGTATTTTTTTGTTTTCGTATAATTTATTTTTTTAATATTAATTTTCTTGTATAAAAACTTATACCATAATTTTATTTATTAAAAAATATATTTATAACAACAAATTTATATTTATTTATTTAAAATTATTATAATTAATAAAAAAGTTCGTTTTTATAGAATTATAATTCTCTAGGGTGACTATAATATCCATCCAAGTACCCGTTGATTAGGACATCCTGCAAAGGTGTTTGGTCTGATATGCTTTGAGCGAAACAATACAATGCACCCTGATTATTTTTATAAAATTGATAGAATATTACAATATTGTTGTTATATTAGTGCTCCAATTTTTTTTTTTATCCATAGTGGCGCCCTACTTTTTTTTGAAAAACAGGTTTACAACTACTTTGCTGCATTTAAATTAAATTGTAAATGGTAAAATTTTCAGGCCTGGCTCGGTAAAAATTTAGTCCTTGCTCAGTGCTCAGTTTCAATTTTACTAAGATATTTGTAGTTGAACACCTAAACTATTTATATTATTGGGGAGCGGTTAAATTAAAAAACATTACACTTTATGGATTACATTTTTATCAAATATCAGAATTCATCAATAAGTTTAATACATTACAAAATATAATCTGCCAATAATAATTTGACCTTGTTTTGAGATTACATTTTAAAAAAACTTAATAATAATTTGTCATCATTAAAATTAATAAATATTATTTAACAAAATTAGGTTTTTTTATATTCTCTTCTCTGTATTAAGCGGGTTGGGCATTTACGTTTTGCTTGGTCTAGCCCAATAATTTTTTTTCCCGACTCAGCAAAAATTATTTTCCATATGCTGAGTATAACAGACTACTGATTATGAATGCACCGATCATTTTGTTGGATCACGATTATTTTCAATTTTTATCAGATAAAATGGACCTTAATTTAAAAAGCATTGATAAAATGATAATAGAACATTCTTATATAATTGAAGTTAAATAATTAAAAATATATTAAAAAACTAATAAAATACATAATTTATTTTTATAAGGATATTTATGATTTTAAAACTGAAATAAATAAAAAAATTAAATTAACAATTTATATTAATTATGACTAGACTAGATGGGATACTACTTTCTAAAAGATAGAAAGACTTTGTATAAGGAACAAAATTGGATTACACAATCATATCAGATCACCAAAAAGTGGTATCGATACAACCCAAAATTATTTACAAATACATACATTATTTTATAATTAAATTTAAAGTTATAATTAATATTAAAATTTAATTTTATTATGATAACCATAATATTTAATAAAATTAGGTATATCCATCCAAATTTTGAACTCGCTATATATTAATCTTCCTGGAGCTAATAATTAAATTTATTGGAAGTTTAAATAATTTGATTCCTAAGAACATATTGATGCTTTCTTTGAAAAAATATGCTAATATGAAAGAAAATCAACTATCTGTTACTTTTGCATCAAAAAATAATACCATAAAATTTTTAACAACTTTCCCTATTTTCAAAACGAGTGGTTGTTTAGCTAAACCAAACTTATATTTAGTGGTCGCTGCTCAAGATTGGTGGTAAAAATATAGAAATGATTTTGTTACTAAAATGTAATAATTTTATACAAACCGCTATTCATAAATTAATATATGTCAAATGCTTTACCAATTTTTTCAATAAAGTAGCGTAAAATAGCCAAAAGATAATTATAAATATATTAGCTAAAATGAGTGGTAGCTTGTTACTTTTAAAAGTAGTGTTTAACAACAATGCAAATTTCAAAATCTCCCAATATTTGAATAAATCTTTAGCTATATTAAACAGTATATTTCCTTTAAAATTAAATGGTGTATGTATAACCTTTTTAGTCGCTGTCTTTTTCGGAGATTAAAAAAATGCAATTTTTTTGTGTAACCTTACCTCAGAAAAGGACTGTAACTAAATAAATCTACATATTTGTAATACTATATTTTTTGATTGCTCCTTTGGTGATTTAGATCGATTTTTTAATATTTCATCGCATCCTTTTAAATCATTCAAAAATTCGTCAATGACTCCAGGTTGGGTGTGAACGTGTGTTAGGCACAAGTGAATTCTATTATATATAAAATATATGTAAATAAAGGATTATAATAATTGAGTATTTAGATGTGATGGGATACTTAACAAGTTTACTATATTATTTTTTGCTATTTGTTTAAATAAGTTTTATAATTTTATTACCCATGAGGATTTTGTAAATAATTGAGATTCCATCCTTTCAAACTCATTTCTTGTCCCATATCATATACATCATAAATACCCTTATCATTTCCTAACGCGATCACATTCAATTTTGGATCTCCTAAAATCTTGAGATCCAGGCTACCTTTTAGTTCTTTAATTCTTAATTGTTTTTATGAAATATAAATTTTTTTCTATTTATATAAATTTTAAAGATATTGGTAATATAGACATTAAAAACTTAATAACTTATTCATAAGGTATCTCATTGATTCGATAATTTTCCTGGTAGATTCAATATAACCATTTTGACCATAATACAACAATGTAGCCCAGGTTAAGGCAATATTCAATCCAGATCTTGAACCTGATATATTAAGATGTTTGTTGAATAATATTTATTTTTGTATAAGTAAGAAATTTATAAAAATACCCGAAAGTGTTTGCGATGGGTACATACCACCCATCCATTCTGTGGCCACAAAATACTGAGAATGCAAATACTTTTTCTCGTTGTACAAAATGACAGAACTCCCCTTGGGTGCGAATCCATACTATAGAAAGAACACATAATAATGCACAATAATTATTAATATCTTTTAAATAAAATATAAGGATTGTAACCATTTCTAATCATTATAATATCAAATATTCATAAAATAAAATGATTTAAAAATTCGGTACATGCCTATGAAGGGGTAAACTTTAGTATAAATAATTTTTTTTAGCAGTAATTGATAAGGAACAAGTGAGGCCTGCCATTAAAAATCAACGTCAAAAGTCAACTTATATTTAATTACTTTAAATGACCTTATGAGTATCTAATGATACGCTGGTGACCCCTGTAAGTTTGAATAATTTTTCTTCAGGAATTACATCATGAAATCCTGCTCGGAATAAGAACGGCACTAAAAATCCCCCTAAACAAGCATCAACATGTACTGGAATATCATGTTCAAGTCCTACCTATATTATTTTTGTTGTAATTGTTAAACCAAATTACAAAGCCGAAGGATATTCAAATCTACTCAAGAAAAAAGAATTAAATTTCGAATGAATGATTTAAAGAAAGAGGAATAAAAAAGAATGATTATTCAAATTGAAGTTCAAGATTTTTTCAGTTTGTTTGTAAAACATTATGTAAATGAAATATAGAAAAGTATATATATATTCGAGGATATTTGTATAAACAGAGATCATGATTTTACGAACTTAATTATAATTTTTAATTTTAATTTTTGATTATTTTAATTTTTTTTAATTAATTTAGTTTGATTATATTTTTAACTTATTATTTAATAAAGAGTTAGTATCATGTTATTTTAACCTTTCTTTATTTGACAACGATTTTAATCTCTCAATGCTTTCAAAACTCTCAAAATGTTACAATGATGTTGGAGAGTGGAGGCGACAGGGCAATTTCAACAATTCAGTCTAATTAACTCTCCCACTAGCCTCAGCAATATAAATATCAATACCATATTGATACAGAGGTGCCTTACAGCGATTGATCCAGGCTTTAGAAGATCAAAAGTCAGTCTAATTAACTCTGAAAAGAGATTCTAAATAAAGGGGGAAGGGGATGTATGAGATGACTATCGACACTAAGACAAAGAATGAGAGCAATAAAACAATGGTATCAATATTAATGGTCGTATTTCGGAGAATTAGTCGTTTAGCTAAAAAGAATGCGTCACAAGAGATCGTTATACGTACAAGTGATCGATGTAGCTAAAACAATTTCGTTATAAATTTTTATTAAAGATATACGGTTGACGGTTATTTAAGTTGATAATATTTAGCAAAATATCAGGATGTTGATTAACCAAAAAATCTTCATAAAGAGAAACGGCTTTTCGTCATTAGAAAATATATGCCGCAATCGAGCTCAATTAGAGATCGGATTTTATCAAAAGATACAAGAAATCATTATCGTATAAGAGATCTTAAGGCAAAGTGGATATATTGACAAGAAACCAGGATGCTATCGTTAATCGTTGACAAATTATAGCAAATTGCTTATCAAAAATTTAGTATAAGATAAAAAATCGAACAAGAAGTCGTGGAAACCATCGTTAGTGGTTTACCGTCATTAGTTACTAGAAACCGTTAGAAACAAGCAAAGACTAGGATAATGTGGGAGTAAAACGAGATATAATTAAAGGAGCTAGAAGAATGTATCGGGAACCATGCCTTACTCGCAGAATGGTGGGACTAATCTAAGTGGAAGGGTGTTGTAATTGTTAAACCAAATTACAAAGCCGAAGGATATTCAAATCTACTCAAGAAAAAAGTATTAAATTTCGAATGCAAATGATTTAAAGAAAGAGGAATAAAAAAGAATGATTATTCAAATTAAAGTTCAAGATTTTTTCAGTTTGTTTGTAAAACATTATGTAAATGAAATATAGAAAAGTATATATATATTCGAGGATATTTGTATAAACAGAGATCATGATTTTACGAACTTAATTATAATTTTTAATTTTAATTTTTGATTATTTTAATTTTTTTTAATTAATTTAGTTTGATTATATTTTTAACTTATTATTTAATAAAGAGTTAGTATCATGTTATTTTAACCTTTCTTTATTTGACAACGATTTTAATCTCTCAATGCTTTCAAAATTTCAAAATGTTACAATTTTTTGTTGAAAAATCTTAGGTAGTTTTGAATATTTTTTTTAATATTATGGAAACTTATAGAGTAAAAACAAATCAAATATAAATGAATAAAATAATTAAAAATTGGAGATAAAATTTTATATCTATTTTAAATGATGATATTTAAATTCGCAAGATTTCTATTTACTATTACCATACGTTCTTTCTTAATAAAAACAATGAAATAAACAAATAAAAATATTTAAAAAAATTGGGTAAGTTTCCTTTATATTAGTTTATTAATATTAAAAAAATGTTAAAAAACAATTAAACATTTATATTTTATAACCTTCTTACTTTTTTATATGAGTAACAATGACATATAGTAATAAAAATCGGAATGGGTTAAATTTTTAAAAAATATCAGCCGACCCGATATTTTTTCTAAAAGTTCAATATCGGAACAATCCCTATGATTATTTATTATAATAGGTATTGGCCACTGGTATCATTTAAAACTGAATATAGGCCCAGTAAATATTTGAAAAAAAATTTTCAGATCCTTTAATATTTATTATCTATTCATTTATTAACTTCGCTTATTATCTCGATTGGATCGACGATACCGTGAGGGTATGATGGAGCTGAAACGACAATCTATAAAATTAAAATATAAATATCTTTACACACTATTATAATTATTATATAACTTAGCCCCTTTGTCGTATTTAGCCTAAAGCCTTTTTTTAAAAGCTTTCAATTTATATTTTAAATTACTCACTTTTAAAAAACTTTCTTAATTTATATTATAAAATTATATTCCTCACTTTTAAATAGATATTTATTTTATGAGTGATTAAATGTTATACAGCTATAGTATTGCCGTTAATTGCTTGCCTAACATGAGCAGGATCTAGCCTAAACGTTTCCTTGTTTGTAGGAATTATTTTACATTGAATATTGAAATAAGAGCCAGCCTAAATTAAGACATAACAGAATTAAATTATATAGTATATGAAAATATAAAGCAATTTTTAAAAAATATGATTGAACTAGAAGTCATAAGAATAATTACATATGATGAGTTATCTATCAGTCTTCGCTGATAAATATAAAAATTAGTAATTTTTTTAAATTTATTCCCAATTGTAGAGAATTTAGTCGTTAACCTGAGTCATTTTAAATTTAAATAAAAAATCTATGGAAAAACTTATATAAATTACATTCTAATGCTCTAGTGAAAAATTGTCTAAAATTCATAGGATAAGTAATCCAAACATGATGAAATAAATTTCCGGTAAAATCAGATTTTTAAATTTTAAAAAAAGGCGCTCAGAAAATAATTTAAATTTGAAGAAAAATAATATTGCCGCTAACATATATTTAAAAAAGAAATCAGAGCGCAAACCTCCCTTGATATGATTGAGTTTTTTGAGAGTAAGGTTAAACATAATCAACAGATCAAACTTAAAATGATGACCGAAAGAAATTAATTAATTTATAGAATTAATAATTTTTCATTGAAAATGTTTTTAAAAAAATTCAAAAAAAATTGAGTCAAAATTACATTCACAATATTTTTGTGAAGTAAAAATTAACTCTTAAAATGAGACAAAATATTGATAACGTAAATTTTAATAGAACTCTGGAACTCAGAAAATTAGCTGAACACTATATTTCTTATTGATATACGCGTATTTAACTTTATTTATAGAAATAACATTCTACAAATAAAATTAGAAGTAGCACCATGCTTTTTGCAAAATTTTTAAAATGTATCCATTTATTTCACAAGGATATTATATTTAAAATTTTAAAAGGCTCATCCCAGCCCGAATGTTTTCAAAAAATATTAGGCCCATAGGCTGGGCCCAGATTTTCTCTAGGGGCTATTTATGATGCTTTTAAGTTATAAGTAATTCTGTAAATTATAAAACTTCGGGCAAAGATCCGTTAAAATCTGGCCTGGCCGGACAACCCATGTAAATAATATTCCGGGTGAGACTGGCCCGGAATTTTTTTTTAAATCTTGAATAATGCAAGCTTATAATTTTCCTTCAAAAATTATTAGGAGCCGGACCGGGTTAAAAAAAATGAAGTCTTAACGTGAAGCTTTATTTTTCGGGCCTGTTATATAAAAAAAAATTAAAATTCTAGATGAGCCGGTTCAGGCCGTGATTGTCTCTAATTTTAGAGGCCTTATTTCCAAACGCGAGAATTAATAATAATCATATATATATATTTGAGTGACGGGTGTATACTTTTAAAAAAGCGGCATGTGCGGAATCTGCTATTATACTGTATATTAATTTTTTTTTAAATAAAATGCAAATATAAATGATGATATGATTTAATTTCTTCTTATATGATTTAATTTCTTCTTATATGATTTAATTTCTTCTTATATGTTTGTTTTTTCTAACTAAGAATTAATTTTACATAAGAAAAAATGATCAATATTAACTCCAACTCCCCTGAAGACATAATTTTTTTTTTTTTTTTTTTTTTTGGGGGGGGGGGGGGTATCTAAAAAATAAAGAACGCTGCTGAAGACTTTCACCATTATCAGCATATTCATACCATTACCCCATCTAGTCTTTTTTGTTATAATTTCATATACGTATTCTGATTAATAAGGTGTCAGGTTGTTTAGTATCACTCAGAACCATTAGTTGATTCTTCGCATAAGCGTAGCCAGGATTGCTGGGGGGGGGCACTATTAGTTTAGGAGGTTTTTCCTCCAGAAATTTTATAGATCTTTAAGATCATCTATTGCAGGCATTTTGTTGTGTTACATTTTTTTTTACATTTTTAGAATAAAATCCTTTCCTAAAATTCGGAATTAACTTTTCTATACCTTTCTTCCAAATTATCGTATAGACTGATATATTTATTGTATCATTTTTGTAGGACAGGGGATGGGTGGGGGGGGCGGGGGGTGGAGATTTTTACTAGCTTAAAATGATATTTACAAGAATAGAATAATTTTTGAAGGGGAAGAGGGTATTTCCCATTGTCTCCCCCCATCCTCGCAATGCTTTTGATTCTTCGAATCAAAATATTAAGTCTTGAGATTTTTTAAATGTATTAAAGATTTTTATATTTTTCTAAAAGAATAATGAATTTGCACAAGATTTTACCTTTTTTGGCCGTTTTTTAAATTCTTGAACTAATCTTTGAGTAAAAAAAATTATAAGATATTTTAAAAATAAGATATATTCATACAAAAAAAAAGTTTTCTTAAAAAAAATAAAATAAATTTTGGTTGTGGTTTATTTATAACTTGCGTATAATAGTGCGCACAAATCGAACGTTTCAACGCAGTGTTTCAAAACGTAAATAAAGAAACGTAAATTGAACCGTTAATTTTTATTTTTTCAATATGAAAATCAAAAATAAATGCTGTCTAATTTAAACGAATGCGTTTAAAATGCATCATTTGCGTTTTGAAACGCTGCGTTGAAACGTTCAATTTGTACGCACTATAAGAAGTGTTTTTATCATTTTATTTTAAATTTTGAATGCTCGTTTCAGTATAATTTTGTCATAGTTAACTAGACAGGGATAGAAAATTTAGTCCACTATATCAAATATTCGTATATAATCCAATTTATGAATATATTTTGACCATTTATAAAAGATCAACTAATTTAGTAGATTGTGGGTCTTAATATACAATACCTATAAAACCCCTGAGATTTGATACCTAACTTAGCTCCTTTTTTTCAGAAATGAATTTAATAAATTTTTAAGAAGAGAGTTCGAAAAAATAAAAATAAATTAGGGGACTTTTAACCAGTATAGTGGACAGAATATGTGAAAAAAATATTAGCAACAAATTTTTAGTTAACCTTATGATTAAAAAATGATGAAGTGAGCCAAGCTTTTGAAACACTAATAGTGAGAAAACTATTAACTAAGGTAGTGCTTAATTAGAACATTTTATTGCTTTAATTAATGGTAGATGATTTAAAGAAGGGTTATTATTGAAATAAGAAAAATTGCTAAAATTGGCACCATGCCATAATATAATAAACATGTTCTAAATATCTATTTTGTGTTAATATTTAGCAGAGACCTGCAAGCCCGTTCCTAAGCCCGGATTTAGAGCGGGGTATATTTTAAAACCAAATATTTGAAATCGCCATTATTAAAATATATCAAAAATAAATAAAAAATCCTGGCTGGCCTTAACAATTTTTTTTAAAAAATCCGGCCCGGGCCGTGCAGTGCCTTACTTATTAATTCTTCAATAAAATTTTCCAACCACAAAAAAAATTAACCGAATTATAAGCCAAATAGAAACTATGATATCACACTCTCAGCATGAAGTCAGCCAAACTTCTGGAGGCATGAAATCTTACACTTTTGCCAATAATCGATGTGTATTAAGTATATTTCAGTGCTTCGGTTGATTTTAAAAAAATGCACTGTTGATAAAATAAAAAAAATTGTCAAGATTGGCATCATGCTAGAATTAAAATGAATGAAACATTGAATATCTGGGTTCGCCAATATACAATGTCCTAGTAATTAGTAATTTCTCAATAAGTTGTTTCAATAAATAAGCAAAAACCAGTTATAAGCGAAATATATTTTAAAAAACGGCTCGCCTTAGGCTGAATGTTAAATATCGAATTTTAAATTGCGATTCAAAAATCAATTACGTCTATATATATTTACGGTTTCCATTTCACCCCGATTCAAAATATTCTCAATCTTATTATTTTACAATCTTTTTATAGATATTATATTTTCTTTTCAGTTTATTTAATTAAATAAAAAGGTTAAAAATATTAAATTTTTGAATAGGGTAATATCTTCAAAAATATAATATGAATACGAGTCTCATATTAAGACGCATTCCTAAGCAAGAAGTTTGCCAATCTTTTAAAAGCACTAATTCTAAGGCTTAGGCCAATAATGTAATACTTAACTCATATTTTTTAGTTTAATACTTAAATCAATATTTAAATTGGTATCAAGATTCAAGATAGAACGAAAACCTTTAAAGCACTAAACATTTATAATAAAAAACAAATTAAGTAAACATAACTATCATTATTATAAAAAAATGAACATTTCATTATATTTCACTCGATGTCTCTGGATGCAATTTTGAAACTTTTATAATTTAGTAGCGGTAGCATTAAAAAGAAGATAATCAAATAGACTAAAATGTTATACTAAAATAAGATGGATTGGTTACGGCGAAATCGAAAACATTTACAATATATCATTTTTTACCTCAAGTACTAAGTTTAAGTGATTGTTTAGTGAAGTTATACTAAATGCGCTTTTACATTTAAAAGTGGAAAAAAATGTCGATTCCATAAGAATTACAGAGTCTTCGGAAAGCGTTTTTTCAATTTTTATGAATATAATTTATAGCAAAATTTTTATACTAAACATGATTAAAAAATAAATATGCCGATGATGATATTTTTTAATTTGTAAATTTTTATGATTTTTTTCACGCATTTTTTTAAATAACAAAAAAAAATTGGAGATCATTTTATAGAAATATAAAGTTAAGATGTATCCATTTAAAAGAAATGAAAGTTAATGTGGGACAAAATCAAAACTCCTCTTTGTCTATGCCAGAGATTCAGGTCGAGTCGAGCAATTAGGTACCTCTGCAGGTCTCTCTGGTCTATGACAACTGAGTGAAAGAAAGAATATTTAAAAAAATACATAAAATAGTTAAAATTCATATTTATGATCACACCACATAAGAAATAAAATTTCTAATAGACGTTTTATTAACCATCGTAGATAATAAATTTAATCAATTTCTATATTTTTTTTCTAATTTACATTTATAGTATTTGTCTAATATCATAAAGTTTTATGTCTAGAGTAATTAAAAAATTTTTCACCTCTTCCATAGTAAATGACTCAAATATCACAGTTTATTGGATAGCATTAAAAATTAGTAGTTAGTGTATAATAGATATTGGGGAAGGTAGGTTGCCTATATAATTTTTCCCAGGAGGGGGAATATTTATTTGATTTGATAAGCCTGCTATTTTTAAAAAAAACTTTCCGTTCATCTTGTGTTCTGTTTGATATATTTTAATATCATTTGTAATGTCTTTATATGTTTCTTATAATAATTTTATTATATTAAATGGATGCAAACGGTTTATTTATATGATACATCGATATCCTAATTTAAAGAAATTTTACGCAATAAAATTAGGCCGAAATAATTTGCATTTGTTTTTTTCAAGCGCCCCAAATTTTTTTTTAATTTAAAAAATTATATGAATTGGCAATTGAGGTCTGCAATGAGCGAATAACTCGCCAGCCCTGTTTTAATTTTTTTAACTCTCTTCTTTAGGCTTAGCGAACCCTTGGAAAATTGTTTGTTTCACAAATATTATTTTAAGCTAATAAACCCCCTCCCTTCCCCATAAAAAAAAATAATATGTCACCAAAAATAATAATTTAAAAGAAAAATTAATTAGTAAAAGTTAATTTTTTTTAAAATAATAACTATAATTAAAAATTTCCAGGAAAAAAACATTTTATAAAAAAAATACCCCCCCCCCCCCTTATTTAAAAAAAATGTAACCTGGTCAAGGGTTTGCAATAAATGGATCTAATAGCCCTGAAATAAAATTGGGGAAAACCAGAAAAATCCTAGCTATGCCTATGTATCCACTCATGATTTCAACAAAAATTACACTCACCTCTCTGCCAATATATTTGAAAATTGGTTAAGCCCAATTGCCCAATCTCTAAAATTTATTTATTTGATTGGTTTGGTTCTTGATTTTCAAAATATAGGCTTTCCATTTTAAAAAATTTTCTTCATTTAATATTTTTTAACCAAATTAAAGTTTTGCAAAGCCATTTTTAAAAAAAAATTAGAACAAGAACCCTCTTTATCTCAGATTCAATACTCTTATCCCTATATCATGATCATTATTTAGCAGGTTTTCATTTTCATTTTTATAAATTAATAATTTGTTATTAGAGAAAATTTGGGGAAATATAGAGAATTTACTTATTTTTGATATTAAAATCATTGTTAATTTTATTTTGGATAAATCTTAGTATAACTCCTTTTCCTACTATAGCTTTAAAAGGTATATTTTAAATTGCTCATTAATTTATTTTATTTACATGCTTACATGGTGTTAAAAAATTTAAATATCATCGAGATTGTGCAAAATAAGATCAGATATGATAAAACAAATGGAAAAACATTTGAGTTCACCGATATAACAAAAAACAAAATATATAAAAAGATGACCAATATTTTTATAATAGGTATTATACTTATCATTGAGAGGAAAAGGAAGGTTACTTGTTAATAATATATAAAATAAATGGATAAGGAGTCTAAATGAATTATCAATGATTGTCAATAAAAATTGGGTTCAAAATAGTGTGGGAACCTTAATCTTTATCAAATTAGAATATAAATTTTCTTACATCTCTGGGTTTAAAATTCCTTTAGATTTCTTGGCATAATTTCGATAGGCTAAACATGCCAATAAAATGCTTTCAGTTCCACCAGTTGTTACCTAATTCAAGTATAAATAATTATTTTCAATTAATTTATAAATTACAGTCCCACATGAATTATCATCTCCTCCATATAAATTACAACACATTCTAACAATTTCTGATTCCATTTTCATTATACTTGGATAAACATCTGGATGAAGTGGGTTAGAATAAGCAAACATTTTGTATAACTTAATAAATTATGAACTCGTAAAGATAAAATTTAAAACTTCAGTTTGAATATCTATCAGATTGGAATCTACCTCATGATACAAACAACCAGATATTTTTCCATCATTTAAATATTTAACATCTAATTAAATCTAATATAATATAAAAATATATTATTTATACCAATATTTCTATACTCTTTCGATATTGCTAGAATACTTATCTTTGGGATATAAAAATGAATATAAAAAACTTTAAGAAACTAACTTTTTCCACCCCATTTTCAGGAATTTTGTTAATATATTTTACATTTTTAAAACACTGATGCAATTTTTTCCTAATATCTTGCTCTGTTTCACTCAAATTCTTTGAAACTCTATTATTTATAATTGGAGCCTTCAAAACAATATCATAGAGTTTCTTCTTAAAATGTGGAAACCATAAAATGCCTAATTGATATATAAGTCAGAAAATAATAATAAATATTACTTTGATAATATATATGTGATGTAAAATATATTATTAGTATTAAATAAATAGTCAACATGAGATGGGGTGTCTTCATAATATCTTCTAAATATTCCATGTGGTATTTCAGATTAAGATTAAACATCTGATTGAATGTAATCAAAAATTGGTCTCCTAAAATCTTTTCGATTTTTAAAGTTGAAAATATTAAAAATTATTTATCAAATTACAAAATCTTTTTTTTTATTAAAATTAAATAACAGTTTAAAAACATGTTTTTATCAAAATAAAATAGTTCAAAGTGATTCATTTTGACAAATGTATGATTTCTAAATATCGGATTGATTATATTTATTACACTAAAAAGGAATTTATGCTTCGTTTCTTCAGTGGCTTTCATATCTATTCTTTTTTTTTTAACATTTATAAAAATGTTGCCACAACGATGTATAAAATTTTTGGAATGATGTAAAAATATCTAAATGTTATTTCCTATATTATCATTCCGGCTAAATAATCACTGTGTACGATGCAGTATACTCCTCTTTAATATCAAATGATGGTCGATAAGAGGCCAGAGATCCAAACCGAAATTAAACCGCTAAAAAATTTTTAGTCTATCCTGAACCTAACCGCTAAAATACCTTTGAACCGGTTCGAGCCTCATCATTTTATTATTACTCGCATATTGCAAAAATTTTAATTAAATTCGAATTGCTTTATAAATTCTTATCAATCACATTTGATTGATAAAAGTCAGTCATTATTTTTATAAACTTTAGAATATTACCATTTCACATCATTTTTAAATATTTTAAGCTTATAAATTATAATGTCTAGAGAAAATTAAATCCAATATATAAATTATTTACATATTAGTATTATAAATGACACATCAAAAAATCAAAGAAATAAATGTAAGTTATTATCTCGAAAAATTGACTGTATTACTTCTCTAGACAGGTCCATTATTGGGAGTAAACTTTAGTATATTCAAAAAGCAAAAATTGTTCTGAGAACACTAGCAATTAAAGATATTTATGAACGGCTCACTGTAGAAAATTTAAAACTCCTTTTAATAAAAATATTAAATGATTATGAAATCAAAATGAAGAAACGTGAGGGATTTATCGAAATAAGTTTTTATTACAAATCAGAAATTTGTTATTGTTAAATTACATTGAACAAACAAATTACATTTTATGTTGTAATATTATTTATAAATTACATTTTTATTATAAATCAAAAATTTAATAATCTCATTTTAACAAAAGAAAAATGTTTTTTTTATACCTTTATCAAACGATCAACTAGATTAATTTTAAAGTTAAGAAACAATATAAGGATAAAATAAAAAGTTAATACAAACTAAAAATAATTCGAAAGGTATAAATAAAATCAAATTATTTAACACAAAACATCACAAATACACACTGTAACAACTTACAATGGGGCAAATCTTATTAAGATAGTAAAAATATTTATGGAGGATTATGATGAAGACAATAAAATGTCTGAAAATAATGATGAATAAATGCAAAATATAGATAATTTGAAAGATGTTTCTACTAGTTTCACAAATGTACTTGATGAATTAATAATACTCTTAATAATTCTCATATAATATTATAAATATAAGATGTGCTTCTCATAACTTACAACTTGTAGAAGATCATGTATTAAAAAATTGCTCAGTTTTTAATATTACACTGCGTGCAAGAAGCTAAGGACAAAATCGATATCAATCATACTAAAAAAATTTAATTTAAAGTGATTTATATTAAATTGTCACAGATTGTTATCTGAATGAATTAAATGATATGTGTTAGGAATTATCAGTATGTATCATAATCTTTATTTTACAGCTTTGGAATGGGAAGTAATTATAGGGTTGATAAATATCCTAAAACCAATTAAAGTAGTTACCAAGAACTTACAACTTGAGCAGCTAACCATAGGGAATTTTTATGGCATATGACTAAAAGCTAAATTAGAAATTTATATACTTCACCCTTTGCTGTTAAATAATAGATGCTATGAATTTTAAAAAGAGACAACTTTTAATCAAAACCTTTTGTCACGCCTATAGCTAGATTTAAGGTATTTTTTAAAAATATTATATTATATCTTATATAAATTTAATTAATAATTTTATTTACCTTAATTAATTATTTTATTTTACTTTATATATTTTGCTATCTATTTATAAAAAATAATAAGATCTCTTTAATGATATTTTTAATATATAGATATCAAGTGCTTCCGACTAAAAAAAGCCTAGGCTAGAGAGCCTATTATTTAAATATGCCATAACATGGAATTAAACTTTGTTATAAGAGTGGAGAATTCTAGTGAAGGTGAATCAATGAAAGTTAATGTATCTTCATTTAAAGAGGATTTAGTTGAAAGTTTTCCGTAAAAAAAAAAGATGATAATAAACAAAATCTGTTACAAAAATCGGAGAATATTGGAAATATCTTAGTTAATTTTTCTAAAGCCTAGGTTAAATAAAACTATGAATATTTTAGACTAATGGAGAAATCAGAGTAATCGATGCCCAGAATTATGTAAATTGTATGATTTCATACTGACGGTACAGGCTACCCAAGTCAGTGTGGAAAGATGTTTTTCAAAAATTAAATTTATACTATTTCCTTATAAAGACAATTTGAGTGAGGAGAATCTTGAAAATATATTAATTGTGTGGCTTAATAAAAAATTTTAAGTAAATAAAGTTAATATTGTTCATATTGAAATTGATCGTTGATATTTATTAGTATTATTTATAATTTAAATATTATTTTATAATTTGCAATGAATAAAATTGAAGGTTTTATGTGTTTTTTATTTTCATGATGATAAAAAAATATTCCTCCCTATACATAATTCGAATGTAGATTTGAATACAAAAATGTTCTAACCGGTTTTTAGTAGTTCGAACCTAACCGATATTTTTACTTTTTATGAACCGAACCTGAACCTTGAACCGTTATTTTTATCCGAACCGATATTTGTTTCGGTTTGGATCCCTGGAGAAGGCTGCTATATTATTCAAAAATATAATTGGAATAAATGAAAATCATATAGAATATTATTCCAGTATATAAATTCCTATTTTGGGCAATAAATTAAAAACATTAGAAATTATTCGAGTGTATAAATTAGTTATCTGAAATAGGATAATTCGTGGGGTTGAAGAATAGAATATATCTCTGAAATCTTTAAATATCGATATTAATCATTTAAAACTAAAAATCAGCCGCCTCCTACCTATGAAGTATAATATACTTAAGTTATTCGGTATGGAATTTTGCTTTGCCCTACTCTTCCTTTCTCAGCCTATGGACGTTTAAACAGTCCTCCGCAGTTGTGGGTACATTATATGCGTAGAAGGTTTCTTATTTTTAATTTTTCATCCAACTTAATTTAATTCAGTCAGATGGAAATGAGGAATATCAAGAGTTTTCTTGAACCTTCAAGAGTAGAGATCATAAGCGCTATAAATCATGTGTCATGTAATTCTAGATTTTTCTTAGCATATCAATACTTGCAAATTATATGGAAAATATGGTAAGGTAATATTATTGTGTAATCTGTCGTTGAACGCCCTTTCTTAAAGACTCAATGTACATAAGATTTTAAAATTAGCTTCTTAGGCAATGAATCATTGTTCTTAGGCTTCTTTTAACTTTTTATTGTTTGTTTCGACCTTTTGTCGTTACTGATCAGAAAACCTCAAAATTCAAATTATAAGCGTTTTTATTCTAAATTCAAATCTTACTTACCATGATTACAACTACAAATGAAGTTTTTGACAAGTAAAATTTATTTTACCTTTTAATATATTTATCAATTTATTTGTGAATAGGAGACCAGATACTACATCTAAAATTCCAATAATGCTAAATGCTAAATTTTCTTTATGTCCATCCCGAAAACCACTTATAAATATGAATGGTAATGCAACAACTGGTTTAAATTCTGTATTTTCCAATTTAAAATATGATGTCAATGATTTATTACACCGAAATACCATATCGACAAATTGTGTATCCATACAGATGATGAAAATGATGAAAGCAAAAAAATTAGTTAGAAAAAGTATTATAGACCATAACAAGAAAAACCATCCAATCAACAATTCAGATAATTTACCAAGACAAGGGATAAGCAACTATAAATCAGATAAAAGAATAATAAATGAAAACATGCCACCTAATAAAAAGATGAAAGTAAGAAATGAATGTTTAACATCTTTTAAGAGTAATCCTAGGTCTAATATACAAAATAAACCTATCAAAAATAATGTCACAGGTACTAATACTATTGATAACAAATCATTAATTAAGAAAGCTAGAGTAAATTTTAGTCAAAATAAAATAATGACTTCAACAGATAAAATTAAACATTTAGAACTCGAAAACATTAAATTATTAAATAAAATAACTTCTAATCAAAATCTTATAAAATCTCAAGATTCACGTTTACAAGAATATGAGAGAAATTTGAATAATTATAAATGTTTACTGGAAACTGAACAAACATCAACTAAAATATTAAAAGAAAAAATTTATACATGTGAAAATCAAATAAAAGATTTGATGTCTATCAATTCAAAGTTAGAATATAATTATGAAACCATACTTGGACAAAATAAAAATATGACAGATGAAATTGAATCTCTTAGAACTAAATTATCATATACTCAAGAACTTTTAGATAAAACTCAGTGTATTAAAGGAGAATTTGAACAGAAATACAATTTTATTACACATGAACATGAAATTCTATTGAATCATAATAAAAATTTAGAAGCATCTAATATTGTTTTAAGTAAAAATAATCATTACCTATGTTCAGAACTTGTCTTGGCTGAGATAAATCGTAAACTTATGCACAATGAAATTATGGATTTGAAGGGAAATATAAGAGTATTTTGTAGGATCAGACCCTTTGTGGATACAGAATTATCAGGAGTTTCTAGCCAAAATTATTGCATTTATCCAATGGCTGATGATGAAAATACAGTGGAAGTGGCAAAGTTCACTGATAAATCTACTAAAAAAATCAAAACAACAGAGCTTAATGAATGTAAATTTCATCAATATATTTATAAATCACATACAAACCCTTTCATTAAAATATTAAATAAGATAACATAATCTCTAATTTGCATGGCTCTATCACAACCTTTGCTTTCAGGTTTTATGTTTGTCAAATTTAGATGGGGCCTAAAAAATTTAAAAATAAAGTTGGGCTAGAGCTTTCATTTAAAATGAATAATTTTTAAAAAAATGAACATTCAAAATAAAATGAAGATAATAATTTCTCTCAGACTTAAATAGAGAAGTAATATTATATTTAATCTTTTAAACTTAAAAAAGTTGTTTCCATATTTTTGCAATAAAAATTTTTTTGTCCAGGCATACCATTACATAGATACTTAGACCTGGTTAGATCAAAAATAAATATTTATTATAGACAGAGGCTTAAAAATTTGGGTTAGGCTTTTGGTCACGTCAAAATTTGAGCCAATTTTGCTTGACTCTTTCTTGAACTTAGCGTAACCAATGAGGAAAGGGGACCCCCCCCCCAATCTCAAATCTCCCTGTTCTCATAAACATAATTTTAGGATAAAAATTGCCCCATCACCTCCCCCCCCCTCATCCCAAAAAATGTATGCAATATATCATAAGAAAGAATTTGAAAGAAAAAGTAGTAAAAATTAATAACTTTTTAAAGTAATGACATAATTCACAATTTGTAGAAAATAAGCATTTTAACAAATAAAAGTGAAAACCCAAAATTATTTTTATAAAAATCTAATATTGCCAAAGGTCTGCAATAAGTGGACTTAAAGATTTTCCTACAAAATTTACAGGGGAAAATTAACCTAATAGTGCCCACCCCCCTAGCAATACCAGTGTTTGAACTGATTTGAATTTTATACTCAAACTGTTCACATTATTATAATTGCTGTGCCTATTGGCAAATTTTTCATTGTTCCAGTCCAATATTTATGATAAAACTATAGACTTAAGATTATTCAGAATCAATTAAAATTACCTCACTACAAACTTATTCAAGATGCTGATACAAGTTGTGATTCTACTTTTTGCATGGTAGAAAGACTTTTACATCTATATACATTTTTAGATGACATATCTATATCTAGATAATTTTTTAGACTATGTATCTGTATCTAGATGCATTTAAAAGGTAACTTTTAACAACACTATTAAACTCATGTATTTTTCAATTGTTGTAATTAAATAATCTTGTTTCAAATATCTTTACCATAAAAAAAGTGGTTTTATAAAAACAATTATTATTTTTTCCCCATTTATGTTTTAGTCTGTGCTGCATTTTAATTGATTTAATTATAGCATAAAATATTCAATCATGATAATATCTCAGGCATATTTAATGGGTTAGAAAATATTAAATAAATATTTTTTTAAAAACCAAAGACATTTGCCCGAATTAAGCCCAAAAACGAATACAAAGCGAATAATGGATTATTTGTATTCGATTTTTTTTGAGCAAATCTAATAATTTACTATTCATATTTGTACTTAGTGTTCTCAAACGGCTCGATTTAGATCGATTAAAAAAAATTGTCTAAGGCTCGAGATTTCGCTGATCTTCGTGCCATCTATGAGAAAGATCTTCTACTTAATATTTTTCTGGATAAAAAATTTTGAGTTCTCCATTTAAAAAAATAGACTTAAATCGAGCCGTTTAACAACATTATTCATATGAATAAACAAAATTTGATTGGTCTACGAATAGTAAATTATTCAATTCTTTTTTGAATAGGCCTAGCTTGAATATTTAAAATCTCTAATTAGTCGGATGGTATATCTTGATCCACCAAAAATGTATATCGATAAAATGCTTCATTATAACCATATGTATTATTTGAATTATTTTATTAAATTTATGAATAGAATTTCTCTTATTAAAACACAACTATCCAACTACTTATTGATGATATATTTTTAGGTAAAAAAAATTGTCACATTTCTCATGATAAGCTCGAAAAAATTTTTTAAAAATGTTTTGGCTCTTAATTTCCAAATATCATTCATCTTCAACATTCCATTTTACCCTTGTTTTTTTCTAATTTAAAAAAACCCTTGCGTTTTAAATGAGGGCTCATTTTGACACCTTAAAATATTTTAGTAAATCTATAATGAATGTTTTTAAAAAAAAATGAATATCACGATTACTAGCCGGCGCTTTGATTTACAAATACAAATTTGATAAAGTGTTTGATCACACTTCCACCCAATCGCAAGTGTACGAAGAAGTTAGTGGAGTTATTCAAAGCGCGCTCGATGGGTTCAATATTTGTGTTTTTGCTTACGGGGCCACTGGGAGCGGAAAGACCTTTACTATGGAAGGTAACTTATCACTATCCCACACCTTACCGGATTGCGGTAAGGAGTCTGAGATGTACGATTCTACTGTAAAAGTAGGAGACGCGGGTGAGCCAGATTTCGAAGCGGAAGAAGTCAAAAGTAGATACGGTAACATGGGACTCATCCCCAGAGCCTTTTCGCACATATTTTCCCACTTGCGGTATATCAAACAGCTGAACTCCAATGGAGCAAGTGAAACCAAGCATGCGGAATCGTCTGGAACTGTCGTAACTTACGAGTTAACGGCATCATTCATCGAGATTTACAACGAAAAGATCAGAGATTTGCTTTGGACCGGCAAGCAAAATTTGCAACCGGACTATGAGATCAAGATGGTCGATGGCAGTAAATCCGAGGAACTCATCATAGTGCCAGAAGTGACTAAGGTTTTATTTTAATTATATATTTTTTTGTTGTAATACACTTTTAAAAATAGTATTTTTGATAATATTCTCTGTATAATCAGTCGGATTAATAAAATTTCTATATTATTTGCATTTGTACCCCCCTCCCCCTTGTTATGCACCTCCGCCCAACACGTCAAAATTGAAATGAGATAAATCGCCTTTATCTTATGTTAATTTAATTAAATGGCCGTTTAAAGATAAAATGAAAATAGAATAGTAGAATTGTTTGTATTTTGTAAGATTTAGGAATCTCAACCAGATCATTTACTAATTGGGTGAATTTTTAAAAAAATCTGAATAATCGGATTTTACCTTGAGATTTTTTTTAAAAATTCGGTCCGACAGGGCCGAATTTGTATAGTCTTTTATGCTAGATTATTATTAATTTTAATAAACGAAAATTAGTATAACCAATTTTTCCCCTTCTTTTTTTAAAAAAAAATATATAAATTGCAATAAAAAATATTCGTGAATAAGATAAAAGTGATAAATTGGAAGCAAGTGGAATCAATACTCAAACGGGCCTCTAAAAACAGGGCCGTTGCCGAAACGAATCTTAATCTGAGCTCGTCAAGATCGCATTCCGTTTTCCAACTTAGGATCGATAAGTAATTTTGTTTAATTTACAGGTTCACATTTATTACTAAACACTGCACGCAACTTTCTATGATGTAAACCCCCTCCCCCATTCCCTTTTTTAGAACCCACAAAAAAACGATTTAAATTTTGTTGCATCCATCTTTTTTAAAATATTGATCTCCACAAATATATTTTTAAAAAACAAATTTTCAACTTGACCCTTTTTTAACATGAAATATTGGTCATTAAGCAGTGAAATAATCAACTCAAGTCCAATAAAGTGCAATCTAAACAACTACAGTACTCGTCCCCAGGGATTAAAAAAATATGATAATGCTCAAATAAATAATAAATCACGGAGGTTTGAGATTTATGGGAATATTCTCCCATGGATTATGAGCTTCTCTCCATTGAATATCCTTAAGATGGGGCATGCTAAAATAACAGCCGGATACTTTGTTGGCTAAGTCCTTCTCAACTTGGTAATGATTTGTATCCTTATTATAGATGGTAGGACAATTATAATAATTATTATTTCTATGTTTATCATGGATAATTAGGATACCATTGATATAATTATCCATAATATTCAGTAAATTGGTATTATTTACTGCTATCTTTATGGTTATTAGTTTTATAAACCAAATTTGGTTCATTTATATATGTCTATGAGAAATGCTTAATGACGATTTTTTTTGTCTACAAATTATTTATTATAGTATTCTTGATATTCCCTTTATATACATTATGAATGACGAAATAAGAGGAGTATCTAAACTTAAGGCTGGCAGATTTTCCGGCAAAGCTTCAAGATATTTATTGATATCATCTTTTGAAATCATATTCTACCAATACACATTATTACCCAATTGTTTAATCTTCGAAGAATATTGTCATTATGAGCGTTTACAAATTTAGCATTCTGGATATGTCATTAATTGTTATTAACACCGATACTTTCCAGACAGGAATCAAGGATCCGTCAATTTGTTTAATATGCCACCGTATTAATCCATGTATCCAAGCTAACTATTAAAATATTAGCTCCACGTAGAGACATGCATGGGCAAATAATTTTCGATCCGACCCATAGTAAGAAAAACATTTTTCCGATTCAACTTCACACTAAAACTAAATTTATTATCTCAGGTCTAACCTATAATCAAAAAATTTTAAATATAAAAAATAATGTAAATTAACAAAATTATATAATAATATGCAATTAAACTAATATTTATTCATATCACTAATTAAATTCAAAATTATAGCAAAAGTATTTCCAAACCTTACCCACCTGAAAAAAAATTTTTCACCTCGAAATAAAAAATAATCATAATTTTCCTACCCAACCCACGGCTCAAGTATCGATTAGCATGTCAATGACCACTATCTGCTGAATGTTAACGTTCAGACGTGGATTCTGCCTCTTAAAATCGGTAGTAGTGGTGACGAATATTTAAAACTTAATATGGAAAAGGAAGATGACGATTATTTAGAAAATCTTGCTTATTTTGTCGATAAGCATAGTTTATGAAATTTTTTTTCATATCATTTATAGTTTTATTAAAGTATAAGTATTGCTTCAAATTATGTGACGATACTACTGTATAGAACTACAACCAAAATATCAGCATATTTATTTATTTGAAAAATTTTATGATCTAATATTACGGTACCATAAATAATAATATATAATTTTTTTATTCCGCCATATATCAGCTGATACCGTTATTTTTTTTAAAAAAGAATGAACAATTGGTTTGATGTAAAAGTAGGGTAGGGTAAAGTCAACACGAAAAATCATTACTTTCATTTAAAAATGCGCCATTAATTATTTCAAATTTCGTTAAGAAAATAAATACTCTTATGTCTATCACTCCCCTTCCCCATTTTAATTCAGAACAAACCTATCTAACAAAAATACACCAGTGACTAGCAGCACGTTAAGCCTAGTGGATCTAGCCGGAAGCGAAAGGATAAAACAATCAGGATCTACATCGGGTGAAAGGCTTCTCGAGGCTAAGCACATCAATTCGAGCCTTTCGACTTTGAGTACCGTTATAACCTCTTTGACCAATAGGACCAATAAGGTTTTTTTTCAAAAATAACAATAAAGGAAGGAAGGATTACTTGAAATAGATTTAACATATGACGATATTAATAACTAGCTAAACATTAAAACTTAATGATAATATATTTAAAAAAAATTCTAAATTAAATGAATTTATGAAAATAATAACCTAAAAGTTGAGATTTATATATTTAAATCTTAATATTTATTTTTATCCTACAATATATATGTATAGAAAAAATTTGGCATTCTAAATATTCCACGCGATATTTTATCTTATTTATTTTTTAAAAAATAACAAGGGCAAAATGGGAACCGGAAAGAAAAATGCAGAAATACAACATCATGTTCCTTATAGGTTTTTAAAAAAAAAATTTCCAAAATATAAGTTTAATGGATCAAGTCGAGTGGGTGCCGATTTTCAATATAATTTTGGGTATGGATCAGGCTTGTTTTCATTAAAGGAATCAGTTCAGTTTTTAATAATTCACGAATTAAAATTATTACTATTTTACACATTTTTTCAGTGATCTGAACCAACAGAAAAAATTTTTTAAAGTCATTTATGAATAAAACAACAATTTTTTTATGGAGAGCATAAGTCTAATGTTTTTATTCCGAATTTACGGTCATTTAAAAATATTAATTAAATTCAAATTAGAACAAATTGCCTTGCTTGGCTTTTATAGTCGTTTGTTTTAATTATATCGAAATTAGAAAAAAATAGTTTGAAAATTTTGAGCTAATTCTAATATCCTATTTAAAGGTGAGAGAAAATATTTTTTATTAAAAAAATAAAAAGAAGATATTCTATATACTACACTTGCCCTCTTCTTATATCCAATATTAATAATCTTGAGAAAGAGATAAAGCTATAAACTTAAAAGACATCTATCTTGAATATTTATGAGATTAAATGAAAAAGGACAAATTATTTTATTTATCCTTAGTGCGTCAGACTCATCCACATTGAGTGTAATTAATTTAAAAAAATTTATACAAAGTTGAGCACAACTAAAAGTCTAGTAAAGTCAAATGTTTCCAAGAAAGCATCCATTTTCTTAAATATTCAGAATTTCTACCCGGACCCTGAATCAGATACCTTCATGGGCCTTGATTTATGAGCAAGCCTGGCCCAGGCCCACCATAAAAAAATTGATAAAGGCCCAGCGATGCCAGCATTTAATATTAAAAAAATTCCCAAGCCTGGAATAAGCTTCAAAAAATTTTCTCAATCCCATTAAATCATTTTATATATATACTTAAATACGAATATAATATTTTATTTAGTAATTATGTAATATTAATAAGAATGATATAAACAAAATTTTAATCTATAATTTCAAATTATCATTTAAAAAGAATATACATCATTTTTCAAAGTATTTCTTCATTTTTATTCATTATATCTAAAAGATAATACTACAAATTGTTTTATGTCATTTTTAATTTATAAATAAATAGAAGGAAAAGGTTTTAATATAACTGTTATAATAAAATAACTTTATAAAAATTAGTATATCTGAAATTTTTTTGCCAAAAGTTATAGTTTTATGCATTTTATCTCTTTTATAATAACTATGATTATTAAACCTAATCTAAACATGCAGCTGCGCTGAGATATATATATTAATATAACATGTTATTATTAAAGCAGGATCCCTCAAAATATAAACAATATATATTACTATACACTTTAAATTTTTTAGTTATTGTCAAGTAAGTATAAGTAAGATTCTAAATTTCCGATTTTAAATAAAACAAGCATAAAAAACAAAATTAGCACTCTCGATATGTAGGATAGTGTGTTGTGATAAATAATACTATTAAAATTATAATTATTTGTTATTTATCTTATTAAATATCCTTAAAACAGTGGCTTAGCCAGGATTTTCTCATGGGGGGGGGGGCTTCATTCCCCAAACCACCTATTTTTTATGAACACTCAATTGCTTTATATCTTAGACTATGTTAAATTATTTTAAATATTTGCATTATATATAACAAAATTTTAGAGAGTATTTCATTATAGATTTTATATATTATATAAAAATAATTTAGCATAAATAACATTCCTTTATTTAATCATGTATTTATTTTTATTATTTAAAATAAATTCAAAATGTAGATATTTTATACAGATTATAATATTAAAAATGTAATTGTATAAATGTTCTGAGATTTTAAAATGAAGGAACTATTTGTTCAATTTATTTCATTGCATGATACTAAATCGGAGACGATAGCAAAAGAAATTATACAGTTTACATAAAAAAATTTAATTTAATATGAATATGAATATGAATTTTTAATATTATTTTGTTTTATGTATATTATCTTTAATAATGCTAATATATTTTACAAAATTTAGAAACAATATTTGGTTTGTAACTATTTCACACCACCCAAGAAGAGGGAGATGTTTATTCAAACGTATCATGACATTGACTCAAAGATAAAAAAGAAACTAAAAAGATTTTGTCCTACTAGATTCATTGAAAGACAAGAGTCGGTGAAGCTCTTTATTGAACTCTATGAAGTTGTATTTGCAGCACTAGAATTTATATATCAAGCAGGAAAAGGATTCAGGATACTGAGAATCTTTTGCAGGCTTTTATTAAGTCATAATTTTTAATATCAATTCAATATGTTTATTATTTATTTAATTATACATATGATTTAAGGAAAATGCTACAAAAAATTTATTTGGATTTAAGGGAGGTGAATAGAGCAAAGGATATTGTTGAATTAACAAATATCAGAGAATGTGTATGAAAAATTTCATGAAATATATGAGAAAGTAAAGGAGATTGCTAATATGTTTGGGATTGAAAATTCTAAACCTAGAGTAGTATCTAGACAATCCAATCGCTCCAATATTGATGCATCTACGATTGAGAATTATTATAATAGACATTTTTATTCCCCTTATTGATATATTTTTATTTCAATTAAAGGAAAGATATTCCTCATAATTTTATTTTAAGAAGCTTTTATTTATTTTTTGCTGGTTGAGTCTAAACTGTTGATTACACTTGAAACACTAGTCACTAGAGGTTATTAAGAAAATCTCAGAGTTTTACACTGACGATTTAATAGGCTAATATGATAAGTTACTTTGTGATGACGGATTTTGGTATAAAAATCTTGACAGAATAGGTATTTTTTGAGACCAAAAAATGCTCTACAGACCCTTTCCATGTATAACTTTAGATTCTCTGCCTAATATTAAAACATTATTAATTATTTTAGCTATCTTACCAATTAGTACCTGCATTAATGAAAGGTCTTTTTCAACTTTAAAAAAGTTAAAAACCTATTTAAGAAATACCAACGGTGTAAAACATTTAAATGAATTAGCCCTATTAAATATTTATAAGGAGATTATTCTAGATAAAAATTTGATTCTAGATGAATTAGAAAAATCTCAGAGAAATGTAGACCTCTCTTTATAAATTCAAATCAAAAAATTGCAATATGGTTATATTAGTTTTAATATATATTTTAATATATAATATTTATAATCAAATTTTTTTGTAAAATGAATTCTTAGTTATAACATTTATATTATTTTTATATTAACTCTTAAAATTTATGCAATTAATATTATTTTTAACAAAATACTGTGCATTATTTATATTTTGTTTTTAAATACCATTATTTGCATAAGATTTACTTATATTTTATGTAATTGTTAAATTATATATTTTTTTTAAATAGAGTTTTTATACATTAAAATTTTTAATATTATAATCTGTATAAAATATCTACATTTTGTAATTTATTTTAAATAATAAAATTAAATACATGATTTAAATAAAGGAATGTTATTTATGCTTATTTTTATATAATAAATAAAATCTATAATGAAATACTCTATAATTTTGTTATATGCAAATATTTAAAATAATTTTAACATGCCTAAGATGTAAGCAATTTAGTGTTCATAAAAATGAAAAATTTGGGGAGAAAATCCTGGCTACGCCTCATTAGAGTTTTAACAACTCTTTAAAATTTTCTTCATTGTTGTTGGAACAGATCATTTCTTAAAAAATTATATTTATCATAATCTATATCTATCTTAAACTAGGAATAGCAAATTGACCTACTTGCTTAAAAGTTCTTTAGGAGCAGGTAACAGTAAAACCCTTATGTTTGTCAACGTTAGCCCAATCGAAGATAGACTAGAAGAAACATTGTGTTCATTAAGATTTGCCGCTAAAGTTAATTCTTGTAATATAGGAGTCGCAACTGTGAACAAACCTTGAAAAGCCTTAAATTATTTTTTTTGAAAGGATCATCTAACCCTACCCCATCCATTTTTTAAAAAGTTTTTAGAAAAATGAGTATTTTTTTTTATTGAAAAATATATATCTTATTATTTTACTAAGTTAAAAATTGTATAAAATTTTATTATATATTAATTTTATTATAGAGCTATGTTTGAGACACACTTTGTCAAATAAATTATTATATTTTTCATTTGCGATATATTACTGTGATGTCTAGTTTAAATTTATATACAATTTAATCTTGAATAAAGTAATTCCCTGGCCTACAATATCACCCTTATATTTATATAATAATGTCAAATAAAAACTTATTTATTTTATTTTGTAACATTTGCTGTATTAGAAATTTACTAAAAAATTTCTATGTAAGAATAAAAAAGTTAGTATTATATAATTTCACATACTGTTATATATTATATTTTTCAGGCAACCCTTTTATATATTTATACTCATATAATTTATTATCTACTCACTGATTTATTATGAAATTTTTTGTTGATTCCCTGAACATTATAATCGAGCTTATTTTTACTTGAAAAGAGGTCTGAACTTTGCCAGCTCACTAGAAGTCCTTTTTTGTCGATAAAGATGACTAATTTTTTTAAAATATTTTTTACCTTTTAACTAAGAAATTCTAAGAGAAGAATTAGGGTCTTTTTTTAACTCCTCAAAAAATTAATTAATGATTTATGAATTTGCTATGTTCCATAATCTTCATGAATTTATGATTTCTACATCAATAAAATGGGCCGCCCCATTTCATTATCAATATTCTGACTATATTATGACACAGATTCACGCTGCCCGTATGGTAATTTAATTTCTAGTGTTTAAGTTGAAAACATTTTTTGAAGAATTTATGAGAGAATCTGAATACATTGTACAGAGTCAGGGTTGGACAAATTTTCGAAAAAATGTATTTTAAATAAGTCTAAATACCTATGAAAAATATTAAGATTATTTAAATACAAATACTTTGATGAAAACTTTTTGCACAAATAAATACTTTAACGAACAATTTTTACAAGTCGATTTTTTTTAGTACCACTATCAATATTTTTTTACTTTAATATTTTTTATTACTAACAATTTTTCTAAAATTATCAAATGTCTGGAGGGCATATGGATAATATATTTGTTGTTACAGCAGTAGCATATCACATAAATTATATGATAATCGAAAATATAATTAATATCACTGTTTTGAGCATATAATGAGTTGCTGGAGGATAAAATTGCTCCAATTATTATTTTGGTTTTATTTTTAGTTTAACATATTTAGCTTTCACTATATTATTGATTATATTTTGAAATAATTACCATCCAGAATTGTCAAATGACATTTAGGGTCTGCATATATTGTTACGAAATTCGGCAAAAATATCTTATAAACATAATAGCTTGAAACTCCTTTCCATCAATCAATATCATCCACACCTTCATAAAAATTTGTTTTTTCGTTTCGGTAATACTCATTTTAAAAATAAAATAGGATTTAAAATGTAAATAAGATGTTAATTATTTTTTTGCGGGTTACAAATTTAAATAAATAAATGTGGATTTACTATATAATTTAAATTTATAATAAAATATAATATTTGTCTGAAAATCGTAATAAATAAAAAAATACTTTTTATTTTTTAATATTTAAAACGCAAATACTAATTACTTTCTAAAATATTCAAATAAATACTGTATACAAAAAAGTATATTTGGTATTATTTTAAATACAAGTATTCACGCTACTGCTCAAACCCTGCATAGAGTTAAGGTTCTTATTTAATGCAACAATCACGATTGAAATATTCCATAAACCTATATTTGCCCTTTCGAAGAGATACCCATATTGGCCCTTTTCCTTCTTTTCACCAAACATAACTTTGTTTCTAGGGTATTCAAATATTTATTTTATCGTACTATTAAAAAGATCTAAGGTGTTTCAGGCGATATTTAAGCTTCCTTAAGAATTAGGAGGTGAGATTATAATTCCGTTTTATCACTCTGCCCCCTGATTCATCTTTTTTACTGTTTAGAATTCAAAATACTTGTCCGAATAGAATATGATTTTTGTATTTAAAAAAATATAAAACACCCTTTAAAGCGTATTTAGATGTAAAAACCATATGTCATAATCTATAAAATATGTCCTAGCAACTTATCTTAGAAGAAGAATGCTCTCTTTCAAAATTTGAACATAAAATTTAGAACTTTAATCAAAATGGAAATCATATCTTTGCGATTTACCAATATTTCTATAACATTATAGGTACTGTAGAATCAAATCTCGATGACAGGCTAGTACACACGAGGGGGGGGAGGTCCCAAAGCTAAAAATTTACCAGCAAGGGTATTTTTCAAAAAAATTACTGTTTTATGATTATTAATTTACATTTAATAATAATCATTCTGATCTCCTAGCACACACATATTCCAATTTACATTAGTAGATACGCTACTAATTGATTCTGTGAATTAATATCGATTTAAATTTTCCATTTTATATTTATCTACCATTTTAAAATTTCTCCGCAAATCATTAAACTTTTTCACTGCAAAAATAAAGTAAAATATTTCAAAAAAATGACATCGATTTGATTGAGACTGAGAATAACTGAAAGCATGATTATAATGAAACTTAAGAAAATTAGGAAAAATATAGATGCTAAAATTTTATAAATTATGATCTGCATCGGGTCTAATTTTCCAAACCAGGCTCGACCCGAATTTTTTTTAAAAGAATTTTCTCAACCCGGCCCAATCCCGAACAAAATTTTTTTTATTTGTCCCGAAAAGCCCGACCCAAAATAAAAATTATTTGTTCGCCCGGCCCTACCCGAATTTATTCAAATATAGGAAAAAAAAATTTTATTGTAAAAAAAATTGTTCTACAAATAAAAAATATTAGAGCCTTGTTTCTTGCAAGAATTTTTGAAATATATCTATTTATTTAACAAAATGTAATAATATTATTTTTAAATATTTAACCCAGACCCGAAATTTTTTTAAAAAATATTAGGCCCGACGCAGCTCTAACCAAAATTATTTTTTAACACGCCGGGCCGTGATTTGCAGACCTCTAAATTATTTATCATGAATTTAATTATTTGTCTACCTCGACTCGCAACAAGGCAAGCCCATAGTTTCAATATAAATATATAATCAGTAGAAAAATACTATAAAATATATATTGTGAATAACATTTTAAGCTAATAAAAATACCTTCCTTAATCCCCTCTTCACCCCTTGTCACTCAAAAATGTATGCATAAATCTCAAACAATAATTGTAAAGATGAATGTAAAAGTTAATAATTTTTTAACTAAACTAATGACTATAATTCATATTTTTTTGGATAATTTATACAAAAAGGTAATATTATAAGAAATGAAATATAAGCCAAAGGAGGTCTTATATATAAATATTTTCTAGCTATATATAGGCTAAGGAAATTCGGACGAAGGCCCTCCAAAAGCAGGATCTTGGGGGTCAAGACCCCTATAAATTTATCAATTCCCACCCCCCTTAGGAAATCCTGGCTATGCGTATGCTATAAAATAATGGCTTTATCCATCTTGGATACTTTTATAACTCAAATGAATGAAGGTTCTTGATTAATCAGGCAGTGCTTACAAATCTGCAAATATTATTAACGCATCCTTATTTTAAATCTTGATATGGAAAAATCTAATATTTGGCAGATTTTTATTATGAAGATGTTAAAGTATCCCATGATGCATTACTAACTATATGCACACATATAAAAGATAGCATATTTTTAACATACCCTCGCCAAAAATTTTAAAAAATGTAAAAGGCAAGGCGTGTCCCTTCTAAATTACAAAGTAATCTGTTTAAAATAAGTTATATTCTATTTTAAATTTAATAAAAAGTAATGTATTAATAAATAATTTAATTACACCACAATTTTATGAAATATTTTTCAAAAAATTTATATAGATTTGAATGAAGCTATGTGAATCACGAATATTATTATATTACCACTTAAAAAACTAGTAGATGATATGGATATTGAAAAAATTAAATACTTAACCAAATTTTATTCAGACTATATAAATATATGTGAAGGCCTATAAATTACTGAATTTAAATATTGGTACGAAAGATTAATTTTAGTGGATAATCCTCCAAGAAACGCAATGAAAAATTGCTTGCTTTAAAAAATATTTTTAAGTTTTTTGCAAATATATTAAAATTACTATACATTTAGGCAACAATACCAATTAGTAATGGTATAGCACAAATTTTTTCTTCATTAAGGAGAATTAATGAGATTAAGTCACCATTCAGAACGAATTTTGAAAAATTGACACAATCGCAAAGATTAAACTCACTTATGAAGGATATTTTGATTAACTTTTTAAATCATCATATAAAGTTTAATTTATAATATATTTTAACAATTTTATATTTCTTAAATATTATGTGTTTTCCAATATTTTAATATTTTTGCTCGAAATTATCAACAATAATATGATTGATTATAATATATATTATATTGATTAGTTTTTATAATTTTTTAATTCCAAAAAAAGATATTTCAATATTAAAAAAAATATCTACCCCTGTGGAAAATTCCTGGCTTATCGCTTGGCATAGTAAAAAATTACTAAATATATATTTCACTAAAATCTTTTATCAAAATAACATATTTGAAGCACCTCCTATCAAAATATAGTATTTCTGATTCATATCCCCAAAACAAAAAATTTGCCAGTCAGAAAATAAAGAGAAAAAGTATAACCCAAAATTTTGATGTGCTGGAGATATTTTATAATAAATAACGTAGCTTTAAGAAAAATAGGGTTAGTATGATGAATGCACCCTAAAAACCTACACGACCCTCCTGTTATTCTGTTTACATATATGAGTAGGAGTAAATTGGACCGTTATCCCGGAATCAACCTTTATAATTTTCCGGCAGCGAGCATTTATACGAAATCTCGAAAAGGATCTAAACAAACCAATATAATTTTTCTGAATGGGGTTTTAAAACCGTTATCTAAACATGATATCATATCTAATTTCATAACACATTGAAGTAATTGTATAAATCAAAAAAATTTAAATGATGAAATTTAAAAATTATTTCTGCTTCTATATGTGACTCGGAACCTAAAAATAACAATAGAATGATGGTTTCCATTATTAATTCCCATGACAAGAATGAAAAGGCTTCCGAAAGATACCTCCCTGATGACCTACTGAGAGACGAACACAAATTTGAATATCCTGAGTAGTTAGCTTAAACAGTGCCAGCACTTGTAGCTGAAAGAGCATTCTCGGGTAATTTATTTTATCCTCACATCTACCGAATAAATGAGGGACTTTTGTAATACATTAATTATATGTATACGTTCTAATCCATATTTTTACTGATAAATATTATATTTTGTTATAATTTGTAAATTTTCCTCATATCGATTTACCTTTTTAGCGTATCTTTTTATAGTTTTATTTTGAGGAAAATTTGATATAATAAATATCAAAAAATTTGTGGAAGCGAAAATATATATATTTTTTAAACCGTGACTGAACTAAGCTAATCTTAAGCAACTACTGTAACCATTATCCGAAGCTATAACTTAATAGGTAACGGGTCGGGGATTTATAATTTCAAATTTTCTTTTCTTTTGTTAGTTAAAATGAAAAAAAATATCATTATTATTAAGCAGATTTATAGCCAATTTGTGTGTACCTATAATTAGATTTTTAAAATCAATATTTTAAAAAATTTATAAATTCTTATCTTTCTTATTTATATATTTTGAATTACTTTATCAAGGTTAAAGAGATATTTTTTTTGCTTTTTTTTGTAGGTTAGGTAAAGGTTAAATCTAATGAAGCAATGATAATACCTTTTTTTATATTTATTTCTGATAGATAGATAAATAAATAAATCATATTACACAAAAGGAATTGTTATTATTTACCTATATCACGCTTAGTCATAATTACTCGATACAAAATATTTCTTTTTTATATTATATCAAAAAAATTTTTGCCATTTAAATTTTTATTCTCTATTCCTGCTCTAACAAAGTAAGAATAATAATTCTTAAATAAATATTGATTTTATTTAATACATTTTTCGAACAATTGGGAATAACTTTCGAGCATAACTTATGGCATCTGGTAGGGAAATTTAATTTTTTCATTTGAGTATCACCGATTAGAAAAAGGCCACCAGGACCAAGATCGGTGTATCAAAATTTAACATTCAAATGTGATCTGTTCCGAACTAATTTTGCTATTTTTGTATCTTAGAGCATTTATAATTACGCTTATTATCTTTATTAAATTTTCAGTTAAAGGTTTTTTTAATAGCATCGGTTAGCATATATTAGAATAATGGTTTAAAAAAATAAAAATTTATGCGCTGAACTTGCCAGCGGGATTTATAAACGACGGGGCTTTCTATGAAGCATATAAATGGTGGCCTGCGGGCAGCCATAGATATATGCTTTAAATAATTTTGAAATATTAGATTTTCTATTTGGATAAAATTGAAATGCCACTTCTTGCTGATATTAGAGATAATCGACCCTATACTAGCACTTATACTTATATAAAATATACTCAAACGTAACCAAATTCTATTTAAATTCATCAATCTTTTAAATATATAATATTATAAGCCATTATGAGAAGTTATCCTTTTCTGACTTGTTTTGTTTTCAGTAATGATTTACTTAGAAACAGGTAGGTCGCTTAGCTTTGAAAATATTTCTAAAAAAATATATAAATGAAGCTCAACAAACAATGCAATCTCATCAAGGCGATAAAGGTGCCGGTCAAACCTGTCATGGAGGAAAATGTCCCCACAGTGAAAAGGGTGCGAATTGCCCATGCCCAAAATGCGAGTGCCCTAAGAATTGTTGCAAGGTTATATAATTTTAGTACACAGAATCACGAAAAATTATAATATATTTGGAAGAGAGTTCATTTTAGATCAGAGTAAAGCTATTTCTTCTTTATTTAAAATATAAATGGAGTAACTTTTTTAAAAAAAATTCTTATTTTTCATATAAAGGCAAAGGCAGATTTGCATTAACGCAAATAGGATTAAGGCCTAACCAGAGTCAAAATGCTTGATATCATTATATTATAGATAATATATTATTCCGTTTCGATGCCATTTAAAAAATCGAAAACATTACCTAAATTAATTTTTTTTTTTCAATTCGGAAATAATAAATTATTTTTAGCTATTACTTATATCGGCTCCTCTTTCTATGCTAGTAATCTTCTAAGGGGGTTGAACCGATCCAACTCTATCACGGTGGGACGGGGTATTAAACTTTACTCGTTGGAATCTTGTGGGAGAGATAGCTTGATATTGTGCTATTATGTTTTATATTTTTATAAAATTTAACGATTATAATTATGCTAGATAAAATTATATGGGTTGGTTGGGGGAGGGGGGGGGGGATATTTTTCGTTTTCATTGGATCGATTTAGCATCCTGAGGGCAGGTTGCTTTCTGTTTCATCGACTCGGAGGTTTAGTAGATCCTGGTCCGAATTATAATTATACCACTTATTTACAATTATAAATTTATAAAATTTTAAAACTCCATTTGTTAAATATCAATTTTAATTTTTTTTTTTACAGTGCTGCAAAAGTGACGCAAAAGGAGAAAAGTGCCAAAAATGTAATCAACATCTATCATACATTAACCATTTTATTAATTTTCTTAAATATTTTAATACTAAAGGTTGCCATGATAAAGGATGCCACGGCTGCGACAATGGATGTTGCCATGTAATATAACTTTTTTTTATATAAAAAATTATTTAATTACCAAAAAAGTGATATAATTTTTTTTTAAAAATTGGTATCAAAAGTAACAACTCTCATTATTAAAATAAAAATGTTTGGGAGGCAAGTGAGCAGATTAAAATACCTCATATTATATATAAAAAACACTAATTCAAACTAGATTCACTCGATCAGAATCTGAGATTAGAGCCGCCATTTTTGTGATGCTTATAACTTTTACTCGCACTTTTTTCTCCCCATTATATTATTTCATTTTTTAAATTTTAGTGTTGCAAGAAATGCTGCGACGAAAAAGCATGTCCACCTGGTCAAGGGAAAGAATGTTCGAAATGTGTAGGATGTAAGATAATAATAATAAATAATATTTAGGCCTTCAGGCTGGACCGGGTCAGCCGCTCCAAAATATTTTACGGAAAGGGTCAATAAAAATCAGGCCTAGCTTTTATCTAAAAAATAAAATAGAAAATATCTTCGCTTCTTTTATACTAAAATAAAATGATGATTAAAATTTCTCTAGAATTAGGACAAAGCAAAGCGATTGTTTATTTTATTTTATAACTTTATCATAATGCGATCACTTATTTTTTTTTCCTTTATAAACGAGCTATCAAGATAAGATAAGAATAAAAATCATGCCGATCCTAAAAATAAATATTTTGGCCTGGGTCGAAAAATATTTTTTATTTTAGGGCCTCTAAGCTAGGTCAAAAAATCTTTTTAAAATTATCTTTGGGCCAAGCATCATTAATTATTTATCAATTTATAACAAAAAAATAATGATTCCATCTATCTCTCAATATTATATTTAAAAATTTTTTCTTTTATAAGAATTTTTTTTCTTTTTTTTTATAGAAATTATTTTTAAGGGCGTTTTTATTGAATATTTTTTTGAAAAAATTATTACATTAGATTTTTACGACCTTGAATTTATGTCGCTTTATTTAAAAGTTTATCATGGCTAAAATTGATGGAAAAATATAATATACTAAATAAATTTAAATGTAAAGAGTATGGTTGAAAATCGATATTTTTTGTTATTTAAAAAATATAATGAAAATATTATTTATTTTTTTAGGTGGAGTTTGTTCTAACAAAGAAAAATGTAAAGGAATTGATTGCCAGAAAGCCGGATGCAAGGCTTAAATTATATTAAATTAGAAAGCTAATTTATTGCAATTTTATTATTATATAAGCTTATTTTTAGTGTAGTGTTAGTTCAATATTTTCTCATTACATTATTCCAAATTATTTATATGTTTATAGATAAATTATATGCTATATTTATATAATTTATATGTATAATAGATAAATTATATAGTATATTTTTATTAAAATAAAATTATTTCAAATTTTTATTCTTAAAATGCGAAGGTTGTTTAAAGAGCTTTAATTTGTCAGATACCTCCGGTTGAATATGTGGTGTGAAAGATCCTAAATTCATCTATCCTACCTAATAATTTTTAAAAGGATAGGCCAAAACAAATTAAACACATTATGTACCCATACCCAGGGTGGAACATTACCTCGAAAATTTTAGCAACCGTATAATTAAAATCTGAAAAAAACGGAGAATTTATCTGGCATAAGATAAATTCTTATGAAACGGTTCTTTAAAATTGTATTTATATATTCTAAATGATTAGCATAATTTAAAAAAATAATTTAAATATGGTCAAGTTTCTTAAATTGTTATCTCTTTCTTTGCATGTTTTATGATGATAATAAAGAAAATATAACTTATTTTCCTTAAATTTTTTGGTGTTTATTTTTTAATTATAAATATGTGATTAATTTAAAAAAATAAAAACCCGAAATAACCCATATAAATTTAAATATGACCGGAGCGGAAACGAACGAACCAGAATGGAAATGAGCCTTAAACATAACCCTTTAACATCATGCTCATATCATACCTATGTGAGGAATATTTTGAAAATTAAGATTGATCTGGGACCGATTGATGTATAAGAAGTTTAAATAAATGACCGATTTATTGTATTATTATTGAACGTAAACTTTATTGGATTAAATATTATACAATCTTTATTATAAAATTTAACACAATGACAATGAATGGCTAATTTTTTTTTGAGTAAAAAGGAGCATCATTAGGTCTAGCTACGTCCCAAATATTTAAGGATCTTAATTTAAAATAAAAGCAGCCTAAACTATATTTTTGCCAAATTTTGTGCATTTTATGAAATAGTTTTTACAGTGGCTCCCCTTTACCTTTCCTTAAAGCCTATGAAGCAAAGTACCCCTCTAAAAAAGATAGTCCCTTTAGTTACATATACTCAAAAATATAATTAAGCGATCGTCTATAATGCACAATTTAAAATAAAATCTAAGTAGAACTGAAAAATTGCAAAATATAATTTTTAAATATATTTTATAAAAAATATTGGTAAAATATTGCAAATAAATTGATACATTTTTTAAGGTACGTCCAAACACCTCTTGTACCACTGATATTAAAATATTAGAAAATATAAATATTTTGAACAAAAGGATGTAAAGGGCTGAATAAAATCGTAAGAAAAGAAATTAAATGGTTTTTTATAACAAAATAACTAAATTAATCATTTCGATAAATTAATAAAAGAAAGAAAATGTAGTATGAACGTATTTAACATCATCAATATCTAATACTGTTAATAAGGTTTGTATCATTATAAAATTCTATTATTTAGAATAAGATCCATCGAACGTCGAAGTCAAGATTTAATCCACTTGATTTCACAATATTAATGGCATTAATATTGTTATAGCTCGATTTAAGCCGATTTTTAAAAGCGACTGACGCAATATTTTATCCAGAATATTACGCAAGCCTGGAAATTTCGCTCATAGATGTTTGGACATCTATTAGCCAAATCTTGAGGGTTAGGCAAAATTTTTCTGACTAAAATAATGAGTTAGCCATTTTTAAAAATTGGCCTATATCGAGAACAATAAATGGTATCATCATCAGAAGATATATTTACTTTTTCTTCAGTATATACTTGTAAAATTAATATAAGTAAATCACTAAATAAATAAATAATTTTTTTACTAAATCCATCCTTTTTTATGTATATCTTCTCGAATGAAATTTTATACGCTTTAAGTTAAGGTTAGTAGAAGAAAATAATTTATACCTAGACCTGTGAGCCTATGCATTATTCGCGGCGATGGCACTTTGTTTACTGGCGGCACATCGGCAAGCCGATAACAACATGCATAATATACAGTAAACTTGGATAAACAAAATATGAATATAAATTTTAAGATTTAGAAATGTTTATAAAATACCTTAAAGATAAATGGTTGAATCATCAACTGCACATTATTTAATTTATTTTACACAAATATAAATTTTATTATTTTGAATTAAAATTTTATATCAGATATAATTTTATCCAAGTTATCTGGAGACAATGAAAATCTTTTTGAATTTTTTATATAAAAATGACCTCAGAAAAAAAATACAGGATGCTAATAACGGGGCGGAATAAATTTTCCTAGCACCAAAATACTAGCACGCCAGTTTCAGCGTAAGTTTGCTGTCCTAGTAGGTCATATTCTAGCTAACATTGTAAGGCATAAATGTTATTGATATTAGTAAAAGTTATAACACATTATAAATATTTTTATACAAGCTTTTGGGCTCAATTTAAAGATATTTATAAATAAACGCCCGCTATCTGCTATTAAAAAAATTGGGCGACATCGTTGCCCCCCCCCTGAAATGTCTGAAGGGGTAGGCGGCGCCGCGCACAGGTCTACTTTCAAAAATATAATGAAAATTTCGGATTCACCTTACATAAAATAAAGGGGGAAATTTTTGATTCATCCTTATTTTTAACGGGCCCATGATAGTTAATAATGAACAACGATAATTTTTTAAAATGTTTTTTCTTACTTATGTATAATAATGCAATAGGATTTGGAGGAACTGAAAAAAAACCTAGTTAGCTACGTTTCTGATGCATATTTAATTTACATCAGGGACTTTGAGTGAACCAAACCCGGAATAAACCTTTATAATTTTTTGAACCGTAACATTACCTTTATACCCAATTACTAAAAGGAGCTCACCGAATTATAATTTTTCTGAACGGTTGAAAACCAATTCTTTCTCTAAACATAAATTGAAATTTAGGACCATATATTTGATAGGTAACATTTTCTTAAGGGAGTTACTATTATTTTTTTAAATCTGTTAATTTTTATCAATTTTACAACTGATTTAATATCCTTTCGCATTCAATTTATTTTATCAAAGATCATCTGAAAAAGGCATAGCAATATATTTAATATCTTAAAGAGTAAGTTGAAAAAATTAATGGCCTAACTTCTGAGTAGTAATGGCCCGATTAAGATTTTGGCCAAAATAATATTATATAAGCCTGGTTGTTCATAGATGGCAGAAATGTTTGGCTCTATTTGCCAAATATCGGGGCTTACATAATATTATTTTGGCTAAAATCTTAATCGGGTCATTTTTAAAAATCAATCCAAATTGGGTCGTTTAACAACATTGCTTCTGAGAATCTAGATTAAATAAGTTCAGATTATTAAATTTAAAATATTGTTGCTGACTTGGAGCACAGATAACATTAGAATGTTTAGTTTAATGATTGATCATGATAAGATTAGATTCCGAAAGGCATCTCCCTGAAGGCCTACCGATAGGCGAAAAAAATTTGAATATCCTAAGTTATTTTAGTTAGCTTTTCGCAATCCATAAACGTTCGTTATTTGTATCCTCAGAGCTACCAATATAAATTGTGGACTTTTGAAACAATCCTACTCAGAGGTCCTGATAATATTTTTGCCAACAAATCTTAAATATTTATTATATCTTGTTATATATTATATATATTCTGAATAAAATGGATTTACAAGTTAGCATGTCTTTTTATAATTTTATTAATTAAAAAATTTGATACATTAAATATTATCAAATATTTATTATTTATTGTTATATATTATATATATTCTGAATAAAATATTTACAAGTTAACATGTCTTTTTATAGTTTTATTAATTAAAAAATTTGATACATTAAATATTATCAAAATTAAAAAACCTTCATAGAGGGTACAAAATATCTTTCCATTCACGCATATATATTGAAAATCCCCTACCAGGCGCTGTATAACCTAAATTTTACATATTACCTTTAATTCTCAAACCAGAAAAGATTTTTTTTAAGACTTTGCTCTTAAACAAATCGAAAATATGTAATTACAATTCAAAGTCTTAGTTGTGGTTTAAAGCTAAAGATATTAAAGGAAATGTTTTATTGGAATACCCATAAGTAGTTTTCCCAACTGTGAGGTATTCGTGGAAAAGTTTTCTGAAAGCTTATCGGGATAAGTTTATTTTCTTCCAAAAAAAATTTCTTTCCCCAAAAATTAATTTCACTTCTCTTTGTTTTTAAATTATAAAATTATTAAAAACTTTTTTTTATGGGCATGTGTCAAGCAAAACCTTAAGCTTTTCCCAAAAATATAATCCTCAAAATCAAGATAGAAAGAAATACTCTTTTCTATCAATCTATCTATCTATCTATCTATCTATCTTCATTCATTCATTCATTCATTCATTCATTCATTCATTCATTCATTCATTCATTCATTCATTCTTTTTATCGTAAAGGTCCAAACAATTTTTAATACCATAATTTTAATAATATAATTATGCTTGTTTTTTGGGAACTTGTATCTCGTATAAAGTAATCTCTCTTTATATAATGACCGTTTTTATATATTTTTTAATTATCATAACATTCTTAAAAAAGAATTAAAATAAGATAATAATAAATTATTATTAGCCTACATTGCTTTTTATTATTTACAAGGCTTAAAATATATCCTTTTTTATCAAAATATTTTCATTTAAATTTTTATTTCTCTTATTCCTAGTAATCTCTACGAAAGGAACTATGTAAGAATTATAATCTTAAAAAATATTAATCTTATTTCCTATTTTTTTTCTACATGGCAACAACCATCTTAAAAGTGGTTATTTCTTTTTACTTCAGTAAATTTTATAGAGCATAACTAAGTTACTATGGCATCTGGTTGGAACTTTAATCCTAATGTTATCATTTAAGTGTTATTATTGTGAATATCATCATTGGAATTACCAATTGGTAAACGGTTATCAGAGTAAGGATTGGTGATATTAATATCTAACATATCCTATGTTAGATTTTCTCTGATTCGTCTTGAACTCAAATTCAAACTTTCCTGTTTTACATCTTAGAGCAGTCATAATTTCCCTTATCTCTCGATTCGATTTTCAAAAAAAGGCGCTTTTTAAATAGCATTACAACCGATGTGATGAGCTTATGGAAGAATAAAACATGTATAAATTATTAGATTTCTAATATTATTATATTATATATATTTAAATTTTGTTATTATTATAATTAAAATTATACATAATAAGGATTAAAAATATATGAAATATTTTTTATGCCTCTGCTTGCCTGCAGGATTTAAATAACAGTGTCACTGTCTAGTAAGCATAAAAATGTCAGTGACCGGCCAGGTATATAGCTCTGGGAATACGCTTTAAAAATAAATATTGTGTGCAAGTAATAATAAAATAAACACATTAAATTAAAAATATAAGAATTTGTTTTTAAAGGGTAAATTTGAAAAAAATTTGCACTTACTTATTATTTTTGAAAGATAAAAAATTCAAATAAATAATGTACTTAAAACTATGGAAAATAAATATTAAATTTTGGTATAATATTCCCTTTATTATTATTTTATATAAATATTTTTATGAAAGATCTTACAGACACTAGAGTATCGGGTCAATACTTGGCACAGATACTTATATGAAAAACATACTAATTTCATCAAATTCTATTTAAATACATCATTTTTATTATTATAAAAAATAATAAAATTTTTATCTCAACGCCGAACATTATCATTTAAAAGTATGCAAGGCACTGTAGTGAGAAAAAAAAAGAAGCATTTTTAGGATAGATTATGAAAAATATTTGGTATAATATCGAAAATTTATTCAACTTGCTACCGGCAAAAAAAAAGTAGCAGTCAATACCGACGCCATTGTGCGTGTTCTGGTATTATTGTATATTAGATAAAAAGAAGTCATTTTTTTCCAACTTTTTTTAGTAATAGTTAACAAAAAAATTCCGATGAGAATCTAGGTCCTTCAGCTCTGAAAATAATTTTAAAAATATATAAATGAAGCTCAAATAATGCAATCTCATCAAGGCGCTAGTGGTACTGGTCAAACATGTCATGAAGGAAAATGTCGCCACAGTGAAAAGGGTGCGAATTGCCCATGCCTAAAATGTGAATGCCCTAAGAATTGTTGCAAGGTTAGAAATTTTCAGTTCGTAAATAACAAGAAATTAAAATATTCTGAGAAGATTTCCTTTAAATATCAGAACTATTTTCTTCTTTATTTAAACAAAGACAGAGTAACTTATTTTAACGTTTGGATAAATTAGTGTTGTTAAACGGCACTAATGGTCGATTTTTAAAAACGGCTCGATTAAGATTTTAATCTACCAAACTGAACTTAACCCCAAATTTTTTTAGCCCTTTTAAATTTATTGCATTGAATCGGTCCAAACCGAGCCCAGTTAACAATTTTAGCGGATTCGTAACACTCGCTTGAATCTAACGTGAAGATGAGGCTTGTCAACCCGCTCACATTTTTAACCAGGTTCGGGTCAGCATTTCTTTTTAATACGAAGAATTTTTTGATACCGATACGTTTATAAAGACTACGATATTTATAAATTGACAAAAAACTGATAATATATCGAGATGCTTTTACAATTCTGTATATAAAAATTAGATTGATATGACTGCGCCTGATGATCATTCTAACCCTCTTAACTAAATAAATTATTTTCAAATTTTTACTTAAGGATGGTATCAAATCTTATAGAAAAATATTATATTAAAATAATAACTCTCAAAAATGATCTATTAAACTATAGGGGCCCTGGCCCGAACTTTAATTAAAAAATATATTTTCACTTTATTTTATTTTCCTCTAAATTTATATTTTATTGTTAATAAAAAAATATATTTCTTTATTTACAGTGCTGCAAAAATGAGACAAAAGGAGAAAAGTGTCAAAAATGTAAGTTGTTTTTACATCCATTATACGTTAACATTTTATCGAATTTTCTTTAAAAAAAAATTTATTACAGGTTGCCATGATAAAGTATGTCACGGCTGCGACAAAGGATGTTGCCATGTAATATATTTTTTTAATAAATTATTAAATTCTAAAAAAAGAAGTGATATAATTATTTTTTCTTTAACATTATAAGTTGGTATAATTAAGGAACAAGTCACATAACTCTCATTATTAAATGTTTGAAATGCACATTTAAATATCAAATATTAATAAATACCTAATATGATAGGGTTCTCGATCTGAATCGGAGTTGGCTAGGAACACCATTTTAATGATCTTTATTATTTCATTTTTAAATTATAGTGTTGTAAAAAATGCTGCGACGAAAAACCTTGCCCACCTGGTCAAGAATGTTCATGTCCAGGATGTAAGATTATGATATTGAATAATATAAACATAAAAATCAGTCTGAGCTGGACAACAAAAAAATTTCGGGCATAACCAAGCTCAGAATTTTGAATATTTTTTTGTAAAGCCTTTAATAATGTAAATCTATAAATTTTACCCAAAAAATACAATAGATAGGGTGTAAAAAAAATATCTTTTTACGGGCTGGGCTTAAACGTGTCAAATTCGGGCTTCATTTTTTTATAAAAAGCGGTTCTGAAAAACAAAATTCATCTTTTTTATAAAATAAAATGATTTAAAATTTCTCTGTAAGCCGTGTTCTAGTTCGATTTATTAACAGTCGATTGCTTAGCTTCTACACTAAACAACCTAAAAAGTAATATAAAAACTGAAAAAAACGAAAATAAACAAAATATAAAATTCAAAAAAGAAAAATAACAATGCCACCAAAAACTTAAAACAAACTAAAATGGGATGCCGATGATTAATCAACCCAGGATACAAACTTAGTATTAACTTTATTTAAAATAGGGATATTATTTTTATATTAAATAAAATAGGGCCGCTTATAAAAATAAATAAGAATTAGCCCGGGACAAAAATAAAAATATCTATCAACCGAATTTTTCCCAAGTATTCCCTGGTAAAATGATAAAAAAAAATTTTTTTATAGAATTTATCTCAATGACATTCTATTTTATAAAAATGATTAAATTATGATGGCCACTAATATGGGCTAAAAATTGATGAAAATTACTATTATTATTATTATTATTCATATTTTTATTTTAAAAAAATACTAAATAAATTTATGAATATTTTCTGGCTTCAAAATAAAATAGAATTATTCCTCATTAATTTTATTTTTTAGGTGGAGTTTGTTCTAACAAAGAGAAATGCAAAGTAATTAGTTGCAAGAAAACTGAATGCAAGACTTAAATTATATTAGAAAGCTAATTATATTATCAGCTTGTTTTAACATTCGTTTTATATATAAATTTTTTTTGCTTATTCATGTTATTGGCGTTCGAAATTTATTGGAATTATTTTAATTTATTATAATTCGCCTGATTTATTATATTACGCACTGGAAGATATCGTATGATTTTTACTCCCATTAACTATAAAAAGATGAAATTTTAAAATTACTCACTTTTTTTATGTTGGCTAATAAAATTAGTCTTAATTTGATTCCAGTTTACAATAAAGTTAAATTTATTTAAGCCTATATTTAGGTTGTGTTGGTTGGTATTAATTATAGGTGTAGTTTCGGTATGTTTTCCCCTGAATTATTGTAGGTCTTTGGGTCCACTTATTTTAGGCCTTTGGCTATGCTACAATTTTATAAAAAATCAATTATGTCTACTGTGTCCATACACCTTTGGCCTAGATAACTAATACTACTTGTGATTATTGCCATGACCGTTAGAACGAGTGGCCTAAATGCTCACCCGACAGCACGATATGATGGATGATCACCATTGATTACTATGTTTAAAAGATAAATTGTTGTGACGAACGATCAAATTGTTTGGACTGAATGAGCAAAAAGCCTTAACCATAATTAAAGTGTTTGGGAGAAAATAAATTCATATATTCCAGGATATCATGAAGATTTTTCCGAGATGCTGGCTAGTGTTAAGATATTATCGAATTCTATATTGTTAGGGATAAAAATTCTAATTTTATGGAAGCCCAAGTATTTAAACACTAACTTCTCCTAAAACCTATTTTAAAAGAAAATTGAAAAAATTTTAAATCCATGAAAAATTGAATTTCCCTTTTTTTTCATAGATATATGGCATTATAAAAATAAATAGATTCAACAATTTTTCAACTCTGAAGAGATGAATATTGATATAATTAATTGATTTTTTAACTTTATTTGATACCCATGTTGAAATATTATACTAAAAAATTTCAAACCCCCTCCCACCTTACCTACTTCGAAGACGTAGAGTGATGAGAATCAATGTAATAAATTAATCTCCTTATTCGCTTTCATTTGATACCCATCTCTAGATCATGTTAAAAAATTTTAACAAATCCCCTCCGGAGAGATGAGTATCAATGCAATCAATTTGTCGTTTTATTATGATACCCATGAAAAGATATTATGAATAAATAATTTACACCTCACACAAATGACCTAGATCCGAGAGCATAGATTAATAAAACTCAACAATTCATTTGAATATTAACTTAAAATAAAATATATAACAAAAATTTCTGAGCGATTTAGTATTGAAAATTCAATAAAAAAATTATGAGAAAATTAAAAATTTTTTGCAAAAAATTCTGAACGTTTCAGCTTTTATTCTCAGAAATAATATAAATCATATTATAATATACATTTACGCATACAAAAGAATAATAAAAATGATTAAATAAATTTATAATTCTGTATGTTTTAATAATACATTTTTATAAAAAAATATGAAATATAATATTTAAGGCAATAGCTTATTTTTCAACGCTACACAAATTCTAAAAAAATATTATAATATTTAAATTTCTTACAAGTTCATAAGAGTTTAGAATAACAACGCGTAATATAAAAATTGGAATGAGTTATATTAAAAATGGGGTAGACCCATCTAACCACCCGTATTTTTCCCCACTTAAACTCTCGAGTTAATCATCGTATTGCTTGATTTTGCCTAAAATTAAATATGGGTTTATAACTACTCTTAAGATTGAATTTTAAAAAAAATTAGGTTATTTTTTATGGCTCTTTACTATATTTGATATTAAAAAAAATTGTAAAATTGTTGTTTTGCACAAATATAAACTCATTTATAAGAAGAACCTGCCATTTTATTTATTGTGTTTTGCTAATATTTAATTAATTCTTTGATTAAAAAAATAAGGCGTTTCCTTTTCTATGGAATAATATTACATTGAAAATTGTATTCATTATTATATTATTCACCATTTGTAGGATTTAGTTTTAAAATTTAAAAAAAGATATACTCGAAATTATTTAAGTATCGCCATTAGCGGCGATACACTTATATTTTCTTATAATTAAATTTGGAAATAACGTTAAAAATCATTTATATATTTTTTGCAACAAAAAATAAAAATCATATATAAAATTTATTAAATATTCTGATTATAAGATATTGTGGAAGTAAAAAATATCACAAAAAAATACACTTAAATATTTATAAAATTTCGCTATTATTAAAAACAAGCGTTATTATAATAATGGAAATTCAGACACATTTGAGCGATTAGAAAAAAAAATGAATGAATGAATTAAACAAAATGTAAAAAATTATAATTTTTTATAAAAAAAATTTGCCCTTTCTGAAATTAAGATAATATCATCTATCACATTAGTTTAAAAAATGGGTCACGCTTTGATTTATATGTAAAGGAATGTTGCCATTATCTTACAGTTTTGTAGATCAGATTAGAAAAGAGGAATTTATATTTAATTATTTAACAAAAAGAATAACAGTAATACCATTAGCTACCTACTGGAACAAGTAAAACTGAATTATCTATAGAGATAGGGCCAGAATAGAGTATCAGAATACCATTTGATTATATCTAAAGTAAAAAGAGCTAAAATGTTGATGCGACTTAGTAACAATATTACGGGCAAAAAAGTAAGTGAAAGTAGAGCCTGTTAACTTGAATGACTAGAATTTTTGACATTGAAATTTTAAAGTATTCTAGATTAAAATTATAATATTTTTTTTAAAAAAAGGGTGTATATTGCGAAATGATTATAACCTCTTTAAAGTCAAATTAAATAAATTATTATAAACATTCTTTTATCGATTAATTAATTGTTTTGTAATTGAAACGATACCAAAAAAAATTATTTGTAAATTATTTGCGTAATAAAATTTAATTATCTCCAAAAAAAATTTATAAGATTGTGTAGATAAAATACATAAGTGAAGGATTTGGAGGAATTTTATTAATCACTTTTTTTAAATTAATTAAATTTTAAAAGAAAACATTCCTTATGGATATATTTCATTTGGAATAATCTTGAGTGTCTCGCATATAGCTTTGCCAACATATTCAACATTATCTTTATTCAGACCACATAAACTAATACGACCATTATTTAGCATGTAAATATGCCATTCGTCCCTCAGATGTTGAACCTGCTTGGCTAACAGTAATGATAAATAAAATAGTTAAATTATATAAACCTGATATAGAATTTATTACTCTACAGTTATATTATAAAATATCAGTTTGAATAAAGAAAATACACCGAGGTGGGTTTGGCTTAAAAACAAATGGCATAATAGGTCCGGGTCGAAAATAATTGACTATGCAAGGCTCTAATTAACAGTTACTTTAAAAAAGTAAACAATAATTTTAAAAATAGGGTTCTACGTAAAAAATAAGAGCAGTTTTTCATCATAATTTTATATCCCAACCTGAATTTTAAAAAAATTTCCCAATTTCCAGTAGTGTAGTTAAACGATTCAATTTAGTCGATTTTAAATTAAAATTTTATCCAAAAATATATTATGCAATCCTCAAGATTCCATTAATAGATGAGATGTATAAACCTTTCTGTCATCTATGAGCAAAATCGATAGGCTTGCGTAATATTTTCCTGGATAAAATACTGAGTTAGCCGTTTTTCAAAATCAAGTCATATAACAATACTAGTTTCCAGCCTGGTTCGATTTTTTTTAGATTATCTTTTAGTCCGGTTTTTAAATTCATTTTTGAGGCTGATCCGGGCATGATTTTTAAATTTTTCTTAGTTTATAGCCTAGCCCATATTATTTTAAAATTTGATCATTATTATTTGGTAATATGTTGTAAATGAAGGGGTAATTAAATATTAGACAAAAACGGATCATAAATGACTCATCGCGTGATTTTTTTAAATTGGCTAATTGATTTAATTTTCAAATTTTGATCCTCTCCATGTTTACACATTTTTACTTGTAGGCCAGACCCAGTTTTATACCCTTTTATATATAATTCCTGGGCGATGCAAGTCTTTAATTTTTAAAAACAATATAAGTTAATAATTGACAGATTTTATATAATTTAGATTAATCGTTAAATTTTTAATTTATTGATTGTGAATATCAATAAATTTCTATTCAAATTCAGTTTCCATCATAAAAAAAAGATTAAATCTTAGATAATTTAAAATTTATTTAAGATAAAATTTATTTTTTTTAATTATAGCTGGGAATATTCTCTTATAATATTCACAATTTTTTATCCAGCAAAAAGAGGAAAAAAGTGAGAATAAAATTACGCGTTAATCCAGTAAAGCTAAACATCCCTATCTGATCTGTAATGTGATTCCAGTGACCGGGCGTATTATTCTGATCTAATGATTTCTTCAGATCACGTCTTATAGATATTATCCTCTCAGCCATCTTTTTGACGCATTCTTTCCTTTGATAATTTTTTGTCGAATTTTGGTTATGTTTCAATAATAATGAAGGCAAATAAGACAACTAAAATTTTATTCACTTAATAAAAGAAAAAACTTCTACACACTATTTTTATTAATTATATGAAAAAAAATAGATGGAAAAAATATTATTTTTGATGGATCAGTAGATCAGAGACCTTCACGGGCCTTAATTTTTTGACCAAGCCCGGCCCGGCCCATATTTAATGTTAAAAAAATTCCCAAGCCCATGATAAGTTTCAAAAAAAAATTTAAAACCCGGCCCAAGCCCATATCCAAAAATTTAATTATTTTTTTATTTAATGAAAATAACTAATATTTAAATATATTTAGGCAATCATTTTGTTTCCAATATTGAAATTTATTATTATTAAAAGAAAAAATGGCAATATTTCTTTAAATTAACAACTGTTTTAAAAATCTAAATTTAATAATTTTAGGCCCAAGCCCAGCCCATTAAAAAAAAATTTTTTTGATCCAGACCCAGCCCAGACCCGCTAGAAAATATAATGTGCCGGGTACTTGCGGGCCGTGTAATGCATTTTGTGCAGCCTTTATAGTTTTGATGATGGATCGGATGGGCTTCCCTTACATTCCCATAGCAATTCACATAAAACTTCCCTCCTCCAATTTATCTTGTTAAAGTTTCTTCTTGTTAGGAATTATATCTTCTTTGTCGTTTAATACGTTTTTCAGGTTTACCAGGGTGGGCCATTTTCCCTTCTATCTCCATTTTAGTGGGGTCCTGGGCATCGACCACATCAAACCATGTCATTATCTAGAACTTTCATTTAGCAGGTCTCTCCCTCTATATCTTGTTTCCTCCACTTCCAACCAACGGCATCTATTCAACCAATCATTCTTTCTCTTCCGTTCAACATGTCTAAACCATCTCAGTCTATATTCTCAAGACACTTATGGCTTCTATCCCAATCCTTTATCACAAGTTCCTGGCTTGTTTTCTTTCTCATAGAAATACTCCGCATACATATCTAATCATTCTTATTTCCATTCTTCCTAATTTGGCTTCATGAGTCGCATTAATTGCCCATGTCTCGCTGCCATACATCATACAACTTCTCACATAACTTAACCTTTTCCTAAATTAAGAGAGGCATTTTTATCTAATAAAATTATATCTCTAAATTTTTCAAAGCAATCATATCCTCGCTACGACTGTTATTTTAGGTCAACGCCTCCATCTACACTAAGAATATCTTCTAGATAATTGGGGGTACTTACTGTTTTCAGACTTATTCCTTTTCCAATATGAGAACCAGCCATATTACATTCTTCTTTTACAAACTTTCTACATATAAAGGAGGCGCTTGCCTTCTGCAGGCTTTCCTTTACACCACTACACCTATTGTGAACCCATTTACGATAGTAGGAATAATTGATGGAGCCTCTAACATCTTTCCCCCATACACCACATGCATGTCTCCTAGATCTTTTATAAACTTTCACCTCTAAACATCACCTACGTCTTTTCTATCTTCATTTTTAATCTATTTTATTCCATAACCCTTTTCCTCTAATTATTTTATCTTTCAATTCTCAATTCCTCAGGGTTCATTTTATAATCTTACGGGCACTCGATTAAATGCCTTCTTCAGATCTATGAATGATTACATAATAAAGTACTTTTCCCTTCTCTTGGTATCTTTCCTGCATTTGCCTCACAACATAAATAGCATTAGTAGTACCCTTCCCAGATGTAAAACTGATCTGCATATCAATCAATTTCATTTGGTCCCTTGTTCTCCTTTCTAACACTCTCTCGAAAACCTTCATTGTCTAGAGGAATACCGTTCCTTTTGTATATCAGGATTATCATACTTTTCTGCCAGTCGTCCAGATTAGTCCCTTCGAGAATAATCATTTTGCACACATTGGTGATCCACTCGATTCCCAGATCTTCAGTTGTTTGAAACGTTTCTGTCACACTCTTGTAGGGCCCGTCACTTTATCCTTCTTCATACGCTTTAAAGATTTTCTATTTCATTTTTGTCAAATCTACAGCTAGGCCTCTTCATCTTTGCACATTACACTCATTGTCCTATTCATTTTTTACATTCGATAGTCTTTCTATTTACGAATTCCACCTTACTAACAATTACAATATTTCCCTCAATGTTTTTTATACAGTTTTACACCTATTAAATTCTGTCTCTCAAATATTTAATATACCATTCTTGGTACAAGGATTGATCGTTTAAAACTTTTTCCACTATCTGAGCACCGTGGGCTGGCGGGTTAGAATAGTTGCCCCTAATTAAGATAACCATTTGAGATATCACACGCTTAGTCGTCTCTGGAGAACTGGTTAAGACAGTTAAGTTACCTATCCTTTCATCTTAGTGTTTAATTTTTTGTTTGTATATGTATATATAATCGAAATAAAAAGTGAATATTTGCATTTTTTAGAGATATAATATAAATAATTTCATATTTAGTATCGTGTAAGGATAATGATATATAACGTAGGTGGTTAACATATTAAAGCATTTTTTATTTATTATATATTAATCATGTATACTAATTTCGTCAAAGTGGTTTCACAAAAATTGGTCCTGCTAAGTATCCCCCTATGGATCTTCTAAGCCTTTTAAGCCATAGATATCATTCTAAAAAAATAATAAGGTCCCAAGTTAAATATCATTATCCAATCAACTAACGCGTTACCGATTTATGAATTTATTTTGATACTTTTCTTCTACCCCTTATATATAATGTTATTGTTTGTCAACCTACACCCCATATTTCCTCTTACCTATTCTGTTTTGGGAAAAGAGTGGAGCTCGTTGAACCATGAAATATATCACTTAACCAAATTTAAAAATAAATATCATTATTTATTTTTTTATAAACTGTATAGCCCGAAATTTTTAGCGAAAGATTGAGCGGCAAAAAATTCGATTCCTTTAGAAGCAAAAAGCCTGACAGCGTAAGCGTCTTTATCTGGATCACCCGAGGCGAATCCTTGATAAGCTATATCGAAAAGAAGGTACAATGGATGGGACTTGTTAACGAATAAAAAAAATAGGTTGTTATTAAGTTAAATATTAATTAATATTTCCGTAAAAGAAAAAAATAAAACAGGTTAAACAAAAAATTTCTATTATCCCAGATCAGCTTATAAATTAATAGTTGGGAAGCTTTTTTACATGCTATTTGACACAGTTTGAGCGGTCTCTTAAATTGTGGTAAAATATGTGTTTTAAATCTTCCAAAGCCTCTATGTGAACAATATATTTTTCATATATCGTATAAACGAGTATTTAAAAAAAAGGTTTGAGGGAATAATATATATTTTTTTAATTTTCATTACTGGATCCTGAAATAATTTAATTATGCTTCCCCATTGTTCTGGAGTAGGGTCGATACCGGTAGGGTTATGAGAACAACCATGTAATATTACAACTGAATTGGCTGGCGCTTCCTACAAAATAAAAAAAACATTAAAAAGATTGTGATATTTGATATGTACATATTTATATTCGTTTAAAAAAATGAATCATATTTTTTTTATGCTATAGATGACGTAAGTTATTTCATTTGTTTAAACATCAATATTATTCCCTATATATATTTTTTTAATAATATGAGCTGTTACTATAATAACATTTTTAATGTTTGACTTGTGGAAAAGACTTTGGGATGCAGGTTAGGCTTTTTGCTAGGCTTGCAGATCCTTAACATAAAAATATAGCATAGGTTCTTTTATAGAATATTTTTTTTATTATCAATAAATAAAAGCATTGTGGCATTTTGTATTGGAGAAATGCTCATTGCTTGCAAGCTGAGCTTAAATTATATGTTGTAGGCCAGGTACAAAGTAAAACTATAAAAATAGATAAATTTATATTGAAGCTATTGGCTTTAAGCCATAAAAAAGTTTTTTTTTAAATTAAAACATTGATTAGAAAATACCTAAATATAAAGGAAGATCTTTTTAAAAACACATAAAAAGATGTATAAGAAAACCCATGACAATAAAAAAAAAAAATTTTAAGACATACCCAGGGATAAAATGATAATAAAGATATTTTTTTAAAAAATTAATAAAGAGACAATACAATTAGTATATTTGCATGACTTGAATTGTCCTTTTAAGATTTTAAGGCTACATAGCCATTATGAAAATCATTAAAAAAATTTAGCCCAGCTTGCAGATCTTTAATACTTAAAATACTCATAAATAATTTTATTGATTGATAATAGAAAGAAACCAATCAATAAAAGAGCATATATTAGCATTTTATGTTATAGATCTGCACATCATGGTGATAAAGCCTATCCCAATGCCTTGTCCATGGGCCTGGATTGAAAATGATCTGATAGGAATTTTTAAGAATATTATAAAATTGGTATTTTATATTTTCCATAAGATTGTAATAGTAATATATAAAACAGAAATACAACGTTTTTATCCTTTTTTTTCAACCCTATTTAAATTTAAATATTCAAAAGAACTTCATACTTTTAAATCTTGCATCATTCCTTCTAAATCAAAGTTTTTTTCTTTGGCATTCCAATATCTATATTCCTTAATTTCAGCATAATGACAATTTTTCCCCATTAATTTATGATTTTCTAGAATAAAGGATTATTAATATAAATTATTTATAATTTTATGAATCTATCTATAATCTAAAAAAGGTTTTAAAAATAATTTACCCCAAGTTGGTATTGGCACATACAAAACAGATGCTCCCATTACCTCCTTGTAAAAATCTAAAGCTATTTTTAAACTGCCAGTGCCACTTATGCCCTGAACACCTTGAGCCTATGCATAAGTTTAAAAAATAAATCATTTCAAACAATTGAGAAAAAGAATTATATTATAATCTTTAGTTTTTAAATATTTCTTTAATAAAAAAAATAGCAAAATATTATCATATAATTTATATTTTATTCTGTAATGTAATGCCACATAACTGCTTTGATTCTCCTTTATTACAACTTCTAGAGTACATCCTATACTCACTCTCTAATTGTACAATAAATTTTTATATGGAATTTAATTGTTTTCCTAATCAATCAAAAATTCATTAATGTTATCATTACAATTGGCTTATTTAGCTCGATCTAAAAAGCTGTGTGCTAAAGAAAACCCACTTGAGGTTGCTAGTTAATTTACTTAAGTATTCTTTAAAGTGAAGTATATTCCTTTTAAAAACAAGTCTGAATTGAATTTTGGCTAAAAATCAACTTTAACAGTTAAAAATACTGACAATTACCACCAGACTAGGATTTTATAATATTTATCTCTATTAATTTACTTTCCATCACTTTTTAAAATTTATATGCTATAACATTTTTCTAGATTTTTAGCCCAACACTAATTTTTTCTTCTTAATTACTTTTGAAAAAAATTCATATACCAGTCATTATTACTAAGGATGTAAAAAAAAATATTGTTTTAACCCTTTCGCGCCCAGAATATTTCCCATGAACAAAAAATACTTGTACTTTGATATAATAAACTAATGATTTTGATATTTTGATATAATAAAATAATGATTTTGGCAGGTTAATGATAAAATACGAAATAATAAATATTGTTTTATAAATTAATATCTCTAAGAACCATTAGTTTCTTTAGATATTAAAATTAATTGATTAAAAATTTTGATGACAAATAATCTCACTGGACGCAAAAGGGTTAATAAAATTTTCAAAAACTAAATACAAAAATTGATTTTATTATTAAAAAAATAACACAATCTAACAAAACTAGAGTTAGTTATCAAATAAATTCAAAAATGGGAATAAAACATTTTTTGGCCCAAACTGGAGTTGAACAGGAATGCAGAAATGTATTTGTTTTAGGTTCCTGGTTAAAATAAATTCTCTCATAAAAAAAATTAGATTATACCTAATAAAGCAAAGATTAGTATAAAAAAAATTTTTTAATTCTTCTTTATTAAATATATCTATTAAAACTACCTTAACTTCCTGGAATTTTGGAAAACAAAAGGGACCTTAAATGAAAAGACACCCCCCCCATATAGCAATGATAATCCTTTCAGATTTACAGAGGCTGAGAAAAATAAATCCCAACAATATTGAAACTTTGTGGTTTCATTCAACAACCTGCTACTCATTTAAAAAAAAGGTAAAATCCCTTTTCAAAACAACAATTTAGGTCCTTTTCCATCAAACAAAAAATAATTAAAATCATATACTTAAAATTAAAAATATTTAAAGTCTCATTTTTTAAATTGATATTTAATTGCTTTTTTTGCCTCTGATGCATTTATATTTAATAATCATATAATTTTATTTTATAAATTTTGAATCAATAAAAACTTAATATTCATTATTAATTCAAAAATATTTCAGAAATTCAATCAAATACAATACAAGCCTAAAATTATTGAAAATTCAGTGTCAGGCTAAAAAAATAATAATCAAAAACAGGCCTAAAACTTTTTCCAAAAATAATGAGCCAGACCTAAAAATTATTTATTTTTTAAACACAGACCAGGTCAATCCTAAAATTATAACCTCTGCACATCTCTGGTTAAAATACCTTTTTATTCAATATGTTTTCATCATTTTTCCCAAGTAAAAGAGTTGTGGCTGCATGACAAAAACTTTCAAGGCCTTTGATAGGCAGATATTCATGATTTATAATTTCTTCGTTAATTTCCTTGGCTAAAATTTCCTCTGCTTTTTTTACCACAGGTAAAATCCAGGGTTTGCAGGAATCAGTTCTAAAAGCTAATAAATACTGATTTTTAAAATTCTTTATATTTTACCTCCTACACTTAAATTAACTTTTTGAGGATTTTTATCTTCATGATAAGCTGTATTTACATGGAAAACTTCAATCAAAGGTGCTGGTTGTACTTTTAAAAATTGCGACATGTGAGTGAACTAGGATTGAAGATTAAGAGTAATAAGAAATGCCCGGTTATAGCATAGAATATTATTTCCAAAAAATTACTCCAGTTCTATGATGGATTCTAATGTATTTGTATAGAATCCTCTTTTATATATTATTACCAAGATATATTTAGACAGAATTTTCTTATATATTTTGTTGGGATAAATCATAATTTTCTTTTATTTTATTTTTTATATACATTTTATTATCACTGTATTAACCAAAAACAATCCTTTTTATATCTTTTTTTAACAATAAATAAATAACCAATTATCTGAAATACAAATTGATATTTAAAAAAATGTAACGTTAAAATAAAAATGTTAATATAAAATTTTTACCAAAAGGTATAATCTCTAATATTTAACAGATTCAATATATTTCTCTGAATTATCTATTTAATTTCTTTGAAAGACTCTTTATTTATATAATTACATTAAAAGGATTTAAATTTATTTGTTAAGTATTTCCAATTTACAAAATTTACTTATTTAACATTGGATATGGTGATGGTGAGCTGGAAAAATCAAATTAATTTTTTTACCCTAAGATTTATAGATTATATTGTTTAAACAATTTTATTTAATGGCTAGATCTCTTTTTTCTTTAAAGATTTTTGTATAAACCATGCCTAAAAGTGGTCACAGACATTTTGTATTATTTTTTAGTTGTCAAACTATATTAACTTAACATAAACATTCTACATTATTAGTTTTAACACTCTTGTCAAAAACGATAAAGTAATTTGAAAATCACAGCTACTAAAAAAATTGTTTTAAAAACATAAAAATATCAATTAAGAGAAGATTCAATAAAATAACTTTAAAGCACGAAAATAATTGCATAAATATATGAAAACTACAGGGTTGCATGTTTTATTTGGTGATATAATAAAAACAAAAACTATTAAGTGGTATAAATTAATTATGAAGTTTTTAAATAACATAAATACCTCATTTATGTATTAAGATAAAAAATAGTTTAAGTGAATATTTTTTCAAATTTTTACAATAATTTTTATTTAAAAAAGTAACATAAGAATTTACCTATGAAATGTTTCTAGAATATCGTAAGTAATTGGAAAATTAATTATTTGGAAGTATAAGTGGTAATACTGTATTGTGTAAATCAGCAACAAAAAATAATACTATGTATTTAATGATCTTTATTTCAGATTCTATGAACCTTCTCAATATTTATCATAAAGACTTACATAAAGAATTTAAACTTAAAATTAGCCACCACCCACCTTTAAAGTAATTAACTTATATTGCAGATAAATGTAAATGCCATTCTTTTTTTTCTATAGAAAGGCGCTCAGAAGAACGAAATATAAAAATTATAAACCAAAGAATATTTTATTTTGTATATATTATAATAATCTATAATTGGCCCTCCTATAAACTCTGGAAAAGTTTCTTGCCTTAATTTGTTAACCGAGGCTATTGACGTATCAATATGTTTGGCAATGTCCTTTATTTTCATTCTTTCCATTTCCGGCTGGGACAACAATTTGATTACTATGTCAATTTTCCCTTTATTCCAACAATTATATTTTCTTTTTGGGTTTTGAATTACCAGTGAGTTTATAGGGTTTATTATAGTAGAATTGGCACTTATAGCAGATTGCGAAAATGATGTGGAAAAGGAATGATTAGATAAAAAGGAATTATTATTATAGTATAAAGAAGAATTTCTAAAACTATTATTGGTATTATTGGATAAAATATTATTAATATTAAACATTTTAAATTTAAAAAATTATTTTTTTGTAATTAAAAAGTTTTATGAGAAATTTTTATTAATTATAAAAAAATTTTCCTAATACATAAATGTGGTATTTATGTTTTTTAAAAACTTCATAATTAATTATTATACCACTTTCACCAAATAAAACACATGCAACCCTGTATAGTATGGTAATGGCTAAATGTTGACTATAATCTTCAGGCGCTTACCAGATAAAATTCGTTAACACTAAGGTGTTTAAATTTATATTAGTGTTGTAGTTGACGAACTTTAAATAATATAAATTAAAAAAATATTGTTTGTATAAAATGTCAATCAATTAGGATATATTTATTTTAGTGTATTTTTTTGAAAAACATTAGAAGTTTTTCTGTGAAATTTAATGATGTATTTGTAATTAACGTAAATTATTTTTCTCTAATTATTATTAGAAATAAAGACTTGTAATAGTGTTGCCACTTGACCAAAATGAGAGGTCCGAAGAGGGTGGAATTCACCTAAATAACAGGTAAATAAACCATATTTATATATATATATTAATTTTTAATTAAAAATTAAATAAAAATAAGCAACGCAATGCATTATAAATAAAAATTGAGATGTTTTTTAATTTTAAGTATCATGATAGGACAGAATTTTTGTTTAATAAATTAGATTTGAATTTTTAGCATAAAGATTTTTGTAGGATAATTTTTATACGAATTAGTAATATTTTTAAAATAATTTTAAAGTATGTTTTTAAGTTATGTAGTTAACATTAAAAGAAATAATTTTGGAATAGATTTTATTCCTTTTGTAAAGGGAAAAATGGAACATATTTTTTAATTGTTAAGTAATTAAGGAAATATTTGAACGGATTTTACTATATTTTATAAAGTCAAATTGAATATATCTTTATGGGTAAAAATTATAATGAAACAAAAGAATTAAGTAGTAACGAAATTGAGAATCATCTTTAGAACTTTATGAAAAAAAATTGATGAATGGTTTTGAAAAGATATTTATAATTTTAATAGATATATAAATGCTTCATAGATTATAGTTTATATTGGTATAAATTCAGCGCTTTATTTTGTCTAATTTAGACAGATTCATATTGTTATAGATTTATCGAAATATGGTAAGTGAGTACAATATTACTTGTTGTAGTACATTTAAAATTACATTATATTAATTAAAGAGATAGCGAAAAAGTGAATAAGTTGATTAATTATTATTGGAATTAGTAATATTTTTAAAATATTTATAAGCTTGGTAAATAATTTATTTCAAAATAATTATAAGGTTGGTAATTAATTTAAAATTAAATTTTTTAGGGATAAATATATGGAAGGTCGGATTTTCATAGGGATTGGGGGTCAGCGACTGTAATATTGGTATAATTAATTTATCTTGGGCTAGGTAATGGTATAAAAGATATGTAAGTATAAAATAATACATATATGGATCATTAGAATTTTTGCTGACAATTAAATATAGTTTTAATTGTTACGTCAGTCATATTAAACGAAATAATTTTGGAACGAATTTAAACCATATTATAATGGGGAAATATATTTATAATTGTTAAGTAGTTAACATTGAAAGAAATAATTGTTGAATGATAAATGAAATTTAACCTTATTGTAAAGAGGAAAATTGAATACATTTTTAATTGTTATGTAGTTGACAATAAAAGAAATAATTGTTGAATGAATTTTAACCCTATTGTAAAGGCGAATATGGAGTATTATTGTAGTTAATATTAAAGGAAATATTGTTTTGAATGGATTTTAGCATATTTGATAGAGACAAATTGAATATATCTTTATGGTTGTTGAGATAAAATTGATAATTGAATTGGAATAAAAGAAAAATTGAGAAGTAACGAAATTAAAAATCATCTATAGAACTTTATGAAATAAAGATTTATAAATTGTTTGAAAAGATATTGTTAATTTTAATAGATATATGAATAGATGCCTCATATATGGCCTATATTGGTATATATTCAGCACTCTATTGCGTCTCAGGATTGGCATGTCGGTCAAGTGACCGGTCAAATACTCTAAAATATTATTAGAGAATAAATATTTTGATAAATTATCTAGTATGCATTAAAAGCATGTTTATCAATTTTATTAAGTTACAATTTATTTTAAAATATATTTGCATCATAAATAATCTAAAACAAAAGAATTTTTTTGTTACTAAAATAAATAAATACAATAATTTAGCTAAGTCATGGTTTATTATGAATTTAAATTTATTTAATATTTCGCCCAGTATAAATTATATTATTTCTCATTTATTTTACTTCCACTTGCTACATTTGAATATAAAAATAATTTTCTTTTTATTTGTTCAATTCTGATAAAATGTTATATATTTTATTATATTATATATTTTATTATATTATATATTTTATTATATTATATATTTTATTATATTATATATTTTATTATATTATATATTTTATTATATTATATATTTTATTATATTATATATTTTATTATATTATATATTTTATTATATTATATATTTTATTATATTATATATTTTATTATATTATATATTTTATTATATTATATATTTTATTATATTATATTATATATTTTATTATATTATATTATATATTTTATTATATTATATTATATATTTTATTATATTATATTATATATTTTATTATATTATATATTTTATTATATTATATATTTTATTATATTATATTATTTTATTATATTATATTATATATTTTATTATATTATATATTTTATTATATTATATATTTTATTATATTATATATTTTATTATATTATATATTTTATTATATTATATATTTTATTATATTATATATTTTATTATATTATATATTTTATTATATTATATATTTTATTATATTATATATTTATATTATATATTATATTGTAATATTAAGCCAAGCGATAATTATAAAATAATTAAGTTTGATTAACTTTACAATAATCAAAATCTTTTTTAATTAAATTTTCATATATTAGGGATTATGGTCAACCCAAAGCATCAAGTTTGTAAACATTTTAAAGAAGTACGCGATGGAAAATCAGTTAAAGCGATGTGCAGGTTTTGCAAGATGTCAGATATTACCCACTTTGATAGAATGGCCAAGCATTTATTAAGAAGCTGTACTATGTGCCCTGCCATAATTAAGGAAAAATTTTATTCAAATTCCAAAATTTCAACCTCTACAAAAATCCCATTAATGCAGTCTGTAATACTTCTAGCTCTGATAAAG